AACATCCGTACCGCAACATCCGTACCGCAACATCCGTACCGCAACATCCGTACCGCAACATCCGTACCGCAACATCCGTACCGCAACATCCCTCGTTTCGTTATACTGAAAAGTAATCTAATTCAATAGTAACTTTTACAACTCAAAAACCTTTACCTCCCAACGTACATATACAATACGCTATCACGTTATTTTAAACTTTCCGAAAAATTTCCGTAATCCGATAAAAAATTCCGTACTCCGAAACACAATTCCGTACAATTATTAAATTTCCGTAATCCGATAAAAAATTCCGTACCGCAAAACACACTTCGGCTCGGATATAAAAAACTCGCATTTTAAATATTTCGCTCGGTTAAAAAAATTTCGTATTTTTAAATCATCCTCGGTTAAAAAGATCTCGTATTTTTAAATTTTTCGTACCTCAAAAAATAATCAAAACCTCACTTACTCAATTATTAATTAATTTTATTCTACTTATATAGATATTCAGTTTAATAAATTATCACTATACATTTACTCATATATTTACTAAATAAACTTTTTTCAGAGTAACAATAAAAGTATTTTGATGTGTATAAATTTATACTATTAATATTAATACTCTGGAAATTTCTAAATTTTCAAAAAGTTTTCTCACCAATTTTATAACATAGACAAGAAATCCTTAAAAATATACTAATTTTTCAACGACAAAATGAGTCAAACTGATTGATCATAAGTCCAATATACTTGTGAACAATAAATTTGATTAAACATATTGTTAATTTGTACATTTTAATTATATTTTATTTGAGAAAAATATTGATAGAAATTTACTAATATTAACACTTCAAATTATTAACAAGAACACAGATTATTAAACCGTCTTGTTGCATTTTATATTAACTGATTACTAGATTTTCTTATTAATAAAATTCATTAAATTTGAGCTGTTTGGTTTACTTTTTATATTTACTTAATTTTAAATTCTTTAGACATATAAAACGCTCACTAAAACTGCGAGAAATAAATTTTGAGTTTTTTACACTACTAACAAAAAATAATTTTTCTCTTGAGAATTGGATTTTTTTTCTCTTGAGAATTTTTCTTTTCTCTTGAGAATTTTCTCGCTAACAAATTTGTTAGTTTTTCTCTTGAGAATTGCGAAAATAATTTAGTATGTCTTGTTTTAATTATATTCTATTTGAAAAAAATATTGATAGAAATGTACTCATAAAAACACTTCAAATTATTAATAAGAACTCAGATTATTAACCCATCTTATCACATTTCATTTCAACTAATTCATTGATGTTTTTATTTAAAAAATTTATTAAATTTTATCTGTTTAATTTACTTTTTATACTATCTTAATCTTATTGACATAATTTCTTGAGACATGTAAAACGCTCACGAAGTGCGTGAAATGAAATTTGAATTTTTTACACTACTAACAAAAAATAATTTTTCTCTTGAGAATTAGATTTTTTTTCCCTTGAGAATTTTCGCACTAACAAATTTGTTAGCTTTTCCCTTGAGAATTGCGAAAATAATTTAGTATTGAATTTATTTTAATAAATTAATACTAATAATATTAATACTCTAGAAATAAAAATTTAAAAACTTTCACACCAAATTTGAAATTAATATAAAAACCTCTTAGAATTATATTAGTTTTTCAACGACAAAATAACTAATTTTCAATTGATCATAATTCGATATACTTGTGAATAATAAACTTGATTAAATATGTTGTTGACTCGTCAATATTGTTTGTATTTTATTAAAATAAAAAGTTGGTAGAAATTCACTCATATGAACACTTCAATTTATTATTAAAATAAGGCAGATTATGAAACTGTCTTGTCAAAGTTTCACATCAACTGTTTACTTGATTTTCTTATTAATAAAATTAATCAAATTTGAAGTATTTAATTTACTTTTTATATTTACTATTTCAATTTTTATTGTCTTAAAATTCTTGTTCCTATATCTGACTTTTGTTACTTGGAAATTTTTATAACACAATAGTAAAAACAAATTCTGAAACTAAATTATTTTTGTGTAACTAAATTATTTTTGCAGCCTCTTAAGATTGTTTAAGAGGAGTCTGGAATTAACTTTACAAAAACTCATTCTTTTGTTCAATAACAGATTTATAATTAGTGTAATATTTAAAATTTTTGCTATGAACATATTACTGATATACAACTCTACAATTTTTTCAAGTTTCATTGAGTTTTCGTACAAATGCTAAAAATACATATAATCTGGTAACTTTTTTTTTTTTTGAGTCTTTTTACAACAAAATGAATTAATCAACTCAAAGTTGTGATTGAAAATTTGTTCGAATATACTTATAGATAATCAAATCAATTAAACTGTCGATTTGTCAAGTTTAATTGTATCTTTCTCAAATAAAAAGTTGACAGAGATTTACTCATGAAAGTACTTCAGTTTGTTAAAAAGAACACAGATTATTGAAATGTCTTGTCACATTTCACATCAACTGATCACCTGATTTTCTTATTTAAAAAAATTTATCAAATTTGAACTGTTTAAGTTACATTTAATATTCACAATTATGATTTTATTAAATTAGCATTTTTGTCTAAGAAATTATGTCTTTAAATCTTCCCTTGAGAATTGACTCTAATATAGTATGTACGATTGTAAATATATAGCCTGCTTTACTTTCTCTTTATTTCAAAATCTCTGTAATATGTATTCTTAGTACACAATTATAAGCATGTAATTATAAATCTAAATCTATAAGGGACACCTGATGCACATGGTGTCTTAAGCTATGGTACAGTGCAGCTTACCCGCTGAAACCCCCTAAATTTTTTTAGTCAGAAAACAGGTGTTTTGGCGCACTTGGTCAACTTTCAATTAAAAAATGAAGTTGGTCGATCGACCTAATTCCGACCTAGAATTAGGTCTAGCGCTACCAAAAATTTGGTCGGATTGGTGGTGTAGTGGTAACATAACTGCCTTCCATATGGTAGCTCTTAGCCAGTCTTCGACCTAGCTATTAGTAAGCAGTTGCTGTGGGTTCGATTCCCGCCCAATTCAAGTTTGAATTATTTTTTTTTTGGTAGTATTTGTTTTTTATTCTTTTTAATTTTGTTTCACCTAACAATAAAATATAAACTTTTTTTTGTCTTTTAATTTTACATTCACCATCGAATGAAAAGATATTTGCATACCACATCCAAATTATTATATTACAAATCGATGAAAATCAATAATGCAATAAATCTTACAGAATCAGAACAAAACATTCGTAATGTGCTAGTTGGATATTGTGAATATTACAATAAAATCAATAAACCTTCTTTAACATTAAGAATAACAGGTGGATGGGTTAGAGATAAATTATTAGGATATGATAGTCAAGATATAGATATAGCAGTCAATTGTCTTACAGGAGAAGAATTTGTTCATGGACTTCAAAAATATCTTTATGATAAAGAACCAGAAATTTCAATGAATCATGTACATACAATAAAAATGAATCCACTAAAATCTAAACATTTAGAAACTTGTACCACTAAATTATATGGAATAGATTTAGACTTCATAAATTTAAGATCAGAAGAGTATACAGATGATAGTAGAGTACCAACAATTGAATTTGGAACTCCATTACAAGATGCATTAAGAAGAGATGCAACATTAAATGCATTATTTTATAATTTAAATGAAGAAAAAATTGAAGATTTTACAGAAAAGGGTTTAGAAGATTTAAAGAATGGAATTTTAAGAACACCATTATCTCCAATTAAAACATTTCTTGATGATCCATTAAGAATACTACGATTAATAAGATTTGCAAGTAAATTTAATTTTTTAATAGATTCAGAAACATTAGATGCAATGAAAGAAAAACATAATCAAGAGGCACTTTCAACAAAAATCAGTAAAGAAAGAATTGAAATAGAATTAAGAAAAATTTTAACAAGTCATAACCCAAGTTATGGATTACAATTGATCAACTATTGTGATTTAATCAAAAGTATATTTTATGTTGAACAATTGGAAAAAGAATTCAATGTTAAAGAATTACAAATATCTTTAAATCAAATACCTCATCATGTATATATATCAAGTTCAATTTATTTAACTTTTGAACAACTCATACTAAATTCATCAATTAAACATATTTTTCAAAAATTTTTAAAAGATCCAGAAATGAGATATAATTTTTGGTTATCAATAATATTAAATCCTTATACAAATGTTTCACTGAAAAATATATTCAGTCAATATTTAAGATTAGGATTAACAGCTAAAAAAAGTGATATTGTAAAAATATCGACATTAAATTTACTGACTCATGAAATATTATCAAATGAATCCAATGAAAGGTCGGATTGGGGAATATATTTACGTCAATTTTCTTCATTTTATGATTTAAATTTATTAGTTCAATGCTTTTTAGAATGTGTAAATACAATTAAAGTAGATATAACAAGTGAAATACCTATACCAAATCATCAAATAGATACAACTGAAGATGAAAAATATATAATTTCTCAAATAATTTCGAAATATGAGTCGATATTTGCAAAAATTGAAAAAATGGAATTATTAGATGTTCATTTATTAAAACCATTAATTGATGGTACAGCTTTGTCAAAAAGTTTGAAAATGAAACCTGGTCCATGGTTGAAACCTGCTACAGAAGAAGTATTAATATGGCAATTAAATAATCCAAAAGGTTCAAAAGATGAATGTTTAGAATATATAAAACAAACTTTGTAGTACTAGTTATAAAATTAATATAATTTATAGAGTTTTTTTTTTTTTTTTTTTTTTCAAGTTTTTCTTTTACTTTGTTAGTCATAATCAATTGAATCATCTACCATGACAATTGAAAAAGTACCCATATTGGGTAAAGAGTCTATCCATATTGGATATGGGATCCAACCACATATAGTTTCAGAAACAATCACTAATTTAGCCTCATCAACTTATGTTATTATAACTGATAAAAATATGGCTAAAACTCATACATTTCAGAAATTAATTACAGATTTTGAATCAAACCTTTCTCAACTCCGTCCTGAATCAAGATTATTAACCTATTTTGTTTCTCCAGGTGAAAATAATAAAAATAGAGAAACTAAAGCACAAGTTGAAGATTTTTTATTAATAAATGGATGTACAAGAGATACAGTAATTTTAGCAGTTGGAGGTGGAGTTATTGGAGATATGATTGGATTTGTTGCAGCAACTTTCATGAGAGGAGTTAGAGTAGTACAAGTTCCAACAAGTTTATTAGCAATGGTTGACTCATCAGTTGGTGGAAAAACTGCAATTGATACACCATTAGGTAAAAATTTCATTGGTGCATTTCATCAACCTGAATATGTATTTTGTGATATTTCATTTTTAACAACATTACCACCCAGACAATTAATTAATGGTATGGCGGAAGTTATTAAAACTGCAGCTATATGGAATGAAGAAGAATTTACAAGATTAGAAAAATTTGCAAAACAATTCATAAATGAAATAACTTCATCAACTCCAAATTTGGAAAATATAAAACAAGAATTGATAACAACAGTAACAGAATCTATAAAAGTCAAAGCTGGTGTTGTTTCAGCTGATGAAAAAGAAGGTGGGTTAAGAAATTTATTGAATTTTGGTCATACAATTGGTCATGCTATTGAAGCTATATTAACTCCAGAAGCACTTCATGGAGAATGTGTGTCCATTGGTATGATTAAAGAAGCAGAGTTATCAAGATATTTGGGAATACTACCACCAGTTGCAGTTGCAAGATTACTGAAATGTTTGAGTGCTTATCATTTACCAGTTTCAGTTGATGAAAAAAACTTTTCAAAAATTGTTGGTGGTAAAAAGAATAATTTATTAATAGATCTGTTGATCAAAAAAATGTTGATTGATAAAAAAAATGATGGTAGTAAGATTAAATGTGTTTTACTTGAAAGAATAGGTAGATGCTATGAAGAGAAAGCACATCAAATTTATAAAGAGGATTTACAGTTTGTTTTAACTGATGAAGTTTATGTCACTCCATTTAAAAATTTCCCAAAACATGTCACAATAACACCGCCAGGTTCAAAATCAATATCAAATAGAGCTTTAATTTTAGCTGCTTTAGGTAGTGGTACTGTTAAAATCAAAAATTTATTACATTCTGATGACACCAAACATATGTTGGATGCTATATCAATATTAAAAGGTGCAACTATATCATTTGAGGATAATGGAGAAACTGTAGTTGTTAAAGGAAACGGTGGTAATTTACAAGCTGCAAGTGAAGAATTATATTTGGGAAACGCAGGTACTGCGTCAAGATTTTTAACAGCTGTTGCATGTTTAGTAAGTAAAAGTACTAGCTCATCTTCAATAACTTTAACTGGTAATTCGAGAATGCAAGAACGACCAATTGGATCATTAGTTGATGCCTTAAATTCGAATGGTTCTGATATCAAATACCTTAAAAATGAAGGATCATTACCATTAAAAATTACTGCTGATAACAAATTTGAAGGTGGTAAAATTGAATTAGCTGCCACTATATCATCTCAATATGTTTCTGCAATTTTAATGTGTGCTCCTTATGCTCAAGAACCTGTTACTTTATCACTTGTTGGTGGAAAGCCAATATCACAATTGTACATAGATATGACTTGCGAAATGATGAAACAATTTGGTGTTGAAGTTACAAAATCAGAAAATTATACTTATCATATTCCAAAAGCAACTTATAAAAATCCAACCACATACGTCATTGAATCTGATGCATCATCAGCCACATACCCATTAGCTTTTGCAGCTTTAACAGGATCATCTTGTACAATTCCAAATATTGGTTCTTCTTCTTTACAAGGTGATGCTAGATTTGCTGTTGATGTATTAAAACCAATGGGATGTAAAGTTGAACAAACTTCAATTTCCACAACAGTAACTGGTCCACTAGAGGGCCAATTAAAAGCAATAACCGTGGATATGGAACCTATGACAGATGCATTTTTAACAGCTTCAGTTGTTGCAGCAGTTTCAAAAGGTACTACAACTATAACAGGAATTGCAAATCAAAGAGTTAAAGAATGTAATAGAATTAAAGCAATGGTTGATGAATTAGAAAAATTTGGGGTTAAATCACATGAAATCCCAGATGGTATAGTAATTGAAGGTACCACCAACCTAAAAACTCCATCATTTGTTAATACTTATGATGATCATAGAGTTGCCATGTCATTTTCATTATTAGCTGGTTTATGTAAAGAGCCGGTTTTAATTTTAGAAAGATCTACTACTGGTAAAACTTGGCCAGGATGGTGGGATGTTTTACATTCAAATTTTGGTATAACACTTGAAGGTCATGAAACTGTTAAAACCACCAAGAAAACTAATGATAAAAGTATTGTAGTTATTGGAATGAGAGCTGCAGGTAAAACTACATTATCAAAATGGATTGCTGATTTACTTAATTTTAAATTTATAGATTTAGATGAATATCTTGAAACAAAACTTGGCATTGATATTAAATCATTAATTAAAGAAAAAGGTTGGGAATATTTTAGAGAAGAAGAATCTAAAGTTGCAAAAGAAGTATTTGATAAATATCCTACTGGTTATGTTATTTCAAGTGGTGGTGGATTAGTTGAAAGTGAAAAAGCAAGGATTTTACTTAATATTTATGATGGAATTGTATTACATTTACATCGTGATTTAGATGAAACAGTTACATTTTTGAGTTCAGATGCTACAAGACCAGCATATAGTTCAGAAGTTAAAGATGTTTGGTTAAGAAGGGAAAAATGGTATCATGAATGTGCTAATTATTACTTTTATTCTCCACATTGTCATACAACAAAAGATTTTGAGATTTTAAAGAAAACTTTTTTAAAATTTATAGCAAAAATTACAGGATTGGAAGAATATGAAATTCCAAATACTCGTTCCTCATTTATTACTTTAACAGCTTCAGATTTAAATGATATTGTGGATATACTCCCAAAAATAACTGTTGGAGCAAATGCAGTTGAATATAGAGTTGATTTAATTACTGAAAATACAAATACAACATATATAGCTGAACAAATTGGTTTATTAAGAAAAATAATTGATTTACCAATAGTTTATACCATTAGAACTGAATCACAAGGTGGTAAATTTCCAAATAATGATTATAAAAACTTGAAGAAATTATTACTTTTTGGTATTAAAATTGGTGTTGATCTTATGGATATAGAATTAATAACTCCATATGATATAATTGAAGAAATTTTAAATAAAAAGGGTAATACAAAATTAATTGCATCACATCATGATTTTTCAGGTGAATTTAAATGGGATAATATTGAATGGGAAAATAAATATAATCAAGGATTATCAATCAATGCAGATATTATAAAATTAGTTGGTAAAGCAAATGAATTTGAAGATAATTTATTATTAGAAAATTTTAGACAAAATCATAATACAAAACCAATTATTGCAATAAATATGGGACCAAAAGGTAAATTATCAAGAGTACTTAATAAAACATTAACACCAATAACTCATGATTTAATTAAAGATAAACCAATTGGAGTTGGTCAATTAAGTTTAAAAGAAATCAATGAAGCATATTATCAAATTGGAGGATTTAATGATAAAAAATTTTATGTTGTAGGATCACCAATACAACATTCAAAATCTCCAATATTACATAATACAGGATATAAATCATTAAATTTACCATATAAATTTGACTTATTTGAAACTAATGATGCAGAAAAAGTTTATAAAGAAATTATGTTAAATTCAAATTTTGGAGGATTAGCAATAACAATACCATTAAAATTAGATATGATGAAATATATAACAGAAATTTCAGAATCAGGTAAATTAATTGGAGCTATTAATACAATTATACCAAAAGATAATGGATTTTTAGGTGATAATACAGATTGGGTTGGTATATCAGATTCTTTTAAAAATGCAGGATTTTTTAAATCATCAACAAATAACAACAATGATAATAATCAAATAAATGGTTTAGTAGTTGGAGGTGGTGGAACATCAAGAGCAGCAATATATGCATTACATAAATTAGGGTGTAAAAAAATATATTTATTAAATCGTACAATTTCAAAATTAAAAGATATAATTGATAATTTCCCAAAAGATTATAATCTTAAAATTATAAATCATGAAGATATAAAAAATCAAAATATAAATAATATATCGTTAATTGTATCATGTGTACCAGCTGATAAACCATTAGATGAAATTTTAATAAAAAGTTTAGAAACAATATTAGATAATAATAATAATAATAATAATAAATCATCATATTTATTAGATGCTGCATATAAACCAAAAATAACACCAATAATGAAAATGATAAAAGATAAATATAATTGGAATATAATACCAGGTATTGAAATGTTAATAAATCAAGGTTATGAACAATTTAAAATTCATACAGACTTTATACCACCTTATGATTTAATTCATAAAGCAGTTTCAGAAGATTAATAATTTCACATGATGATTGAGATATAAAAAAATTTGTATATATTTATAATGAAAAGAAAATGGTATCTATTTGGAGTATTTGTAAATTTATTTTTATATAACAAATCAAAAAAAAACCACTTAAAAAGAAAAAAAACTCCGAAATAATACCCCCTTAATAAAATTTTAAATAAATCTTGTATATAATAATTTATTATATTGTCGGTAATAAAAAACTTTATATTTTAATTAACATCTAAATTAGTTGTATAATTTAATAGAATCAATATATATTTATGAATAAATAATAATTCCACATTCCTTCTAATTTCTAATTAATAGTTAATTACTATAACTAATTGTAAATATTTAATGTGATCATTCCAAATTACATCCATTTTATTTTATTCTTCTTATATAAAAAAATAAAAAATATGTCAAAAAATTAAAAAAGAATAAAAATTAAAAAAAAATAAAAAAAGAAGGAAGAGATTTTTTTATTACTATTTCAGAATAAGATATAAAAATATTTAGATATATGGATATATCATTTATATATAATGATATAAAGAATAAGATCAATATATTAATTAGATTTATAAATAATAATATCATAATATTTCATTTAACACATATTTCACTAAATTTTGCTAGTAATATTTTGCAATAAATAATAATTTATAATCCCGTTTACCCTTTTATAATTTATATTCATTAAGAACTCGATCAAATCATTCAATTTATTATATTATCATTATCATTATTATTATCACTAAATAGTATTGGAGTAATTTACTTAAAAAAGAAAACACTACTTAATAATCATAGACATATTCATTAAATAATAATGTCACTACCTACTTACTTATTCAAATCAAAATTATTATATAAAAATATACTACTACCTTATAGTAAATTAAAAATACCTAATAGAAAATTATCATCATATTTTGAAGGTGCAAGAAATTATTTTCTTGGATTTAATAATTCAGAAGATGAAAGAATAGAACCTGTTGATGAAAGTATACCATTTGTACAATATCCATTATTTACAAGAGATCAATTAAAAAAAATTGCATCTGATAAATTTAAATTTGATTTTGGTTATGCATCATTTGGTTTCCATTCTGATTCTATTGTACCTTCAATAAATTCTTTAAGTGATTTAACTGATCCAACCCAATTAAATTCTTTATTACCAAGAAGAAGACCTCAAGGTTCACCAAGTGATACTTTAAGTATAAAAGCTGGTGATGATACAATGTTAGTTTCTCCTTCAGTTTTAGCTATAGCTGATGGTGTTAGTGGTTGGGAAAGTGATGGAGAATTAGCAAATTCTGGTATATGGTCAAGATCAATTGTTGAAACTTTTAGTAGATTAATGACTGAATATAAAATAAGTCATACTCCTCATCATTTAAAAAGAAGAGATATTGAAGAAATTTTAGATGATTCATTTTTACATACTTCTCATTTAATGGATTTACAAAAATTAAGTGGTTCATCAACTTTAATATTAGGAATGTTAAGTGGTGATATTTTATTAATGATTAGTATTGGTGATTCAAAAATTTTTATAATTAGAGATAATAAAATAATTTTAACAAATAAAGAAGAATCAATGAAATTTTGTCCAACTCAAATTGGTACAAATACTATAACAACTATGCCATCAGATTTTGCTTGGATTGATCTGTTTAAATTAAAAGAAAATGATTATATAATAATGTGTTCAGATGGTATAACAGATAATTTATATGAATGGGAAATTAATAATTATTTAAATGAATTTATAAATGTTAAAAAAAATAATTTAAAAACTGTTGCAAATAAATTATTAATAAAAGCAAAAGAAGTTGCTTTTGATGATTATGCTTATACTCCTTATAATGAAAAAGTTAATTCAAATCCTAATAACAAAAATAATAGTCAAGGAGGTAAAGTTGATGATATGTCAATAGTTGTTGCACAAGTTATAAAAAATAAAAAAGAACAAGTAAATAATTAAACTAAGTAATATTTGGAAAATAATTGGGTTTGGGATTTTTTTTGGGTATATAATTTTTCGGGTTAAAACAAATGTAATGTAATATATATATAATAATAGATTTCAGGGAATAAGTTTCTTTTAATGAAGAATTTAAAAAGTTTTATGATTGGGTTTTAATAATTTTTTGCTAGATAACAATCACTTAATAAATAATAATAATAATAATATTAAAAATAATAAAGTACTTTACTATATCTCTATACATTTGATATTTCTATAAAATATTGTCTTAAAATTGTTGAAAGCATTTCTGGTAATTCATTTATATTTTTAACAATAACATAAAATTCAAATGGGAAACTATCAAGATATTTATCAACTTTTAAAATCATTTCTCCGGTATTTAAATCAGTTTCATATCTTACTTGTTGCATATCCATAATAGATTCTTTCAGATTAATACCATCAATAACAACAAATACCATCATAATTTTTTCATCTCTTGCTTTTCTAACCATTCTTAAAATATTTTCATGACTTTCACATACTCCATCACTTATTATAATTTGTAATTGCCATAAATCAGCTTTATTTTCAAATTTTTCATTTTCAAATATTTTTAATGATTGATTACATAAAGCTTTTATATCAGTTCTTGATTGTTGGAAATCAAACCATTGAAATATTTTAGCACCTGTTTCATTACTAAAAGGTTTATCAAATGGATGAACTATTTTAACATCTTCTCCAAATCTAACTATTGATAATCCTCCACTTTCTAATTGAGTTAAAGCTTTTGATACTAATGCAATACTATGAAAAGCTAATCTTGTTGAATTACTTTCAGTCATTGATTTTGAATCATCAACTGCAATCATTATTTGATATTGACGTTTTGAAGGTTTTGTTCTTCTTAACCAAATTTTATCCTTTTTAAAATCTGATGCAATATATGGTATAATACGTTTCATATTTAATCTTTTACCTGTTTTATAATCTCCTCGTAATTTTGTACTTAAAGTTGGCTCTAGGATTAATCTTAATTGTTCACAAAGTCCAGATGCTAATTCTTGTGTAGCTAATTCACTTTCTTTCCATAATTTTCTTGCTTCTTCAATTGGTATTGGTGGTTGATTATTATCATTAATTTCATAATTTTGCATTAGCTCTTCAATTTCTTCTTCATCATCTTCTTCAAGTTCATTATAATCAATATCCATATTTTCGGAAGAACCATTAACGATTTCATCATTATCTTCTGCTCCTTGTTGATTTGATTGAGCAGCACCTCCTGCTTCATCATCAGCAGCATTTGCTTCATTCGCATCTTCTTCATTTTCATCTTTAATTTGTTCTTCATCTTCATTACTATTTTGATTTTCTTCTCTTCTTTGATCTTCTTCTACTTCTTCATCAATTGCCATATCTTCATCAAATGATTGAATTTGATCTCTATTAGCTGAACCAAGAGCTTGTAATTCAACATTTTCTTCAGTGTGTTGAAATTCATTATTATTTCTATTTGCTGATTCTTCTTTTTCTTCTTGTGATTCTTGTGCTTCTAATATTTCTTGTCTACGACGATAAAATTCTTTCAAAGATTCTCCAATTTGTTTTAAAGATTCATTGGTTTTTGAACTTGCATTTTCTTCTTCATCTTCCATTTTATCAGCTTTTTCATTTTCATCATTATTTGCAGTATTTGAACCAATAACATCGGAATTTTCTTCATTATTAATTTCATTTTCACCACCTTCACCAGATTTTCCTACCTCTTGTTCCATTGCTGCATCTGTATCCATGTCCATTTCGTCTTGGTCATTCTCAATATCTGCTCCTCCATCTGCTCCTTTTGTGGCATTTTTATCTTCCTGTTCTTGTCCACCTTCTTCTTCCTCTGGATTTTCCTGCTTTTCGTGTTCCAATTCGTCATTTTCATCTTCTCCTTCATCACCATCTTCCACTTTAGGTTCTTCTGTGATGGAATCTGCACCATTTTCTTCATTTTCTTGACCTTCTTCTTCGTTGTGTTCTTCTTTCATATCATCATCGTCTTCTTCTCCACTCTCTTCTACATTCATTTTATTTTCTTCATCATTTAAATTATTTTCCTCTTCTTTGGTTTCCTCCTCATCAAGGTCATCTTCCTTTTGATCATCTTCATCATTTTCTTCACTTTCTTCATTCTCATCCCCATCTAAATTGATATCATCAGGAAGATCCAAAACTTCTGACTCTGGTACATTCTCCAATTTTTCACCTTCTTGATTATCAACCTCATCTTCTTGTTCTCCAACATCATTTTCTTCATTTGCATCATCATCATTTTCTTTTTCCTCAATTTCTTCATTTTCCTCATCACCATCTTCCTTATTATTTTGATTTTCTCCATCTTTCTTACTATTTTCATCATCTTCTCTTGCTTCCATTTCCTCATCATTATTTGAAGTTTCTGGCATCTTATCTGAATCTTTTTCTTTTTCTACTTTTGCTTCTTCATCCCACATTTTTTCATCAACATTGTTAGGATCCAAATCATCCAAGTCATCAATTTCTTCATCTAAATCTTCATTCTCATCCCCGTCTTGCTCTTCTTCGTTATCATCTTTATCTTGATCAGACAAATCTTCAAGTTCGCCTGCCATATCACCTTCCATTTCTATTGCGTCATCATCTTCTCCATCATTATCCTCATCTTTGTTTTGTTCGTCATTTGGTTTTTGTGCATCTTCAGTCAAATCTTCATCTTCTTCAACATCATTGGTATTGTTTTGAGCACCTTCTCCATCTCCTAAACCAGTACCATCATGTAAATTATTATCCTCTTTCTGTTCATTTGGTGGTTGTGGAGAACAAAATCCTTTAGTTGCCAATAAAAAAAGTATTGATGAAAATTTAAATGTAGCCTTGGATAAGTCATGGTAATTCTCTCTAATCTTTATAAGGATATTTGAACATAAATTATAATAAAATTCAACTAATGGTAAAGTAAATGAACTCAAAGCTGAGATCAAGTTCGATGATTCAGTTGACATTCTGGACATATCTATACATTTTTCAATTTTTAATAAAACTGAATTTATATGAGAACGTTTAATATATTGAGATAATCTTGATTGTACATTGATTAACCATCCATCATCATCCCTGTCTATTTCTGAGTTTTGGGTCTCTGTAACTTTTTGAACAGCAACAAGGATCAGCGAAGATAAGTTTCTAAATTCTTTTTCAACATCTTCAATAGAAAATTGATTGTCTGCAACTAAATTTATATTTGACTCCGCATGATTTTTTTGTAACCACTCCAAAATAATATCTGCAACAAATGCATATTTTACATTTTGAATTTTCCAATTTGTCAATGAAATAACCAAGCCATTTAAAAATTGTTTAAATCTTTCAGATTTATTTAAGTCACTAGATGTCAGTACTATCAAATTACTTTCAACTACTTCCATTGCATTCAATTCATTTCTGAGATCACTAAATATTCCTGTTTCAGAGGTTGATGCTGAAAATTGATTCAAAACCCTAAATGTAGTATTTGCATAATCCAATAACTTAATTAACCATTTTCTTATGTAATCTAAATTGCCAATTTCAACTTGTATCAAAATTTCATTCTTTTGATTCATTTGAGATAATTTTTGCAAATGTGTATAATTCTCAAACAATTGACTAAATCTATTAACAAAAACCTCAATTGGAGAACGCTTTATTACCAACAAATGAATTAAATTCTCTATAGCAGCCATACCTTTTTCAAGATCTGATATGGGTACATCATCAGAAGGTGATGCAATCGCAGCACGAAGACGAGGCAATAAATCTAATATTTTGAAAAAATCTTCATCACAACCTTCCACATACCCATCTAATGTTTTTGAATTAGCTAAAATCAAATTTACTGAACGTTGTGTAGCAACTATATCCAGACGCATACTAGTCTTTAGCCCAGAACGCCTGACTTCACGAATTGAATCACTTAGCAATTTCATTTTTTGAGTTTTCAAAGCTGCAACTAATTTTTTATTATCATCTTTTAATTGAGTTGGGGTCTCTTTACGTAATTCTTCCATATGTGACTTAACTTCATCAGCAAACTCCGAAAATTTAGGAAGTGTTTCTGAACCAATTCTATCGACATAAATCTTCAAATTTTTCTTAATCATTGATAAATTTTGTAATCTTTGAGGTCTTTCACTCCATGTATTAATTTCCTTGACTGCATCTTCTTGAATATAATCAGAGATTCCGACCAAAGGTAACTTCAAAGCATTCACAAATTTACTCGTATTATCTGATGATAATCCTGTTTCAATTATTGCTTGGACTGGAGTATTTAACAAATCCCTATATTTTCGGACAATTTTATATAAATTATTGTGAGATTTTCTCGCACTTTGTTTAAGTGCATCAATATTAACATCTTTCCAACTTGCTAATAAAAGTACTTCATTAATATCTTTTTGTAATTTGTCTTTCGTAATACGAATATTCTCATGAATAATTGGTTCAAATTGATCATAAAATTTAACAAAATTTGTTAATGCATCAACGATTTTATTCAGTTTGTCAATTTCTGAAGCATGATTTCTAAAAGCTTTTAATATCTTCAATCTACTTGAAAATTCTCCGTATGACATATTACTCATAAAAATATTTAATGCAGATAATAACTTCACAGCTTGATCTTCTTCCTCATTGTTTTCCAATATTGGAATCAATATGACTTCCAATAAATGAAACCACCAAGCACCTACTTTATTCTCAAAAGTTATTTCTTCATATTTAAACAAAGAGTTCCAAGTAGACAATTCCAATTTCCTCCAAGTTATTATTAAAGTAGTCAATTTATTATATTGAGCCTCAAGTGAAGTTTGTGATGAAGAATATTTTTGCCATTCCGCAATATATGTATAAATTTGTTCAATCTTTTGCAAGAATCTACCTAATGGTAAATTTATTGGATATGACAAAAATTCTGAAGTTGCAAATACTATATTTTTCAACGTAGCATGCTCTGGCCAAAGTTCCAGCAACTTCTTTGATGACTCATGAACATCTGAAACAATTTTTATAGCATTTTCAACTTCTTTAGGGTTACTTTCCTTATAAAAATGAAAGCTGCTCAGTGGATTTGTTAGTTTGTTGGTGATATCATGAGACAAATTAATAGTTGCAGCTAAACCTGAAGAATTAATAGTACCATCGGCTAAATCAAAAGAATTCAATACATCATATACTTCACAACCTTCTCGAGTTAGATCAATCATCTCTATTTGTTTTCTCTCATAAAAATGTTCAATATATGATCTAGCAATTTGTACATAAACATCTTCAAAGTTAGTTTTAGCACCACCGTTCATATCTAGATCCATAATCGTTTCATAATCTGGAAATAATTTTTGGAAATCTTGATCAATGTTTTCTTCCACATTTTTGTATTTGAACAAATTTCCTTCCTCGGATTTGGCTTGGTCTTCTCTCATCTTTCTAAGTGACCATCTATAATACAAATTTTTAAACGTTTGATTTAACACATCTTCATTTTCTGTAGCAAAACTAATTTTCATAAAATATTTCATAATATTTTCCACTGCTTGATCTTCAACACTTAATTTCTTAGTAAATTCTTTAGCTTTTTTAAACGCAGTATTTACACTCTCAGAATTTATCATATCGGAGGTATCAATAAACCAAGTTTTGGATAACCTACTATCATCACTTGGAATCATAGTAATATCAAGACCAAATTTCAATCCATATATGAAACCAAGAAGTATATCATTCAAATCTGAATACAAATAATAATTTTGTTCCATTCTCATTGCAAATTTTGAAAGATTTGTTTGGAATAGTTTAACTTTATTTTCTACTTCTGATTTACTTTCAATTTCATAAATTAATTTATCAATAGATCTTATAGAAGAATCCATTATAGCATTCCATTCATCGATTAAACCATCAACTGAATTTTCTGGACGATAAACCTTGGGTTTTTCTGGGACTGGAAGATCAAGTTCATTTAAGGTTGTTTCTAAAAATGTTTTTTGGTCTCCTTTTAAAACTTCCCTACTTGATTCAAATGAGTGCTTAATTTGTTTGACGTCGTGCATATAATTGGAGTGGACTTGAGCAATGACATACTCTTTAATAGCTGGATCTTTTGGATGATTTGGTAAATATAATTGTATAAGACCCGTGGAAAACAAAATCCAAGCTTTTCCTAAATTGAGTAAATTATCAGATTTGTTTGCTAATGCAATAGCTGGTTGTAAAAATTGCTCCTTAATATGAGAACTCAATTCTGGATGAGCAAGGTAAACATAATCAATCCAATCCAATAACAATTTTGCAAACCTCTCCTTTTGATCTGCTAATATAAATTTTGATTGATTAATAAGTGCTGATTTCAAAATATTTGAGTCCAATAATGATTCATTCACTCTTTCCGCTGGACTAAGTTGCAATTTGAAAGTTTTGCTTATTGTGGAGCTAAATAATAAACTCGTAAACAAAGCCCTGATTTGAGTGAAATTTTGAGACACAGTTTTAATAATACTAGGATATGGTCTGAAATTTTTGTCTTTGATAATTGATAATAAAGATCTTTCGGAATGGTTGTAAAGATGCAATAAATCATTTTTATCTTCAATAAAATCACTGACGTAGGTGAATTCTTCTTTAAATACATTTGACCTTTTACCACTATTGTTTTTCAATTCTTCTAAGTTGTTACGAACTTTCTCCAATACTAAATGCAATTCAGTTTCATCATAATTATTTTCAATGATTGATCTATAAAGTTCTTCAAACAACAAAGCAAGGGACGACACATCAGTTGTTTGTTGCTTTGAAACAAAGTCAAAATCTGCAATTAATGAATTTACTAAATTTAAATTCTCCCATCCAGCTAATGTTTGCGGATAATCCCCTCTAAAATATTCCCAAATTTCATTCATTGATAAACCAGTGAATAATTCTAACTTTTTACCAAAATAATCTATCGTTTTTAATAAATCAGTAGCTTTATTAGTCTCGCACCAACTAATAATTAACTCCTGGAACACTCGTATTTTTGATTCATTCAGCTCTTGGATAAAGACTTGAGTCATGCTAAACAACTTGAATAATTGCATGAATATTACCTTGGAAAATAATTTTGTTTCAGTAATTGTTTCAACACCAAACTTAAAGACGTCTTGAGATATCATATAAATGTCGATCCTTGGTACAGATTTAATATTTCTACCATTTGCAACAGCAGCAGACTTTTCGATATAACTCAAATCCTCAATCTTCTTATTCATTGAAGATTTTTCAATAGTATCCAATTTCCTCCCAAGGTATTTCAAGATATCAATCATTTCAAACAACATGGTTGACTCACTGGTAGAAGCAAAAGGAAACTCATCAACAATAGTTGAAATAATTGAAGTATTTAATAATGGATGTAATGCTTGAAACTCTCCAAAACCCACGTTTTCATTCACAACTTCAGCAGCAAGTAAATCTGAATTTTTGTAAACACTTTTTAATGGTAAATCAAACTTCCTTATCAATTGAAAACTTTCAAAAATTCCTTCCACGATACTTTTATTATCACTTGCAAAATCTAATGAGTTGAAAACAAAATCCTTCCAGTTAACTTGAGGTTCTGCTATTATTCCCAATGTTGAACTAGTACAAATTGACCCATTTTGAATGGAATCTTCAAGCAAACTAAAATCTCTCAAGTTTGTATTTCTTTCAAATCCATAACTAGTAGTTGTAATATGTTTCAACAGCTTTTTATCAAATCTTGATACTCTTTCATCTAAGGAATCCATGTAAACTTCAATCCCTCTATTTCTCATTGCTCTAGACAATTCCCCAAATCTAAAATCAACAGTCAAAAATAATCTAAAATTTGGATGGGGTTTTAAAACTCTTGGCTCACCATTTGGTAAAGTACATTCATTTATAATTAAAGTTCCATTAGTCTCAAGTAAAGAATTTAATCTATCCAAAACTGAAGGAGGACATAAATTAGCATTATCAAGAATTAACCAGTGACCATTTTCCACTGCTTTAACAAGAAGACCATCAAACCAATCAAACCTCAAAGAATTTGGTTGTTTAACTTTTGAAACCAATAATGTGGAAGCCTTTAAAGTACTAGGATCAACAATATCAACAATTTGTTCATGAAGTTTTTCATATGATTGCAAAGTGACAGTTGATAATAAACTAATAGCATATAAAGCTTTCTCTGTATTTCCTTTCAACAATGCAACATGTTCATTCAATATAACTTCAATTTTATGCAATAGACTATGCATTTCTCTTGATAAATCTGATTGCTCGTAACCACCTAAAATATCCATGGAGTCAACTTCACTATTCATTGAAAATTCGTCCAATTTTGCACCACATATATTTGCCATGTAGCGAATTGTACTTGTTTTACCAGAATTTGATGGACCAGTTAATATGACAGGTAAATTATTTGATATACATCTGAGTATAGTCTCCATTATTTGAAAGTTACACTGAAGTGGTAATAATTTGCCATTATCATATTGAGAAAATGCATCTCTTTTACCTAAAGCAGAACCAGCTTGAATATAAGAATTGGACAATTTAAAATAATTGTCATGCCTTGGGATTGAACCAAAAATATTGGAAAATAAAGTTAATGCTCTTTCACGATCTTCATTATTTCTAAATCTTTGACAAATAATCATATTTAAAAAATCAGATAATTGAATATCAGATTTCAAATTTTTTGAAGTGTATAAACTCAACCATCTCAATGAATCACGTAAATTGAATTCCCAAGGACTTCCTTGATGTCCCCATAACTTCTTCTTTACGACTTGATCTTCAATTTCAGAAATAAACTTAATCAATTTTGTGGAATCAGTTGAATTAACAGAAGGATAAAGATTAGATAATATAAATTCGAGATCGGCTGATTTTAATGTATCAACGTAAACAACACTAAAACGATTGACAAATGATTTTGGTAAACCTTTTCTTCCTCCACCTTGATATTGAGGATTTTGAGCTGCAAAAATTCTAAAATCTTTATGCTTTTGAAATGTTTTATCTAATTCAGGAATATATGCTTCACCTCTATGATCTAAACATGCATTTAAACCTTCTAAAACTGATTGTGATGCCAAGTTCATTTCATCTAATAAAACCCATTCACCTCTTTGCATCGCTCTTAAAAATGGAGCATCTCTCCATGCGAATTCACCAGCTTTTCCATTCTCAGCAGGAGCATCTGATCCAAATAAATCCACTAAATCAGTCTGTTCTGATAAATTTATACGAATTAAAGTATTTCCAGTACCTGAAGCTAATGCAGTTATCAAACTTGTTTTACCAACACCAGGACTACCTTCTAATAAAATTGGTTTATTCACTTGCATTGCCCTTACCACTTTCATAGCATTTTCTGCGGTAGTAGGTGCATTTAAACTAAACGAGTGTTGAGTTTCAACCATATTTTTAATAGGAATTGAAAAATGGCCAGCCCTTAAATAATCATCGCTAAATTGGATTTCAAAATTTGAGACTTTAGTATCAACATCCAAGAATTTAATACATTTAGATTTATTCATCTCGAGGTTTTCAATATTTTCAGCTAAATATGCAGTATTATTAGTTCCTAAGGCATCAATGAAAACCATTAAAGCACCATGTAATAAAGCAACATTTGGTTCTAAATAATCACAAGAGTTGATAAATTCAACCCAAGCCAATATATCTCTAAGTGATATAACACCATTACTTGTACTTCCACCTCCAAATTCCATAGCATACCATTTTGCAAATTTAACAATAGGACCTGCGAGCTGCGATTGTTTAAGTCTTGACTCTACAATTTGATAAACATCTTCGAAATTTTCCATTGATGGTACCCAAATTTCAGTAAATCTGTTTCTTAATGCAGGTGATAATTCTTTTTTACCATAATCTCCACCAGGGTTCATTGTTGCAAAAAATTCGAATCCATCTGACGCTATTATAAAGGCATCATCACTACCTTTTTCAGCAAGTAATAAACTTCTTTCTGGTTCAAGTACAGAATTTAACCTTTCTAAAACAGAATCGTCAGCTAATGATATTTCATCTAATAAGAAAAAACTTCCGGTTTTCATTGCAGTAACTAAAGGTCCATCCAACCATTCAAATAGTACAGAATTGTTTTTAATCAATTCATCGATTTCTTCTGATTTTGTTTCACTTATTTTGTACTGACTAATAAGTTCATCAAGCGTTAATAATTTATCATTTATATTCAAATAAGTTAAAAGTTTTGATTCCAATTCCTTTTTGATGTTAAATTTATTTCTCATGGGTCTTTGACTTCCTAACAAATCTCCAGTCTCGGTGTTTTGATGGGCATTTACTGAAATCAATTGCTTGGAATAAAAATCAGCTATAACTTGACAAACAGTTGTTTTACCACAACCTGTTTCACCAACTAATAATAACGGTTCTTTATTTTTGATTGAAGATAAAACTAATATTGCTAAACGACGCATTGCTTTAGTCCAGACCACTGATGTGTCGCTTTCAATTAAAGCATCCAAATCGTAATTTTCACAATATGATTCCATGTCTAATTTTACCTTCATTACTTTCTCAATAGTCTCTTTGACAGCTATTTTTTCATCATCTTTTCTGACTCTTTCAGCTAATAACATATAACCATTTATAGCTAATTCTTCATAACCAACTGCCTCTCTAGTTGCCCATCTAAATAAATCTCTTAAAGTAGCAAATGAATTTTTCTGTTCAAATAATCTTGTTGATTGTCTTTGTACGGTCAATTGTTTATAAACATCAACTATTTTTTTCGCGTAGCTTGGAGCAATTTGACACCTTTGTCTTAAAATAATTTCTAATTCATCTTGTGGAATATCATCAAAATGGAGCTCCAAAAATCTATTACGGAAAGCTCTGGATAATACTTTTCTACCACCATATAATCCAGGTGGGTTTTGAGTTGCAAATAACATAAAATCAGGATGTGGTTTAACAATTTCTTGAGTTTCAGGAATAAATAATTCTCTATTATCATCTAATAAACGATTTAAGGCTTCTAAAACATCAGTTGGAGCAAGATTCAATTCATCCAAAACAATCCAATACCCCTTTTTCAAAGCTTCCACTAAAATCCCTTCTTGAAATATTAATTTTCCCGATGAATCACTAACGTAAGTTCCTAAATACTCCTGTAAATCTGTATGTTCATGATTATTGATACGAACAAATTTATGCCCGGTTATATTAGCCAAATAATTGATCATCGAAGTTTTACCAGCAGAAGTTGGACCTTGAATTAAAACAGGAAATCTACGGCCAGCTGTAGCTCTCACCAAATTCAAAAGGTTTTTCTCAACAAAAGGAGTGATAATATAATTGGGTTGTGGTATAATCTCGTTAGGTCCATGTTTCAACCAGTAATGCTTGAATTGAACCAGACCCAGGTTTGGTGCTTGTGGCATCTGACTCATTATGGATTTCATATTTTTCAATTTCCCAATAGTATATTTGATAATCTCAGGTTTTAGTATCTCCTCTGATTTAATATCTAGTAAAGTTAAAAAAGTCATTGAAAATCCTTCAAATAATGATCTTCTCAAACCATAAATTGGTATAATATCACATACATAAATTAAAGTTCTTGTTAATGTACGAATACTGAAATGAGGTCTTTGATTTGCACCATCTACAATTTTATTCAGTTCTGATAAAGCTTTTGCTTTTAAATAAAGTTCAGCTATGTCATTAACCACCCATTCATCTCCAATCGCAAATCTTCCAATATATTTGTTAATAATTTTTAATAAATCTTGTAAATCTTTATCAGGTGAATGCACATAAATTTCTGTAAATCTTGATCTAATACTTACTGGTAAATCTCTTTTACCAACATCAGTGGAAGGATTCATACAACCAAATATTCTAAATTCTGGATGAGCTTTTAAAGGTTCTGTATCACCTCTTTCGGATAATAAAATTGATCTTTGATCAATTGACTCATTAAGTAAATCTGCAATATTTTCCAAAGTATCTGAACTTGCTAAATTAATTTCATCAAGTAAAAGCCAATCACCATTTTTTATTGCCTTTACCAAAGACCCTTCCACAAAATCAAACACAAATGAATGTTCTGCGGTTATTTTGATTTCAAAATCTTCTAAGATTTTCTGAAATTCATCCCATTTTTGAAGTAGAAAACTTTTGTCAGTCTTTCTTTTTTTTCTTGGTTCATCATTTTCTGGTTGTTTAGAAAGTACATCAATGGCCAGTTTATAAGCTTCTTTCCATAATCTTGCAACATTTTTCCATTGATTGTTGTTAAAACATTTGGATAAAATTTTATTAAATCTTTCATTTTTCTTTTCTGAAAAAGTTGCCAAAAATAATTTTTCAAAAACATCTTGAACATTTATAGCAAGTGTTTTAGAATTGATCGGTTTGTAACCTCCTAATAAATCACCAGCTTCTGTTTGTTGAGATACATTGATAACAGTAAGAGTTTTGTGTAAAATTTTTGCAATTTGTTGAACGATTGTAGTCTTACCTGTACCTGTTTCACCAACAAGCAATAAAGGCTCTGCCATTCTAGTACCAACACCAATTTGTTCCATTAAATGAAGAGCATGGTTAGTTCTAGCAAATGCAGTGGTTTCAGATCTTTTGTGATCGGATGACTTCTTTAAAACAGCACGACCAACTTTTAAAAATTCAATATCATTTTGAAATACTGGTGCATGTTTTGATAAAAATAAATTAATTCTTGATGATGGAATTTCTAATTTTTCACCTATAAATTTAGCTAATATTTCCAAAGCATGAGGTTCAACAATTGCACTTCCAAAACATGAAACTGCCTCTGCAAAAATATCATCATAAATTGTAACATCAAATTCTGGTTTTTGTTCTTCCAATAAAACTTCACATCTTGAACAAAATTTTATTAAATCTTTTGTAGATATAATTCTAGGAAGACTTCCTTTATTTAATGAAATAAATGCTTTTAAATCGTAAAATCGTAAAACTTCATAATAACATTTCAATATAGAATCCAAAAAATTTTTCAATTTTGGAAATTTAATTTGTAGAATATATTTTAATTCTTCCTCTGTTGGAGGTTGTAATTCAATTGTTTCCCAAAATCTTGATCCAATCATATCAGGTACTCCCGATTTTTTGTCAGTTCTTACAGTTGAAAATAATTGAAATCCATTTTTAGCTTCAATAACTTCACCTCTTGATGGAATAGAAAGTGTTCTTTTCTCCAATAATGTCAATATAATTGATAGTATTTCTGTTGGTGCTTTATCAATATCTTCAATTAAAACCCATTTTCCTTCTTTAACTGCAGATGTTAATACACCGGTATTCCACTGAAATGTTCCTGGTTTTTCACCAGAAGTGTAAGTACCAAGTAATAATTTTGCATCTGTTTGTTCTCCTAAATGAATTTTAACAATTGAATCTGAATACGATAAATCATCTGCAAGTTTATTTACAAGAAAAGTTTTACCAGATCCCGCATTTCCTACTAGCATTACTGGTTTATTTAATTGAATGTTTTGAGCCAATTGTTTTAGACTTTTTATTGAATTACCTGTTGGTACAAATTTGATTTGTTGAGTAGAATTGACATTATGTAATTTGGGTATTAATATTCCACAAACTGGTGCTAATAAAGTTGTAGAAATATCTGAATATGGTATTTTTAAAATATTTTTGGAGTCATGAGAATCTAAAGTTGGTAAAGTTTTAATATTTGAAATTCTTTTGGCTTCTGCTAATGGTAAAAAATAATGATTTAATGATGAGTTTTTAGAATAAATTTCTTCTCCAATATCATATTTTTTAAACATATTATTTCTAACTTGTTCTGATGCCAGTATATACATTGTAATAATTTGAATAGCAAAATATTTTGAAACTTTCAGTTCTTCATTTTCCAATATATTATATATTATATTTGGTTTAATATATTGTTTAAATCTTTTAGTATCAAATTGTAATAAACGATAGTATGATAATAAAATTGAATCTAATTCATAAATATCAATATTTTTTGAGTATTCAAATTCAAAATTTTGTAAAAATAATTCAAATAAATTTAAATATTCATATGATATATTTAATAATTGTGATAATGATGATAATATTTTACAACCAGTTATAAAAGTTGAAGATTGTTCAAATAAATTAGGTGATTGAATCCATCTTGAAATTAATTCTAAAAAAATTGGTTTATAACAATAATAAGATAGTATAGGATTATGTAATGCAAATAATGATAAATGATTTAAATTTTCATTTATTGATATATTGTTGTTAAATTTATAAAATTTGTCTCTAAACGTTATAGGATAAGAAATTTGAAAACATTTAAAAGCTTCTTCTACTTGATCTAAATTTAGTTCTATATAATCATTTTGTTTCATGATAATATTTATATATAAATGTAATTATATGGTTCTAATATAATATAACACCAATATAATGTTGTCGTTGTTGTTGTTGTTGCTAATATATTCTCTTTAATAAAAGTTTGGTTGTAAAATAAAATTATAGTAACAGTAATAATAAATAATAATAAATAAAGTATGGAAGATGTATTTCTGTAAAGAGATGAGAGTAAAAAAAATATAATACTAATGAAATAACACAAAATTGAACTAAAATCTGAAACATATTATTCCAATTAGAACATACAGATCTCTGTATATACTTTACTTCACTTCACTTGCTCTACTTTAGTTGTTGATTGACTCTGGTTATTTTCAAATTTTTAATTAATTTGATCAATTTTTTTATCATCGAGTGTTATAAACACAGTAGTAAAAGGAATCACAAATTAATGCTTGTAGTTAATTGTTCAGTCAAAATTTTCTAGATTTTTATGACTTGAAGCAATCTATTTAAATAAGAAATTGGAGTTTGACTATTAATTTCTACTTGAGCTTGAACCTACCAAATTTTCAAAATTTATCTATTGATTTGTTCTAAATATTGACGATGAAGATGGAGTATTCAAGACAAATAATTTTTATAACACAAAATCGAAAACTTGTGCGGCTTTTAAACCCGTCTCCATAGAAAGTTTAATATTTAATTCTATATTTTAAGATTATTAATAATCAAAATATTCTTATCGATTAAAAATATGAAATTATTATTTTACAACTTATTTTACATGTAACAATGAGTAGAAGTACTACTTATTCAATATATTACAAACCAAAGAGTCTTAGAATAGAATTGATTCAAAATGAAGATTCAACTTTTCAATTGAGTGAATCAAATTCTGAAAAATCAGAAAAGGATATAATAATAAATTCAATACCAAATTTTTTACAAAATAAAGTATATATTATAGATTCAATCAATTCAGGTTCAGGAAGATTAAAGAAAAACATATATACGGAAATAATAGATCCATTGTTTTCATTATTAGATATTAATCATGAATATTTTAAAACAACATCACCAAATTCAATTACTGATTTTGCATCAAATTTTAAAGATGAAAATTCAACTATCATATTTTTAAGTGGAGATACTTCAATTAATGAATTTGTAAATGGATTATCCACCAAAAATAAAATTAATATTTATCCTATACCTTGTGGAACTGGTAATAGTTTAGCATTATCATTAGGTTTAACAAATCAATTACAAGCTGTGGCTCATTTAATATCATCAACTAAAAATTCACCATTATATACTTATGAAATTGAATTACCTTCAAATTCTTATTATTTAATACAAAATGAACCAAAATCAAAAATTAATAAACCTTTAAAATTTATTGTTGTATTTTCATGGGCATTTCATGCAAGTTTAGTTGCAGATAGTGATACACCAGCATTAAGAAAATTTGGTATTGAAAGATTTCAAATTGCTGCTAAAAAAAATTTAGAAAGTAAACAAGAATATGAAGGTGATTTAAAAATAAATAATGAAATAATAAAAGGACCATTTGCTTATTTTGTTATTACATCAGCTCAAAAATTTGAACCAACTTTTGAAATATCACCAAAGGGAAAAATATTAGATAATGATTTATATTTAATTGCTTTTAAATCAGGATTAGATATAATGGAGATTATGATGCAAGTTTATGATAAAGGTAATCATATAAATAATTCAAATGTAATTTATAAAAAAATAGAAAAAAATGATAAAATAGAATTAGATATTAGAAATTCAAAAGAATTAAATCAAAGAAGATTTTGTATAGATGGAAGTATAATAGCTTTACCAGAGACAGAAAATCATAAAATTACAATAAAAATTAAAGATGATAGTGATTTAAATTTATATATAATACAATAGATGAAAAATTATACAATTTGTTTTATAGAATATTTTAATTTCTATATCCATTTTTTGTAGTTTGAGGTGGTAAATAACCAGTTGAATTTATTTGAGGTTGATTTTGTTTTTGAGCGAAATTTTGATATATATTTAAATATTGGTGTTGTGGTTGTTGTTGTGAAAATTGTGGTTTTTGAGGTAGTGATTGTCCATTAAAATTATTATTATTATTATTATTATTATTTGAATCTTTTATCATTTGTAATTGAGACCTATAACCTCCTCTTCTCATACCATAAGTCTTATATATTTCTTTTCCAACTGGTCCATTATTAATATAATCATTTGCTTGAAAATTATTTGAAAAATGACCAGCACCCCTTATATCACCATTTGTTAATCTATATATTACTTCATTTTTATCAGCACCAGTCAATGCTGGTAATGGCATAATAAAGCCATTTAATAGCATTGACTTACCTTTTTTCTTCTCTGGAAAATGATATTCTATTTGTAAATATTCTCTTTGATCAACATTCGGCATTTTACCTTCTTTTAATGGGAACTTGAAGAATCCTTCTGGTTTAAAATCTTGAAATTTGATTGCAATACCAGCTAAACCAGTTCTTGCAAATTTGAAATCAAAAGTTTCTAATTTATCTTCATAAAATGCTTCATAAAATTTTTTATAATTTTTATTTTGATTTGATATAAATAATTCTGCTTCTCTATTTGTATTTCTTTTTCTTTCATAATCTGTTAATTCTTGATATTTACCTTGTACTGCTTCTAATAATCTTTTTTCATCAATAAATGGTAATAAAGGTATACCTTGCCAACTCATTTTTTTCCCATTCATATCAATTTCAAATTCTTCTGGATAAAATTCTATAATTTCACTATCTGGATTTTTCATTAAATCATGAAATACTTCTGGGAGTGCATGACTTGATGCTGCTGGTAATACTGACATTAATTGTTCATATGGTTTAAATGGTTTTCCTAATTTAAATTTCACACCTTCTGGAAATAATTCTTGTAAATTAGTCATATCTGCAGCAAATGGTGCATAATGATAAGGATAAAACCAAGTCCATGAAGGACATGCTTGATAATAATATAATGCTACCCATGATATACCTTCAATATAACTTTTGACAACTTCTCTTCTTGTTCGTTCAACTTCTTCATCAGTTTTACAATGAAATTTTTGTTCATAATATCTCTTTTGATAACCAGGTTCATGTAATCGTATATTATCACCTTCTTCTTCAGCTTCTTCAAATGTACGTTTTCTTGGTGAATCTTCAACATCTGTATTACTAGCAGTGCTGGTTTCTGGAGTTTCTTCTTTGAGTTGTTTTTTGGAATCTATAAGTTTTTTGAGGGCGGCAGCAGCATCATTGTTGGCCATCCCAGCTAAAGTGATTGTATCTCTGTTATTAACAATATCTTTATTACTTAATTCGGCATACCCTTCAACAGCTTTACCACTAGTATCCATTAATGGCATGTTCATATCAGCTATTACCGGAGCTTTATCTTTACCTTTTGATACTTGTGATAAATAAACATTTTTCAATGCTTTATCTTGTTCTTCTGCCAATTTTCTTTTCTTTTTATTTTCTTCTCTTCTTTTATCAACTGCATGTCTATTTTTAAAAATTTCATCTTCTCTAATTGCTAAATCTTTTAATAATATTTCAACACTTTCTAAATTTAATTTACCATCACATGTAACATAATCTCTTAATCTTGTTACACATTTTTTCCAACAATTCACCAATGTATCTATACCATTATCTCTAACATCTAAACTTGGTAAATGAGGTAAAAAATCATTACCTGCAAAAAAACATATAAAAACCCAATCATCAATAGCTCTTTCTAAATCAAATGGAAAAGATGTATTTGGATTATATAATTCAATTGCTAAATATTCTCTTAGTACATTAACATGTAACCATAAAAATGGTTTTTTCTTATCTCTTGCTTCTATTATATTTTCTTGATCTTTTGACATTCCAACATGATCAGAAATTGTCATATGTCTTTCTTGATTTGCAAATACATCTTCTCTTAATACTCTAAAATGAGGTTCATGAGTTGCTAAACCTAAAAAGATTAAATCTGCATCTAAACCATATATACAATGTTTAGTATTTGGATTATATTGTGGATCAGCTCTTTGAGATCTTATAAATGCCATTAATTTATGTTCACCTTCTCCTGGTACAGTTGCATCAGATATTATGACTTGTAAATTAGCCCAACCAGGATCATTACTTAATTTATAAGCAACCCAATATCTTAATGCTTCTGCTAATCTATCCATAAATGGAGTACCTGGGGTTATAGCATTTGAATCCCATTGTTTTTTTTTAATTGAATCATTTATAATTTCTCCTCGAAGTTCTTTTTGCTTAATTTCTTTTTCAATAGCTAATTGTTTAAATTTTGCATCTTGAGCTGATCTAAATCTTCTTGCTCTTTGTTGATTCATTTTAGCTCTTGGTGCAACTCCATCAACTGCAATCATTAAAACTTTTCTTGGTCTTGCCATCATTAAAACTCTATCAGTATAAGTAAAAATATCTAAAAACATTTCATCTTCAGTTTCAGGTGGTCTTTTATGTTCAGGATGAGAACATGGATGTACAATACCATTCATATCTAAATATAAATTATCAATTTCACCATTTGGATTTGAATCTTCATATTTTGAACCACCAAAATCATATTGATCTTCTTCTATAACAGGAGATATAATCTTAGGATATTTTCGAGATAACCATCTAAATAAAGCTGGAACTCCCATTAAATTTTTTAAAAAGTTGGTTGTAAAAAAAAAATTGGTTGTAAAAAATTAATACTAAATAGAATTATTCTACTTATTATTTTTTTTTTGTATTCTTTTAAAATAAGTAAAGTCCGATTAATATTTTATTTTGATGAGATAAAAAAAAAAAAAAAGAATTATCTAAGAGTTTAATAGAGAAATAAAATGTAAAGGTTCTATTAAGTAAATTATTTTAATATGGTGGATCAGATACATAATATATTCAATCAAATATTAATTAGTTTAGTTATTACTATTTACAAGTTTTGCCGAATTCAGAAATCTTAATTGATATCCTTACCTTGAAACATATAAGCACCAGTTATAGTAGCTAATTCATCTTTTGTTAACCCAGTATCTTTTGAATCTAAAAATTCTTTTAATTTTGATCCATGATCTCTAACTTCTTTATCAGCTAATAATTTCATCATTTGAGTAATTGAAGGTTTACCACCATTTGATAATAAACCCTTTTTATCTAATATTTTTTTAAATTCAATAGTTAACTCCATTAATTCTGGATTTTCCAGTAATACTTTTTTAATTTTATTGAAAGCAGCATCTTGTTCTTCTTTTGATGGTAATTTTTTATCAAAAAATAAATTAGGTGATGTATTTGTAAATTGTCTATTTGATTGAATAATTGAAAAAGTTGTTCTTGTTCTTATAATAGATCTTCTTAATAACATTTTATTGGAAATCATTATTAAATATTAAATAATATAAAGTTTAATTAAGTGTTATTAGTATTAATAAGTATTTAATTAAATATTCATAACTAATTAACTAATTAATTTAATATCTAGATACTCGTATTTAATTAATTATCTATCTAGATACTACAATAAAAATGGGGTTTATGTCGTTTCGAGGAATTCTTTTTTTGTCGCTGTAGTATTTATATAATTGTCGCTGTAGATTACGACATTATTAACAAATTTTGTTTTGTTAAGTAAGAATGTATCACTAGTAAGCAAATAATTGAGTTATACACTACTAGTACTACTTAAATAATGTAACTATTTATATGTATTTTATTAATTGTCTCTCTTAATAATTAACTGAATTATTTGAAAATTTAATCAACAGGCGAAAACAACAAAAAAAAAAAAAATTAAGTTGAAATTTAAAAGACACGAAAATTTCAATTTACTTTCAACAACAACATAATTTATTCAATACATCCAATATATATAATTAAATCATGTCAAACGAAGGTCAAGAAGAATTATTAGATTATTCTGATTCAGAAGAAATTGCTGTACCAACTACAAATCAAAATATTGATGATAATAATAATTCAAATGATACTGATAAAAAAGGTTCTTATGTTGGTATTCATGCTACTGGTTTTAGAGATTTTTTATTAAAACCTGAATTATTAAGAGCTATTGGTGATTGTGGGTTTGAACATCCTTCTGAAGTTCAACAAGTTTGTATTCCTCAATCTATTTTAGGTACTGATGTTTTATGTCAAGCAAAATCTGGTTTAGGTAAAACTGCTGTATTTGTTTTATCAACTTTACAACAATTAGATCCTATACCTGGTGAAATTTCTACTTTAGTTATATGTCATACAAGAGAATTAGCTTATCAAATTAGAAATGAATATGCAAGATTTTCAAAATATATGCCAGATGTTAAAACTGAAGTATTTTATGGTGGTACTCCAATTAAAAGAGATATTGAAAAATTAAAAAATAAAGATACTTGTCCTCATATTGTTGTTGCTACACCTGGTAGATTACATGCTTTAGTTCAAGAAAAATCTATTAGATTAAATAATGTTAAATCATTTGTTATTGATGAATGTGATAAAGTTTTAGAATCAATTGATATGAGAAGAGATGTTCAAGATATTTTTAGAGCTACTCCTCATCAAAAACAAGTTATGATGTTTTCAGCTACTTTATCACAAGATATTAGACCAGTTTGTAAAAAATTTATGCAAAATCCTTTAGAAATTTATGTTGATGATGAAGCAAAATTAACTTTACATGGTTTACAACAATATTATATTAAATTAGATGAAAAAGAAAAAAATAGAAAATTATCTGATTTATTAGATTCATTAGAATTTAATCAAGTTATCATATTTGTTAAATCAACTCAAAGAGCAAATGAATTAAATAAATTATTATGTGCTTGTAATTTCCCATCAATTGCTGTTCATTCAGGTTTACCACAAGAAGAAAGAATTGAAAGATATAGATCATTTAAAGAATTTAATAAAAGAATTTGTGTATCAACTGATGTATTTGGTAGAGGTATTGATATTGAAAGAATTAATTTAGCAATAAATTATGATTTACCAAATGAAGCTGATCAATATTTACATAGAGTTGGTAGAGCTGGTAGATTTGGTACAAAAGGTTTAGGTATATCATTTGTTTCAACAAAAGAAGATGAAGAAGTTTTAGAAAAAATTCAAAGTAGATTTGATGTTAAAATTACTGAATTTCCAGAAGAAGGTGTTGATCCATCAACTTATATGAATACTTAAAACAACAACATCCTCAAAAAGAAAAATAGTATTTATATATATATAGTGTATTATTAGTACAACAAAAACAAGAATTAAAAAAGAAGAACAAAAAAGTTTTTATTATCATTATTCATTATCATTATTCATTATTCATTACCTCTACCCTATTGATCTACATGTATAATCTATTAATTTATATATCTCTTCTAAATCTTTTTTAGGTATTAAAAACCATTCAATATGAACATTATAATTTGTCTTTAAAGGTGAAGTTTTTTCAGTATGTAATTTATCATCTTGTAAACATCCACTACAATAAACATCACCTTTACCATATTTCTGTCTTAATTTTTGATGAATTGTTGATTCAATTAATTTTAAATTTTCTTCACAATAAAATCCATCATTTTTAAAACGATTATAACTTGGATTATCTTTTTCATTTATATTTAAACATAATAACTTCTCTATTAGACTTTTATTTTCAATTAAATATGAATTTTTTGGATTTAAGTTTACTAATTCATGACCACATTTTAATTCCCATTGTTTTATTCTAATATTTGGTAATTGAGTTGTCATACCAATTTTAATTAAAATATATGGTGATTTTTTACTTTTAAAATTTATCCATTTATCTTTATTTCTTTTAGTTGTATTGGGAATATTTTTAACTTTGAAAGACCAATTTAAAGGTGGATTTATAAAATTTTTCATTGTATATATATAAATATAACCATTATTTGGTTTATTTGAATTAAAATGTCCTGGTATATACAGTTTAAATTGTTGTTTATGATATATACAATAACCTGATGGAGTATTTACAGTTTTTTTACATCTAAATCCCTTTTGTGTTGTACCTTGACATTGATAAACATTATTTGCCATTGAGTTTCATATGTACAATTAAATTCATTTATTTTAATGGTTGAGCAAGATCTTTTATATCTTGTAAGTTAAAAAAAGTTAAAAAACGCAATTTTCTATGTTTACATTTTTCACTTTTTTGATCTGCTAGAATTTAAATATTTTTTAACAACTCCGAATATTTTATAATTTACGAATCTCTGTACTAATAGACATCCGAACTGCAATATGAATAAAGTTAAATTTTATTGATCAACAAGGAATCTCAAATATCAATCAAGAGAACAATATTTAGTTTCCACTTAATTGGATTACATTATCGCAGTCTTTAATGTGTTGAAGTGAATGAAATTATATGAACAAGTAAAGATTCTAAAATTCTAAGTACATCATGTTCTTTTGTTACTTGATATCTGTGTTGATTATTTGAACAATAAAGTTGAGACAATCATTAATTCTTTAATTTACTATATTATGTTAAATTTAATCTTAATTAGGTGCAAAATTTTGAAGAAAATTCAAATGATCATTGAAGTTTTCACAATCATATTTTAAAGACTCAGAATTAGACATAATTTCACAAAACAACCTTTTTAATCACTTAATACATCAATCGGGAAACAAGTACTTTTAATTCGATATATACAAACATATTAACAAATTAAATTCTGAAACTCAAAAAAACACCAAAAAATTCCCAAACTCAAAAAAAAAATTAAAAATTGAAAAAACAAAAAAAAGCCACAGTGCTGCAGATAAAAAAAATCATTAGTTTTTAGTGTAATAAAATTTGATTAATTTAATGATTCGATTTTGCAATAATATTTTTCATATTTAATTCAAGTTAATTATCCTATTTTTTTAAATTTTTTAGAGTTCCATATACGTTCATTCACAACTTCATAGCTAACATAATATATTCAATTCAATTCAACAATGCCATCACATTACGATACTTTACAATTACACGCTGGTCATGAACAAGCTTCACATAATCCATGTTCTTATCCTGTGTATTTATCAACTTCAAGAGTTTTTGAATCATCTGAAGTTGGTAAAGAATTGTTTGGATTAGAAAAAGAAGGATTTATATATAGTAGACTTAATAATCCATCGGTTGGTGTATTTGAAAATAGATTACTTGAATTAGAAGGTGGTGGTGTTGGTGCTTTAGCTACATCATCTGGTCAAGCAGCTCAATTATTAGCAATTGGAGGTTTAGCTCATGCTGGTGATAATATTATTAGTACTTCATATTTATATGGTGGTACTTATAATCAATTTAAAGTTGCTTTTAAAAGATTTGGAATTGAAACAAGATTTGTTAATGGTAATAATGTAGAAGATTTTAAAAGATTAATTGATGATAAAACTAAAGCTTTTTATTTAGAAAGTATTGGTAATCCAGCATTTAATGTCCCAGATTTTGAAAAAATTACTAAATTAGCTCATGATAATGGTATTCCAGTTGTTGTTGATAATACTTTTGGTGCTGGTGGATTTTTAATTAATCCAATTGCTCATGGTGCTGATATTGTAACTCATTCTGCTACTAAATGGATTGGTGGTCATGGTACAACAATTGCTGGTGCAGTTGTTGATTCTGGAAATTTTCCATGGGCTGATTATCCAGAAAAATTTCCACAATTTTCAAAGCCTTCAGAAGGTTATCATGGATTGGTTTTAAATGAAGCATTAGGAAAAGCTGCTTATATTGCACATTTAAGAATTGAATTATTAAGAGATTTAGGTCCTGCATTAAATCCATTTGCTTCATTTTTATTATTACAAGGTTTAGAAACTTTAAGTTTAAGAATTGAAAGACAAAGTGATAATGCATTAAAATTAGCTCAATGGTTAGAAAAAAATCCAAATGTAAAATCTGTATCTTATTTAGGTTTACCATCTCATGAATCTCATGAATTAGCTAAAAAATATTTAAATCATGATGCTAAATTTTTTGGTAGTGTTTTAGCTATTGAAGTTAAAGATTTGGAAGAAACTCCAGAAAATCCATTTGATGAACCTTCTCCAAGAGTTGTTGATAATTTAAAAATTGCTTTGAATTTAGCTAACGTTGGTGATTCCAAAACTTTAGTTATTGCTCCTTATTATACAACTCATCAACAATTAAGTGAAGAAGAAAAGAAAACTGCTGGTGTTACGAAAGGATTAATTAGAATATCAGTTGGTACTGAATTTATAGATGATATTATTGAAGATTTCGATCAAGCTTTTAAAAAAGTTTATAATTAATTGCGTTTTTATAGGAAGAACTTAATTTTATGATTTATTGAATATGCAAACTATAAAGATCTGTAAAGTGTATCGATATTTGGACTAATCTTCAGAATTGAACGCTTCTATACCGAGACTTGAAATCGATGAGCAGGTTTCATCAGGAATGAAATCAAATTTTTAGTTCCTGAATAGCAATGTAACACATCGTTTCGACCTGTTGACCTGTTGAAGCTTCAATAACCACGTAGACTTTGTATCTATCCTCGTCTATATAATAAGGTCTTGCCCACGAACTGCTAACCCTTGAGCACGAGCTGTTAATAAGTTTAGTTAAAACGTTTCTAATGATATTTCAGTCAATTTACCAAAACCTGAACCATGATCTCCAGCTTTTATGATTTTTCTCAACTAATTCAGAATTTTTTAATTCAATTAAATTTTTAATTTCGTCTTCTAGAATATTAGATTTTGCAATCAACTTCTTTTCTTTCTCTCTGTATTCTAGTTTTGACCATATTATATGTAACCCTAAATAAGTACCTAGAGATATAATTAATGTATTGAAAATTGCATATTTGAATTGTGATAGTTTTGGTTTCTGCTGTAAATTTGAAGTCGTTGGTTCATCTATTATTATAGAGTAAAATCTGTTTGATTTTATTAGTCTGCTTGCATGTGTATGTAAGATGGTAGATCGGAGCGACCTTGAGTTTCTAATCATATTCTTTGGTCCTGTTTTGATTGAATTTTTCAAGTTGACTTTTCATATTTTTCAGTTACAAAGAAAAAAAACAGTTGATATTTTTTTACTCACTGATCTAATAATCAATAACCCAAAATGATTGGAATAAGGAGACTATGTACTAATGCTCCCATAATTAGTATGCGAATAGCATTACTGTCATCAAATACAACAATATCACACTGCTTAAAGCAAAATAAAACACTTTCTAAATCCTTCACACCACTCATTACATTTCAACATAATTTTCATAATACTTCAATATTCAAACAACAAAATGAACATACAGATAAGTTACAAGCAGAAAGAGATAGATTAAACAAATTGATAAAAGAAAGGGAAGAACGTCAAAAATATAGAAATAGAACAGCAACATATTATTCAGCATCAATAGCAGTATTATTTTTAGCATTAGCATTTTCTGCAGTTCCAATATATAGAGCAATTTGTCAAAGAACAGGTTGGGGTGGTATACCAATTACTGATTCAACAAAATTCACACCTGATAAATTAATTCCAGTTGATACAAACAAAAGAATTCGTGTTCAATTTACTTGTCAATCATCAGGTATATTACCATGGAAATTTACTCCTTTACAAAGAGAAGTTTATATTGTACCAGGAGAAACAGCTTTGGCATTTTATAGAGCTAAAAATTTAAGTAATGAAGATATAATTGGTATGGCAACTTATTCAATAACTCCAGAAAATGCTGCTGCTTATTTCAATAAAATTCAATGTTTTTGTTTTGAAGAACAAAGATTAAGTGCTGGTGAAGAAGTTGATATGCCTGTTTTCTTTTTCATTGATCCTGATTTTGCAAAAGATCCTGGAATGAGAAGTATTGATGATATTGTTTTACATTATTCATTTTTTAAAGCTGCTTATTCTGATGGTGAATTAGCTGCTGTACCAGTAGTTGGTAAAGTTGAAATGAAAGCTGAATTAGTTTAATGGTTTGAAAATTATGGGACCAATGATGTGAAATTTGGATGATAGATTTATGTGATAATAATGAAGATATATGTAAACTTGTAAATAGACTGTTTTTAATAAACTAACGAAAGATAGTGTTTAAATAAAAGTGTGGAATTCAATACTTAGTTTATAGTCTCGGAGTTTCACAGTGGTCTTCAGTTTGCACTTACGACAAGTACCTAGAGTTGAAAAATCTTTAGTCGAAATAGTCCAATTACATTTCATCCGACTCAAATCCAAAAATAAACTCGGAAAAATGAATAAAAATTGTGTCAAATTGGAAATCTTGAATACTAAAAACATACTTATAATTTATTCCGACTACAAGAAAAGACTGGAAACAAAGAAATTGCACTAATTTGAGTTGGAATGTTGGGAGTTTGTATAAAATTAGACTAAAAAATTCCTAGAGGAACTGTCCTGTAATGAATTATCCAATAAGTTGCAATTTATATCGTAGACGAACTACAATGGAACAAACCGGTACTTTCCATATCACTTTATCACTTTGAACTATAAATAGCTTGCTAATTTAAAACGTAATTACGAGAAACAGACGGTCAATGGTTTAAAGCTATTATGTGTAATCTTCTATACATGTTGCATTTGAAATAGCATTTCTTTAAACACTGTTTTGCAACTGATTAAATCGGTTTGGGCTAATTTGAGCTTAAATTCTAATTATATTCATTTTGAGTTGATAAATTGTTAGGACATTTAAAAATAGTAACCTCTCATATTGTCCATGTTTTCTATAGTTTAGTATATACTTGAATCAAACTATTTTACATAATTACACAATTCTAGATAATATATTACTAATATGTATGATTTATTAAAGTTATGTAAAAAAAATTGATCAATTTTATCTGATAAGATCTTTAAACATAACTAAGCACTTTTTTTATTGTTACATGAGAACAATACGTATTGACCTTTTATTATTTACATATAATTCAACAATAAATTATTAGAATATTCACATTGATAAAATAAAGAAAGTTGAAAAGTGTACTATACAATCTATTATGTTTCAGTCTTTTTGCCAAGAATATTAAACTGATTTAATTTTTCAATATAATTTTGTAACTAAATCTTCTTATTAGAATAATAAAAAATGTGTCAAAATTTATTTATAATATTGACAGATGAAACTAAAAAACATATTTCTTCATATATATTTATTCATTAATCAGTCCTATGAAATTTAAATTTATCAATGTAGATCAGGAAAGAAATATAAAATTTTCATTCGATTAAACCAATCGTAAATCAATTATAGTTGAAAAAAAAAACATTCCCGAATTTCAGTACTTATTATGTAACCATTCAATTTTGCGCTAAGTGCCGTATTTACTATGTATAGATTTTTGGTAATAACATAAAAAGCACACGTATTAATTTTGTTAAGTACATAACAACGGTTAAATAATCCTGTTATTTACTCTAGTATAACCTAAAAAATAGTAAATTGAACTTCCGTCAAATGTAAAACAAAAGGGACTAAATGTATAATGCATATTATTTACACAATTTTTAACAAACATACATTATCTCTTTATTTAGATCTAGCCAATTAATTGAAGTGCAAATGAAATTGAACAACAAGACAGAATTTTACCTCTTGATTTAAAAGGAAAACTCTACATATCCAATTAAGCTAGTAATAGACCATAGTAACGTTGAAGAACCGGTAATCAGTTCAAGTATGGTTACGAAACATATTATAGTTATCAAATTTATCAATTTCAACAAAATTAGTTACACATTTAAATACTATTTTCACTTAAAATGAAATTTAAAAGCCTTTTAATTACACAATCCACAAATAGAATTACTAATATTTATTTTGTGTAACAATTGAAAATTTTTTACATATATTAATTAACGATTAACAAATTCATAGATTAATCTGATAAAAAACTAATTTCTATTATTTACTTATTTTTCATATAACCAACAAAAAAACCAATTGATTTAATTTTGGCTGGTATTTTTATTTTTTCACATTTTCAATTCTGGTAACCCTTGTAAGTTCAAATAAGACTTATTTGTCTAGACCTGAAACCAAGAAAAATAGGAAAAACATTTTACCCTATTTTATTTCCCCTTACTTACTATATTTGCTACATTTGTTCTTTTCAAGATGAAACTACTCCGCCATACATTTTTTAATAATAATCAAGAAATTAACTTAGTAAGATTATTAATACAATTTTTTTATTGTTCATTAATTTTTTTTTTTTTCTGAATTCTTTTCATATTGGAATCTCAGCTATGCTATTAATTAACTAAAATTATACAAGTTGGACATAATCTACATAACCAGTCTTTTTAAATATTGCTGTCACATATATTTAAATAGTTTTTAGAGAAAAATTGTTAGTAAAACTTAACAATTTAACTCTAAATTGTTCAATATAGAGTGGTTTATTCACATACTCATTTAAATTAAGGTATCAAGCATTAAAATTATAGTTGAAATATTATTTTATGTTATTATAATTAATAATTAGTACTGCCAACTTTCAAACCCCTTGATTTTATTTTATTTTTTTTGATATTCTTTTGAATCACATACCAAGAAAATTTTACAATCATGTTTCATGTCAATTATTTGATTTTGCCTCTTTTTGTTCCCTTAGATCTTGTTTTAATACTTAGACTAAGGAAAAAAAAAGCTTGATTCAAATGACTATTACACGTTGTTTGATTTGATCATTGCTATCTCAGTTAATCGATGCAACTTTCTTGATAAGATTCAACAAAAAAATCTGGACATTATAAATTATATACCGATATACATAAAACTATTGTATTTTACATTGATGTGATTGGATATAAGAAAAATTTCACATAATAAGATTAATTAATATCGAATTGTTCATTGATTAAATTGATAAAATTTTTCTATTGTTCTTTAAAATTGTAATACACAAAAAATTATAATTTTGTACAATTTATTTACTAGTACTATTACTACGTTATTATTCATTAATCGAACTTAACTGATGAATAAATAATTATAATGCAATAACTATAGGGTAAAGTTCGATAAATAGTCAGCTCATTTATTCAAATTGAAATACTTCAAACAAATCTATTCTTTATTAAAATATTATTAGATGGTTAAGATAAACAAAAAATACAAAACGGTAGAATTTCTTAAATTTATGTTTTAAATTTTACACAAACTTAATTTTGTAACTCTTTTTGTTTTTTAACTTATACACAAATTTTAAATTGAAAAAAACAATGTAAATTTATTAAAATTTTTAATCTACAATTTTCATCTTTTTTTGTCAAATCTAATGATGTATTTATATAATTGAATTTCCTTTAAATCTAATTTGTTTCAAAATGAGAATTTGGTCACTTGGTTGAATTTTCAAAACTTAAATCATCAAGTTTATCAAAGATTAAAGATGGTGTGTTTCAGATCATTAAATTCTTTAATACTTTTAACAATTTTTTTTTTATTAAATTTGGGCTCTTGTGATTTTAAAATATATCATGCTGATGATTTCCCAGTACAAGCATGTCAAGGATTAATTGGTAAAACTGCAAATTTTTTCAAAAATGCTACTGCAGAAGCTAAAACTGGTTATTGTAAAATTAAAAATCAACCTGCTTTAGGTACAATGGTTCAATGTATTGAAGTTTTAAATAAAGAAAGAAATTCAAATAGTAGAAAATTATTTTTGAAAAGTTGTAAAAAATCTAATTTAACTGAAGCTTTATATATGGAAGCTTTACAAAATGCAACAAGTTTTGGATTTGTTAATGTTACAACAGATAAAAGTTTTAATAAAACTAAACCATATTATAAACCAGTACTTATAAAGGAAAAAAAAATTATAGCTGCTTATGATTCAACTGCTACAAGATGGTATGGATATAATTATGGTCATTGGTTTGGTATGTCATTAATGTTATATTGGATTGGTATAGTTTTAATTGCAGGATTTATAAATTTAACATATTTTATTGCACCAAATTTTGTTAAATCATTGAAAGGTAAAATTATAAATGGATTTAGATCATATATTACTTTACCTGCATTATTTAATAAAACACATGCACATCATAAAACAATTACAAAGCATGTTCATATTATGTTTCCAACAAGAATTGAGACTTTAATTATGTTGGGTTGGTTTATAATGGCATTAACATTTTGTTGTACAAATTATGTTCATGTTTCTCCCAATTCAATATGGCCACAAGTTTGGAATGAAATGGGTAGAAAAATTGCTGATAGAACTGGATTAATTGTTATTTGGCAAATGCCAATTTTAATATTATTTGCTGGTAGGAATAATTTTATGCAATGGATTACTGGGTTTTCATATGCAAGATTTATTTATTTTCATAAATGGATTGCAAGAATAGTATTTTGTATTTCAATAGCTCATGCTGTTGGAATGACTTTTAATGGTAGAGGTATTGGTAAATATGATTTAAGATTTGCTCAAGCTTATGTTAGATGGGGTACTGTTGCATTAGTTTGTTTTGGATTAATGAATTTTCAAGCTTTAATGATTTTTAGAAGAACCAATTATGAATTGTTTTTATTATTTCATATTTTATTGGCTGTTTTTGCAGTTGCTGGTTTATGGATTCATGTTGGTGATCAAGAGTTAGATCAATGGATGTATTGTGCTGTTGCTATATGGGTATTTGATAGAGTTGTTCGAATTTCAAAATTAATTGTATTTGGTATTAAAACAGCTCAAGTTCAATTAATTGCAAATGAAACTATTAAAGTATCAGTTAAAAGACCAAGTTATTGGAAACCATTTCCAGGTTGTCATGCTTTTATTCATTTTTTAAGACCAACATGTTTTTGGCAATCACATCCTTTTACTATTGTTGATTCAATTGAATCAGAAAATACTATAACTTTCTATTTAAAAGTTAAAGGTGGTATGACTCATGGATTATATTCATATTTATCAAAACAACCAGATCAAAAAGCTTCAATAAAAGTTTCAATTGAAGGACCATATGGTAATCCAATTTCATTAAATAGATTTGAAAATAATTTATTTATTGCAGGTGGTAATGGTATACCAGGAATATATTATGAAGCTATTGATATAGTTAGAAAATTGGGTGAAAAAAGAAGAATAAAATTATATTGGGTTATAAGACATTATGCATCATTAGAATGGTTTTATCAGGAATTATTAAACTTGCAACAATATTCAAATAAGATGGATATAATTATGTATATTACTCAACCACATTTAGGTTTAACAGAACCAATAACAACTGATTTTACAGATGATGAAATTGAACAAGAAGAAGAAGAACAAGAAGAAGAAGAAAAAAATAAATCAGATTCTGATTTTAGTGAAGAAAATTATCACATTGCAAAATTGAAAAAACAATTAAATTTTATTGAATTTAAAGATGGTAAACCAGATTTTTATACTATCGTTGGTGAAGAAATTAAAGAGACTGATGGTCCATTAGGTATAGCATCATGTGCTCATGGTTCAATGGTTGATGATGTTAGAAAATCAGTTGTTGATCATTTAAATGATTCACCTTACAGAATAGAATTATTTGAACAAATGCAAAGTTGGTAAGTTAGTCTGATTATTTGCGAAGTATTTAGTTTATTTCGATTTTTTTTTTACTATTAAAAGGTCTTGATTTTTGGTTTGAATTTTATAGAGTTGTTTCAAATTTAGTTTTAATTAATTTAATATTTATATTGTCATTATTATTCTTATTGTAAGTAAGTCAATTTGAAATTGATAAAATCAAAGGTTCAAAGAATATAAAAATTGACATAATTCCTGTATATGAATGAATTGTCAAACATTTTAAAAATATTAATTATTTCATGATAAAGCATAGCTATTTAAACGTCTAGAACTAATCGTTAAATGGATACCACATACTTAGTATTACCGAAAATGATTCATCTCAAGCACTCTCCCCAATTGTTAATTATTAATTTTTTGCTTGTTTCATTTCAATTGAGCAATAATATTAACTATTCTAATAATAATATCCACTTTATTAAAACTTATAATTCGTCGGTATTATAATTTATAACGTTCTTTTAATAGATTTAATCGGTTATTATATTCTTAAATTTAATTAATATCTTTTTGTTAATTGTTCATCGAATTGATTCAAATGATATGTACAAATTTCAATATTATATAATACTGTATAATTAAAACGCGTCTTATTAATATATTTAAGTGATAATAATAATACTGTATATAAATAATGCTATTGGATAAAGTAAATAAATAACACGAAAAATACTACTACAATATAATAATAATAAATTTTAATTATTAATAATAAAATATTTTTTTACAACCAATTTAAATTTTTTTATTTTTAATTACAACATCTTTAATTAATTGAACAAGAGGTTTTGTTGAAGAGAAAAGACAGATAGGTGAGATAATATCATTAATAGAAGCTAGTAAAGAAGTGGTTAATTTGGTCAATAAAATTACAATTTTAATATAAATTTAATTTTAAGATCAAGATAGACAAAATTTACGAGATTTTTATTTTCATTTTCATTTATCATTTTTTATAAATTTCAAATCAAATTCAATTCAAATTCAAAAATTCAAAAAATTATAATAAAATATAGGAGGAAAAATTTTTATATACATTATTATATTAAACAGATTAATTTATAAAAGTTTACATTCATTTTTCTTAACACTTTTATATCGGATATTTGTTTATCATCAATTAAAGATTTATTTTTTTATTGTTTTTACCACTTTCATATTTGATTATATCAAATTTACATTCAATTAATTTAATTGATTACTTATAAATTAATATAATTTAACTATAGTCATTCGTTTTATAATCAACTGTTAACTATCAATAGATCAAAATATCTTCAATATTCAGTCAATCATTAGTTCAACAAAATGTATTTTCAAGATCATATAACTCCAACTTTGGAATTATATGAAAGAGCTTCAAAAACAAGTGATGAAAGTGAAAGTAGTTCAGATTATTGTAAAAATCATCCAAATGATGATCAATGTGAAAAACCAGTTAGTAATAATAGTCTTACAATTGCTTTATCTATAGTTTTACCAATTGTTGCAATACTTTGTGTATTAGGTTTTTTCATTTATAAAAATTATAGAAAAAATAAAAAAGAAGAATTAGATAATGATCCTGATTTTTATGAAAATGGTGATGGTACTGCATTACCTGATTTTAATATTAAACAATTTAATCATCAAGATGATAATAATCCTTTTCATAATAGAAATTCTGTTAGATATCCAATGGAACAAATTAATAAAGGTTATATAAATTATAATACTTCAGAAAGAAATAATGATAATCAAAGTTTTAAAAATTTTAATAACAATAATAATAATAACAATGGTGGCGGTAATCAAGATCCATATTTAGATAGTTTTGTACTTCCTTATCAACATCAAACTGGTTCAAAATTATCATTAGATGAATATGGTAAAAATTTAGGGGATTCACAAGGTTATAGAACTCCAAGTGGTATAATAAGAACAAGAACAAATTCTGTTACTTTAGATACTGCATTAAAATCAACTTCTTCAAATATTAATTCAAGAGATCATTCAAGAAATCAATCAAAAACTCATTCAAGAAATCCAAGTTCACAAATAAGTCCAATTAAAAAGATTCAAGGTAAACAATATACTAATATACCGAATGATTCTGATCATGATTTACAACATGCAGGTGCACCAAATGTTTCTAATGTTGTTGAAGAATCTAGTTCTGATGATAGCGGAATAATGTCACCAACAGAAGAAAATTCATATGGAGTAACTTATGAAAATGAATCAGATATGGCAATTAATAAATCTATACCACAAATTATTATACAAGATCAAGATGATCAAGAAGATGATCTTTTCAATGATACTAATGATCACCATACGTCTTCAGATGATTCCCCATTTGATGAAGATGAAAAAAATCAACATACAAAAGATACTACTTTGGATACAGTAGTAAAACATGACAAGAGATATAATGAACAACAATATCAACAACAAGATCAAGATAGTTTTGATGATGAAAATTTCAATTTCTCAACTAAACCAAAATCATCGAAAAATATAAGTAAATCACCAAGGATTTCAGCTTTTAATTTATTGAAAAATGATTCAGATGATGAAGATGAAGATGAAGAAATAGATAATTTAACACCACAACAACAAGAAGAAATTAAAAGAATGAAATCTGTTTATAAAGTTTATTTTGATAAAGAAAATAATGAAAATGGAGATACATCATTTGAAATTGATGAAAATTATCCATTACCTCAAAAGATTAATGATCAATTACAAATTGATACAAATTATGATAAAAGATATAGTAATACATCATCTGTTTATATGGATCCTGAAGAAGCTCAACAATATCAACAATATCAACAACAACAATTACAACAACAATATTATAATCAATTTAATCAACAATATCAACAACAATATGGTTCACCAGTTGATCCACAATTATATCAACATTATCAACAAGAACAATATAATTATTATCAAAGACAACAACAACAAAAAAGACCAAATCGTCCTTTACCTCCATTACAAAAATTACGTCATCCAGCCGATTTAAGAAAGTCAACTTTAGAAACTTATACTAATTTCACTCCACATCTTAAAAATCAAACTGTTATGTCACCACCAACTGGTAAACAACCATTTGTACCGATTGAAAATGATGGAGTTTGGACTTCACCAATAAATTCACCAACTATTCAGTCACTGGCATCATTCCCAAATCAAAGTCCTAATAATTATCAAAATCAATACCAACATAATCAATATCAACAACAACAAGGAGATTATTTCCCTCAACAACAACCTCCACAAAATAATCCAGTTCCTTCTGCCACTCAATTATCTAGATCATCAGTAGTAATGTTGAATCCAGTAACAGAAATTACTAAAACAAGAAAATTTAAACCTGCAGGTTCTTTACCATCAAATCCAAATTCAAATCATTTATATAATTTTGGACATAGTGATTTGAATGGTCCAGAAAATGACCTATTACCAGGAAATAGAAAAAGTGATGTAAGAAGAATGATGAATACAAATTTTTAGATTCAAACTTGTGTTCAAGAGTGATAAAGGTTAAATTTTTAAATTTTTCGGGTTCTCAAAGTATTTATCAGTTTATAGAATGGGAAGTGCTGTATGGTTTAGTTGAATATTTTGTTTCAGTTTATATTTTTGGATAAATGGAAAACGGTGTTAATCAATAGACATATTTTGTATATTTATTAAAAGAAATAGACGTTTTAAAAATTAAATCATAATGTATTAGAGTAGAACGTTGAAACAAATATTATATATTCATCGTTATGTACTGTTTAAATACCACACGATATTTACAAAATCAATTGGTAGCAATGTTAGTATTAATGATTTTATAACCAACCAAAATGCACGAATAATTTGAAAAATTAAAGAGAGAGAAAGAAAGAATAGTTAAAAAGTTAACTTGAAACTTCTATAAGCAATTAAGTAAAACTAAAGGTCAATCACTACCAACATACTCCGTAATTGTTCAATTAGAAATTCATATTAAAATTGGAAGCAAGATATCAACAAAAACTCAATCACTAATCTAGAAAAAAATAGCTTGATTTTTCACAACAATAATTAAAACAAACTAACAAAACAACTATAATAGATACAAAAAAAACTCATACCTTCATACATTCACATATAAATAATTACATAAACAATGTCATCTACAGCTACACCACAAGAGAAAGAAACAGCACAAAAAATTATACCAACTTCATCACAAAATTTATTAAATGATAAATGGGATGTTGTATTATCAAATACTTTAATTAAAACTGGATTAGGTTTTGGAGGAGGTGTATTAGCTTCAATATTGTTTTTTAGAAGAAGACAATGGCCTGTATGGTTAGGTATTGGATTTGGATTAGGTAGAGGATATAGTGAAGGTGATGCAATTTTTAGATCAAATCATGGATTAAGAACTGTAAAAGCTTAAACTTCATAAAAAAAGAGTAACAACAATATTCATCATTGGAATAATAAAAGGAAGTGGAATCAAGTCATTCTGATCAATTAATTAGAAGTTGATTCGACAATTACAACATTTTGTTTATAGCCTTAAAAAGACATAATAGAATTATTTTATTAAAACATAGTAAAAGTTTTGAAAGCTATTTCTAAATCAATTTGTAGTCAATGTATCTTTTTCTGATATGAATTGCCAACTAGTCAATAGAGGTGTCAATATCTACCGAGTTTCTTCTTTAAAAGTTGCAACCAAATTAATTATTGTAAGAAAAAATCAATTTACCTCCTTAAGCACATTCAAATTAATCTTAACAAATTAATGGATAAATTGATTCCAAAAATAATTAAAGATGAAATAGACTTATATAAGTTATTAGATTTACCAAATACAACAGATAGATCAACGCTATCATCACAAGAGATCCGTAAAGCATACAAAAAACAAGCATTAATTCATCATCCAGATAAACAACAACAAGAAGGAGATAATAAATTTGAATTAATACTAACGAGTTTTCAAATATTATCAAATCCAGAGTTCAAACAACAATATGATAACTTAGTTCAATTGAAAAAACAAAAGATCCAAAATTCGTCTAAATTAAATGAATTAATTTTAAACTTTCAAAAAGATTTATTATCAAACGAAGAGAAGAATTTAAATCAAAGACAAAATGGTCTGAAGTTTCAAAATTTGGATCAATTAAGAGAAGATGGGTTAAAAAAGAGAAGATTACACGAAAATAAGAGAATATCTGGCGATAACAAGGAACAGGATTTAACAACTACATCAATTTATGACTTACCACTACCGAATTTTATAGACTTTAAGACTCTCAAAAACGTACGAAAAGCTATCACTCAACATTTAGCAAAATTGAAATATAAATACAAATCAAATTTAGATATTGATGAAGTCATACTATCCGAAATAATGTCAACTTTTGGTCCAATAACGTCTATAACAATAAACGATCATGATGATAGATATTCTTATGCTACAATTGAATTTGCATCAGAATTGGCATTACAAAATGCAATAGCTTATGATTATTCAACTGCTTCTAAATGGGATGGTTCAAAGATTAGAAAGCTAGCGAGTTTATTAAGATCCTGTAAAAGGATTGAAAATGAAGAAGAAGATCTAGAGTACGAAGAAGCAAAAGATACTCCAAAGAAATGGACCAATAATGATTATGTCAATGATATACTAAACGATTATTATGTTAATTCCGTATCTGACAAAAAGATTTAAAGGTATGTTTGTTGATCAATTTGCCTTTTAAAAAAATTAATGACTTTTAATGTACGATCACATGTTTAACGAAAATGAAATTATGATGCTCCAAATTCGAGGATCGAGGTGAAAAGCTCTACAACTTTAATCTCAGAGGTTTCAATGCAATTTTTATTCTATGAATTTTCTTCTCTAATCATCTCTCCATTTAACAAATACTTCATCAGTTCTAAACCTCTGCGTACAAACAGTATCTTTTAGTTCATTAACTTCTCCCATTCTATACTGTAACAAGCCAGCATGAGCAATCATAATCCCATTATCAATACAAAATCTTTCATCAGTTGCAAAAATTTGACCATTTGCTCTATCTTCAATCATTAATTTCATCATTTCTTGTAATCTCTTGTTGGATCCAACACCTCCTACTATTAATACTTGATTACTATCAACATGTGCCAATGCTCTCTCAGTAATTTCAACTAACATACTAAATAAAATTTCTTGTAATGAAAAACAAAGATCTTCGGGAGTTATTAATTCACCTGATTCTTCATCTATAACTAATTTTGAATTCTTACCATTAAATAGATCCTTTGCTATATTGTCGATATATGCTAGTATTCCTGACATTGATAAATCCATCCCCTTCACAGTATACGGTAAATTTACCAATTTCTTACCCTTTTTAGCTAATTGTTCAATATTATATCCTGGTGCTGGTTCATTTGGAATTTTTAAAGTTCTTGCAAATCTATCTAAACAATTTCCAATTGCAATATCTAAAGTTTCTCCAAAAATTCTATACCTTTGTTTCGAATATGCTATAACTTGAGTATTACCACCACTAACATATAATACAACAGGATTTAAAGCTCCAGTTATTTCTCTTCCCATTTCGATATGTCCAACACAATGATTGACTCCAACTAATGGTATTGACCATAATTGTGATAAAGTTCTTGCAGCTATAACAACACTTTGTAATGGAGCTCCCATTCCAGGACCTTGAGTAAAACATATACAATCAATATCTTTTCCTTTTATTTTTGCTGTAGCAAGTGCTCTTTTTATTACTCTTATAACCCAATTTCTATGATGTCTTGCTGTATCTCTCGGTAAAAAACCTTCACCTGGTGGTGTTATATATGTATCTCGTATATTTGATAGTACTTCTGCTTGATTATCTGATGTTAATTGTCCTTTTTTATGTTTTATTACACCTACCCCTAATTTATTTGCTGAACCCTCAAGTCCCAATGCTATATAATGATCTTTTCCAAGTTTTAAATATCTATCTAGATCTACTGTCATTTTCAAAATATGGTTGTTATAATCTATATATAATTGTAATTCTTGTTTAATCAAAAATTCTTCTCAAAGTATTCATATATTGAAAAATTCAAATTTAGTAGTACGTGCGGCTCAAAATTTTTTTTTTACTTTATCGTGAAACTGTGAAACATAAACAAAAGATTTAACTTAGTTATAACTCAATTTGAAACGTATTCGAAAGACTTACTCCAGACTACATATATTCATTTAATAACGATGACGCTACTAGACGAACAATTAAAAAGAATAGAAGATGGCACTAAATTGCTACAATCTTATTATTTCCAGGATCAAGGAATGTTTACAAATTCAATAATAAACGAAACACCAACATCTTTTCTACAAGATTCAACTCCCGATGAAAGACAATTGTATAAAGTGGTATATAAAAGCTATAATCAAAACGGTCAAAAACAAAGCAACAATTATTATGATATAAACCCCAACGGTGAAGATCCAGTAATAGAGAGAGTTGATGGTAAGTCGATATATAAAGAGATTGTACCAGAAGATGAAGAATCGGAAGAAGAATATGATAGTGAATATAATAATAATTATGACAAACCAATGGTAAGAGTACCCGAATTATACAATAGCGACATAAATGATTCAAACTCTAAAAGTAATTCATTTTTCTCAATAAACTTTTCATCAAGAAACTTACAAGATCAAATTAAAGAATTAATACAAACGGTAGATGAATATCCAGATTTAATTTTAAATTATCAATCCTTAAAAGAGAAATGTGGAATTTTGAAACAGAATTATATAACTTCTATGAACGAAATTGAAGAAATTGAAGATGAAATTGTGGTATTGGAAGATGCATTACAAGAAAATCACAATAAAAATGTCTTGAATATTGATGAATTACTACAGATGGAAGAAGATGAAATAGAAAACTTGCAGCATGCATTGGAGGATAGAAGCTAGAACTAATTCCAACAAAGTGAAGGTAGAATTAATAGGAAGCTGGTCTCTCTAGGAATGAAATATATTTTAATAATAGATCCCTACATTATAATTTTCCTCTTTAAAAATAATAATAATACATTTATTTCAAAATATTCCTATTTATAAAAATTTTTATCACTAATTAAATTAATAATTAATTGTTTTATTATTAAATTTAAACTGAAGTTAAAATATCTGAATCACCAGCATCTAAAATTGATAAAGTACCAACTCTGAATAATTTACCACAAACAGTACCTAATTCATTGTTACCACCTTGGAAATAATAAACTCTAGTTTTTGATAACATAGCATAATATTCTAATTCAGATTTTCTTAAAACTGGAGTATTAGCAGCAATAATAATTAATTTTGCTTTACCAGTTCTTAATGATTTAACAACTGATTTATAACCTAAGGTGTATTTACCTGATTTAATGGTTAAAGCTAATTTTGAGTTGATGTTTTCTTGGTTTTTGTTTGATTTTGGGGCCTGAAGTTTGATGTTAGTATTTTGAGCTTAATTACTTGATTAATGACTTTAATTAGTTTTATTTTCAAAAATGTTGTTCTGTATAACAATTTGTAACATGATCAATATATGGCTATTCATTTGAAAATAATAGTTCTCACAACATTGTCACATACATTAATATTGTATCTCACTTGCAAATCCAATCTGTCAAAACAACCTTCGGTTCTCCAGTTCCACTACTGCTATATAATTCTTTGTTGATTTTGAAAATAATTTAAATCATCATTATTAATATCATTAAAGTATACTGACCATCTCTGTGTATTATATATATATTTCACTCCGGTCTTGGTGTAATGAGAAAAGAAAAATTCTATATGATAATTCTGAAACTGAAAAATTATTTTGTATGTATTTAGAGAGATGATAGTAAAAATTTGGTTAATGAATCACGTGTAATTTAATCACGTGGACACAGTTTAGCAGAGGGCTATAAACACTTCTCACTATTAATTAATTTTTCACTAGTAAAAGATTAACTATTGCACCAAAATAATACCGAAAAAAAAAATTACTATAGAATTTTGAAATTTTGAATATTTCGATTTAACTTTAATCAATAAACCAACTAATTTAGTACAAGTATGTTCAGAACAGGTATAAACTATTCCAAAGACAATCAATATAAGTAGAATATGAGATAAAATGTTACAGGAAGAATTAAGTCGGGAACTAGACGAATAAATGAGAGAGACAAGTGTTAATAATCATGTAGATACAACGACAAAAATTGGAATATCACATAAAGTAGAAAATATTCATCTACGAGGGATATCAGTATGCCTTCATCATTATCAAGATCACAGAAAAACAATACACGTTGGATAATAAATTACAATAGCAACGAAACCTACCACATTTTTAAATAATGAAGATTAATTTATTGAAATTGAATTTATCATAATTAGAAGATTGGAGTAATTCAAAATCTCACATTGGAAGCTTAGATTGTCTGGGAGTTAAAACAATTGACAACACATGTATACTAACATTTATTTTATAGAATGAAGATCGAAGTTGATTCCTTTTCAGGTTCTAAAATTTATCCAGGTAGAGGTACCTTATTTGTCAGAGGAGATTCAAAAATCTTTAGATTCCAATCATCAAAATCTGCATCATTATTTCATCAAAGAAAAAATCCAAGAAGAATTTCATGGACTGTTTTATATAGAAGACACCATAAAAAAGGTATTTCAGAAGAAACTTCTAAAAAAAGAACTAGAAAAACCGTTAAACATCAAAGAGCTATTGTTGGTGCTTCATTAGAATTAATTAAAGAAAGAAGATCACAAAAACCATCAGATAGAAAAGCTGCTAGAGATTCAAAATTAGCTAAAGATAAAGAAACTAAAAAAGCTGATAAAGCTGCTAGAAAAGCCGAAAAAGCTAAAGCTGCTGCTTCAGGTGCTTCAGTTGTTTCAAAACAAGGTGCTAAAGGTTCATTCCAAAAAGTTAAAGCTACTTCTCGTTAAACAAATTAATATTAATATAGTTTAATAAAATATTATGTAAAAATAGAAATAATGAGATGAAGATAACTTTTTAAAATTTTATGTGTATATTATAATAATCTTATAAAGTAATAGCTTTTAATATATACAAAACGTTCAAAAAAGAAATGAAGTTTTCAATTTGTAAAGTTCTAATCAAATCGTAGTTCGTATTCACCAAATGTAAATTTTCCAGGTGATTCATTAAAACTTAATATAGCTCTAGATTTTGAATTGACTTTATACCCAAAATGAAATGATTCAGTAGTATGACCATATAATAACCGAATTTTAGAACCTGAATAATTGATAACAATTATAAATCCACAATAAAATTGGGGATCTAATTTAAAAATGAAATTCCGTAATTCTTCTACGTAATTAGATTCATCCATGTCAATAATTGAATTAACTAACTGAGATGCTAAATTATATTTAAGAATTTGTTCACCATTACCGGAACATATACAACTTATTTCCAATTCGTAAGTTGGCAAACTTTTAAACCCAATTGAAGCTCCTATAATTCCAGCACAACCTATTCTACCTGGTAATTTAAAAAAATTACCACCTGACGATGAAGTTATAACAGTTTCATTTTCTTTCAATGAAATAATTCCAATTGTATCTTGTACATTAAAACTTTTGAATTCGTTAATTGAAGTTTTATGGGAATCAAAAATTTTTTGGTTCTCCTTCGTAATTACATTGAATGATTCATTTACATTTATAAATTTTTTCAACCTCGAAACATTCAAAGTTACTGGTTTCAATAATTCTTTGCCAATGCTACTTTTTGAATAAAGCTCATTTATTTTTTCAAAAATTCGGAACATTTCTCTGGTTGGACAATCGATTTGTAATCCAGTCAATGATCCCACAGAACCATCACTTTTCATAAAACTGGCATCTATTTCTACTTCTCCAAGCAAATTCAAATTTGATCCATATCCTGTATTTGTTAATGGACTTTTTTCCAAAATATCACTAACTTCTAGTATGGACTTTTGTTTAAGTGCTTTTTTAATTAATTGGGCGTATTTTTTATTGCTTGATAAAGAATGATTACCTGCTCCTATATGTAGTATCAAAACATTTGACATCACCTCATGATTGAATATTTAGGGTATTTGAGTTGTACTGAAACAATTCCAAAATTCTACTCTATCATTTAAATTTTGATCAATTTCAAGCTACCATATGAGATCTCGTGATAATCTGAAACATAACTCCGCTGTTGATTTAAATAGTTGCAAAACCACTTAAATTGTTGCAAAACCATAATTAAATCTCAAGGATCCGAAAAACTAAACATCAAATTTAAACGACAAGTGTACATTAAGTTATAACAAAGATTTAACATAACAAATTACAAGTCCACTTACCTTCTATTGACACACTTGCAATCAAGATCTACAAACTCTACTTGCATTCAAGATCTACAAAATCAACTAAGTTAAGTAAAATGCAAAATGCAGATCAGACTGCAAAATAATCTATATATACAATTCGAAACCGTTTCAGAAAAAACAATGAAATTGATTTGGACAACATTATTTTGCATAATTTTAATTTTTGAAATTTTCAATAAAATGATGAACTATTTAATAACAACGTATCAAAATTTGACAAAATCAAATAATAATAATCAATCAGAACTTAAAAAGTTTAAATTAGTGAAAAATAACGATAAAAAGATCCAACCACTTGAATCAAACTCATTAAGTCCTTCTTCATGTCCAAGGTCAAGTCCTTCAAGATGTGCACTTTGCTCAACTTCATATTTGACTTTATCAAGTTTAAATAAATTAATTAATCCAATTGAAAATTTGAGTAACTTAAAATCTAAAATTATTAAAAAATTAACAATTCCAAAATTAAATAATCCCAATTCAAAGGATAAATTTGTTGATGAGATTTTTAATATTAAAGTTTATCCTTGTCCAAAAAATACACAACAATCACCAAAAATTTGATATTCCATATCCAAAAACCTAAAAAGAGTTTTGATGAGTATATTATTCTATACGAGTTAAAGATTTTTGGGATATACAATTAAATGTTAAAGGTTGTCAAAATTTAGAGCAATCTTTAAAAATCATATAGAAATTAAAATGCTGGATGGAGAAAATAAATGTTTAGCAAGTGAAGAGAATGGTTATATTACATTTACAACTAAAAAGATCTGAATATGATTTTATGGTTGATGATTTAGTTAAAATTGATGATTTTTTTGAATTTCCTGATGAGATTGATTAGAAACCATTTTTGAATGAAAATTTACCAAAAAAATGTTAAAATTCAAAATTGGAGTTATAGAGTTTTGGTACACCAAGGAACATTATTTGATGTAGGTTTTGGAGCTGCTGCATTATTTGTATATGTGTTTGTGTTTATATTAGTGGCACTTTGTGAAGTAGTACTGTTAATGGGAGTGTTTGATTCTTTTGTAATTGATGGTGTTGCAGTAGGTTTTGATGATAATACTGTTGTTCTTAGTGTACCATTTTGTTTTGATGGTGCTGGTGTTGGTGCTGGTGCTGCATTTAATAATCCCAGAGGTACATCTTCAAACTCTGGTGATCCAGTATGAAAAATTATTGGTGTTATATCGTTACTTCTTTGTACAGGACTTAATAAATATGGTAAATGAGAATCATGAGATTTTGCTCTTTGATTATATGATAAAAATGGTGGTCTTCCTGGTGGATTAATTTTTGAATGAAATGCTAATGTTAAATTTTCTTCATCCGATTCTGCATCTTCTTCTTCTTCATCATCAACTTTACCTTCTTTAATATCTGGTGATTCTGAACCTGATGAATATGATGAATATGATTCTGAACTTGATTGTCTTGTTAATTTCATACTTGGACCTATCACAATGTCATCTTTTTGTTTTTTACTTTGCATTGAATCTTCAATACTAAAATTCCTGAATTTTTGTTCTATATTATTATGTTGTGGTGATCTAAGATCAGTAGCATGATTTTGACTTGGTTTTCGTTTAATTAATATTTGATCTTGACTTGTAAATTCTTTGTATTTTGAATTTAAATAATCATCATTTATACTATCTAATGATGCAAAACTTTCAGTTAATGGTAATGACATAAATGAGGCATCAAGTGCTTCATCTATATGTGCTGGTAATAAATTACGTGCTATATCTCCCTTTGGTGAAAATCCAGAATCGTCATTACTGTTGGTATTACTAGTGGATTTTTTATACTCTTCGTTTATAAATTGATAATTAGGTTTCACTGCTGGAACAGGAATTGGAGTTGCAATTATTGGTTCTTTTGGTGATGCTAGTAGTTGTTGATGTTGTTGATTGTGTTGTAAATTTTGTAATTGTTGAGATTTGTCATGCTGTTGTTGTGGAATATCATGAGATATAGAATTTTTGGTTGAAGCTCCATGAGTTGAAAATAAACTTGATCTTCTTCTTTTATCATCTTGTTGTTGAATATCTTTAAAAGTATCAACTATTGATTGATTTTTTAAATATAAATTACCACCAACATTTCTTTTTGTTTCAATTTGTGGTGCTTCTACTATTGGGATACCAGCCCCACTACCTCTTCGACTTGGTGCACCACTATGAGAATCAATCATATCATGCAATAAACTTTTGCCTCCATCTCTAGAACCAGCGAGAGAAAAAGAAGGTCTTTGTAGTGGTACTTGTGGTTGTTGTTGTTGTTGTTGGTATAATTGTTGATGGGATAAATTTGATGGGGTATAATTAAAATCTGATCCTTGTCTCGTTACAGTTGCAGTACTTAACGGTGATATTGGTTGTTCAGATAAAATCATTGAATGATTATTATTATCTAAACTATTTAATTTATTACTTGAATTAAAATTTGAATAACTTGAAGAAGATTCATCACTTGATCCACTTTTAGAATGTTCCATTTGTAATGCTGAAAATTTATTTTTAATTTCCGAATCTTTTAATCCTCCTGCTTTTATAGCTTTTACTAAACTTCTTTTAATTCTTGTTCCAACTCCTATAATTGCATTTTCAACATCATCTTTAAAAATATCTTTATCATCATATGTAAAATCTAATGGTTCTTCATTATTTATATCTAATAATTCATGTAATCCTTCAATATCATCTTCTAAATCCATTAAAGTAAAAGGATGTTCTTTAATTTCTTTTATTGTAATTCTTTTTGAACTATCTTTTTGTAACATTTTATTTAATAAATCTTTTGCTAATTCAAATTCTTCTTCTGTTACTTTACCTGGAGAATTAAAACTTTTAATATCTTTTGGAAATTCAACTTCATTATTAACTATTACATTAAATAATTCAAATTCTGAATCTGCATTAAATGGAACTTTACCAAATAATAAACAATATAAAGTTACCCCTAAAGCCCATATATCAATTTTATAATTAATTTTTGGAGTTTTTTCTTCATTACCAATATAACATAATTCAGGTGCAAAAAATGCAGGAGTACCAGCAGTTTTAGCTAAATCTAATTCACTACCTGATAAATTATCATCTTCATCAATTAATTTAGAAGCAAATGAAACTCCAAAATCACTAATTTTAACAACATTATTTTCTGATACTAATAAATTTGCAGGTTTTATATCTCTATGAATTATTCCAACAGAATGTAAATATTGTAAACCATTTAAAACATCTCTAAATATTTTTCTTGAAACTTTAAAAGTTAAATTTGGTGAATAAATATCAGATAATAAATTTTCTTGATCAAAACTTTTATTAAAATGACCTTGATCTATTTCACAACATGGTATATTATTATCTAAACATGTATTATTTTCATTATTTAAATTATTATTACAATTTCCATTATTAACTTCAACATTATTATTATTATTATTACAATTATTATTATTATTATGATTATTATTATTATGATTATTTGAATTTAAATTTTTCCATTTAATTTCTCCTCTACCCATATATTCTAATACTAAATAAATTTTTGAAGAATTAAAATCATCTAATACTTCATATAATTTAACAATATTTTTATGATTTAATTTTTTCATAATTGCAATTTCTCTTTTAATTTTTGTTTCATAATCATTTTTTATAGGAGATGAAGAATCGCTTCTTAATTTTAATGATGGTCTATCTTTTTTATTTTTTCGATTTATAACTTTTATTGCAACTGTTCTTTTATTAATTAAATCTAGAGCTAATTTAACTTTACCATGTTCTCCTCTACCAATTTCTTTTATAATCTCATAAGAATTTAAAATTTTTCTTTTTGTTAAAGGATTATATTGAAATATTAAAGGACTTGGTGAATTTATTGGTTGATGATGAGGAAGAAGATTTGATGATGAATCAATTAAATTACTTTGTTGAGATGAAATATTTGATGTTGCCATCTTTTATATTCTTTTAAATTTATCTCTCTAACCCAAAATGAGTTTTATTATTAAATATTATTGATGATTTATTAAATGAATGATGTAAAAAAATTTTAAAACAAGTTGGATATGAATTGAAAAATTATGATCTTGATTATATGATTGATATCGTTGGAACTCTTTATTTGTTATTGTAGTTATTCCTCGTATTTTAGCAATTTGTAATTAAATAAGTATCTTATTATATATTCAAATAATTTGATAATTTATTCTTTATTTAATATATTAATAAATTATTACAGTAGATACTTAATAAATAGATAAACCCAAACAGAAAATAGAAAATTAAAGATTTTCAATACATAATAGAATAATTTTTTAACTAGTACAAAATTTTTGGTAGCTCTGATATATAGAAGTTGGTAATTAAAATATCAATAGAAATAAATCTTCAATTAATTACATCAAAGAGAGTAAGTAGTTTCATATTAATAACTTAGTAGTAACTTCAATTGATGTTGGTTTTACAACGAATGCTCATAATAATGGAAACGTTTTTCATCTTTTTACTCTTTCGAAATTTTATAAGAGAAAGTAGAATCTTAATTTATTGTTATCATTATTATTATATCATATGATTATATTTCATAATTACAAATAAATCAAGAATCAAGAATCAAAACCTTTTTAATTTAAAAGTTTATTTGTTTATTTATATATAAATTAATCTAAATTTATCATAATTTCATAAAAAGATAATTTGGTCTGTTCATAACTAATTAATATTAAATTATTATCAAAAATATTTTGTTCATTTTTTACTAGATCTAATTAATTTATTTTATTATTGCTATTTAAATTAATTTGAATTTATCAATTAATTACGACCCCCTTTGATTCATATTTTATTATTACTTTACTATAAATTTTTCCAATTCAGGGGGAAGGAGGGGTTCTATCTAAAAATTGAATTTAAATTATGATTTCTTCTATAAGGAACTGCAAATCAATTCTTGTCTTACAATTTGTAGAATTGACAATTGAATTATAATTTTATAAATCAAATGTTTTTAATTTTAATTTATTGATTTACCAACTTGATCTACAACAAAATAGAAAAATTAAGAACGAAGCTTTTTTTTTAATTCAGCTCTCAACAAAATTATGTTCCTTAATTTTTCTTAAATTAGGTTATAAACTATTAATATATTTGATTCCTAAATAAGTGATCTCTTTAATTTAGTCAATTATAAAATGATATCATAGATTAATAAAGAATAAATATAATATTTTTAATTGAAAAATTTTACTATATTTGTTGCAAATTGAACAAAAATTTTTTTTTTAAATTGAAACAATTTAATTGAAATCCCTAAATATTAAAAATAAATAGGTTTAAAAGACTATACTAATTACATTTATAGTCAATTACCTTTGTTTTCAATTTTGATAGCATAATAGAATATTTAATATCATTTTAATATCTATTTTGAATAATTATATTTATATTTATATTTATACTCTCATTTCAATAAATCTACCCCTCCTTTTTTGTTATATGCAGGTATATAGAATAGAATTAAAAAAGTTTTAATTTTTTTTTTTTTAGTTTCAATTTACGAAAATTCAATTATCTAATTAATTACGTAATCCTTTTCTAATGTTTTAAGATTAATAAAATTTTTCCTGAATAATTATGGAAATTCAATCAAAAAGTAATGTAAATATGAATATATATATATATATAAATCAATGTCCTATAAACTCTGACAAACAACTTAAATAAATTATATTTGATATATAATTGAGTCATTTAATATTCATCACACATATCTTAATATTTGTTATACGTGTCTTTTAAAATGTATAAGGTATAAGTATAGGGTGATACTATGTAAAAAAAATTTATATCACTATCATAATATTCAGATAACTACTACTACATTTATTTTAAATTGTTTCAAATAATGATTCAAAAATTATTAATTCTTCTTTTATAAATGTTACTTGTCTAATATTATCTTAATTATTCCTTTTAATGAATCAAATAAAATTTATTTTGTTATGCTAAATAATATTATTTCTAGTAGTTAACTTAAATTGTATTTTATATTATTAATATTATACACATTTTTATATAATACAAATTGATTTTTTTTATATTTTTACAACCAAATAAAATTTGATCTGATTTGATTTATTACATTATTAATTTCCAATTTATCATTATGGAACATCCTCAAGTTTATCTTGATTCTAAAATTTATGATCAAGAACATAATGATCATGATCAATTAACTATTATTGGTGGTATTTCTAATGATCAATCAATTGATAATAATAATATTAATAATACTACTAACAATAATAATACAAATACTATTATTAATAATGCAAATAACAATAAACAAAATAATAATGATAATCAAATTAATAATGATAAACAAAGTAAAAATAAATTAAAACAAGATGATAATAGATCACATTCAGATAATGAATTGAATCAATTATATAATCAATTAAAAAAATTATATGATGAAAATAATTTTATGCAAATTATGTTTTTATTACCTAAAATTGGGAAAATGGAATTAATACCCCCAGTTTTCCATTTAATTATTGGATGTTCAATGATTCATTTTGGTAGAAATTCTTCAGCTTTTAGAGAATTGGGTTTTGCAATTTATATGGCACCAACTGAACAAAAGAGGAAAGATTTTTTAAAAGTTTTAGCTTTTACTTATGCTGATTTAAAAATGACAAATGATGCATTATCTTGTATTGGAGAATATTTGGATTTATCAAGACAAAATTTAATTACTCCTCAAGATTTGGATAATATGAAGAATGATGTTGAAGAATTGAATAATTTAGTAATGGATAGAGTTGAACAATCTAAAATGAATAATCAGTATGTATTTACAAAGAAAGAGAACCAAAGTAGACCAAATGAGAAAAAAATCAAAATTTGGTTGCAAAAAAAAAAACAAATAAATTTACTAACAAAATATTTCTTCTCTCTTTTAGACAAGTTATTAAAATTCAATCAATTGAAGATCAAATTATGAATATACCATCAAATTATGCTATTCCAAGTAATACATTTTTAGGTAAATGTCAATATATTATTCAAAAGATTACTCAATGTGAAAAATTACTTCAACAAAATCAAAGAGATAAATTTAATCATATTATAAAGAATATTATATTATCAATTTTTACATTTGGACCAACTGAAAGTTATTTACAATTATTAAAAATGGAACCTAATTTTAATAAATATTGTGAAAGTTTTATAATTCAACCAAAAAGAAAAGTTTCAGTTTTTCAAAGATCAACTAGTCATAAAGAAGTTAATAATAATAATCAATTTAATAATAACTCAAGTATTGGATCTAATAATAATTATAATATTCCAATGTTAATGGAACAAATTAAAATTATAAAAGGGTTTATATCAATGTTGAGACATGAATATAAAGAAGCTTTTAATTTTTTTAATGAATTTGAAATTGATAATAATCAAAATAATGATGATTACAAATATAAAGTTTTATTTTTAAAATATATTTGTCAATCAAAATTAATTTATCAAAATAAAAAAGATTATGAATTAATTTATGAAAAAATTGCTAAAATTCCAATTAATATAAGTATAAAATATAAAACAATGGGTGAAATTTCTCAAAAAATTTATGAAATTGAAATTAATTTATCAAAAACTAAAAAATTATTATTAAAAAATTCATCAATAAATTATCATGATTTAGCATTAAAATGTTATTTATCAAGTGTTGCCTTGTTGGATGAAGATGATTTATATATTGGAGAACATTATGATTTAATTTTAAATTTTTTGGTAAAATACGATGTTAAAAATTTAAGAGTTATTTCTTTCTTTTATCAAGTTCGAAATTTATTTGTATTAATATCAGATTATAATTATTTACATCAACCAGATTTAGTATGTGATTGGAATGAAATTAAAACAAATAATAAATTATTAAATTCAATTGAAAATTATTTAGAAACTAATCAATTTATAAGTGATAATCAAGATTTAAATTTTAATAATTTAAAATCAAATTTAAAACAATTTGATCCAATAAATTATTGGATTAAAGAATATAAAAAATTTAAAAATGAAAGTGATTTAAAAATTGAAACAATTTGTAAAATTGTTGGTTATCCTGATCCAAATTGAAGAAGAGAAAAGAAAAATCGCTATTGACAATTCTATATATAACTTATACTTTGTATATATGAATTTAGTCAAATATAATACAATTCTTCTTTATTAATAAATTTGTAGATTTAAAATGTTGCAAAAATAATTGCAAATCCTTGTTACAAATTCGCGTATGAAATATTTTTGAAATTTTTATCACAATAATAATTATATAGGATAACCACTATTAATTAAAATTTATGTACAATATAAATGATAGATTAGAAACAAATGATAAAGAAATATTCACAATACTATATATTGGTAATATACCACAATGGAAAGATATAATAGCATATGGAGTAGAATGGGATGATTCAACAAGAGGTAAAAACAATGGTGATTTAAATAAAGTTGATTACTTCACGCCAAAAGTGCCTAATTCTGGTTCATTCATAAAATCAACAAACTCCAAAATATTACATATTAGAAAATTATTCACTGATGTACTTCAACAAAATTATATAAAAGCTGAATATAAAGAACAAAATTTAAAATTTGGATCAAAATTAGTTGAAGAAATTGGATTAGATAAGATAAATTTTAATAATTTTGAGACTTTAAACTTAGATCATTCACTTATTTATGAAGCCGGTGATGATGTTGTACAATTTAAAGGAAGATTCGAGAATGTAAAGTATTTGGATTTATCATCAAATTTATTCACTGAAATTAATGAGATTTTTAAGATTATTGATATTTTCACAAATCTAATTCACTTGGATTTAAATTATAATAGATTTTCCAATTGGCTTGAGAATGATAAGAAATATGAAACGATTACTACTTTAAAGGTGGGAGCTAATTATTTATCAATTACTCAAGTCAATCAACTACTGAATTGTTTTCCAAATTTACAAAAGCTTCATTTGTTAGCTAACTATTATACTAATGATGATATAAAGTTACTAGATGTAAAGAATTTAAAATTATTGGATTTATCATACAATCATTTAACTAGTATCCCTAAATTAAATGTGTCAGAATTGAATTTATCTCACAACAAGATCTCAATAATTGAATCAGAACCTATACTATCATATGAATCACTAGATTTAAGAAATAATGAAGTAAGTTCTTGGGAAGATTTAGATAATTTAAGTATAGTATCACCAAATTTAAAAGAATTAAGAATTAATCATAACCCCATATTTGAAAATCTATCAATTGATGAAATGACAATGCAATTAATTGGGAGATTTAATGGATTGAAGAAATTAAATGGTGCAATTCTATCAAAAGATGAAATTGAAGATGCTGAATTATATTTTATGAATTATATTTTAGAAAAAAAAGTTCAATCAAATTTATTTAAAATTAATAATAATCAAAGATTTAATCAATTATTGACAAAATATAATAAAGTTGAAGATATTCAAGTTGTATCTGAGATCAAACCATGGATAAAATTACAAATAATAAATTCACAAAGTAATTTACTTATTAATTCATTAATTTTTCTTAAATCAACATCAATTTTAAGATTTAAAGGAATTATTTCAAAACAATTACAAGATTTATCAATTCTCGAGTTTAAAATTTTTTATTACATAAATGAAGGTACAAATTTTGCAAAAAAATTTGAAATTGAAAATTATTTAGGTACATTAAATGATTATTCATTATCAAATAATCAAAATATTTATATATCATTATTATCTTAGCAAGCTATTCTTCATGAGTCCATAATCCATCACCTAAATAATGTATTAATTCAATTCCAATTCCTTTATTCTTTGTTTTAATATCATCAATACTCATAATTAATTTCCCAATAGCTAAAGCATTTTCTTTATTTTCTGCATAAACAGTTACAATTTTACCTTCTTCCCAATTTTCTTCAGGTAATTTTGCTCCTTTTGATGTTAAACCTGGACACATTATATTTGCACCCCCCAAGACAAATTTTATAGCTCCTTTATCTACTTGAACTTTTGGAAATAATTCTGGAAATTTATGTACAGTTTTTAAAGTTGGTACTATATCATTAAAATGTTGAAATAATATAATTTCTGAACCTTCTTGATCTTCTTCTTCTTGTGGTAATTCTGGATCCGTTATTAAATCAGATTTATTTATTGAATATAATTGAATTTTATCTTCACATTTTATTAATATAAGTTGAGATTTTTTAGGTATTATATTATCAATTGCATTTTCTAAATCTGGATATGTATTTACAAAATTTGATTTTAAACCTCTTTGAACTGATGATTTTATATTTGATCTTGAATGAATATCATCTTTTGAGAATTTTTTAAACATAGTTAGGTATATATTTGGGTAATTGGTATATGATGATTATGTATGATGTTTCTTTTAATTTTAAATCTTCACAACGCAACTGAAAAAAAAAAATTACAGTCTAAATTTTTCAACCAAAAAGAATACAGAATATCAAAATAATCTACAAATTCAAAAGAAGAAATGTAAAGATTTATAATTACAATGCCACCATCCAGCCTATAAAACCTTGGTGTCATCGCACTCAAAGAAAATCTTTAAAATTCAATTTTGCCCATTACTTCTTTAAAAAAAAAGTATCCAGCTCAAGATTTGGTTAATAAATAAGTAAAATAAACAAAAAACTAAATCGAGCGAGGTACAAGGCTAATAATAACTTTATAAATTTCAAAGTATTTTACATATTGGTAATGTTCATCACTACATCAACACCTAAAAAATTTTGAATAGTTTCTTATATCTTTCGAAAATTAAAACCAATCACCACAACAAATTGATTGACTGATTAAAATATTTTCAAATGATATACTAATAATAAAAGTTTTTCCAAAAATTCCCTTAAATTTCATAAATCACAAGGATTAGAAAATTAAGAAGCTGTCAGGTTTAAAGTTTTCAACCAGCAAAAACATGATCTCGGACGAATCCTCACTGAAACACGTAATGCCCCTGCATAAAGATAGAGAAGAAAGAAAAGAAGAAGAAAACAAAATTGAAAAAAAAAAAATTAATTTTGGTGAAACAAAATTTATATCACCAAGAAAATATGATCCTGTATGTAAGGTAATAGTATACAATTTGTATATACAAAGAATGCAAATTAAGAAGTAATAGATTATATCTTTATATATAATGAGCAATAACATCATCTAAATCATCATCAAGGTCATCGAAATCATCAACAGAATCTTCCGGTTTTACTTGTGGTTCAATTGGTGTTGACGATACAATTTTTGGTTTTAAAGGAGTTGATTTTGAGTAGTGAGATTCAATTTCTTTTTTGACTACATCTTTGGTAGGTTGTTGTTTCAATTTTTCTATTATATCTGATGTTCTTGGTTTTTTGATCCCTAAAGATTTCTTTTTAACTGTGAATGGAGGATCTTTTGAATTCTGTTGTAGTTGATGTTCTTCTTCTTCATCTATTAATATTCTTTTGGTAGGTGGGTTTTGATTCTTGATGATGTTCGTTTGTTTCTTCATTCCCAATGTTTTCTTTGGTTGTTCAACAACTTCTAAAATTTCTATATAATCATCATCACTGAAAGGAAAAGTATCAGATTTATGGACTGAATTTGAACTTTTTAGGTCTACTTCATTTTCATCTTGAATAAATGATGTTGCAGGAGTATTTGCATGTTTAGCTTCACCTTCATCATCTTCGCTAGACTCGATTACCTGAACCTTTGAAACAACATCTTTTCTTGGGGGTGGTGGTTTATGGAAACTATTTTCCATAGATTTTTCAAAATCACTATCTGAATCAAGTAAATCTTCAAAAATAGCATCAGCTTTAGGTGTAGCTTTTGGTGTGGTTGGTTCCCTAGGACTATTAGCTTTTGCTATTTTCAACATATCAGAAACATTTTGAAATCCAGTTTCAACATTATCTGGCATGAAAAATCTTTTTTGATGCTTTTGTTTTGGACCCAGTTTCTTGGATGATTTAGGAGTATTTCCCAACATATATTGAGTTGCAATTCTAATAATTTCATCTTCATCTTCTTCTTTCTTCAACTCGATATTTTCTTCAGGTATTTCGATAAATTTTTCAACAACTTCTGGTGAATAATGATTAGGTAGAATTCTATTCTGTTGACATAATGTAATCAAATCGCCTTTCATTATATGACTTTGAATATATTCATAACCTGCCATTGCTTTATCAAATTTTGTTTCTTCATTACTTGAAAATAATAAAAGTACTTTACCATCCCTTTTACGACCAGTTCTACCCATACGTTGAATATTTTTAATCGGAGAAGCAGTTGAATCATAACATACAATTAAATCAACTTCACCTATATCTAAACCTTCTTCACCAATTGATGTAGCTACTAGAATATTATAATCACCTTTTTTAAATTGTTTGATGGTTTCTTTTTGAAGTTTTTGATTCATACCACTTATTTGTGCATTTTCAGAACTAGTTCTGGTAGTGTCTCTATTTTCATCTTTATCTTTCTTTTTCTTAGTTCCTTTCTTTTTACCATAATTATCTTCATCAAATTTTTCTTTTTCTTTAGCTTGCCCAATGAAAATATGAGGTTTCAAATTACCACCAACTTTTTCAATACTTTTAACAATTTCCAAAGCGGACTCACGATATTCTGTAAATACAATTACTCTTGAGCTTGGATCTTCTCTATCTTTGAAAAAATCTTCCAATTCTTCCATTAAAGCTTCAATTTTCGGATGACTATAGGCACCATCTTTTAATATCGTATCTCTCTTTTCAATTAACTCTTTTATTGAATCACTGAAAAAAAAATCAGCACTTAATTTATTTTTAGATTTCTTTTTATTCCACTTAGTTGTAAATTCTGTATATTTGTCCATAAAATAACTGAAAAAAGAATTAACACCGTAAATATTCAATCTTTTATAACATTGACCAACGACTCCAAGCAATTGCAACAGGAAATAATTTGCCCATTTAAGACCTTCAGGTATAGATTTATTCATTACAAGTTTTCTAGACGCGTCCATACATCTAAAATGATTAATCTTGGTTGGGTCTTTAGTATCAATTAATCCCTTGTCATTAGCGGCTTTTAATACAGGTTCAATTGCAGTTGCTAACAAATCAACACATTCTTTAATCTCTGAAGATGGTCCCAAAACACGTCTACTCATTTTTTTCCTTTTCATATATTTAACAATATCAATACTTTGTTCAGTTCTTACTTCAACTTTTGAAATCTTTAAATTATCAATAACATCTTGAACTCCTTCAACATCAGCTGCTGGAGTAGCAGTAAGTGCCAAAGTTCTAAATGAATCATTGAATCTTCTTAAAAATGTAACAACATTATTATATGAATAATTACCTCTTGCTCTATGAGCTTCATCAATGACTAGTAAAACAATTGATTTTGGATCTACTACACCCGAAGCTAAATCATTTTCAACAACTTGTGGAGTTGTAAAAAATACTTGACGTGAATTCCAAATATCTTCTCTATTTTTTCTTGTTTTATCTAATAAGATTGCAACTTTTGAACTTGATATTCCTGTAATTGAACAACATGCTTTAATTTGTTGTGCTACTAATGGTTTTGTAGGGGCCACAAATATGATCTTGGAATTGGGAAACCATCGTAGAAAATTTAACATTACTGTTGATGCTATGAAAGTCTTACCTAAACCAGTAGGTAATGCAACTAATAAATTATCGTAAAATGCTTTTCTAACTATATTATATTGATAATCTCTAATTTCAAAATTTGTTGGATATATGTAAGTTTTCAATTCATTAAAATCCATTTCATGATGTGTAGGTATTGTAAAGATTGGAGCTGATGGAGATGTTGTAGATGTAGTATTATCTTGTTGTTTTAAATATTTCTTTAATGTTAATGGTTTGGAAGACTGATTTTTGTTAATTGCATATTGTACTATATCATCATCATCCAGAAAATCCCAGTCTTCATCAACATCATCAGCCATCTTATCTATGAATTGAATATATTATGAAATGAATTGGTTGATCTGTGTTGTAAAACTTGATATTCAGATATACAATACGCGCTTTTTGCAACACATAAATATTTATATAGAGAAATGAGATTTGACTACACAAAAATTTATAAAAGTAGCATGAAGTTTTATTCATTAAACAATACTTATAAATAATCTATTCAATACCAAAATTATCGCCTAATAAACCATCTAAATCAAATTCTTTTGCCCATGTATTAACAATAGTAGTTTGTTCAACTTTTGGTGGTTCTTTTTCTCCTCTTAATGAACTTTTTGGTGCATTTAAATCAACTTCCTCATTGGCAACTGAAGCTTTTGAAGATTTTGGTAATGTCCAACCAATTAATCTACCATCTCTCCAATCATTTAATACTGACATTGCTGCTGATTCTAAATTTGGTATTCCTCCCTTACCTAATCTACCTTTTGTTCTTGCTATATGTATAAGAAAATGTTTTGTAAATTCGTTAATATCTGATGATGGTAATGGTGGTAGTTCATAATATTTTTTTAATCCATCGGCCATCTCTGTATTATTTGAGAATTTTTTCAACAATAATTGAACGGCTGTTGTTGGATCATTTATTTGTTTTGGTGGGATAGCAGATAATAATGCTAATTTTGCCATTTGTTGCAGTTTTGATTGTTTTTTACTTGTTACTTCATCTGGAAATACTATACCTGGCGAATCTAAAATTTTCAATTTATTGTCAATTTTAACTTCTCTTAATGAGGTGGTAACACCTGCTTGATTTCCAACTGGACATGCTTTCGAATTGTTGTTGTGTCTCTTGGTTAATGCATTTATAATTGATGATTTACCTACGTTTGGATAACCTATCACACCTACTATTATTGATCTTTTCAAATTTGATTTGTTTGCATAACTTTTTAATGCTTTTAACAATGCTTCAGCAGTTGCAGCACCTGTTAAATTTTTATTGAAAGATGAAGAATTTGTTGCACCTGGTGACGCTTTAACAGGTATAGTTGGGAAGGATGATTTTAAAAAATTAAGCCATTGAGTTAATGCTTCAGTGGGTATTAAATCAACTTTATTTAATATCAATATAAGTCTTTTACCTGGATTTTGTAATACTGCTTGTTCGACTTTTTTCGACCTTGTAAATTCTGGATCTCTTGCGTCCAATACGTAAAGTATAACATCCGATGCATCAACGACACTTTTGAAAATTTTATCATATGATTTTCTTGATTTTTCTAAATCTCCTGTGTCTTCTTCATCTTCAACATCACTTATTTCAATTTCTACATCTTCATCTTCGTCTATCATTTCATCATCATCTTCGTCATCTTCCCCATCGTAGTTTTTCGCTGCTTGTTGTGCGGACTCTAATAATGCTGCTAATCCATTTGCTCCATCATCTCCTTCTTCTAATTCTTCATCTTCTTCAATCTCAATATCTACATCTTCTCCTCTTGCTAATGCTTCTTCTTTTTCTCTTTGTTTTTGTAACTTCAATTCTTCTTTTCTTTCTTTATCCAATCTTCTTGTTTCTTCTAATTCTGTTATGATTTGATCTTTATATGGGAAACTAGCTGGAATACCTGGATCTTTTCTATGTCTAGATTTCCAAGTTACATCTTTTTTAGCTATTTTTTTATCTTTTCTTCTCTTAGCTGCTGCCTTTTTCTTTATACCTTCTCTCATACGGGTTGTTACCCTTTTTGAAGTTGGTTTTTTGACTCTCATTTTGTTGTTGATCTATTGATATTTGTATGTTTAAAAATTTAGTGATTCTTTAAAGTGAAATCAATATAAATGAGATGGTCTTCTAAATTTTCTAAGTACAAAAAGAGGGAAACAGAGAAGTAGTAGAAAAATGTTACACAAAAATTTGAAACATCCGTACATACTTATTTTGCAGTCATTTTTCTATATATCCAGTTTATTCAACTGACTTTATCAATCATCATAGAAAGCATCTTTTGTAACTAAAGGTACAATATCAGTCTCATCACTCTCAAACTCATCTACAACAGAAGTTGTTGAAGGTTTAAATCCCTTATGGAAATTATGTTTCCTCTTCTTTATTTGTGAAGGATTCAGATATCCTACATGTTCATCAACATGTAATTTGGCCATTCCTATCATTCTCTCTCTATCAAAAGTATCTTTTGACTTTGTACCTTCTTCATCCTCATCGTTCTTTGGCTCTTCCTTTATATATCTGATTTTAGCTTTTGGTTTTGTTTCAGTTGATGGACCTTTTAAAATTGAACCTAATATACCTCTCGGTTTTTGTAATTCTAATTCAAGCATCATATCTGTTTGTGATAATGCTTGTAATGGAGTAATTGCTTGTTTATTGTTTATTTGAACTCCGCCCTTTTTTTCCGTTTTAGCTAAGACTTCATCGCTTTTTCCATTATTTACTCGAACGTCACCTTCTTTCCCAGTTTCAGTGTTTGTTTGAACTTCTCCATTATTTGGTTGATTTGTTGTAGGCTGTGAATTATCAAAAGGTGTATTCAAAGGCATTTCTTGTAATTCCTTTGACAATAATCTATTTAATATTTTCTGTTTAACTGTTGTTTTAAAATTATCTCGAACTGAAGGTACTTTCCACATCACATAATCGGTAGTCTTCTTCACATCTTCCGGCGTGAATGCAATCTCTATTGAATCTTTGAAAGGGAGAATTGCTGATTGAATACTTGTAAAAATAAATAGCCAAATTAAAATAGTATTGATTTGATAAAACATTGACGATAAATAGCAGGTGATGGCAATACTATTAAACAAAAGAGAAGTCTTAAAATCTGTTAAACTTGTCTAAAGTTGATCTATTATTTTGTTATGTAAATCTCTCTATAATATATAGTCTATACTTTTTTTATGGCATCTTAGATCTTGCTAAAGATGAATTACTAACACTTCTTGAAAGTGATTCCCTGCTGTTATTTTCTGAAAATTGATAAAACGAATTTTTTTTAGGAACCACAAATGGTTTGTTTATAAAATTATTAACTCTTGGATTAAAATGCTTGGACTTACCATTTGAACCTCCTGACAGCAGATCATCATACCCTTGGTCCAATCCAATTGCCAGTCTTGTTCTTAGTACCGAAGCATCACCTGTAGCTTGTTTTGGAGAAGATTCAACTGATGGACTAGCACCAACTCCTTCTTCCAAATTATAGTCTTGTTCTAATTGTTGATATATTGCAAAATTATTTGCAAATTTTTCTAACCCCGGTATTTTGGAAACAACTACGTTTGCTCTTCTTCTAATTTCAATAGGTACGTGAATTCTTTTTAATTTACCTTTCCATCTTCCAAAATGTCTTGAACCAAATGAATATATAAAAAATGCTAATAAAAAGAAAAATGTTATTGAATAAATAAAATGGCCTAATTCACCATCTCTCTCATCATCACTATCATCTTCTGATAAATGACTCTTATTGTTTATAACACCTCCTGGTACAAATGATTTTCCTGATATTTCACTTGGGTAAATACCAATATCCAATGGCTGCTTGTCAGTTGGGTCGATTTGAGATGATGCAAATAGTAGAATTTTACCCAAAGTCCATGATAATTCTTCACCTTCAACAGAATCAGCTGACTTAAATGGAACATGTTTGTTTGTAACATCCTGAGAATCTTTATCTTGTTCTTTATCTGAATTTAACTCGAATCCAATTCTTGGTAATTCAAATCCTTCATGTAAAATATTCATAACCCAACTTGCTTTAAAACAAGCATCCTTTAAAAATTTATCTGGGTCAAGTCCTGAATAATCACCACCATTTGAATTTTTCAATATATCATCCCATTTACTTTCACAATATTCTTTGACTTTAATGTTAAACCCCTTATAATCATATTCACCACCACTATGAAATATATCATTTGCAGTATACCAATATTCAGATATTCCAACAAATTTATCTTTCTCGAAATCAAGTTTTGGACCGTGGATACCATTGAATAAACAAGGTTCATCATCACACGGTATACTTTTCATCAACAAAGGGTAAATTGACTTTATACACATTTCATAATTCCCCACACCATTGATTTTATAAGTTTTTCCTTCGTAATCATAATCTAAAGTTGCACCTTTTGGTAAACAAGGATCATTTAAATGCCCTTGTAATTCTTCTTGATTTACTAATGCTAAATTTATTAATTGTTGTATAAATCTTTTACGAGCTTCATTTGCACCAAAGCCTAACCAAGTTGCAACAAATACATCCCAAGTTTGAGTTTGACCATCTATATTTCGTAGTAAGACTTTTGATAAATCATTATTATGTTTTTTAATTTGTTCTTCAGATGACGGTACAAATGCAATTTGAGTGGAAGCCCCTCCCATATCCATAAACCCAATTGATTCATGATTTGCTTGTTTTGTATCATAATTTTTAAATTGACCCATTAAATAATTTAAACCTAACCAACCATATATTCCTTCAGTTGATCCATCTATAATTTGAACAAAATCATCACAGTTTGGTAATAAAAAATTTGTGTTTTCTCTTATACTTGAACAAGTTTCTGATAGTATTTTACTTTGAGTATTTTTAGGTAATAATCTCATACCAGCTGTACTTAGCACAAATACTGGAGTTTCAGAATGTTTTTCAACAGGTATGATTTTTTCAGCAAATCTCATTAATTCCAGATAATGATTTGACCATATTTGTTTTATTTTTTTATTTGTATTATATGTAGATATACCAGGACTTATTTTTTTAGTCCATTCTTTTTCTTGAGTAATTTTTGGTGGTGATTTTAATATTTCTAGATCTGAAGATTTTAGTTGAGTTTTGGGATCTATCCATTTATAAATTTGTATACGAGAACCAGATGATCCGGAATCAATAACTATACCAAATTTATCATCTTTATAGTTCAGATTAGATCTGGAATCAATGTCCAGCATTGTAAGTTAAAGGTGGTATTAAAGTTATTTGATTAAAAAATTAGTAATACCATTATTATTGAGATATTGATATTTGCGTGTCAGTAATAAAAATAAAAGAAGCGGCTTTAACTTTTATTGTCACTAAATAACTAGAGACACAAAAAAGTTTACGACATATAAGCTTTCAAAATATGGTAGCTACTTTTTCATCTGATAAAATTCAAAATCTGAGACAATCGAATTATGCGGATAAACGTTTTATTCATAAATTCATTATCTGATATCATAATATAATATTTGAGAGATAACGAAATTTATTAATTAATTTGATTTTCCATTGATATCAAAATCAATCAATCATGATTGTACTACCAAATACTCCACCATTACCAATTCAATTCAAAGATCCTAAGAATTTATCAAACAATATTTTGACACAAAGAACTTCATTATTTGTTGCTAAATTATCAAATTATAATGAATCAATACAATATGTTTTAAGTTTAGAAGAATATCTAAAATCATTAATTGAATTTTCAAAATCAAATAATATTACAAATACTATTATATGTTCAAATATTCCTTGGAATAATGTCAGTCATGCAAAGGCTAAAACAGCAAATATATTCAAATCAAAGTCCGCAAATACGTTTCAGTGGAGTTTACTAAATGAGATAACAATATCGCTAATATCAATTTCACTAATATATAATAGAATAGCATCAGAATTAATTAATGATACAATAAACAAAGAAGTTGATCCACCGGAAAAACCAGAAGATTATAATGAAAATTGGAAACAAATTACGAAACTTTATAAAAAATCAATTTCCATTATGCAATATGCAGAAAATTTACAAGTGAATAATAATCAAAATATAGATGAAGGTACTGTTGAAATCAACTTAATGTTAATATCATTTGTACAAAAGATTAGTGATATATCAATTCAAATGTCAATCTTATCAAAATTTTTATGGATAAATCGAAATTTAATCAATAAAAATCAAGATATAACAACAGATAATAATATAACACTATCAAAAGTTGCAATTTATTGTATGAATGAATTAGATTCAATTTCAAACTTAATAAAAGACTTCCAATCTTCATTTAAAGTATCTTCGGAGTCCAGAACAGGGATAGTGAATTTAAATTATACAGATTGGGATGAATACTTATCAATTATCAAAAAATACATTGCAGCATATGCTGGTTTCTTTCTAGCTATACAAAATTACAAAGAAGATAAATTAGGTAATGCCTTAGGATTGATTCAGTTTAGTTTAATTTCCTTACAAAGTAAGAACAACCTTGAACCATCATCGTTACTTAACAAAAAGATAACACTACAAAAATTCAAAAACAAAATAATAGCAAGAAAAAATGAAAATATACTATCAAATTTAAATTCAGTATCAACATTAAACTTAAACAAATCAGCATTCAATGAAAAATCAGGTATAGTTTTAAATGATTTATCTTACTTATACGATCAATTAATCAAGCTAAATATTAAATTTTTATCAGAAAATAATACATTAAAGTTTGATGATATTACTCACTGGTCATCAATTAACAATGATTCAAAATGGCCCATAGGTTGTAAAATTCCAATATCAAATATTGAACCATTTGATCCTTTGGAAAATGAGAGTAATAATTCTGGAAATAATGAGTATTCTGGTCGTGGAGCTTATTATTAAAACTACATTACTGAAAAAAAAAAATAAAAGAATTGAATTTTTATGTAATTTTCTATATAATTTTTTATGTAATTTTTTATGTAATTTTTATTTCTTAAAACACTGAATTAAGAAAACCAACCAAAGAATTAAAAATGCTGACTTTAAATGTAAAACATTGTATTTCTGATATTTTGAGCAACATTATCACCTAATTTCTTTTTATAAATATCAACAACGTTACCACCTTTATCAGCCTTCATACCAGAACCAACATAACATCTACCCCTTGTACATAATAAATCAGCATAATAAGCAGCTGGTACAACTTTAACACTTTTTGTTGCTCTTCCAAAAGTATGACATAAATTATAAGTAATATTTTGAATTTCATCAGATTTATAATTATTTTCATCATGTAAAACATAATAATGAGCCGGTATACCAGTACCTTGTAAAGCTTGTTGTGATTGAATATAAAAATCAAAAAATGCTATGGATGTAATATCACGATCAACAACTGTACCAGGAATAACATTATCATTTGACATAACAGCAACTTGTTTTTTAGTTGCCAAGTTGGTACTATTTTTATCTAATGGAATGAATCTAGTTTGATGACGTTTAACCACAATCATGAATGTAATTTTTGGATTATAGTTTGATAAATTTTTACTTTGTCCATATTCTTTGAAAGCTGCTTTAACATGAGTTAATTCTTGTTGTAAAACTGTATAATATTGACCTTCTGATACACCATCACGATAAAATAAAACTTTTGAAGGTAATTGACCAACCTTTTTATGGAAATTTTCTAAACTTTCTTTAACCATTGGTTTGATTTCACTAATAACTTCTTGACCACCAGTTTGAACTCTAATTGAACCAGGAAATTTGTTAAAAATACCATCTTCACTTCCAACAACTGAAGCAACTGATACTGATTCTGAATTTTGTTGACCTGTTGGATGAGTAACGTCAGCACCTAATATAAAAACTGGAACTTTCTTTTCATCAAATAACCCAACGCTATCTTGAGCAGATAATTTGTGATTAGAACCACCTAATTTTAAATTAACTTTCATAGCAACTTGAGCAAATAAATTAATATCAAAATTATCACCTCTTTTTTTTGCAAATGTATCAAGAATAACACAACTATTGATAATACCAATTGTTAAATCACCAGCTCTTTTAACTGCTCTATATAACATAGTTTCTTTCTTAGGTAAAACAACCATCATGTAATCAACTTTATCTTGAGATTTAGCCTTTTTGAAAACACCTGCAATACTTGCTTCTAACCCTTCTTCAGTAGCAACAGCACGATTATCAAGATCAATTGAATATTTCTTAAATTTATCACCATCATTTTTAATACCCAAACGATTTAATTCATTAAAAAATTTGGAAAAAGCACCTTGTAAATCACCTAGTTTCTTTTCAGCATATTTGTTTTTCAAAATACATACCCCAAAATTGTATTTTGGTTTACTCTTCGGTGATTGAATAAATTGAACATTTTCTAAATTCCAGTTACCTTTCTTAGTTTCATTTCTACCATTGAAAGGTTCTTCTTTATACATAATCTTTTTAGCTTTATACTCAATTGTTGGAGCACTTAAAACTCTTGAAGGAACTTTTGTAAATTTTTTATCAATTTCACCAAAATCAGCTTTACTGAAAACTGTATCATTAGCTTGACTAATTAATTTTGCTTTATCCATTGGTCTTAAAGCAGTTAATCTAATTAAAGTTCTTGTATCCCAAACTTCACCTTTATACTGTTGATTTGGTACAATATAAGCAACTTCCATTGGTAAATAAGCAGTTGGACCAATTTTTAATAATGGTAAAATTGGGTATTTTAATTTAATACCCCATCTATCAGCAAAATATCTAGTAACATTAGTTTCTTTACCATTTTCTTCAAATTTTAATGAATTTGCATTTTCTTTAAAATTGAAACCTTGAACGCTTTTACCGGAAATTTTCTTTAAATAACTTCTGTAAACTTTGACACCTTTTAAAAAAGTTTGTAATTTTTTAAAATCATTTTCAGTAGGGACAGTATTAATTTTCAAATAATCTTTGACTAAATCAATAACATTCATTGGTTCACCATTTGGTAAAAAAGATTTATAAAATATAGCAGGAGTTGGATTCATATTAATTCTAACATTACCAAATGAACATCTAACTGAAGCAAAAGTTCCCAATGCAATATTCAAACCTTGTTGAAACTCTTCCATTGGAGTTTTATTATCAAACAAGAAAAATTTGTTTGAACCTAAACCAACAACTTTTTGATTTTCTAAAACTTTTGCACCAATAACTGTAACTAATGCATTTGTATATTCAGCAACATCTTGAAAATCTTTTGTATATTTTTTCAAAGTTGTAAATTTCATTAAATCATTAAAATTTAATTCTTTAACATATTGCATTTTAACTGATAATCCTTTATCTTTAATTGGAAAAACAACAACATCTTCAATTGGCAATGGTGAACTTGAATACATCATATTATAATCTCTATAATAAATTTGATGTCTTTTACTTTTAAATGGTTCTTCAGTTAAAATATAATCAAACATCGCTTGTTTTATAGTCAATTTTGGTTTTAAAGGTGCTTTCCCTTTTTCTTTTGATTTTTTGGAATCACCAGCATTGTCTTGTATATCAACATTATAAAGATATAATTTTAAACCTTCAACTTTATAATTAAGATAATTTGTACCAACATCAACTTTAATACCTAATGATCCATAATCTTTTCTTAATAATATTTCATGAGGATCATCTTCAATTTTAACTTTATTTTCCTTCTTGTATGATTCAATTGCTGGTATTGCATTTAAATTAGATGCTTTTTCTTGAAATTTAACATCAACATTTCCGATTTTTGATAAACTTGAACCACCTTGTCCACCTCTACCTCCTCTTGCTCCACCTCTTCCTCTACCTCCACCACCTCTATCAAATCCTCCTCCTCCTGAGCCTCCTCTACCACCTCTACCTCCACCTCTACCTCTACCTTGACCTGAACTCATTTTAGTATTATAATAAAACTACTTGATTATAGATCAGATCTTGGAAAAAAAAAATGAGTTTGAGTTAACAATAATAGATTCAAATTTGACTATAAGTTCGATGAATGAGCCAATCTAGTTGAGTAGTTTGATAAAGTAAAGTATAATTTTATTGAACTTATAAATTGTATCAAAATGAATTAAAAAAAATTCAAATTTAAGGATATTTAGTTCATTATTTATATACTGTATCTAAATGTACTGTAAATTAGTTTAGTAGTGTTATTTATATATAGTACTAATATAATACTAATAATATTTATAATTTTGAAACTTCCTATTTAATTACATTTATTTTAGTTTAAACATTAAATCAATAAAATATTGGTTTCAGATATTCAAATCAATAAAAGATATATACTCAAAAATTTCAGTTCTCCTTAAGTTATACTCTTTACATTTCTTGTAAAGAATAATTAATAATATTAAAATCGTTATCTACAAGTAATTTTTTCAAGAAATTTATTCTGTTACAATTATTATTAGATGAAACTTGTTTCATTACTCGAAATCACTCAAAAGTTGAATTAAAGTTGAATTACTCTGCTAATAAAGTGTTTGGAATATTAAAAAATAATGATCTGAAACAGACACTATAGTTAGTTCAAATTTGATACAAAATTTCTTTTTAAATAAATTAGTTGGATTATGAATTTTCATCAAATATTACAAGAAATATTATTTTTCATCTGAAACAACAAAATGATTAGCAGTGAGATTACTATTTTGTTTCATCACTCTTTTATAATATTGAAGATTATTCTAGACCGTTTCATGTTTTTTCTTACCATAACAAGGAAACAAAAGAAATTTTACTTTCTAAAAAAAAATAAAAAAATTGACGAGAATCTAAATCTGAAACAAATTTTTCATGCATTAAAACAATAGAAAAAAGTAATTAGATCTTATTTGATTCAAAATTGGGGAATCTTTATTAACTGTTGAAAAAGTGACCTACAATTCATGTGATTTAATTAGACGAGCAAAAGGGGCGCGTACATTATTGAACTTCATATTAAGTATTACGTCAATATAAAGCCATAATAATTTAACTAAGGACCGCAAGGCTCCCATTGAAGATGTCGACAGTGATTTAACTTAGTTAATTTGGGTGTTGGGTCTTCGGATCATTCTGGTGTGACGCCTTTCAGAGGATTTATCTTCCGAAGGGACTTTGACTAGCGATTTGAATGTATAGGGTTTTAGTGCATACATTATCAAGTATGGTGGTGATAACTATCTTTTTGAAAAAGGATGCTTTTTGATTGACTTTTTTTTTTTTCAACGGGTAATTGTTTTTTTTTAGATCTTGAGATGTTTTCTTTTTCGGATAGGTTATAATTGACAATTTATTTTACTTTTGATTTGTAGATTGATTGAGCTTTTTTTTTCTATTATCTATGCAGCTATCTAAGAGAACCTCGAGGTGTTGCGGTACGGATGTTGAGGTACAAAGGTTGCGGCACGGATGTTTTATTATGTTTTTATGCAAAATAAACGAAAATCTGTTCATAAACTATAAAGACTTGATAATAAATGTACAGTAACAATTAAGGAATGTTGTTCTCACGTCGGCTTTTACTGCGCATTGACGACAAACCATCAATAGTTTTTGAATAGTCTTTGTTATGTCCGCCTGCTGTCGGCTCTGTTAAAATGGGGTCCAGTCAGTGTCCTCGGACTTGCAATAATTAACAATAAATATAATCAAAATAGATTAATAGCAAAATCATATGTCGTTCTTTTGATAATTGTAATATATGAGTAATTTTAATGCATGCTCTATAGCTTATGGTCCCGTTACCATGAATCATTAATAGATTTTGATTTTGGACTAGAGATATGTCATCTAAATGAGCAGTAAAGGTGAAGCAAGTGAAATTCTAAGGATCACCATCTTGTAATGAAGTTGTAAAATAAGATACAAAAATATGTAATAAATTAAACTTACAGACAATATAAATACTATACTTTCTTTGCTTTGAATTAATTGAACAAAAAGTCAAACTACAAAAGATCATCAACTGTCAAATCTGCTTTATCAACTATGATTTACTTTTCATTTTAATTGGTTTAAGTAATCAATTCTTTTCTGTTATAAATAATGTGTTTTTGGTTGTAACTTTTAAACTGAATTATATATTAAAGTAAACCCTATTAAGAACAATTATATCTTTTTCAAATTATCAAACTTGTTAAGAAAACGAATACAATACTGGATTCTACTATTCAAAAAAGGAAGTTTTACTGGATACTTGAACAACTGATATATTGAGTTGATCTCTATACTTATAATCAATTGCTTAACAAAACCTTTGGTGGTAGTTACAGACGCGTTTCCGGTACTGCTACGTGGCTTTTACAAAATTACGTACTTTTCAGGGCTCAAAAAATTCCCAGCACCTGACTCAAAAACCGGAATTCTGTTTATCTTCCAAGAATTATAAATTTAAAAGTGAGACAAAAAAACATTTTCTTTTTTATGTCACTTTTTTATTTTCATATTATAGATAAGAAATTCAATCAACTACCTTTTTCATAGATATAAAATATCTGAAGATGCAGTAGATTGTGAAATAGGGTTTGCAGTAGCTGAAGTAATTGATTGAAAAATAGGACTTGCAGTAATATGAACTTTGGGTTTAACAAATACAATGTGGGGTTTCAAATTACTACAACTTGGGGTTTTAAAAATAATAAATACAATTTGGGTTTGAATAATAATATATATTCAACTTGGGATGCTTAGGATTGAACAACAGGTGGAGGTTGTCAATTGCCTTCCCTGTACCATTATGGTTTAATTATTTAAATGAGAAATTAGAGGTTAAACAGTTGAAAGGTTGTGGCCTGCACCACGTAAATTAATTTTGATTAATTTGGGTCGACTCTTGTGCTTGACTTGCTGGCGGTTGGGAACACTTAGTAAACGTTTAATTCTGATGGATCATTCAATGAAGGTGAAACTTTAGAATAGGAAATGTTTACAGACAATATCAAAATAAGTTTGATATTGTTTCAGCGTTTTTTTAAGAGTATAAAGTTTTATCTTTATTCTATATATTTAATTAGCTATATAGAACTACCTAAAATATTTAAGAAATTAGATTTAACAAAAACACCATCGCTTTCAATATAAATAACATTTGATTCAACTAACCAATGTAAAATTATATCAAATTCTCTGGTGCTTATTAAATTTTTTAATTTCTTGTAGATTAAATTTTTGGTTAAACCAGGATGAAAATTTATATTATATAAAATTGCAGCAATTAATGACTTCCATAATTCAGCATCTATTGTTCCATCTATATTTATCCATATATAAAAACATGGTTTATTTAATGGAACTGGTATATTATTTATAACTTCGATTTCATGAATTTCTTCTTGATTCTTGTTATTATTTTTATAAGCTATTAAATCACAATCTAATTCATCTTTATTCATTGATCTTGATTCATAACCAGTAAATGTAATTTTTTTATCAATATGAATTAATGAAATTTCATTTAATGATAATAATGATATTAATTCTGCAACATTACCTTCTTTCATTGCTTGTGATAATATTAAACCTTTCATTTGTGAAGTTATATCATCAATTGTATCTTTGAATAAATTAGCCTGTTTAAAAAAATTAATTTGATGAGAATTGATTAATCCATTAAATACTTTTTCAGTTAGTTTTAATTTTTCAGGTTCATTATCTTCACTTATATTCATTATTACACCATCATCAATTAATGATTTATAAGCTTCTGATACATTGATGGGATTAAATGATTCAAATAATTGTTTATATTGTTTTGAATTTTGTTGTTGTGAACTTTTAATAGCTGTTTTTATGACAGTTCTAATTTCTTCGAATGGTTTTGGTTTTATATCAAATTTTGTAGGGGGGTTTAAATAAAATGGAGTACTTACTAAAATTTCTTCTTTTTGAGTCATTGATTCTGATTCAATTTGTTCAGAAATTGGTTGTATAAATTCATGATGAACTTTTCTTGTATAATATTTTAAATTTTCTGCAATAGTTGAATAAAGTGGTTTATGATTTTTTATTTCAATTCTTGAAGCATCTGAATTATCCCATAGATATAAAAAAAATGGTAATTCAATTTTTTTTAAGTGTCTAATTCTAACAACTTTTTCATCAATTCCTTTATTAACAATTTTTTCAAAATCTTCAATACCTTTATTTACAGTTGCAATACCACCTACTTGTCTTCTTATTGACTGCCATAATTTTTTAATTAAAACACCAGTTGAATCTTTAAATATTTTTGCAATTTCATCGTAATTAATTGAAGTTTTATCAAATGCTTTATAGATACAAATACATCTAAACAATGAAGTAGTATCATCTTTTTCAAAAATAGTTGGATAATTGAATTGCATTTGCAGTTGTGTATTTTTGTTTTTGGATGTGGTTGTTGAAGTTACACCCTTCTTAAAATCTTCTATATCTTTGTATAATCCACCGGTTATGAAAGCATTAAATTCATCATTTTGATCAGGTTCATTCAGTTTATTTGTTTCATTAATTTCATTAGTTCTTTCAATATTATCATTAGATTCATCAACTTCATTGACTGAGTGAATATCATTTTTAGGTAATTTTTCAATACTATTCAATGTTCCTAATCTTGACTTACCTCTTATAGGTTCTTCTCCTGGGCGATTTCTTTTAAGTGCTTCTCTTGAATTACGTACAGTATACGTATCTTCTACACGACGAAGACTAGGCACTTTTCCTAACACAAAACCAACACTATTCGCAACTTTGACTTTAACTTCTTCAATATATTTATCTGAAGGTCTTGGATCATTTAAAATTAATAACTTTCTTGTAATTGGGACACCACCTCTTATTAAATCTATGGATTGTACATCTAATATACCATCATTTTGAAGTTTCAAAATATCTCTAATAATAGTTTTAGCATCTGGTTCAGTTGAAGTATTTAATTTTAAAGCAAGATTTCTACCCAATTTAGCACTTGTAAAAGTTGCTCCACCCATTTCTTTGACTATTTCAATAAGTTTTTGTCTTCTTGTATTCCCTGTGACATCAGCATCAGTAAATCTTGATCTAAAATGTTTTTTGGTTTTTGGGACAGTTCTAGTTGGTGGTTTAAGTATTGGAGTAAATGAATCATTTGAGTTGTCAATTATTTCACTTTCACTTTTAACAATTTGGACATCACTAGCTTGAGAATCGTTATTTGATTCAATGGTTGTAGGTGCTAACGGTATTGGAGTTTCTGATTTTACAGCTATTGGAGTTGGAGCTGACTCATTATCTTTGTCCTCCTCTTCTTCTTCTACTTCCATTCCATCAACCTCTTCATCCAATTTTGATGTGGATTCTTTAGCAGCTTCAAAATCTGCATCCATATCGCTATTATCTTGCTGATCTTCCACCTCTAAACTTATTGGTGGTCTTCTTGCAGATCTCGATGATCTGGCTAATGATTGAGTTTTTTGTTTTTTATTTGTTTGTTGTTGTTCCTGACCATCTTCTTCAGTTTCGATTACTTTTTTAGTTCTTTTCTTTTTATTTGTTTGTGGTTGTTCATGATCTTCTCCTTTACTTTCATTGACTTTTTTGCTTTTTCTCTTTTGCTTAGTTTTTGTAGCGGAAGCTTCAACATCGCTATCTTCATCAATGATCTCATCAGTTACTGATCTCTCAGATGATGTTCTGGAAACTTTTTTGGTCTTTGAGTCACCATTATTATTTGATGTGTCAAGAACTCCCATTTGTCTTAATACAGCTTCAGGTAGTTGAAGTAAAGGACCTTTTGGTGTAGCTTCAAGTGGTTGACGAAATTTTTTTTCAAGTTGTGCTAGACTACCAGTTAATGGTTTATATTCTGGTCTGATCTTCTTATGAGCTTTTTTTAATGTATAATTTTGATTATCTCTTGTATAGTATCTGTAATATTTGAGTCTTCCTTCAGTTTCACTTTGTTTAACAATTGCAGTTTTTGAATGTTCCTCAGGATAATCTGAGATTGGTTCTAATTTATCATCTTTTAAAATATAAGCGGTATCATTCTCAAGAATTCTCAAAATAGATTTATGTCTATAATCACCAGTAATTTGTGATACAATTTGTTTAGCAGTTAAACCATTTTTACCTGAAGCTTTAATAGCATAATATATTTGAGTTGGTAATGGGAATAAGTCAGTAAATTTTGCAATAGTCAAATTTTTGTCTTCCTCTTCATCTTCTTCTTGATTATTATTGTCATCATCATCATCATCATCTAAAGATTGATTTCTTGCTTCAGTTTTTCTCATTAAATCTAAATTTTCTAAAATATCATTTTGTTTTTGATTTGGTAAATCTTTTAACAATTTAATTGCATATAAATTTCTTTCTGGATGATCTTTATCTGGCACAGTAATTTTTTCAACGAACCCATTTTCAGCCAAAGTGTCAATAACAGCTCCGAATAATCGATTTGTTTGTTTATTGTTATGCATATTTAATTCAACTTTCAAATCTCTAAAAATTCTAATATTATTTGTTGCTGATTTTAAATCTTTTACAATATATTCTTTCAATTTACTTGGAGTTTTGATTGAATTATCTTCTTCTTCATGATTTGTATTTGTTGAGCCTGAAAACTTATAATGTACACACCAAGTACTATGTAATCTTTTTTCTTCATAAAATTTGGAAACTTTATTAATTAGACCTAATTCTTCTAATTTGGCTAATCTACCAGTCATTGATCTTTTATCTTGTCCAGTAGCTGCTGGTAAATCAGCTGCCCAAGTTCCCTTTGATCCATGTCTTGCGATTTCTTGTAATAATTGATACGGAAAAGCACCCAAAGTTTGTATAAATTTTTTATTATTTGATACTCCTGTTAAATATGCCACTTGTGTATCATCAGTTGGTAAAACTCTTAATTTTTGAGGTTGTTGTTGTTTATTAATAAAATTTTCATAATTTGATTCTATCGTTATAGGTGATTTATCATAAGTTACATAAAATTTAACATCTTCATCTTCTTTACCTTTTCTTTTACTAAAGAACAACCATCTCCAAATAGTAAGTTTCTGAAATGAATCTAATTCTGTTTCTTGATTAAATTTAATTTTAATAAATTCCCATAATTCAGAAAGTAATAATCCTTCAAAACCTGAAAATGCCAATTTCTCTGCAACAAATATTACAATTTCAGAAGGAGTGCAAGGAAATTGCAGCATTTAAATTAGACAATTGATTAACAAATAATCAAAACAATTTACTAAACAAGTTTGAATAATAATAATGTTTGAATTGGTAAAAAGGATATGATATGAAACAATGTTTTAAAATTAATGATTTGTAAATAAGTAATATCTTATTCAAGTTGTTTATGTTTATATTTACACAATAATAAATTTAATCTTTTTTTTCTTCCCCTCCATTAAATTTAAATTTATATTTACTACTAATAAGATCAAATTTTATATTGCATCATAATTTTGCAACCAAATATATTATAAATCAAATTTATATAAACAATGAGTGGGTTTGGTGATGATGATGATGATGAACCAATAACTTTATCATCTCATGCTTTAGCAGCATTACAAGAATTCAAACAAGAAGAAAAACTGAGATTAGAAAAATTTGAATCACTTTATAAAGCATCAGAAGAAAAATTTGATAATAAACAATGTAATGAAGAAGCTAATATAACTATAGATGATTTTAAAGAGGATTGGCAATTATCACAATTTTGGTATTCTGATGAAACTGCAAAAATATTGGGGAAAGCATTATTAGAAGGAGCAGATGAAGATACTATTATAGTTATAGCATCAGCTCCATCAGTTTATGCAGCAATAAAACAATTACCAAAAGATGAAATACCTACAAAACATATTTATTTATTAGAATATGATCCAAGATTTAAAGTATTAGCAGGTAATGAATATTTTAGTGTTTATGATTATAATAAACCAAATGATATACCATCACATTTAAGAAAGAAATGTCATAGAATACTAATAGATCCACCATTTTTAGAAGAAGAATGTCAAACTAAAAGTGCAGAATCTGCAAAAAATTTATTAATTCCAGAAAGTGAAAGGAACGAAAAAACTAAAAATGGAGATTTAAAATTTAAATTAATATCATCAACAGGAGAAAGAATGAATGAGGTTGTTTTGAAAAATTATCCTGGTACAAAGATGACAGATTTTTTACCAGAACATAAAAATGGACTCAGTAATGAATTTAGATGTTATGCAAATTTTGAAGGATCATACTGGAAATTTAAATAATAAAGGCTAATTTGTAAATAGAGGTATAATATATTAAGAATACAAATAAAATCGTAAATCTTTGTTCTTCCAAATCTTTCAAAAAATTACCAGGTCGTTAATATATATTGAATTTACCATAATATAATTATTAAAAAGATTAATAAAATCTAAACAATAATTATCTTATAATTTTTGCATAGCAGCAATATCAGTAGATTGAACATGATCTTCATCTTCTTCAATAGCAGCTTGTAAATCATCTAATGAAACTAAAGCATCTTCAACAACTAAATTAATTTGTAATTTTTTGATACCATAACCAACTGGAATCCATTGATGAGCACCCCAAGTTAAACCTTCCATTTCAACAGCTTTTAAGTTAGCTAATAATTGATCTAAATCAGTTTCATCATCCCATGGTTTAACATCTAAAGTAACGATGGATTTAGCAGCTGGTTTTGGACCTTTAGCAGCTTTTTTAGCAGCGTATTCAGCTAATCTTTGTTGTTTTAATTTTTCAGCTTCTTCGTCAACATCTTCATCATCTGAACCAAATAAATCTACATCATCTTCATCTTCTTCAGCAGCAGCAGCTTTAGATGGGGCAGCAGCAGATTTTGAAGCAGCTGGAGCATTACCGGCTGGTAAGTCATTGAATTCTTCAGTGAATGATGCAATGTGGTTGAACCATCTGGTGAATTGTGGATATTCTTTTTGGAAAGCTTTGTAAGTGGTTACATCAGCTTGAGTTGGTTTTGAACTAATGAAAATTTGTTAGTATAAAACTTTAGTGGTCCATCGCCAATTTTTTGTGACTCAATTCGATTCCACTTCATTGTTCAAAACGGATGTTGTACATTTTGGAATTTTTATTTTATTTAATCAGATAATAGATTTAAATCTTCTTTGTCACTCATACGGTGGGTCTTGAAGCCACCTCATAAACACGGACCAAAGATTAAGTTCATCATTATAAAAATACCAAAATAATCGACTTGTTTAATTTGAATGCAATTGAATTAATTTATAAACTCCAAATTGTAAAAAAATTTAAAATTGAATCACAATAAATATATTACACCCTTCTTTGAATTGGAAAAGCAATTGATAATTGATTTATTAAACATACCCATCAATATATGATTTATCAGCTAAGAAATCGTTTAATGATTTAATTGATTCAACTTTTGAGAAATCTGAGAATGACATCTTTGAATATTTATACAATATTAATGAATTGATTTGATTTAAAAATATGAATTAGTTGTAAATGGATTCTAAAAAAAGAAGAAAAAAAAAATTTTTATACAGAAAATGAATTTTTGTTGAAAATTTAAGACAGAGAAAACGTGAAGACTTATACCAAATTATATACAGGATTATCAGTATATTAGATTGTAAAGAATATCTTGTAACAAATACAATATTAATTATACATTTATTGATAATACCTATTAATTCAATCTATTTACAAGGGTAAATAATCAATACCTTTATTACCCAACCATTCTATAAGATATTCTTCTTGATTAACATTTTTTTCCCAAACATTTAATACAATTTCTTTTAATGAAACAGTTGTACCCATTTTGGTATTTTCATAAAGATTATCCATAAATTTAATTAAATAATTCTTTTCAGTTTCAGTTTCACATTCACATCCAATTACATATAATGGCCATACCATTTGAGTAACAAGTGAAGATTTTGGATCTAATTGATCATAAGTTAATATAAATTCATCAGTTAATTTTTGATTAAGTGATATATAATTTGTTGGTTCAATTGTTCTATTCATTGTAATCCATACAGCCAATGACCAGCATAATGCACATTTTAATCTACTTATATAATCTGAAGTACTATCTTGATCATAAGCTAAAACATAATCTCGATAATTTAATAATGAAACTTTTATTCTACTATAACTCATTGTTGCATCTTCATTTGTCAATTCATTATTGTATTTTTTATTCCTTAAAACACAAACTTCTGACATTGCTGTAAATATCTCGCCAGGACATCCCATCATTTTAATAGACGAAATTGTATCATTTGCTGTACCATACCAATGAGGTAAACAATATGGAACTCGACAGTCAGGCGAAGTAATTGCACTCACAGTATCATACCAACTCAACACAATTGATAATGATCTTCTTTTATCACTTGTCATTATAATGTTATCATAAAACTTTTGATCTTTACAAATACCTGCAAATATTTTAAAAAATTCTCTTGCTATTGAACTTTTACCTTTTTCTAATACTGCAAATAATACATGAACATTCATAAGTACCAAGATAACAAAATAACTTATATATTTTTTCAGTGTACTTTCCTCGTTTTCATCATTAATTTTACCTGAATTTTCTCTTATATAATGTATCAAGTGATCCATTGTATTATTTATATGAGCAACCCCCTTTTGATATAACTCATTACCACCAGCTCTACTTTCATACATATGAATACATGCTAGTGATATGAAACAACTTCTTGCTATATCAAAATCGCAATATTTTAAAGCTAAATCTGGCCATGGAGATTTTGGATGTCCATCTAATAATGGTAGAAGTTTATTGAAAAAATGTTTCAACATCATATTCTCTTCTTGATGACTCATTGCAAATAACGTAGATGAATCTGGTGCCGCAACCACTTCGTTCTCTTTGGATTCTATGCTATTTAATAACAATTTATGATTAGCATCAAAGATTTGAGTTTTGTCAATAAAATCAATTATTTGAAAATCAAAATTAAATAAGTCTAAAGCTGTTGATGGTGATGTCTGTTCTATATTTATCGGTAGTTGTGACTTATCTAGTGTTGATGATAATAGCGATTGTAAATCTTCAAATAATGCACTACTAAATTGATTTAAATTTGTACTTGAGGTTGCAAATGATGAATCTCCTAGATTACTGTTTTGATTTACTAAACTTTGATTATTTAAGTCTGCCTCTTGGTCATTTAATATTGATTGAATCGTATTTGGAGAATTCACCCCAGCTGGAGGCTCTACTTCTTCTTTTTTAATTTGTTGTTTCTTTCTCTTTTTACTCAGTTGACCCTCATGGAAAATATCAAATGATAATCTTAATTCATAGCCTTCACATTTCCTTCCTGTATTTTTGCAATTATTACACACTGGTTTAGTCTCATCACATTTTCTATGTCTGAAAATCTATGGTTAGTCAATGATTCTATTACCTTGATCTATTTAAAACATACCTTTTCTTGCAAGTCCAACATCCTGTTCTAACTCTAGTTATTTTACCCATAACTTTTGATAATCATTATAAAACAAAAACCAATCAAGAATTTGTAAATTAAATAATAAATTGATGTTAAATTGAAATTATAATAAATGTATGGGAATTATAATAATAAATCTTGTCATTATATTGTTTTTTTTGAATATTCTCAAGACAAAAGTTTTGACACGACACCAATCTACTTAGATTTTCAATTCTTCATTTGTTTCTCTTCAATTTGCTATCAAATTTTAACAACCTTTATGAGGTTACTTAGTCTCCTATCACTACTATCAATAGCTGAAGGTATTGCTTTTCAACCATTTGATAAATCAAAACTACATTCATCATCAATATTTGAACAATTCAATTATCCTTCATTATCAAAATCTCCCTGGAAAGTTTCAAAGTCTAAAAAATATGATCAAGGTAGAGATGAAATTGTAGAATATACCGGAAAATGGGCAATTGAGGAACCTTACAAGTATGCTGGGTTCAAAAAAGATTTAGGACTTGTTATGAAATCAAGAGCATCACATTATTCAATATCGTATAAACTACCACATTCAATAGACAATAAAAATAAAAATTTAGTCATACAATACGAGGTGAAATTACAAAAAGGTCTAGATTGTGGAGGAGCATATATTAAGTTATTAGATGAATCAACTAACTATCATTTTTTAAATTCTGAAACTCCTTATCAAATTATGTTTGGACCAGACAAATGTGGTAGCGAAAATAAGATTCATTTCATTATCCGTAAGTTATTACCAAATGGCGAATATGAGGAAAAAATATTGCAAAATCCTCCAATGGCAAGATATAATGATTTAAGTAACTTATATACTTTGATAATAAAACCAAATCAAGATTTTGAAATTCGAATTAATGGAGAAGTGGCAAAAGCTGGTAATTTTAATGGAAATGTTAATTTATTTTCACCATCTATAAATCCTCCAAAAGAAATCATTGATGAAAATGATAAACAACCTAAACATTGGGATGATAGAGAATATATACCAGATCCAAATGCAAAACCACCCAAAGATTATGAAAAATTACATCAATATCCACAAATACCAGATCCCTCAGCTATAAAACCAGAAAATTGGGATGAAGAAGAACCAAGATATATACCCGATCCACTAGCTATCAAACCTTTAAATGCTAAGGAAGATTGGAAACCACCATTAATTGTAAATCCCAAGTGTGAAACCGGATGTGGACCATGGCAACCACCTCTTATAGCAAATGCAAATTACAAAGGTCCTTGGTTCCCACCAGATATTAAAAATCCAAATTATAAAGGTATTTGGAAACCTAGAAAAATTGCAAACCCAAATTATTATGAATTGGAAAATCCAAGTCAATTGGATAAACCTATTGGTGGGATTGGATTTGAATTATGGAATATGGATGGTGAAGTATTATTTGATAATATATATTTGGGTAATTCTATTAAAGAAGCTGAATTTATTGGTAATACAACATTTAAATTAAAAGTTGAAGAAGAATACAAAATCAAGAAACAAAATCAACCAAAGATTAGGAATGAGCCTAAACCACCACCAAAGAATTTTGAGGATATATTAAACGATGATGAAATGACTACTTTTAAGCAGTTTATAATATTTATAAAATTATTTACATGGAAACAATATTTAGATTTTAAAGATTTTTATTTTGAGTTTATGATAAATCCAATTAAGTTAATTTTGAACCATCCATTACAAGTAGTAGTATATGGTACACTATTTTTGATGACAACAACTATTGTTTTCGGATTCGGAAGTGTAATATTATTTTTATTGGCATCAACTGGTACCAATAACACATCTATACAGGAGATAAGGACCAGATCAGATGACGGTGATGACATTGTTATTTTAAATGGTGGTGTAAAAAGTGATAGAATTGAAATTATTGAAGAAATACAAGATGAAAGATCTACTAATGTTGATGATCAATCGATTCGTCAAAGAGCTAAATAAATAGAAATGAAATAATGTATATAATTTTATTAATAAATTGTTCGTTAATGATTATTAAGGGGTAGAGATGTAATTGATGATAAAATATTATCAAAGGAAACCCCTTTAACCCCCTTTTTCAAATTTTCCTTAATTAAAATAACCCCAGATTTTAATTTTTTTCTTTTTAACAAATAAACTCGTGGAAAAGCAAACAAAAGTTTATCCGTTATTAGCTTAAATATACTACTAAGAATTTAAAAATTTAGAACTTTGCTACTATTCAAAGTTCATTGCAACAACTCAGATAATGAATGAAACAAGTAAACTATTATCTAAAACTGAATCAAATAATGCCGAGAAGCAAACGAATAATGAATCAATATTTAAAAAGAAGTTCAAGTACTTCTTAATTCCATCTTTATTAATAATTTTAATATTTTATAAATTTTATAATAATCAACTACAACTAACATCAACAAATCCATTATTTGGTCCATCATTAACATTACGATTATATACAAATAATATAAGATTTGATAATTTTAAATATCCTGATGCTCATGAAAAACCATGGTCAAAACGAAAAATTCAAAGTATTAATTCAATGGAGTTTCATACAGCAATTGGACATGCAAATATAATTTGTTTACAAGAAGTATTACATCATCAATTACTTGATATCTTACATGGATTGAATTCAAATGATAATGATCAATGGTCATATTATGGGGTTGGTAGATCTGATGGTGATAAAGCAGGTGAATTTGCTCCAATTTTATTCAAGACGACTGATTTTTTTGTTTTAGAAAATACCACGTTTTGGTTGAGTGAAACACCTTCAGTACCTAGTAAAGGTTGGGATGCAGCATTGGAAAGAATAGTTACAATGGTTTCATTTCAAAGTAAACTAAACCCATTAATTAAATTCAATATTTTCAACACCCATTATGATCATCGTGGTAAAATTGCAAGAAGAAAAAGTTCAAAATTAATTGTTGATAAAATGGAAAATTATAATAATTATCCTTCATATTTATGTGGTGATTTCAATACTGAACCAAGAGATGAACCATATGGTATATTAACAAGTGCTGGTTTCAAAGACAGTAGAATTTTAATCAATTCAAAATTTTCATATGGTCATGAAACTACATTTACAGGATTTGATATAACAAACGAACCATATTCAATAATAGATTATATTTGGTCACCCTATTTCACCAAGTCTCATCAATTAAGTTCAAATTCAGATATTGATACCGAAGATAATGAAATGATTAATTATTTTAACTTAAAACATCATCAATATTATAATATAGAATTAAAACAATTTGGAATATTAAGCAATTATTTAAAGGGATTTTATTTCTCAGATCATAGACCAGTAGTTGCTACTTACGAAATTACAAGGACAAAATTAATTTAAAGGCAGCTGGTTTGCAAAATAATACTATCTGAATCACCGAAATGTAAAAACCTCTTTGAAAGAGGCTGTGATTCAGCAAGGTCAATATAATAATTAGATATTTTCATAAAAAGTTATTTTATTTCAATTTTTTGACACTTGATTTCTCATTATTATTACTAATGTCTCTTATTTTTGATTTAAAATAATAATCAAACAATTAATTTCTTTTCAAAATTATAATATTCTTTATTGTTTGTAGTTAAATCGCGCTTAAACTGCTGAATTTTACATTAATAATTTCAAATATGATAATACTATCAACTTAAACGAGATCCACTTGATCAATTGTGGTACCACTTTAGGCGAGTAAGCAGTTGAAGCTCAGCGTAAATTATTCAATAGTTTTAAGCCTTTCACTTAAATCTGCAATTGTTGTATAATTTAAGCCGCTACCTCAACTTATTCTAATTAAGAGCATAACATGGAATTGGTTTTCCTGTAGAAAGTATTGCGGACATCTTGCTGATTAAAAATTTAAAAGGATCATACTACAACTAACTCAAAATACTTAAAATATCAGCTGAAGTGAAGTTTCTATAAGTTTCTACAATATAAAAAATGAAGTAATAAAAAATAATCAGGTCCTACAATAAGGTCACAAAATCTCAGGTGTAATGGAAAAGAAACTTATACTTGGTAAGACACCGTAGAATCTTAATAAAGATCTTGAATCTGACAACTTCATTTTAAAAAAATATTGAATCTGAGGTTGACGCGTAAGTTGGATTAATGTTACCACCAATTATTCTTAAGTTGTTAACAATTAATCTGTATTGGGAAATTACCAAGATAATAATTGATGATCAAATTTTTTTTCTAATCTGATTTATTATAACTGTAAATAATTATTTAGTATTCTTGATTCTAAAAATAGATTTAAATTTACTAAACCTATGTTGTAGCTTGAGGAAAAATACGAGAACTGGATATTACTAGACTTTGTCTCATCACATGCGTAAATGATTGTATGTTCTAATATTAGTTGATTTTAGCTCAAAAAAATAGTAACTGCTTAAATTTGTTTGCTTAACAGAACACACTAAATTTGCTCCGAATTACAAATGTTTAATGCTTCATTCTAGTGTGCTATCACATGGCGTACAAACTAGTCAGTACAAGGATGTTCGTCGAATTAAACGAAGAGCTATAATAGAACTCTGAGATAGAGGTAGAGAATTTAGTAATTATTCTAATACATATCGTCATATCGAAGTCACTATGAGATTAAGATCAGAACATTACTGAAAGGCAAAACAGAAAACCTTATATCTTTAATTATTACAACAATAAATTGAAACCCGGTAATGCGCAAAGACCAATAAATACGAGTTTTAAAAATGAAGCAAAATGTTTTGTTTCAGATAATTCGGGGGTAAATGTAAAGAAATGTAGTATTATCGTTAAATGAGTGAGTAAAGACAGTCCTTCAATTTGTAAACAACTTTATTATAGTTATTTTTGAAGTGATCCATTTATACTCAAAAAATATTTAATTATATTTGTATTAGCTATTGGATTGTTATAATATTATATTTATAATTAATTTTAGAGGTGATTTATAGTTTAATACTCACACGACCTTGAAATTTGATGTGATTATGGTCAATTAAATATAATTAAACCATTGTTGAGACACATTTTCCCTCGATATACGAGTTGACTGCACAGCAAACTAAATTAACCTACAGATGGCTCTGTGCCTTTCATATTCGAAATTTCTCCAAACTCAAAAATATTAAATTTATTGTATATCAAACTTTTGTAGATTTTGTTTACTTTTGAAGAAAAATAATATTTTTAAGATCTAAATTTGGTGATTTTTGTATTTAAAACTTAATATAATATTATTTTATTAAATTGTTAAAAACGTATTTATTATAAAACAATATATTATAGGAGTAAATGTGGGTTAAAGTATTTATATTTAATATAAATCCCAATTGATGAATTATTTACAATATAGTATTTCTTTTCATTTTCAAACTTTACAGTCATTCGCTTTTTATCAATTAAATCACAATGAAATTCTTAACAGCTGCATCAATTTTATCATTATCTTCATCAGCTTTAGCTGCAGTCAGACCAATTCAATTTTTTGCCACTTCTGAAAATGAAGAAGTAAATGAAGTTGGATTATATTCAACTCATGAAGGTGCAGGTATCAATTATTTCTTTGTAGGAAGTGCTCAAACTTTACAATATGATGATGAATCTAAAATTGTCTACGTTGAATTAAATACTCAACCACCAACTGCTCAAGCATTAGCTTTTCAAGGTGACTTTTTAGCCTTAACTGTTGCTGAAGTACCATTACAAGTTGAAATTGCTGAGGATGGTACTGTTACTTTCCCAGGATCAGATGCTCTTGCCGCTGCAAAAGATGTTAATGATCCATATGGTTATTCAAAAGACGTCTATGCTGTTATCAAAGCTAGAGAAGACGCTATTCCATTAACTATTAAAGCAGTTCTTGCTGAAGAACCAATTGAACCTGAAGTAACTGAATCAGTTGGAGTAACTGAATCAGTTGGAGAACCTGTATCAACTGAAGCCCCACCTTTAAAAACCGTTACTGTATATACAACTTGGTGTCCAGAACCAACAACAATCACATTAACCGTATGTGAAACAGTATGTTCTAAAACTGAAATAACTGTAACCGAACCAGGTTATGTCACTGTTAGTAACGTTGTTGAACCAACTGAAGAACCAGTTGAACCAGAAGAACCAGAAGTACCAGTAGCTACTGAGACCATTGTCCCTCCATTTGAAGGTGGTGCTGTTAAATACCAAATTGGTTCCTTGGCTGTTGCTTTTGCTGCTATTGGTTAAATTTTATAAGTTGATATAAAATAAAAAATAGTTGCTGAAATTTTGATTTTTGCAAGAATTCATTATTATTGATTTTTACCCACTTTTTGCTTATTTCGAGAACTACAATTTTTTTAGGCTTTTCCTTCTTAAATCCAATGTTTTTATCTTTTAATTTGAACTGTATATGTGTTTAGTTATTTCTGATTTATTTTATATACATAATAGAGCAATTTAATTAATCATTTTATAAATCCTACTCTACTACGATTCTATATTATCAATACTTATGAAGAAGACCAAAGCTGGCACCAAGCTTGCGCCACGACTATTTATTGCCTTTGACTTTGCTTACTAAACTTAATTTTTGTTCAGCTATAAATATTGGTATTGCTTTTTCGATCAAAATATTGTTTCAGACATATGCGAAACTTCTAAAACCTGCACATAACTACGTACTGTTAGTTTTGGAATCAAATAGAAGCTACTTTACGACTAATTTAAACCTGGACTTTTGAAATATACTCAATTACTTCAAGTATCACGGACACATTGTTGGTGACTATATGATTTTAAAAATTGTATTATAAACAAATGCATATGTCTAGAAAAACTTAATATCCAACAGTATTCTTTACACGCAAATGAGAATTGAAGAGTAACTGAGCATAAACTTCTAATTCAAATTCTTAACTCACGTAATAACTACAAACTTTGAATTTCTATAAATTGTAAGAAACAAGTTACTTACTGAAAAGCAGAATAATTTTTGAATAAATACCTTGTTGCCAAATTTGTTCGAAACACCAATACGAGCTCTTGAATTTGATTTTTGTGCTATCTAACAATATCAATTCTTAATCTTGAGTCAGTTTTAGCAAACTAATTCTCTATTGCCTCAATTACGTGAGTTGATTGTATGCCCGCGTGAACTATGAAATAGCTTCATCCTACCATCAGCACCTTTTTAAGTAGTTTTTCCATCATGAGAAACAAAACCGCACTTTTCAATTTCATTCTCTTTTTTGAATAATTACTTCAAGATTTTTCATCTTATTCCAGTTAACCTTATCAATTATTTCTACTGCACTTAGTTATCATACAATATTTTGTCCTTAATCAATTTGTGGATCAAAACGGCTATATGGAGGCGGTGAATCATTTCTCAACCTATCATTTGAAATACTCATAATGGCATTGCCGTTAGTTTTTGAGACTGCACCTTTGTTTCTACCAAACATTTTCTTAAATTTCAAATTTAATTTTTGTTTAAATTTCAGTCTTTTGGACAAATTATTTGACTGATCCGTTGCAGCTGAATTAATTCCATCAACATTGAGGTTTCTTGAATAAAGTCTGGTATCATTAACAGTGGATGTTGAATTCATTACTCTATTTTGATCAGGTCTTGCGCTATTGTTAAAAGCAAAACCTTCTTGACCCTCCGAAAATAAATAATTCCCATGAATTCTACTCAACTCTGCATCATCTATTCTTCTAAACTGTGAGCTCGTATTATACGAAGGGGGAAATCTTTCAGATTGTATTTCATTTCGTCTTTTAATATTGTTATTGTGAATGTGTTGAAGATGTTGAACGAGCAATTTCAAAAAGATAGATGTGAATATTAGCAAGCATGGTAAGAGCCATGACATGGTGTAACTATATCAAATTGAACTTCTTATGTTTTGCTCATCGAGGAAATAACAAAAATATGGCTGATTGATTGATTGTTTATTGATATAGTAGAAAACTTTGTAATAAATTAATTTCGATATTCCTTATTTTTTTTAATACAAATTTGTGTATTCTGTACACTAAATAAACTAAATGGTAATTATCAATATCATAAGTGACCAGGCATATATGGAGAAATGGAACGAAATAGAAATGAGTTTAACTATGTATTTACTAACAGTCTTGAATCTTCTTCAATTGAATATTTAAAATTAGTACACATCATGTATAAGATTTTTCTTTATCTTTCTTGACATCCTTTCTTAAACAGTTAATCTACTATTTTTTTGAGATACGACCTAATTTTTCAGATTCTCACAAAAGGAAACTATTTGTATAAGTTCTGTATTTCGGTTGACACTTTTTGAGCTTAATCGTGGTCATTATCCCAAAAAGCATAAATTCAAATCAATCCATGGTAACAAAAAGTAAAACATTATCTGTACTCTGTATTATATTAGTTTAGCCGATTTAGGAACTACCAAATGACGATTAGATAAGTTAGATTAATTATCTAAAGTCATCTAGTATATAGTTTTATATAACAACAACCAACTCATATATTAAGTACATACAACTTATATTATAATAGATATTTAGAATATTATTAGACCTTATCTACAGAATTATATCACAGAGGTATTAAGACCGATATAACTAAATAGATTACACAATTAACTAATTTGAGTATCAATCAACTCGATCCTAAATTTTGACAAACGTGAAAAACTTCTCCACTAAGTTTAATATGCAGGTGGGGCTAAATTTTTTCTCAGCATAATTAAAAAAATTGAATTGAATAATAAAAAGCTTGTTTAAAAACTCGATCAGACTTGATCAGTAGATGTACGTACTCAAAAGGGCACTTTATAGAGATAAATCTCATAGAAATGCTCCGAGCTCTAGAGCTTACGATAAGTAAAGGAAAACCAAAATAGATCCAGTGGAGAAACTCAAATATTCTCATTAAGTCGATTAAGTTAATATTCAAAAGTTAATGACGAAAACTAGGAGTAATTAAAGGACAAAAAATAGTACCAACCATTTAAACTCTCATTATGAGTGAACTTATTATCTTAGTTTAAGCTCACAAAATTAATAAAAATTATGCATCAAAGATTTACTCAACATTGCAAATAATTTTTAATTCAAAGTTTTGTTGAATTAATTAAAAGAATTAGATTAATGTTACTGTTTTAGTTTTAAAGTCACAAAAACGATTTACAAACATTTGGGAAAGAAAATTTTGCAACTAGATTTTCAAACAAAAGTTTTTCGCGAAATAGAAAAAGCTTCAACTACTATGATATATAAAATTTATTAAAACATTTATAATTCTATAAAAAACAAAGTCAACTAAATCATTTTTAAAATTTCTATTAATAAATTAAGCTTTCTGTTCTATATCTGCTTTTTCATCACCACGTTTATCACCCATTTTGGATCTATGTTCTTCATATTCTTCATCTTCAACATCGAAAATATTATACTCATCATCTCTCTCAATACCCAATTCTGCTCCTCTATTTTCTGGACCAAGAAGTATAGTACAAAATAAAAATGCAATAACAGCACCGACGAAAATTGCCATTGTTTTTCCATAGTCATGTAATTTTTCTTCAATGGTAGCTTCAATAGTTGAACTGGCTGAACTAACTAAATTACCTAATTGATAAGAGACACCAGTAACGAAAGTTCTAAATTGAGGTGGTGATAACTCTGACAAATGAATTGGAACAACTGACCAAGCACCTTGTATACCAAATTGCATCATAAAAGCAGTGATCCACATTGGATGAAATGCCCAAGGATAAATAAATGCAGCTGCAATGATATTACCAATTATTACAGCAGTTCTTCTTCCAATAAAAGTAGATAAATGAGATAAGACAATACCACCAGTTAAAGATCCAAGATTAGCACAAACATTTACAACAGTAGTTTTATCAACACCAAAACCATATTGAGAAGTTAACATTGTAGGATATAAATCTTGACTACCATGAGCACTAAAATTGAAACCAGACATCATTATAATCATATAAATAATGATCAACCAATATGTTTTAAGGGCTTTTGCTGCAGAAGATTTAAATTCAGCAACTCTAGACTTCTTAGCTTCAGCATTTTTTGATGCTCTAGCTTTTAAACGTTGATAACTATCGGTTTCTGGATTGATTAATCTCCATGTAATAAATATAACTGAAAGTCCTGCTGAAAAGAAAAACATATTTTGCCAAGACCTCTCTGTTTTATCAAATGCCCTTTGAAATACAACAGCAAGAAGATAACCTAATGCATAACCCTCTAAAGCAATTAAAGTTAGTATAAGTGAAAATTAAAAAAAATTTATTTTTTATAAAAAATTGTTCCATACCTTGAAATATACCTGAAAGAACTCCTCTAGCTCTTGGAGGACTGTCAGAAAGTGCTTCACTAGCTGCTAAACCAAACACACCTCCCATAGCTACCCCAAATATAGCTCTAACAGCAAGAAATTGGTTGTAAGTTTTGACAAATCCTGTTCCAATTTGAATAGCACATAATAAAAGTAAATTTACAATATATGGCCATTTTCTACCACAAGTATCTCCAATTAAACCAAATATAATAGCACCAACTGTTCTAAACATAAGAACAAGCTAGAGAGGTTAGTACAACTATTTTCAATTGAGTGTTGAGATCTTGTTTTGAACTTGTTGGTAAATCTAATAAATGTGGTAGCCTGTCATTAGCCACAAAACCAAATATTATTATGAAACAAGTCAACATAAACCTCATCAAATTAATACATACAGTAATTCCCCATGTGACATCTTTTTTACTTTTATTTAAAGTTTCACTAACTGCAGTTATATTCAAGCTTGTAATAAAAAAATCAAATGCATCTAAAGTCCAACAACCAAAACCCATACAAAAATAATTCCACTGATGTAGATTTAATTCAATTAAAGGATGAAAAGGATTTAAAACTTCATACCAACTATATTTTTTTAATTCTTCTTTACCAACCCATAAAGAAGGTATTCTTGTTTTAAAATAATTTTTGATTGCTTTTGAAGTGAAAGTTGGCTGACGAATAATATGTTTATTATGTTCATTTGCAGAAGCTGAAGTAATTGTATGAATTGATTCTGACATCTTTGAGAACCAAATAAGATTAAAAATTCAATTGAATGATCTTTAAAATGAAACTGCAAGTGAGTTCTAATTAGAATTTTATAGTTTTTGAAAAAGAAAGGAATTTGTAAACTATTTATACAAAATTTATAAATCTTTAAATTTTATATTTTATCTATTTTAAGATTTAATCGTTCTACATATTTTTTATTATTTTTTATATTTTGTGTCAACAAGGAAAATATAAAGATTTATTATAAAAATAAATAAAATAAGAATAAAAAAAGTCTTCAAACTTTTTATAAAAATGAAAAGATTTAATAATCTCATGACTTTGGGTACAAATGCTTATTTTCGAAAATTTAGTTATTGATTTGGCGAAAAAACAAATTTTAATTCCGTATCTACTTGCTAATGTAAATGGGTTATTTCATGTTTGATTAATAATTTAAGTTTAATTTTTTAGCCTTGCGTCAAAGGAGGGGATGGAAAAAATTTAATTGATTGTTAATTTTTTTCGTTTATGTACGATAACTTAAAAAGAATTTTCTAAACAATAAATAATTAACCATTTCTTGATTACAAAATCTTAATTAAAGTATATTTTTTAAATCACCATATATAGATCTTTACTTATTCTTGTCATTAATCTTGATAACTTTAATAAAACAAAGAAATTCAATACTCTAACAAAATTTGAAAAAGAAATACTCGAAAGCTCGAGTGATATAGATTAATTCGATAATAATAAAAAGTAACACAAGATTTTTTAAAAATAATAATTTTTCTTTTATTTATAAAGTTTTTGTATTATATTATTATTTTTTATTTGATTTTTAAGTATTGTGATCTATAGATTGGAAATCGATTATAACAATTATTTTTACCCTCTCAAGATGATACTTATTATTGTTTAAAATTTGACAATTATGATCTTACTGTTTTTTTCTCTTTAATATTAAATTTTAAAATTCAGAGTATCTCAACCGAGTAAGTTGTCACGCTAAAAGATAAATAAAAGAATAATAATTTTGAAACAAGCCCCCCTGTATTTATTATATAATAATATGAATTTTTCCTTTTTAGATTATACTTTTGTAAATTATTTCTTGGTACCTGTCAAAAATGTCAAAAGAGAAACAAAAAATAAAAAAAAATAAAAATAAAAATAAAAGTAAAAACAATAAAAATAAAAAAAATAAAAAATAATAATACAAAACTCCGAGATTAGCAATATTATATCTTTCGAACCCATCTATAAATAATTACGTGTATATCTTCTAATATGAGTAGTGATAACTGAGGAATGAAATCTTTGAAAGTATTTGAAAATCTTTAACTAGTAGAAGCATTTTTAACCAATACTTTTGATATCTCGTAAATTTATGCACGGTAATTAATTTTAGCACAACAGTTTAGTAGCAGCCATATATGTTTTAGACAACGTACAAAATTGGTTATCTCATTACAATTATTGATTATTTTATATAAATGTTTGATAACTAAGCAAGTATGCTAGAATTCAGCTTTAGTTTCTACTTATTCCGTAACTTTTAACCGTACTTAAGATATGTAAGTAATTTCGAGAAATTTACTTTTGGGGATTTTCTGCTCAACAAATTTCTCAAAATAGTTTAAAAGTTGCCTTGTAAACTTCATCGGGTTGAACATCAAGATAATTTGAATTTCAAGGTGAGCTGTTTTCTATCAAAATTGTATGTTTAAGATAATCATGCTTAGGATAATGGCACTCATAGAATTGACCACAGAATGTAGAAGCTTTGTTATTTATATTTAATTATAATAGCTTTTAACAATAGAATTACTTATTGTCTGATAACTTCAGTTCATAACGTGATTTTTAACTTTAAGTTCAATGAAATCAAAAATTAAGAATAATTTTGCAGCTATTAAAAATTCCTAATAAGCAATATAAAATCCTACATAAAAACTATTTGCTAGTTACACTCTTAAACCCATTAAACTATATGTTCAGTTTCAGGTTTTTCAAGTGTTATATCACCATGTTTATCATCCAATTTTGATCTATGTTCTTCTTCTTCGTCTTCATCTTCAACGTCGAAAATGCTATATTCATCATCTCTCTCAATACCCAACGTAGCACCTTTATTTTCCGGTCCAAATAACGTAGTAAGGAGCAAAAACCCAATAACTGCGCCAATGAAAATAGCCATTGTTTTTCCATAATCATGTAATTTTTCTTCAATAGTAGCTTCAATCGTAGAGCTAGCTGAGCTAACCAAATTTCCTAACTGATATGCAAAACCTACAACAAAAGCTCTGAACTGGGGAGGTGATAACTCTGATAAGTGAATTGGAACCATACCCCATGCACCTTGTATACCAAATTGCATCATAAAAGCAGTGATCCACATTGGTTTAAATGCCCAAGGATAAATAAATGCACCAGTTATAATATTACCAATAATGATAGCGGTTCTCCTACCAATAAAATTCGATAAATGAGCCAACACAATACCTCCAGTCATAGCTCCAAGATTAGCACAAACATTGACTACTGTGGCTTTATCATCACTAAATTTGTACTGTTTTGTCAACATTGTTGGATATAAATCTTGACTACCATGAGAGCTAAAATTGAAACCAGACATCAAAACAACCAAATAGATAATAATCAACCAATAATTTTTGAGAGCTTTTGATGCAGAAGATTTAAGCTCGGCAAGCTGTGATTTTTTAGATTTGGCATTTTTCAATGCTCTTTCTCGTTGACGTTGAAAACTTTCGGTTTCAGGATTGATCAATCTCCATATAATAAATATAACGGATACACCCGCTGAAAAAAAAAACATATTCTGCCAAACTTTGGTAGTTCTTTCAAAAGCTCTTTGGAATACAACAGCAAGGAGATATCCAAAAGCATAACCCTCTAAAGAATGCAAAGTTAGTAATGATGCAAAACTTTTACGCAATTTTGAAAAAGTGATTTCACATACGTTGAAAAATCCCCAGAAGGACTCCTCTAGCTTTAGGAGGGGAATCAGAAAGTGCTTCCTGAGAACAAATACCCACTACTCCTCCCATGGCGAGGCCAAATAAAGCTCTTACAGCTAAGAACTCTTTATAGGTTTTGACAAACCCTGTTCCAATTTGAAGTACACATAATAAAATCAAATTTATAATGTATGGCCATTTTCTACCATAGGTATCTCCGATTAAGCCAAATATAATAGCACCAACTGTTCTAAGCATAAGAACAAGCTAAATTTGTTAGTAATGGAACTATATCTTGACTTTAGTTCTTCACCTACGAACTTAATTGTAAAATTTGTTTGGATTGTGTGGTAGCGTTAGTTTTGAGTTACAAAACCATCTTGTTTCAAAATGGTGTGTCTTAATAACTTTGTCAAATTTAGATATGGTAAAACGTTCAAAATGGTGAAGGATCAAAAGTTATGCACATACCGTTATTCCCCAAGTCACATCTTTTGTACTTTTATTTAAGGATTCACTAATTGCTGTAACATTTAAACTTGTAATAAAAAAATCTAAAGCATCTAAAGTCCAACACCAGAACCCCATGAAGAAAAAATTCCATTGATGTAAATTTAGTTCAAGTAATGGATGGAAAGGATTTAAAACTTCATACCAAGTGTATTTCTTTAACTCTTCTGTACCAACCCATAAGGAAGTAAATCTTGTAATTAAATAATTTTTGATCGCTTTTGAAGTGAATGTTGGCGGACGAATAATATGTTTGTTGTGTTCATTCACAGCTGTCGAATCAATTGAATGAGTTGATTCTAGCATTTTGTTTCAAGTAAAATATACCACTCAAATTATAAAAAAATTTTTTGTATTGAATGAAGATAAGTTTTCAAACTTAATTGTGCAAAAAAGGAATTGAAAATCTTTTTATATAATATGATACAAAAACTTAACTTTAAGTCGAGATTATGCCAATTATTATTATCAATTTAATTTTTTAGAAACAATAAACTTCGTAAAAACAAATTAGACTTGTTTTTGTGTTTATTTCATCCCCGCAGCATCTTCACAATTAACATGTAAAAAGATTACAAGTAAGAACAATGCAATTGTAATTTATATTATAAAGTTTTACCGCGTTAGTTTTAATCTAATTTTTAGCCTTGCCTCAAAGTGGTGGGGATAAGATAAGTAAGTTAATTTTAGTATTTGATTGGAAATTTATTCAACAAATTTCAAATAATTCCAATAAAAGTAAATACAGGTTTATCAAAATTTTTTTCAAATCCTCAGAGTTTGGAACTTTACCCATAATAAAAGGTATTTCGAGGTACTCTTCAATTCGGGAGTTCAAATAAGGTACCAATAAACGCAAGAGATTTAATTAGGAAGAAAGAAAAAAGTGAGAACTTAGAAAATGAATATGTAAATCTCGTATGATTTGGTAAAGAAAAAATTGTAATAATTTAATTGTAACACAAGATTCAATAATTTAATAAAAAGTGGTGTCTTTTTTCCGGAGTTCTAACCATGGATAAACGAAGATACGAATAAAACTAACTATTATTCCCCCACAAACTAATTAAAATTACCTTCCTTATTTGTCAACAATTATATCGGTAATATAAAAGTTCATCTTCAATCCCCGGAACACCATCACCAATCGGGGGCTCAACTTATCAAACGAATGATAAGCTTCTTCCTTATTTTTCGTAAAAAAATTAATTAATATTTGTGGATTTTAAAGATATTATTTTTTTTTTTTCTTGGTACTGTCAAATACGTCAAAAAAAAAAGTAAGAATATGGAATAGAAACAATGTTTTAGACAGAAATAGAGAAGAACATGTCTTGTATGTGCGAAATTGTAGAGCTACTTCAAAATGATTTATAAATATTTTATAGCTCTAGACGTCATGTTGATAGAAGAGCATGAAATTCTTCTCACAGTTTAGTAGGTAAAACTTTCTATTTGAAATTCAACTCAATTGAAATTTAAAGCTTTCCCCGCGTAGTGCATATAGTATATCATTAAACTTAAAGAGCTCAATATCAAAGAATAAATTGAACTCTATTGTTATTAGCAAAAAACTCATTTCTATTAGCCAAGAATTCGTAAAAAGATCTTGAAAAACATATGTTATTGCTCCTTAATTGTTCGAAGGTCTATTGTGTTTTGTGTGTGTAATTTTGATCTTATCAATTATTCTTTGCTTATTCTAAAAGTAAATTTCCATTTGAGGGGGACTTAAATGTCTTGTACTATGGAGTTATAGAAGTATTATAGGAGGGGTTGATTACAATTCTTTAATCTACTTGAAATTAAAGAATATTAAAGTTGTTGAGAAAGAATGTTTGCGGCCACAAAGTTTTTTAACCTATTTGAATCCGCAATTCGATTTCACCAACTAGTAGAATATAATAGTACTTGGCTGAAGAAAAGGGTTCTGGCTTTTATAATTTTTTCATATTTTGCAATTGGTATTGGATCAAAAAGGTGGATGGTGCAAAGGACTGCAAGGCTCCCATTGGCGATGTCGACGGTGATAAATTAATTTGGGTGTTGAGTCTTCGGATCATTCAGGTGTGACGCCTTTCAGAGGATTTATCTTCAGAAGGGACTTTGACTAGCGATTTGAATGTATAGGGTTTTAGTGCATACATTATCAAGTATGGTGGTGATAACTATCTTTTTGAAAAAGGATGCTTTTTGATTGACTTTTTTTTTTTTAACGGGTAAATGTTTTTTTTTAGATTTTGAGATGTTTTCTTTTTCGAATAGGTTATAATTGACAATTTATTTTACTTTCGATTTGTGATTGATTGAGCTGTGTTTTTTCTATTATTTTTGCAGCTATCTAAGAGAGGCTCGAGGTATTGCAGTACGGATGTTGAGGTATAAACGTTGCGGTACGGATGTTTTAGTATGTTTTTATGCAAAATAAACGAAAATTTGTTTATAAACTATAAAGTTTTGATAATAAATGTACTGTAATGAACAATTAAAAAATGCTGTTCTCACTTTGGCTTTCACTGAGTATTGACGACAAATCATCAATAGTTCTTGAATAGTCTTTGTTACGTCCGCCTACTGTCGGCTGTGTTAAAATGGTACAGTCAGTGTCCTCCGACCTGCTTTGGAAACATCCCTAATCGCAGAGCAGACAAGTTTAAAATTAATACTTCTTAATTGAATTTATTAAATTATATAACTACAAACTCCTCAAAATAATAAGATACTATCTTCTTCTATATCTTAAAACTCTCTTGAATAATTCATCCTCTTCTAATTCAATTTCACTAATAAATTCATCCAAAATTGATTTATCTCTAATATACAAATCACAATCATTTGCTAAAACATATTTATCAACCTTGGTTTCTTTACTTAATTTCTCAATAAATTGAATAATACTACGTCTTTCAATAAATGTATTATACTCAAATTCGTCTCTAATCCATTCTTCTCCATAATTTTTTAATCTAAATTCAATTGATGGTGATGATTTATACCATTCTTCAACAATTTCATAAACAGTATTTAAATTTTTAAAATCAAAAATTGGAACACCTGTTGAAGTAACTTGTGGTAAACTTGATTTTGGTTTTGGACCATTTAATTCAATATCAAATTTATTTAAATTTGTATTAATAGCAGATTGAAATTTCGTAATAATAGCTGGTTCAACTTCAATTAAAGATTTCATTGTTTCATTAATATTTCTTTGAACATCCAACCAAACTTTTCTAATTTCTTCAATATTTTTCTTGGTGATCTTTTTTGGGTATTGCGGTTGTTCTTGTTGTTGCAAAGGTACTTGTAGTACTGTAATTTGTTGAATTGGAGTTACTTCCTCATCGTCTAAATTATCATCAACATTACGATCAAAATCATTTTCTTCTACTGGTGATGGTAATTTTTCTTGTGATTTTGGTTTTCTACCCCTTTGCTTTTTTGCTGAAGCGGCGGAAGTGGTAGCGGCGGAATTTTTGGAGGTTGTTGATTTTTTTTTATTATTTGATTCATTTGATGAAGAAATTTCTTCAATTGATGATGACGATGATGATGGATCTTTTCCCAATTCTTTATAAACTAAATATTCTAAAGCAATATGTCTATTTGGAATTTCTTTATTTTCTAAATGATAAACCAAAAAATTAATTTCTTGTAATTTTGAAAAAGCAGGATCCATTTTTCTTAATCTAATAACTGGTTTTGATGATGAACTTAAAGCAAATTGTTCTTGATAAAATTCTTTCATTAATTCCCCAGTAACAAAAAAATTATCTAATTTCTTTTTACAACAGAATCGAATATAATGTTTAAAAGTTGTAATGTATCTTTTTCTTGTTTCAAAACCTAATGATAATAATCTTTGTCTTGCTTCAGCATTTGTTAAAATTTCATCATCAAATTTTTTAAACATTTTAATAACTTCTTCAGTATCTTGTGACATAATTCTTTTATTGATTTTAATATTATCACGATCAACTCTGTATCTTCTTTTTGGATATTTTCCATTTTCTAACGCAAATTCTTCTTCATCAATCATATAAGGAATATCTTCTTCAGTAAGATCAATTTTTTGAGAAATAATTGATGTAATTGGAATACGCGTTTTAGTTGGTTCTGCAATAACACTATCTGGATGGATTGAATGTTCCATCAATTCATGATTTTGATAATGAACTTCCTCTTGTGGTGGTAATTGATATTGAGGAGGAAGTTGTTGTTGTTGCTGGTGCTGTTGTTGTTGTTGTTGTTGCTGTTGTTGCTGTTGCTGTTGTTGTTGTTGGTGGTGTAACTGTTGTTGATGCAATTGTTGTTGATATTGTTGTTGTTGTAATTGCTGATTTTCATACATTTGATTTGCGGTAATAGCTGGTGAAGTACTTCTTTCATAACTATTATTTGCATTTGAAGCTTGTTGATACATCATTTGAGGATTTGCATGATGGAAAGTTGCTAATGGTGGTGGTGAATCATTTGTTAATAAATGATTAATATGATGTTTAGTTGAAACTGATGCACCGGTAGCATTTGCATTGTTAACATTATTATTCAACGCTTGTTTTTTCAACAGTTGAGTTGAAGTTTGTTGAAGGGATGTATCAACAGGAACTTTTCTTTTTCTTCCTCTTGTTTCAACTTTTTTAACTGATTTAGTTGATGAATTCCCATTTTTACTTGATGGAACTTCAATTAAAGGTTTTTTTTTCCTACCTCTAGTTTCTTTCTTTTTTGGTGGTGGTTCAACATAAGCATCTTTATCTTGTTGTCTAATTTCTTCAATTTGTTGAATGATTGGAATAACTTTTTTCAAATCTTTCCCGTTGTTATCTAATTCAACATCAATTAATGAACCTCCAGATCTTCTTGTGGCAACCATTTTTTCAAAAAAAAAATTATTACAATTAACAAAACTTAAACAAAATTGATTCAATACTTTTAATTTGACTTAATTAGAAGATAAATTTATTAAATCTGCACTTTAGTTTGATTGATTGAATTTGTTTCAAGTTGTTTTTTTAAAAAAAATAAGTTGTTGAGTGGTAATCAAAAAAAAAAAAATTAAAATTAAAAATTTAGAGAGTTTTTTTTTTGATGATTTTTTTTATTTTTTATTTTATTTTATTATTCCTTTTTTTCTTTTTTAATTTTAATATTTGATATTAAATTCCCTCTCTTTTAAAAATAACAGTAAAATTAACACATTGAAATAAGATAATCTAATCACTTATCGGTTGTCTAAAGGCGATCCTTGAGTTGAGCAACATGTAAAGTGAAGTATATTCCATAAACAACTATACAAACATTTAGTACAGTATATAATTTGTTAATGAAAATAAAAATCTCTGTAATAATTTTCAAATATCTTATTAGTTTTTAAAATATAAACAAATAAATTTTCAGAATAGGGAGTAGTGAATAATAATTATTATAAATTTAATCAAAACTAGAATATAAATTATTCATATATATATGAAAGAGCTGTAATAGTAAGAGATGCTACATCGGGCACCAGATATTGAACTTTGAAGCTAGTTTAGCGCCTATTGAATATTATTATAAAGTTATCAATTGATCAACTAATCAATTAAAAGTGGGAAAAGAGAGAAAAAAATTAAGTGATGAGATTTTATTTTCTAATTTATTCGTTTAGTAATGTTTGATTATATTTATGTATCTACTACTGTTGAACCACATAGAATCAATCAATGTTAGTTTATTGAACGAGTGTTTACTAAATGCTAAGATAGATTCTTACATTCTACAAGCTAATTTGTTCTATGTTACCATATCATCAACTAATAATTAACTATTATTAAATATATTGTTCAATTATCCTTACGCGTAACTTTTATTTTTAGTAATTCATTTTAATGTACAAATAGTTAAAAAATTTTGTTATTTAAGAATTAGTACGATCTTATATACGTAAAGATCTTGTTTCTCTTACAGACTAGTTTAAAGAGCTAAAGATTTAGCTTTATATACACCATGAATTTCATTTAATGTACAACAATCAAGTTCTAATTTTTGAATTAATAAAGTCTTATATAGTCTCTACCCAATAATATTTTTTGTAAAATATTTTACAGAGGAAAAAAAAGTTAATAATTAGAATTATAATATTTTTTTAATAAACACAACAAAAAAGCTTGAATATGAAATACTCTACAAATAAAAGTGTAAACTTTAATAGATATAACTTTAATATACTATTGTTCATATAGACAATATTGGGAACTGTAATTAGTTCTATTATATAATGTGTTGATAAGTAATGGGAATTAAATAAAATTGTTTTAGATTTTAGGGATGAAATTAAAAAATTAATTTTTATCGGAAATAATTTTAACTTTATTTTCCACTTATTAATTAATTTTTTTATTTGTTATATTAGCCAGTTTTTGAAACAGTTTAACAATTAGTTAGAAAAAAATAATAAAGAGGTTCAGACCATTAGAAATATTTTCTGAATTTTTAATTGCTTCGTAATTATTTTTAACTTTGAAGTTTAAAATTTTTTTATAAGTGCAGATCCTTTAAATTTCTCAACGAGGGGAATTTCTTTCTTCTTGAATACAGCATATTGTACAATTCAAATTTGAAAATAAAAAGCAAGTTTATCTGTATTTGAAAGACTTTAGCTTAAAGTACGTCGTAGTACTAAGATGTAAAATACTTTAGCTTAAAACGGTTTCTATAATTTATTAAATTTATAGATTTCAATTAATTAACAATTTATAAAATAAAAGTTTCTTTTTCTATGAAAAGAAAGGGAGTGCATATAGACACAAACCCCCTTTAAAAAAAAAATTCAAATCTAATCTAAAGAATGATATTGCTACGTACTGAGGGATGAGCTTGGCTCAGAAGGGGAAGAGAGTTTATGAGGAGCAGTTTGTTTCAAGAAATCATGAAAAAAAATTTGTTAGAGTAACAAAATTTTTTATTTAAAAGAAATCTATATTTATTAAAGAAAAATTTCAATTTTCAATTTTTGAAACAAGATAAAAAATGACACAAAAGTTATCCAGTTATCTTTAATGTATATTGAGTTAAATTCCTTGCTTTTAAATCTCTATTCTTATGGTTGGAATGAATGAATTTTACTGTTTTACGGGATTCTAACATAAGGTCTGAGATTTGGTGGACTGAGAATTTTAAATTAACAATTAGTTAAAGATAAATTGGTACCTAAATTACGAGACATGCATTATCGAAATTTCAAGTATTACTACAGTAAGTGATAAAAAATTCATAGCATTAAGTATTTTTGATTCATACATTTAGAATTAAATTATAAACATTATATAAACATTATGAAATGATCAACTAAATAATCAATTACGTTGATTTGTTTAAAAAATTTTACACACCCACCTCTCAAAAAAAAACAAAACCAGTTCGTTTTTAACTAATTAAATCCCATTTTAGCTTTTTCTTTTAATTTTTTTAATTCATCATCAGATTTTTGACTTCCTTTTTCAATGATTAAATTTCTTAATAATTTATTTTCCATTTCTAAATTCATTAATTTATTTTCTAAATTTGATATAAGATCTTGTAAATTATTTATTTTGTTTTCCATTTGTTGTTCTTTTTGTTTTTTCTTGATTCTAAACCTTGCTGATGCTGCTGTATTTCTTCTTTTTTTATCTAATTCTGCTGCATCGGGACTTGACATTGTTGACGATGTTGATAGCGCTGATGATGATGATATATGATGGAGATTATTGTTGGTATTGGATTGATTATTTAGGTTGTTGCTATTACTAAACATATTGCTACTAATATTATTATCATTATGAATTGAGGAGAATGTTGTTGAACTGATTGGTGGATTTATAAATGACATTGGAGTAGTTCCTGAAGTTGGTGTTTGTTGTAGATGATGAGAATTTGAAGGTTGATGTTGACTTTGATGATGGGACAATTCTAAATGTTGTTGAGCGGGTATTGGTTGACTAAAATGACTAGAAGAATCTTGGTGATGAAGTTGTGGTTGATTTCTTGTTGATTGATAGTTTGTACTTGTAGATAATGATGCTAATGTTGGTGTTATCGGTATTGAATCAGTGAATGGTAAATTATTAAAAGAATCTGTAATTGGTTGTTCTTCTTCTTCATCTTCTTCATCTTCTTTTTCTTTCTCTTGTTTTGGAATTAGTTTACCCAAACTGTTTTGATGTTGCGCAACTAAAGCACTTAACAAATCAATTTGATTTTGTGATAATCCTGCACTAACCAAAGATGATTTTGCTCCTGGTGGTACTGGAAATTTTGGTAAATCTGTTAAATTTAAAAAATTCGTTGAATTATCTTCATGTTTGGTATTGTTGAATTCTTGTTCTTTGAAAATAAATTTTGTATCTTCATGATTACCATTATTATTATTACTACTTCCTGATATTGGTTCATCATTTTTATTTTGTTCTGATTTTAGATTTTGCATTAAATAATTTGTATTAAATTCATGTATATCCCAGTTTTTTAGATCATTATGTTGATTCCCGATTCTTTTATTGGTGTCTGTTTCATTATCATCATCTTCATCATCATATAATTTTGGTTTATCTTCATCTGGAAATATAAATGAATCATCCGCGAAGGCAGCTAAATCTAAACTTAATTGACCATCAACATCTACATTTGGTGTAGCATTTGAGCTATTGTTTTCATTTGATGATGATGCTCCATTAATATAATTATCAATATAAACTAATTGTTCTAGTAAAGCTGAAGATGTTAATTCTTCTGTCATATTCCTAATTTTTTTCCTCTGTTTCGCAACTTGTGAAATATTATTGTGATTACTTATTTACACTGAAAGTTTAAAAATCCAAAAATGTTTTGGTGAAAACATAAAATGTTGTTAGTTTTTAACTCTTGAAAAAGATCAGTTGGACGTAGTAATAAGACTATAGTTACTGATTAAATTTTTAAAGATAAAATAAATTGTATTTTTATTACATTTAATAATTTGATATTCTTTATAAAAATAATATTTTGTTTATAATTGCACGTGATGCGGTCGTAAAAGGTTTTGTGCTAGAATATTTAAAGTAATACAAATTTGGAAACTGAAGATTTTAGATTAAAAAAGGCATTAATTTACAGATTCTTTTTAATAATTTAAGTAGACCAGTTATATAATAATGATATAGCTTTTAGTTAAGCATTTGATGATAAAAGTTAAGAACTGACAGATTGTTACCACTATATATACTTCTAATAATTCAAAGTGTGGCCTCAACTCCCTTGCTTATAAATTTTGTTTTTTCCGTAGTCTATTGTTAAAAATCATAACCATTTTTGTTATTAGGTACAACGTATTTAACTAAAATTAGGCTGATTAATGAATATATCCACAATTTTCTTTCACCCCTAAGAATTGATTTATAAACCGATACCCCCTAATAAGACATAGACCGATTTATCAATGTAGTAAAAACTTAAATTTATTGATACTCTTAGATAAGAATTATCGGATCATTTGCTTATTAATTCTTTATTTTTCTATATAACTAAATTACTATCAATTAATCCGTAGCCGCTAGAGTCTTGAATAGTATCAAGAATTTATACTACATCACACCCTTGCGTATAAAGCTAGTAGAAACCTCAGATAGTCAAAGTTTGAAGTCTTGTTCTAAAGATTCTTGGAAGATAGACTTTCAGTCAGTGAGACTACATAGTTATATTTAGAACCGTCAAAGACAAACAAAATTGAAGACAGTTGTTTAAATATATTTAAAACACGAACTGAAAGAAATGTATTTGTAAGTGATATACCCTATATAATCACCATAACTATTTAACTAAACATCAAGTTTAGTAATATTTTTATGAAAAAACTGTAGTACTAGAAACAAAAATTTTGTAATGATTTAAAAAATATAACCAATATACCTGCACAACGTTAAAAATCCATAAAAATCATCATGATCATTCACCATTATCATCATAAACCATCAACTAAGAAATAAAATAAACATCTAAAAATAACAATCTAACCAAATTTCTCATGAATGTTGAGCTTGTCTCAAATTTGCATTAAAATCTTTTGATCTAACAGCCAATGGTGATTGATTTGAAACTTTTAATCTATATTCAGCAAATGATTTAAAAGTACCTAAATTTTCTTGTTGAAATTCTTGAGGTTGATTTTGAATTTGATTTTCAATTGATGGTTGTTGAGTTTGTATTGTTGATGCTTGTTCTTGTGAATTAATAGTATTTCTAGTAAATGAAGTTTTTGAAAATTGTCTTATAAATGATTTAGTTGTGGTAGTTTTAGTAAATTGTTTAATTGATGTTTGTAACATTTTTTAAATTCAGGGATTATGTAAATATGCTATGCTATTGAAGAAAAACTTTGATAAAAACAAATTAAAAAGTTCTTATATTTCAAAAAAGAAAGCCTTAAAGAATATTTCAAACAAAAAATTAAGTGAAAAATTTAAATGTATTTATATAAAAATTTGAAACTTAATTAAATTTATATGTAAAAAAAAAAAAAAATTTAATTAATATATGTTGATTATTAATAGAATGTTTTCAATAATATACAAACTCCCATATATCCTTCTTAATGTACTAAGCTCTAATTGGTATTCTAGTCAAGAACAATAGATTAAAGAGAACTATGACCCTATTATTAATATCTATGGTATGATTTTTTTTTTCAATATTTATTATATACATTAAAATTAAAATCATATTATTACAATTAAGATTTACACACTATTAATTAAAAAAGGACAAATGGGATCATAAAATCTTCTATTTAATTTTTTTTTTCACTTTTCAAATCTAAGATTCCCCTAAATTCCAACTTTATCTTGCCTTTTCGATTTTATATATAATATATGTAATTATATTATTTGTTGTTACACTCCCCTCTTTTATTACTCTACAACTTAATCAAAATAGAATAATAAAGAAATAAGTTGAATAATAAAATAATAAAAAATCATGTGCAATACTTTAATAAACACTCATTAAAATTTAGAAAGCAAGATAATAAAATTGACTAATAAAAAATTAAAGACTAAGTGAAAAAAAAAAAATTAAACTGATAAGAAAAATCACGTGAATTTTCATTATAGAAGAATTTATTTAAGTTAAGAAAAGTAAAGAAGAATAATGTATGTATTAATATTATTGGAAAATAATTCAAGAATTTTGATTACCTTTAGTTGATACATATTACAAATAAATTTCATCAATTAAATTAAAGAAATTGATAAAATTTTTGCTACAACTACTTTTTGACTTCAATTTACTTGTTTTAATATTGTTAGTAAATGGCTAATTTGTTTCAACTTCTTTAAATATAGTTTTGTGTATCAACTAAGATTTAAATTTTTAATAAACGTTTTTTTATCTTAAACCAATTAAATCAATTTTGCTAGTATTACTGAAAGTTCATCACAAAAGAAAGATATATTTGCTTTAATTACTAAAAAGTTAAGTTAAAAATTATTAAACTTGAAAAAAAGTTCTAGTGTTAGAACTTCTTCTCACAACTTTTTACTGACAGAGCAATTGATACAAAATGTATAGTCTATCATTTACTTGGTCTGGTTTATAAACATTTTATTTTCGTTTCTTGCATTAATTTTATTGCAAATCTATCAAAGGCTACAAATTTTCACATCATTCTGACTTCGTCTTCTGATAAGCTTATGTATAATTGAACTGTTGGAACCATCCATTTAAACTTAATAATAAATCGTTCAGATCTGATTTAACTTTTGGTTCTGAATGCAAAATTTCACGGATTTGTAACTCCGTTTGTTGATTGTTGCAAAAAAATATAAATTGTGTCTATTTACTTTCGCTCTTTAATCACCGAGAAGTTGATATCTTTATCCATATCTTAAAATTATTATTTTATTTCATCTAGTTTATTCTTAATATTAACTCTTAAATTGAAAAGTTAAGATGATTTGTAGTTGACAGTTTTCTTATTAATTTTCTTGTTTATATTCAAATGCTTATAATTTATGGAGTCCCTAAAATTTGACCGAATAAAACCCAGAGTTTCAGGTACTTAACGTTTCGAGTAGTCTGAAAAATTAATTAGGATAAAGACATCTCACCTCTAATATTGGTTTTTAAGTAGTTTAAATTATCCGCGAGATATATAGACTGGATATTTTATTCTAATTTGAAAGCTAATTTTTATTCTGTATGCCAAGTTATAATAAAAAATTATATTTAATATTTGATTGAGAGTAATTTTCGAATTGACTTGTTACAGTTTCAATCTCATTTTGAAAGTTTAGGGCATTATATACATGTAAAAAATCTAGTCTGGCCCGCTTTGGTCTAAACGTAGTGGTAAATTTTAGTTAATGTGCATCTCAATAAATTATTAAATTTTTAAACTTTTTGATTATAGATCTTATCTATGAAACAGAATAATATTATAATCAATTGATTAGCAATATTAATTAAAGATGAGATTTAAATACATCTAAAAAATTTACTTTCAAGATCGTTTTACAAGGATATTGTTTCACATCATTTTTGAAACGGTATAACTTCACTCAAAACGTCGAAATCTTTGTCTCTCAAAGTCTACTTTACAATAAATAATAATGGTTTTGTACCTTTTCGGAGTATATCTTTGTACAACTTTCAGCGGATTATTTTACCTTTGTAATCTGTAAAAAGAATTGTTGATGTAATATTAAAAATTATTTATTTTCAGTCCTTAATTTTTTTATTATTGTTATCAAATATTACATTTTCTAATAATTTTATACTTTTTTCAATTAATTAATTAATATAAACTTTAAATATTCATCAATTCCAATTTCAACCCAGATTTTATATCAATTTCTTTATAATTAATTGTTTCTACCCCCACATAATCAATTCTCCACCATGAGTTCAATTCAATCTACAAGTACTCAAAATGGTAAAATTAATCAAATGAGAAGAGATTCAACTGTTTTAGGACAAATGAATAAGATATTGGTTGCTAATAGAGGTGAAATTCCAATTAGAATTTTTAGAACAGCTCATGAATTATCAATGCAAACAGTTGCTATATATTCACATGAAGATAGATTATCGATGCATAGATTAAAAGCTGATGAATCTTATGTTATTGGTAAGAAAGGTCAATTCACTCCAGTTGGTGCATATTTACAAATTGATGAAATTATTGATATAGCTAAAAAACATAATGTCAATATGATTCATCCAGGTTATGGATTTTTATCAGAAAATAGTGAATTTGCTAAAAAAGTTGAAGAGAATGGTATTATATGGATTGGTCCATCCTACAAAACAATCGATGCAGTTGGTGATAAAGTTAGTGCAAGAACTTTAGCCATTGAAAATGATGTACCAGTTGTACCAGGTACTCCAGGTCCAATTGATAGTGTTGAAGATGCACAAAAATTCGTTGATAAATATGGATTACCAGTTATTATAAAAGCAGCTTTTGGTGGTGGTGGTAGAGGTATGAGAGTTGTACGTGAAGGTGATGATATTGCAGATGCTTTTAAAAGAGCAACATCAGAAGCTAAAACTGCTTTTGGTAATGGTACTTGTTTTATTGAAAGATTTTTAGATAAACCAAAACATATTGAAGTACAATTGTTGGCAGATAATTATGGTAATGTTATTCATCTTTTTGAAAGAGATTGTTCAGTTCAAAGAAGACATCAAAAAGTTGTTGAAATTGCACCAGCAAAAAATTTACCAAAATCAGTTAGAAATGCTATATTAACAGATGCAGTAAAATTAGCTAAAAGTGCAAATTATAGAAATGCAGGTACTGCTGAATTTTTAGTTGATGAACAAAATAGACATTATTTTATTGAAATTAATCCAAGAATTCAAGTTGAACATACTATAACTGAAGAAATTACTGGAGTTGATATTGTTGCTGCACAAATTCAAATTGCAGCTGGTGCTTCATTACAACAATTAGGGTTGTTGCAAGATAAAATCACCACCAGAGGTTTTGCAATTCAATGTAGAATCACTACTGAAGATCCTGCTAAATCTTTCCAACCGGATACTGGTAAAATTGAAGTTTATAGATCAGCTGGTGGTAATGGTGTTAGATTAGATGGTGGTAATGGATTTGCAGGTTCAATCATTTCACCACATTATGATTCTATGTTGGTAAAATGTTCATGTTCAGGTACAACTTTTGAAATTGCAAGAAGAAAAATGATTAGAGCATTGATAGAATTTAGAATTAGAGGTGTTAAAACAAATATTCCATTTTTATTAGCTTTATTGACAAATGATGTGTTTATTAAAGGTGATTGTTGGACTACTTTTATTGATGATACTCCTTCATTGTTCCAAATGATTAGTTCACAAAACAGAGCCACTAAACTATTACTGTACCTTGCAGATCTTTATGTTAACGGATCTTCTATAAAAGGTCAAATTGGTTATCCAAAATTAGATACTGAAGCATTAATTCCTGTTTTACATGATCCAAAAACTGGTATTGCAATTGATGTTCAACATACTCCACCACCACGTGGTTGGAGACAAGTTTTATTAGAAGAAGGACCAGCTGAATTTGCAAAAAAAGTTAGACAATTTAATGGTACCTTACTAACTGATACAACTTGGAGAGATGCTCATCAATCATTATTAGCAACAAGAGTTAGAACCATAGATTTATTAAATATTGCACCAACTACTGCATTTGCATTAAATGGAGCCTTTTCTTTGGAGTGTTGGGGTGGTGCTACTTTTGATGTTTGTATGAGATTTCTTTATGAAGATCCATGGGAAAGATTGAGAAAATTAAGAGCCTTAGTACCAAATATTCCATTTCAAATGTTGTTAAGAGGTGCAAATGGTGTTGCATATTCTTCATTACCAGATAATGCAATTGATCAATTTGTTAAAGAGGCAAAAGATAATGGTGTTGACATTTTCCGTGTTTTTGATGCATTAAATGATTTAGAACAATTAAAAGTTGGTATTGATGCAGTTAAAAAAGCTGGTGGTGTAGTTGAAGCAACTGTTTGTTATTCTGGTGATATGTTAAAACCAGGTAAAAAATACAATCTAGAATACTATCTCAAGATGGTTGATGAAATTGTTGAAATGGGTACTCATTTCCTTGGTATAAAAGATATGGCGGGTACTTTGAAACCAGGAGCTGCAAAATTATTAATTGGAGAAATTAGAAAAAAATACCCAGATTTACCAATTCATGTTCATACACATGATTCTGCAGGTACTGGTGTTGCATCAATGACTGAATGTGCTAAAGCAGGTGCAGATGTAGTTGATGCTGCTTCAAATTCAATGTCTGGTATGACTTCACAACCATCAATTTCTGCTATATTAGCATCATTAGAAGGGTCAATAAATACTGGATTATCAGAATCATTAGTTAGAGAATTAGATACTTATTGGCAACAAATGAGATTATTGTATTCATGTTTTGAAGCAGACTTAAAGGGACCAGATCCAGAAGTTTATTCTCATGAAATACCAGGTGGTCAATTAACTAATTTATTATTCCAAGCTCAACAATTAGGATTAGGTACCAAATGGTTACAAACTAAGGAAACTTATAAAATTGCAAATAAGATTTTAGGTGACGTTGTTAAAGTTACTCCGACATCAAAAGTTGTTGGAGATTTAGCTCAATTTATGGTTAGTAATAATTTAACAGAAGAAGATGTGAATAGATTAGCTTCAGAATTAGATTTCCCAGATTCTGTTTTAGATTTTATGGAAGGTTTAATGGGTAAACCGTATGGTGGGTTCCCAGAACCTTTAAGAACTAATATGTTAAGTAATAAACGTCAAAAATTAGAACAAAGACCAGGATTAACATTACCACCAGTCGATTTTGAAAATATTAAGAAAGAATTAATTTCAAGATATGGAGATATTGATGAATGTGATATTGCTTCGTATGTAATGTATCCAAAAGTTTATGAAGCATACAAAAAACAAGTTGAGAGATATGGTGATTTATCAGTTCTACCAACAAGAAATTTTTTAAAACCAGCAACTGTTGGACAAGAAATTATAGTTGATATTGAACAAGGTAAAACTTTGATAATAAAATTATTAGCAATTGGAGAAATTTCAGAAAAAACTGGAACAAGAGAAGTATTTTTTGAATTAAATGGTGAAATGAGATCAGTTACAGTTGAAGATAAAACAGCTTCAGTTGAAACGAAGACAAGACCAAAAGCTTCACAACCAAATGATGTTGGTGCACCAATGGCTGGTGTTGTTATTGAAATTAGAACTCATAAACATCAAGAAGTTAAAAAGGGAGATCCAATTGCCGTGTTGTCTGCTATGAAAATGGAAATGGTTATAAGTGCACCAGTAAGTGGTGTTGTTGGTGATTTATTAATTAAAGAAGGTGATTCAGTAGATGCTAATGATTTAATTACAAGTATTTTGAAAAATTAGAAAGTTGTATAATAATAATAATAAATAATATTTAAGTTTAAGAATACATTGTAGTGAATTTAAAAAGAACTATAATACTGAACCTACTTAGTTTACCACTTTTTCTGTTGTTTATTTCTACCACTCATCAAACCCAATTCTTTTTTCCTCTTATTCGCAATTTCTTCAATTCTTCGTATCTTTTCTTCTCTATTAGCAACTTCTTTTTCAATTTTCTTATTTAGTATTAAATTTTCTGACTCATAATTCATTAATTTTCTAGATAATAATTCCAATTCATCATCATCATTCTTATCGTTTAAATCATTAAAAAATTCAGTATCCTCCTCGGTTTCTTCATCTTCAGGTACCCAATCTGTATTATTTAGCATTTCTTGAGTAAAACTAGCTTGTGATATTATATTACTCCATTTTTGCATCATTATCATTGCATTTGATGTACCATTATTAAATAATATAAAATCATTATGAACTTTATCTATTGTGGATGAGAATGATGATAGTATTGTGTTGATTTTACGTAGTTGTGAAAGTTCTTGTCTTAATGCTGTATCTCGTGTAGAAGTTGTAATGGTTTGTGCATTTTTCAATGGTGTTGTCATTTATGAATATGTAATATGAATATTACTGATTTGTATTTGTTTACTATTTTGTTTGCGCGTTTTTTATTTATTTTAAGAAATTAATATCATCAACAAAAAATTAATCCCTAACTTGAAATTAATTATGATAGTTGACTAATTGTTCTTATTAATTTTAGATTTTTATTTTTAGTGATGTACAGTTGCTTTGATGAGATTTTCATCTGGCTTAATACTTTAATTGTTTGATTAAATCGCCATTTTCAAGAACGGATCAAAGTTAGAGTTGATAATTTTTTAAGGATGGTTAAAATTGTTTTGAGTTGATAGAGAAGATCGATTCGATTATTCATTATCATTCGAAAAGTTTTTAAATAAGGAATATTTTAATAAAGGATATTCTAGGGATTTTTGTTTTCTACTGTTTGGTTTGAAGTATTAAATTTTCTCCATTTTGCGATTAAGTGATAATTCTCCAATTCCATTTTGGATTAGCCAACTCAAACTGTAAAAGGGTTTTATAAATCCCTGTTTTACTAGTTGTTGGAGTTTATATAAAGAGAAATGTTTAATTTTTTTATTGATCGCCATAGTCGACTGCAAATAATTTTGGGAATTTCATAACTGAAGAAGTAGCTTATAATTTGGGATTTACAGTCGTGAGTCCTTGGTTTGCTACGTGTTTACAGAATTGTTTTTGGACATTAATGTGGTTTACTTCAAGAATCGTTCAAATTTTCGAGATTGAACGATTTTAGAGAGATCTTTTGAAAATAATGTCTGTAAAAGACTATCATGTATGGTCCTTCATAATTGCTTTGATTTTTTTTGTTTTTTCTTTGAAGACTCATTGTCCTTTACCGAAAACTGCAGGTACGCTAAAGCTTCTCTTTAATAAATGATTAATTGTATACTGTATTCGTGATACGTCGCTTGTAGATATATCTCTCACATTTCACCTCTTTTTAACAATTTCGTGGGATCGAGGACATTATACGTTTAGCCCTAACACAAATGATCGTGATGTCAGAATCAAACTATCTAAATGCTCAAAATTAATTGAAGAAAAGAGGTATCAACAGAGGTAAATTACTTTGTTCAAAGTAATGGATCGCACTTCGAGCTAATTTTATTTGCAATTCCAACCAAACTTTGTTTACATGGTCATTAGCTTTAATTCACCGATAAAGTGTCATAAAAATACGGAGTTCTCTTTGCTCAAGAGTGAGATCCAGTTTACGATTTGTTCAATCATATTATATCATTTCATTCATTAACATATATCATGACTTATTTACTTTCTATTACATCATTCCCATTCTTATCATCATTTTGCCATCTTTTAACCATATCATTCATTAATACATTCATGACATCAGGATTTACAATTGCCAGTCTAAATTCTTCCAGTTGTAATAAATTTAAAATATGTAAACAATTAGGGTATACTAAAAATCGAGAATATTCTGGATTTTTCCAATATTGTAGGTATTTGAGATAGTTTATAAAATTTTCATCTTTTAAATAATTGTTTTGGGCTAAATAACTTAAGTAAGGTATATTACATAATGATTGTATGAATTCTAATTCAATTTCCCATCTTGTAGGTAGTGAATTTATCAAATTGTTATATTCTTCTTCTTGTTGTTTTTTCTCTTGATCCTCTGTTGTGGTAGTAGGTGATTGATTTACATCCGTCATAATTTAATTGTGCTGAAATTGACTAATGATTGAGTAATATGTTAAGCTTAAGTAATTAGGTTGTTTTCTATAGTTGATGAGAAAAAGAATAAGAGATTCAAAAGTACGCGCGCGCGTTTTAGGCAGCCAATGTGTTTGATTAATATTGGAATAATCCTAGTTACTGCAGTTTATTTAACTTAGGTAATCCATATTCGCAAGAACAGTTTTTGGAGAAGTTGTTTTTATGTGATTATTCGTCATCAGACAACCAGAATTTGTTTAAAACGTCTTAAATTTTATGATTAGAGCAGTTAAATGGTGTAAATTTGCAACAAAAATGCGGTAGAAGAAAACTTTTACCTCTATTCAGAGCTTGGCGGTCTATGTTTCTCTGAAACTAAGTCAAATTTACTTAAAGACAGTTTTGATTACTTTTGATGGTTATGGAGAGTTTCACCATATCTTTGCTCTCAAATTCATCAAATTCCTTATAGATTAGCAAGTAGTCTAATGTCTGCTTTATTTTGCCATATCCGAAACTTGAATAAAATAACCTATTTTTACGTTGTCTTTCAATACAAAGAGAAGTGATGAAACAAAACCTACTTATTCACTTATCAATCAAAGCAGCCGCATAAATAAATAGGTATTAAGTGTTTCAAAGATGCCAAGAAATATTTTTGACGTATTTGCGTATTTCTCGTATTTTAAATCTCACAAGATGTTAAAACACAAAACTTTAGTTTACTGATACAAAAACAAAATTCAATTTATTGTTTTTTTAAGGATCTTTCAACGTCTCTTGGCATTGATAATGTTTGACATATACCACTTAAGCTTCATGAAAGAACTATGGAGTCTAAATAATAAATGATTGGAGACCAATCAGGAACTAAATTATTTCTAAAATGTATGTCTTTGAAAATTTACCTTGAGCACAAAATCTGCAGTTTTTAAATCTATAAATGGAAATATATTGAGTATTTATTGATTTTTTCATCTACCTATCTAAATTTAAAATATACTTATAGATCTTTCCTCAAATACAAAATTTCCTTTTAAATTCAGGCGTTAAACAAAATAATTAAGTTTCTTAATTCTTTATTTTTTTTCATTTGATAAAGTAAAAAAATTAGATTAAACAACTTTTGCCTGTTGAAAAATGAAATTTTTGGGGTGTTATTTGAAAGATTATAGAAATAAACTCTAAATTAGGAAGTGATTAAAACAATTATGTATTCAACATAGCCCCTATAATTAAATAAATCAATAAAAACAAGTATAACAATAGATAACTGTAAGATATTTAAGCCTGTGTTTGCCTTGTCCCCTGATTTTCTAAACTAAACGTGTTTCAGAAAAAAAAACAATTATAATCGAGATTAAAAAATTAAATTTAGTAATACAACATATTACCGCCTGTTGCTTAATCAAAATTATAATAGAACGATGCACGAGGCTGACCTATTGAAGATTAAATAATTTTGCAACTAGCTCACGATAACATAGTCTATGCATGAATTGTTGAAAGTACAGAAGGTGGAGATAAAAATTTTAAAGTTTAATTGTTTTCATAATAAAAATTATTTGAAATACGCTTTTCAATATTGGATCTACGAGATTAAAAAGTTTAATTCTTATTTCTATTTTTAGATTATAAGAGGTCAGTTTAAATTTTAGGGAGTAAGATCTATCATTTGAGACAACTAAATAATTCAGCCCATTCATCAAGTAAGTCAAAGTCGTAATTTTCCTCATATAAATGGTATTTTTAATAATCTAAGGGAAATATCAAGATAAAAATTTTCTCCTTTATACCTCCTCGAAAAAGTGGCTTTAAAATAAAATTTTATATATAGGAATAATAAGCAAATACCTTTAATATGTATAAAGATCAATTATTGATACTAATTATGAGAAATAGTGTATTAATATTTATTTTCTGGATTAATTTTGAAAACATTCATTGAATGTAAAAACATATGTAAAAGAACTGTTTTTAATTTAAAATTAGAAATCTCTTTTTTTCAATAGTGTTCATTTTACCCCTATAAATATTATATTTATTCTTTTTTTTTTTTTTTTTGTAGATTTCCCCTAAATATGTCAAAATGTTAAATAATAAATTTAGAAATTCTTTTGCCAAGCATCTATAACATTTGACTATGAAATACGATTTGTATGTATTTGTTACTATTGTACTCTTCTAATCAACCTGAGCTTAATAACATAATGAATTAATGTTTGTTCTATATTAAAATAAAAAGTAAATGTCTCCTAATCTTCTGAGTCATTTGATTTTATTTTAGTCTAGTTTTCAAAAATTTAAAACTAATTTTTTTTTGTGTAATTATTTTACTTTTTAGTAATTATGCGGGATTTTTTAATTTTAGATCCGATCTATTAATAGAATTTTCTTTTTTATACAAAACTTCAAATTTTATTAAGTATTGTATAGTATTAGATATTTTTATTGGCCAGTATGATACATCCAAATTACAAGGTATAGATACATTATGTATATTTAATTCAAATAAGCCGAATTTTTTATATTCTTATACTTCATTTTGCAAGTATAAAAACTATAATTAATACTAATCACGTAAAATAATGATCTAATTTACAAACCTAATAAATGACTAACTTTTTACTTAAGTTTTTTTTATAAATGCTGGCTAATTGGTTGTCAGAGTAAAATTGTAAGTTATTAAACTTGTAGTGAATTGGGATTATTATGGGGATATTTATTACAATTTTTAAAAAACGTCTAAAATTAATTTGATTATCTTTGAGAGCAACTTCTTTCAGGGTATTTTTGAAACAAAATCACTGATAGTAACAAAACATAAATCGAAATCAATATTTCTTGAAATCACAGATCCAAGTAAGACTTGTCAAAATCATTATTTATTTTAGTGTAAAACACGATGAAAAACAAATCATTTATCTTTATACTATTCACCAAATTTGTATAATAAATGTGCACATTTTTAATTAATTTCACCACTAAAAAATAAAATAAAAAATTACTGATTTCCGGTAAAACTTTTTAATTTTTTTGTAACAATTTCTCATTTCTTTTTCAAATTCAGTATTATTTTTACAATGATAGAAATAATTTAAAATTTAAATTTATCCTTAACTAATGGAATTTCAATAAAAAGCTACTATACTAATATTCATCTGGAGTATTAATGTATTAAAAAATCTAAAAATAAATCTGGAAAAAGTAATGTTTCTAAAATTAAATTCAAAACATTATTATTAATTATTAAATGAATTAATATAAATATTTCTAAAAATAAAAAAAATAAAAAAAAATAAAAAAGATTATTATTAAGCGGTTGTTTTAGATTTAATAATATAAATATAAATTTAATGAATTATACATTTTATACATTAAACATTTTATTTTTATATTTTTATATTTTTATTTATAAATCATCTTTTATTTTTATTAATAATATATATATAATTATTTAAAATATATATAGTAATTTCTTTTAACCAATTTTTTTTTCAAATTATAGGTTTAACTTCATAGAAACAATATCTATTATTATATGATATTAAAAACTTTCCTTAAAACAATTCAATATCAATCATTTAATAATTATAATTAAACATAATCTAACAAATCAATTCATAAAACGTCATAAAATATTCTTTTTTATAAATAAATAAATCTATTATTAGTAATTATAAGAAATATTTTTTACAATTTGAAACAGATCTTAGATTTCAAATATTTTCAATCAAATATAAATCTCCAATAAAATCATTTACACCACTTATTCATAAATTTATATATACATAAATGGATGAAGAGAAACCAATCATTGCTATAAAAAAATTTGATTTCCCTAAACCAAATATAAAATGGCTATATAATCCATTAGCAATAGTATTGTATTCATTTGCATTTAATTTGGCTGATGCAATATTATATACAAAATTATCAAAACATTATAAATATGTAAATTTTATACCAATTTGTTGTATATTTTCAGATTTATTTATATTTTTAATTATAATTTATCAAAAATTTTTACATAACAAAGTTCAAATAAATTCAAAATGGAAATTAAATTTATATTGGTTTATTGATAAAGTTTTGAAAAAACTTGTATGGTTATTTTTATTAATAATGTGTATTTTAAATGTTGTTAAATTATCATCTGGTAAAGCTTCAAATCCTTTAGATTTAGATCTTAATGAAGTTAAAGTAATAAATTTAAATACATCTCAAAGAATTAGTTATTTAATTATCTGTTTAATTGGATTATTATTTAATTGTGCTTTATTAAGTATATGGTGGTCAACAAATATTTCATCAGTTTATTTATTATTTGCAAGTTGTAATTTTATTCAAATTTTGATTAGTATAAGTATTATACAGATTAATATTGATATAATTAATCTTTCTTATGATGGTACAGCAAAAAGAATACATAATTTATTCATACTAAGTAGTTCATTTATGATTGGACTAAGTATAATGGGATGTTCCATTACTTTATTAGTAAATGATAGAAATAGATTAAATGAAATAATTGGAAGATTAATTTTTGCTTATGATTTATTACTTTGCTTTTTAGGGTTATTATTTATTGCATGTACTGCTTTATCAAGTGTTAAATTTGATTATCAACCATTAGAAGGATTAAATGAAATTCCAATAAGTTTACCAATTTTATATGGTTGTTCAGTAGGAATTCTAATATTGGAATTTTTTTGTACGAGATTTTTTAGATTAAGAACTTTAACAAATCATTATGAAGTTGAAGAATATGATTTACATAAATTAAGTGATCATCAAAAACAAGGTTGGGCTAGACTAATAGATTTAAATAAAAAATATAATGCTGGAATATCAGGTGAAAATGTTATTTCATTAATGGAAAATTATATTCATGCTGATTTACCAGGTATGAAATGTAAAGTTTTAAGAGTTTTTAACAAAGTTGAGAAACCACCACCACAACAAAAGGAAACCTTGGAAGTTACTAAAACTAATAATACTGCTTATACAATAAATCATCAAAATCAAAAGGAAAAAATGAATAGAGCATTTGAAGATTTGGATCAAGAATCATTATTATTTTTAAACGCTCCTACATTAATTGATGGTGATGTTTCAATTCAAAGTTTAGAAGATGAATTTAAACCATTAAGTAAAAACCAGCTAAAAAAATTGGCAAAAAAGGGTAAACAAGCTAAACATGCAATGGAAATACAATTACTTGAAGATAATACTGAAGAATTTTATCAAGAATTAACAAATACTCAAGCTTTGGTTTTATTGACTATAGTTGAAGAATTTGATTTAAGTGAAAGAATTCCTGGTTGGATAGGTAAACAACTTCATAAAATGTTTGGTAAAAATTCAAAACTTCCCTTGCTTTGTATAAAATTTGGATTATTAGGTTTCCATTGGCCATTTAGAAGATCAACTTTTTATTGTTCAAGTACTAAAAAACCTATTGCAAGAAGTGCAAGTGTATTATATGCCATATCGGAATGGAATAAAACAAATGAAAAATGCACTGTATTATTAGATCCAACTTATAAAGATGCAACTTTTGAAGCAGGTGTTGATTATTCAGGTTGGATTAAAATTAATTTACCAAATAGTCATATAATTGATTTAAGACCATATCATAATCAAACAAGTACTGATTTTTTTAAAGCTATAAAATATAGAAATCAAGAAAATGCTTTTAAACAAGCTTCTGGTGTTGTCGATGAAACAAATACTTTTAATTTTGAAAATTGTCAAGAAGTTATTATAATGAATGATCATATTGCAAATTCAAGACAATCAAATGGACAATCATCACAACTATTAAAACCTGATTGGGAATTTATTTATAATTTGGGTAATTACCTGAATGACCAACACTATAGATCATTATTATTTTTAAAAGTTGGTGATGAAATAATTGCTTCGTGTGTTATTTTTAGGTTAGGTGAAACAATGACTTCAGATATTCAAGGTTTAAATCATGAAATAAGTAAAAAATATAAAGCTTACTTTGTAATGATGCAAGAAGTTATTAAAATTGGTATGAAAGAAAATGTTTCATTTATTGATTTTGGTCCAACTACTGAAGAAGCTAAAGTTGCTATTGGTTGTAATGTTGTTCCTTTAACTGGATCAATTTTCCCAAATAATAAATGTTTGGGTCCAATTATAAAATTTGCTGCAAGTAAAGTAGATGTATAATTTAATGATAGATTAATGATAGAATAAAATTTGTAGTAATATATCTCTTATTTCGCGCGCGTTAATTTTCAAAAAGGTTTTTTATTATAGCGGACGTTATCTGTTTGATCGTTTTCCAAATTCAGCGCGCGTAAAATTTTATTTAAATAGACCAAAAGATTTTATTAATATTGCGTGGCAATTACACCACTAAGAATGGAACCAACAATATATGATGAACATCATATGATACTACAAAATTTAAATGCAAAACTAAAGACATTTTATAGAATTTCACTAGCTGAAGTTATATTTATTAGTTCATTTTTACTAAATTTCTTTATAAGTAGATTAATTCATTTTGGCTCACCAATTGAAGAAATTTATAATTATTATAATCAAAAGGGGAATTTTATAAATCAATTTTTTGTTAAAAAAGGTTGGGGATGGACTACTTTAATTATTATATTATTTTATACATTTGTTATAATACCTAAATCTAACAACAAACCAAAAACTTTAGCTTTAGGAGTTATTAAATATTTAGTTGTAACTTTTTGGTGGATACTTTTTACACAATGGTGTTTTGGATTACCAATAATGGATAAAATATTTGTTTATACCGGTGGTGTATGTCAATTGGATACTAGTGTGAATCAACCACATACATTTATTCAAGATTTAGAAACCTTGGTGTGGAAAAGTTCATCAGTTTCTTCATATCATTGTAGAAAATTAAAAGGAAATTGGTCAGGAGGTCATGATCCTTCTGGACATGTGTTTTTAATGATTCATTCTTCAATTTATTTATATTTGGAAATTGAAAATTATATCACTTGGAATTATTTGGTACATGAATTAAAATTATTGAAAAATAAACAATTAAAAAATCCATTAGATATTGTACAACTTGTAATAGAGATTTCAACAATTGGACTTATTGGGCTTTGGTGGTTTATGTTATTAATGACGAATGTTTATTTTCATTCCATATTGGAAAAACTTGTAGGTTTAGGTTTTGGATATTTTGGTGTAGCATTAGTTTATATTTTACCAAGATGGTTTAATTTTAGTATATAGAAATAGTATTAATTTATAAAGTTTTATTAGATCAAAAGTCCGTTACATTATTTCTTTTTTATGCATTGTCATTATTTAAATTAATTGAGTAAGCGCTAATTATAGGTGATCTTTGCACACAATATTTTCATCTTATTCTAGCAGTTTTGTTTTGTATATTTACCGAATGAATCTATTTTGTAATGATGTTGCAGTTAAACCATAGCGGCTGTTTTCTAATTAATCGTAAATTATATTGGACTCTGTCTTAAATCAAATTTGTTTGAAGTTACCGAGATGATCAAGCCACTATTGTGGTAAAATTTAAAATTCCGTTTCCTCGCAAATTTTTGACATATTTTTTTAATTTCTTTTTGCGATGCAAAATTAGTCCAAAATCTATACCAAAGATCCTTTTGAAAAATCACAAAATTGAGATCTATTGTTACACGTGAAATATCGATGATTAATTTAATAGGCAATTTAGATAAGTATGGATCTTAAAGATATGTTTTAAAGATGACGCCGTGCATAACTAATCAAAGTATATAATGTTCATCAGATCTTCAATAAATAATATTTGACAGGTTTTTCAAAACCAAAAATGTCAAAAGATCAGGAACCAGCAAAAGATTTGGAGTTGGAAACATCCCAAAAAGATTCTGATATTAAAGATCAAGAACCAACAAAAGTCTTGGAGGTGGAAACATCCCAAAAAGATTCTGATTATTTAAATTCTGATGTTTCAACGGTAGATAGCCAAAGTTCAGAAGAAGATTTAAAAGATATACCCAGAGTGGTTTTAGATGTGGTGACTTTAGAAGATGATCCAATCTCATTAAAAGATATATTCACATTCAAATATATACTACTAAGTATAATATTCATTGTTCCTGGAGCTTTCATAGATACAATGAATTCATATCGTACTACTTCAGCTGCTTACTCGATATTTTTTGTACAAATTGCATCGCATTACGTCGGTAAATGGTTAAGTAAAATACTTCCTCGAGATAAGTCGATTGGCTTTGGGAAATACAAAATTTTGATTAATGATGGTAAACCTCATACTATAAAACATACAGCAATGATAGTTTTAACTGCTTCTTCTGGAGCTACTGGCTCTCTTGGGCTAAACTCACTAAGTCTTGCTGAAATTTATTATAATCAAACTATTAATCCTGCAGTTGCATTATTTTTTATGTGGTCAATTGTATTTTTAGGTTATAGTTATGCTGGTATTGCAAGAAATTTTTTAATTTATGATCCTCAATATACTTTTCCTTCAGCTTTGATGCAAGTTAATTTGTTTAATACTCAGAAAAAAGCAGATGATGATACTGGGAATGGTAATAAGTTAATGAAAATTTTCTTTTGGGTTATCATTGGTGTTACTATTTATCATTTTTTACCAGAATATATAATGCCATTGTTGACTTCAGTTTCAATAATTTGTTTATGTGGAAGTAGATCATACAAGGCAACTTTCTTAGGTAGTGGTCTTGGTGGTGCAGGAATACTTTCTTTAACTGGTGATTGGGCAAATGTTACAAGTTCTATTATGATTAATCCTTATTTTATTCAAGTTATTCAGTTTATTGCTTATGTTCTTGCTGCTTGGATTTTAATACCTTCAGTAAAATTTGGTAATTTATCTAGTTTCAAAGCTGGATTAATGTCAAATAGTTTATTTTTGTCAAATGGTACAAAATATCCATACACCAGCATATTGACTCATGATTTTCAATTAAATGAAACTAAATATGAACAATTAGGACCCGTAAGAATGGGTGCTCAAAGATGTTGGAATATGTTTTTTGATTTTGCTGCTTATGTTTCAGGTTTTGTTTGGGTAGTTTTATTTGGTTATAAAAGTTTACTGACTTCATTCAGAAAAATAAAAGCTTCTTTCAAAAGTAAAGGCTCATTGTTTCAACAATATAATGACAGATTGAATAAAAGACAATCTGTTTATAAAGATGTTCCATTATATTGGTTTGCAATTTTATTTGGTACTTGTTTTATAACTTTATTAGTGATATTTGCTACTAATAGTTTATTTATGCCTTGGTGGTGTCTTTTTGTGGCTTTAGCATTTGGTATTGTTATTGTTACTCCATTATGTTGGCTTTATGCACTTACAAATTTTCAATTACCAATTGGTACTTTCAATGAATTGATCTATGGGTATATGATTCAAACTCAAAGTAAAAGACATCCTGCTGGTGCTACTGTTTATGGTGCTATAGCTGGTGATTTATTTTACAGATGTCAATATATTTTAAATGATCAAAAAATTGGTCATTATATGCAATTACCACCAAAAGCAGTGTTCATATCACAGCTCTTCGGTGAGTTATTGGGAGTACCAGTCAATTGGGCTGCCTTTAAATGGGTGGTTTCATCAAAGAAAGAGTACTTGAATGGAACATTGAAAGATCCTTCGAATATTTGGACTGGTCAATCAATTTCTTCATATCAAACAACTGCCATACAATATGTTGTTTTAGGACCAGCTAGAATGTTTAAATTATACCCAGTATTACCATATGGATTCTTAGTTGGGGCTCTAGCACCAGTTTTACTTTTTACTTTACATAAATTTTTCCCCAAATCATTTTTAAAATTTAGATTATGGAACACAACTGTATTTTTTTCAACAATGGCTAATTTTTATGGTAATATATCAACAGGTTATTTATCGCAGTTTATTGGAGGTACTATTACAATGTTTTATATGTATCGTTATAAACACCAAACTTGGAAGAAATATAATTATTTATTGGCTGCTGCTATTGATACTGGTTATAATTTAGCAGTTTTATTAATATTTATAATTTTCGCTTCTGGTAAACTGATTCCAATGCCTCATTGGTGGGGAAATAATGCTGTTAGTGTTGAAAGATGTTTTGCTTATGCTGAAGCAGAGGGATAGAGTAGAGTCAATATTCAGAATTATCAATTTTCAAGTAATGCATATTTATGATTAAACAGAAATAAATTAATTCTATCTACCCTTATTCTAAATTGATTTACTTAACGCTATTGGGCCAATTTTACTGTTAACTAGAGAGTGCAAAAGTTTATCATCCTCTAGATTCAATTAATTTGAAATTCACTAGTAAGATTTTTTTTTGTCTTTCTACCTATGATAATTGATGGTAAAGTTTGTTTGTTCAATCTAAATCGCTTGAGTAATGAGTCTAATCCGTGTTGAACGTTAGACAACTCCAAGTAGTATGTCAAAGCTTGAAGAAAGTCCCGATAAATATCAAAAAAAAAAAAATACTTTAAACAAGTTCATATTGATACTCTTAATTATTTATAAGGTAAAAAGGAATAAGTATAAAATGGTTTTCAACTAGTTCATGTTGCCAGCTTAGCTCATTTACGAGCTTCACAATAATTCTCATACAGCCTATAGAGTATTAATACATGATCTTATTACCAAAATCAACACAACTGAAATGTAAACACAAGTAAATAAACTTGTTTTTTATTACGACACGTTGTTTTGCAACTCCCTAAAGCATAAAAACTCTTGCGTTAAAAAATATTCTTCTTAAATATTCTTAGACTTGTAAGTAATAAAAATAACTAGGAAAAATATTAGTAATCAAATTAATAAAATTGCTTACAAATTTAGTATAACCACAGTTTTATATTAGTTTGAAATGGAGATATATTTAATTGAACTCAATTGTCCTATTTCCTTGTTATTTTAGACTTTTTTGATCATCAATTGAATCTATCCACAATCAAATATGTCATTACCGATTAAATTATATACTTTTGGAACTCCAAACGGACATAAAGCCAGTATTATATTAGAAGTTCTCGGTTTAAAATATGATACAGTCGTAGTTGATATAACTAAAAATGAAAGTAAATCAGATTGGTTTGAAAAATTAAACCCAAATGGTCGTATTCCAACAATTGAAGATCCAAATTTCAAAGATGGTCCTCCATTAATTTTAAGTCAAACAGGAGCTATATTGCAATACCTTGTTGATACTTATGATAAAGAACATAAATTTAGTTATCCATTTGGTACAAAAAATTATTATAAAACCTTGGAATATTTAATTTTCCAAGTTTCTGAAAATGGTCCAATTCAAGGTCAAGCTAATCATTTTGTTATTTATGCAAAAGAAAAACATCCTTATGCTATCAATCGTTATTTAACTGATACAAAAAGAATATATGGAGTTTATGAAGATATTTTAAGTAGAAACAAAGAAAATGACTCAAAATTTCTTGTTGGAGATAGATTGACTATAGCTGATTTTGCATTATTCGGTTGGGCCAATCGTTTGGTAAATTTAAATATTGATATTCATGATTGGCCATTATTAGGAAAATGGTATGATGCAATTAAAGAAATCCCTGCTGTTCAAAAGGGTTTGAAAGTTCCAAGTTAATTAAAAGAAAGTGAATTGCTTAGTATTAATTGAAACTTAATAATTTTATATACAAATGTTATTGAAAATGTAAGAACCTGCTTAATTCGAAAATGAAGTAAATAAATGAGCTCCAAAACTAAAATAAAAAATGCTAAATTTAACAATAAATGTGGTGCAGTAAATAGAAATTCATTATACCATCTGTTTTTCTCGAATTGTAATTTACACAATTTGAATTCGATTTAGCCATATATTTGTAAATCTGATACGGTGTAAATTCAACATCATTGAATGCATATTTCTTCTTAACTATTGATGTAGGGATCTCAAGAAGTGCTTTTTTGCAACCAAAACTTGTAAACTTTAACATCACAAAAATAATGTAGATTTATGTCTGAGATTGTTCCAATCGGTAAACTTAAAACCAAAAATGCCAGGAAAGCTGGTAATACTGTTTTGAAACTTTTGGCATTGAATACAGTATTTTGTCTTATTTAAGAAAAATTTTACAAAATTCTGCGTTTAAACATCAAATAATACTTTTAAAGTTAACAACTTTAACAGTTCACAAGAGCCGGATAGACAAACATATAGTCAGCCTTCCTTTCTCTCAAGTTTCAGTAAAGAATGGACATTAATTAACCTTTAAGAATCAAAAAACGTAAAACAAGAAATTCGAATAAATCATTATGTAGTTTGTGAGGTCAGTTTAAAATTGTTTTTCAATTTCAAATTTGGTATGACTCTGACCTCTTATTTTTATGCTCAAGTACCAGAGCCAAAAACAATTATTACTACGCTTTTAAAACTTTTCACAAAATGAAATGTTTTATACATGTTAGTAAGCACATGTTGATTTCTTTTAGATATTTGCAAACGTATGACTTGTACGTTATTTCTAAAATAAAAAAAAATAACTAAGTTGAAACAAAAAATGAAAAATATTGCTTCCAGCCGGAATCGAACCGACGCTCTCCCCATGAATTGCAGGTGTATATATCCTGAATACAAGTGGGGTGCCTTACCACTTGGCCATAGAAGCTCTTGTTGGAGTTGTTTATCAGCTGATGTTAGACCTTGGAATTCGAATAGAACAAGGATTGTATGAGTTTCTGTTTGTTTTAACCGCGGAATTACTCCTTTTAGTAAGTAAATATTTTTCCATTTCTCACCCTTTTTCGATTATTAGTTTGATTTTATTAACTATTAATTTTATAACAACGTCATAATGGAAGCAGAAACAGATATAACAAAAAGAAGAAAAGTTTCAAAAGCTTGTGATTATTGTAAAAAGAGAAAATTTAAATGTAGTGGAATTGCACCATGTGAATTATGTGCTAAAAAGGGAATTGAATGTTCATTTAGTATAATTGATAGAAGAACAATAAGAAGAAAGAATAAGAAAAGAACAGTAAAACCTAAAGTTGAAACAATTAAAGAGCCAGTTAAAACTACAAGCACCCTAAATAATTCAAAATTCGTACATAAGATAGTCAAAGATGAAAATCAAATTGATAAAAATACTTTAAAAATTTTAAAACAAAAGACAAAATTACCAATACGTTTTCAACCACTTACAGTTTTCCCATTACATAAAGTAGATGATGATCAAGGTGATTCCAACGAACCCGAAGTTGTGGTGCCACCCGAGACTAGAAAAAATTTATTGGGTGATGAATTTGAAAAACCAAAAGTATTGTATGACGCGGGTGGGAACTTAAGATATGTTGGAGAATCATCACCTTTATCTTTTTTATTTGAATGTAGAAACATTTTTAGTAAAGTTATTGGGAAATCTCATTTTACATCGGAGATTGATTCTTTGGACGTGTTTGATAATCAAGAAGAAGTTTTAGAAGTTGTTCAAGTTGCATTACCTAATAGAGAATGTATAAGTCGTATTTTGGAGTTATTTATCTTACATATTAATCAAGCTTGTTATTTATTTGATGTTGATTATTTTGAAAAACAAATTGTTGAACCAATATATAATAATTATGGAGAATGTTCAATAAGTCAAATTGCATTAATAAATTTGGTGATAGGTGTTGGATTATTGTATGCTGAAAGTTCTCAAGATATAGTTTTAAAAGGTTTAGAATCTTCACAAATGAAATCTTATGCATATTTTGAATATGGAATTTATTTAACTAAAAAATACATGAGTGTGGGCAAATTATGGATTACAGAAGCATTTGCTTTGGCGTCGTGTTATTATCAAGCTAAACTGCAAAGAAACACCTCGTGGATTATGATTGGAATAGCTATAAGAAATGCTCAAGCATTGGGGTTGCATAGAAAATATATTAATGAATCATTTAAAGATAAAGCATATATTCGTCATAGAAGGAAATTGTTCAAGAATTTGTATGTGATGGATAGAATTTCGTCAGTTTTATTGGGGCGTCCTTTGATTATTGATGATTATGATTGGGATGACTTTGAATCTTCGGATATTTATGATGTGGATGAAAATGGTAAACCAATTGAAAATATTTATCTTGAAGCATTGGAACAAACATGTAAGGTTGCTAAAATAATAAGTAAAATCATACAAGGTTTTTACATAGATGGTATTATAAACCCATATAAGGCAGAAAAATTAGCAATTGAATTAAAATTGTTTTCATTAAATTTACCAGAAAAATTACAAATTGATAAAGTTATAGATAATGATGATAAAATTATTCATGATTCAAAAGATAATAAAATTCCATTGCTACTTATACATTTATCACAATTATATGCTATTACATTATTATCAAGACCATTTTTTATGTACTTGATTTTTTTCCAAAAAAAATTTAAACTTAAAAGAAAAGCTAAATCACGTCAAGAAATTTCAATTTGTAATTTTTGTAAAGCAACTGTAAAAGCATCAAGTTTAACTATTCAATTATTAGATTCTTATGCAAATTACACAAAAGACAGACCACAAAAAGTTGAATCTCATGGATTAACTCATGCATGTTTTATGGCTGCATTAATTATTGGATTATCTATTTTATATTTAGAAAGTTTTGAATCGGGAATTTATGATGATTTTGATACATCAATGCAAATGAAATTAATAAATATATCCAAGCGAATATTTGAATTTTATTCTCCAATGAATCCAATGTCATTTAGATTTAAAATTATAATTGAACAAATGCAAAATGCATTAATGCAAAAATTTAAATTAAATATAAATGGTGAAAAAATAAATGAAATTAAACATCAAACTCCACCAATTCAATTTAATTTTAATAAAGATTATGATGAATTTATTGATAATTTTGGAACTTTATTACCAATGGCAACGATGAAACAAAATATGACAAATGAAAATGGAATGAAATTTTATCAAAATAATTCTAATAATTTGACATATCCTCAACCTCAACCACCACCATCAAATGAAGTATTGGAGGAATTTATGTATAATGTTGGATTGAATGAAGTTCTTTATGATGCAAAAGTTTAAATTGCATGACGCCGAGTTGAGTAAAGTTTCATACTTTTCAAAAAATTTTATGGCTCAAAAGTACATACAATTTAAACCGTTTGGGAGTTTTTTCATGTTATAGATTGTTTTCAACATAAATTACAAGTCTTGAATTTCCAAATATAGATTTACATTTGTATTTTGCATTATTTATAATCTAATCTAAACAAAACCGATAGAATTAAGAATATAGGTTTCATTGAAATTTTTATTTAATTTTGTAACATCAACCAATTTTCCTACAAATTATACCTCTTATTATTTAATTTTATGTTAATAAATATATTACCTACCTAATTATAAAACCTTATAAACCTAATTTATTTTCATTATCTATAATATATTTTCTAATTCTTGATAAATTATTACTCAATTTTCTTAATATTGAAACTTTGATATTTGAATCATATAAAAAGCTTAAACACATTTCACCAATTTTTAAAATATAAAGCGTTTTTTCTAATTCTTTTGTTGTTTCTGAATCACTAAAAAGATAAAAATTTGTAAAATTATTTTCATTTATAATGCCTGCATTATTTAAATGATATTTTAGTTTTAATTGTGATTTAATTTTTTCCATAATTGAAAAAATTTCTTGATTTTTGGTATTTAATTCATATAATATGGTATCATTGTTATGATTTTTTCTTCTTTTTATAAGATATATTGAAAACATTGCTAATATAGTGAAAACATGATATAAAACTTGTGAATGTATTAAATTATGAGTTGGATCAAATTCATCAGTATATTCAAATTGAATCATTTTTGCAAATTCTTTATAATTATCAACATTATTATCAAGATAACCAAAATCTGTATCAAAAATATTTTCTGAAGTTTCTTCAGCTCTGAATAGAAGTACTTTTAAAACAGATAAACAACAATCAATTACTTGTAAATAATTAAAATCATTAACAGGGTTATCATAAAACAACAAATCAAAATGATTCTCGAGTTCATCATAATTTTTCAACCAACATTGAGTTTTAACCAGTTTTAAATCTAGAACTGTAGTTATTTTTGTGAAATTTACCAACAATACATAATCAATTTTTTCAATATCCTTTTTTGTGGTCTTAGCTTTTGGAAAATGGCTTGTAATTTCATTAAGTACTTTAAAAGTGTCAATTTTTTCCATTTCTTTATATTGTTTTATTTCATAGAATCCATGAATTAATGAATTAAATCCAAATTTACTCATATCATCCAATTTAGAATTCATTGATTCATTTGAAATATTTAATAATAAATCCTTAAAATTGATTTTGTTTGTGTGTAAATGATTTCCAATGTTATCACCATTAATTTGACAAATTTCTTGAAATTCCTGAAAATTTTTAAACCCCCATAAATATTCATCACTTCTACTTGGTATTGTTAGGTGGTTCAAATCATTTACCGATAAAGTTAATGGAACATTATACATCATGAATAAGAAATTTGTAACTCTATAAATTATAAAAACAATTCTAATTTGCAGTTGTAAATTTATATGATTTTTGAATTTAATTTCATCATTGAAATTGTTTGAAAACAATGAGACTTCGTCAAGATTGCTAGTTTCTGCTATTTTCTTGTATATTAATTCATCTTCACCATGGATGGAGAATAAAATATCTCTAGAATCTTTTATTGATGTTTTCACTAATGAATTCAATGCATTTAATTGTCTCATGACAATATAAACATTGTTTACATTTTCTGAAAATAGTCCATAAATAACAGATAATGTTAAAGATTGTATCAACCAAAGTGGATTTACTGACGAAGCAATTTTCTTTTCAACAACAACTTTCCTGCTCTCCAAATAAATATGTATTGCTCTTCTTGAGCCTTCATAAAGATGTTCTGAATCATTCTTGTTGTTTGCTAATAATGCCCCAATAGTTGCAACCAATAAAGGTAAACAGACTCTTGCACTTTCATTACTATCAGCTTCATCAGATGCCATACTCATAATTTCGTATTCATTTAACTTTGAAATGTGTATAAAAGGGTAATGAGATAAAAAGTCTTTTATAAAATATGATAAATACATTTCAAGTTTTTCATTTGATGGAATAATGGGTGTGGTGATCCCACTTATTGGATATTTATTTAATGCTCTATTGATAAGTTGTCTCATATGATTTGTAAATAATTTATTTTTTGAGTAATTTCCCAATTTTATTCTATTTAATTGATCACTTACATCTGGAGAATTTGATGAATTTTCTAAATTCATTAGTTGATGATGATCAACGTAGTTTTGTTGTTGTCTTGGTGGTGATTTAAAATTTGGTGAATTTGTGTCCATACCAGATGAACTTGCTGAAGGATTATCTCCATAAAATGAATAACCTCCGGGCATAAATTTCGAATTTACATCAATTTCATGAGTTAAATTATCAATATCATTTAAAAAATTCAAATCAACATCTTGTTGTGGCGGTGGTAGTGGCATTTCTTCATAAGGTTCTTGTTCTTGTTTTATTGGTGTAAGTACTTTAAAATGATTTTGTTCTCCTACTGATAAAGCCATATCTAACATATTATCAGGAATATCATAAAATGAATAACCAGTATCAACATTTTGTTGTTGATCATATCCAGAATATTGTTGTTGAATCATATTTTGATGAGCAGTTACTCCATTTTGAATTTCTTGATTAGTTAAAGTTACTGTAGGCATCATATATGAACCATCAAAATTAGAGTTTATTGAATTTATACTATCAGATTGTGTCATACCAAAAGATTGATTTGAAAAAGAACCATGATGACTTACATTAACTGGCGGTGTTGGATATTCAGTGAAAGGTAAAGAAGGTTGTCGATTAACTTTAATAAAATTTGAATTTTCTGATAATCCAGGTATTGAAGTTAAACTATTCAACCAATTTAATTCATCATTATTATTTGTTGGTAATAATTGAGGAGTTGAAAATTCAACATTATCTGATTGTGGATATACATCATTAAATTCTTGAACATTAACTGCATAATTTGGACCTGATTGAGCTGAAAATGAAGCACCTCTCATTCTTCTGGTTGGAGTTATCGTTATACCTGACATTGATGAATCAGTTGTTCTTTTCCTTTCTAGTACGTGTCTTTGTAACGAAGTTGTGGTTGAGTTTTTTCTGGTTGTATTTGATGATGAATTGGATGAAGAATTATTAGTGGTTGTTGGTTTTTTGGTGGTGGTAGTAATTTTCAGTACTTTTGATTTTGCAATATTTGGTTTGGAATTATTATTATTATTATCAAATAAATTTAAGTTAAATTCAACTGAACTTTCCTTTTTAACTGGTGCTGCTGGTTGCTGTTCTACTTCTTCTTTTTCTCCTTCTTCTACATCATCATCATCTCCATCTTCATCATCTTTTGGTTTTAAAGATTTTCTTCTTAATCTTGTTATTGCATCAGTACAACCAGCATGTAATTTTTGTGCATGTCTTAATAGTAAATCTCTACGACTAAATTTTCTTTGACAAACTCCACAACTAAAAGGTTTTTCTTTAGTATGTGATCTTTCATGTCTTCTTAAATGTTCTAATCTTGCAAAAGCTCTTGTACAAACTTGACAAACAAATAATCTTGGTTTTCCAGACGGTGTTGTACCATAAGCAGTTAATTCAACAGGTATATTTTTCATTTTTTTAGCAGAAGCTGTATTACCAGATTTACTTGATGCATTTATAAGTTCATTTTTATTATCATTTAATTTATTTTCTTCATTATTTAAATCTATGTTTCCATTCATATTGGTTATATTATTATTCATTGAATTATTTATATTTTGTGAAACATTAAATACGTTTAAATCTTTGGATATTTCTATATTATTTGATTTAAATTTATTAATAAGATGATTATTATTATTTGATGTAAATGATTCAGAATTTAATGAATTATTATTCGAATGATTAGTTGATGAAAAATTCAAATATTTAGAATGAATTATTGATGAAGTCATATAAAAAAATTAGACAACAACTTTTTTTTTTTTTGATTTTTTTTTTTCTGTTTAGATTTTTTTTATTTTGTATAATAATTATTATTAAAATTACAATATACTATGTATGTTATGTATGTTAAATATTTAATTTTTTATTCTTATATTGAATTTATCCAATACTTTATATAAGTATAATGAATAGTTGTTTATAAACAGATGAATGAAAATAATTGATTATTTTGAAAGGTAATGTTAAGGTTTAGAAATATTATTGATTTAATAGTTCTATATAAAATGAATAATATCAAATTGGAATAAAATAAAAAAAAATTTGTTGTAAAAAGAAAATAAATTTTTTTTTTTTATTTACAACCAAAAATATATTTATTATAATAATAATAAATAATAATAATTAATTAATGGAAATATGGGGTAAATAAAACAAAAATCTTTAAAAATCTAACTAACTTGTTAATGAATCAATATATTAATAGATTAGCAAATATTAATATGGACAATAAAGAATACTAATTGAAAACCGTTAATCAATTCATATGATTATTTAAATTTCAATTAGATGAAATTAAATGATTCATTCAAATAACAAATTATTTGTTGAATAGTTCATTAAAAAATTTCAATTGTTGAATTTTATTTAATTTTTAATTGAAATAAAATTATAATTAAAATGATTTTGTCTGTCTGATTTATTTAGTTTTATAATTTCTTTATAATTATTTTTTTGTTTATAAAGTATGAATTCTCGACTTTGTTACACACAAATTTGAATGTCGGATTGAAGTGTCGAGTTAAATTGTCGGATTAATGCGTGGATTAAATTGAAAAAATTAAATTTTTTAGCGTCTAAACTTGATAAAATTTAAATTTTTCAAGTAATAAATTGAAATGTGGGGTCAGTCAGTCATTTTTTTTAATATTCCATTATAGAATAATGAATCAATTAAAATTCAACGAATTGATGGTAGTTTAAATGATCAAAGATTGGTTGTGATTCATTCAGATATCCGAGCTAATATTAAATTATATTTATTTTGGACATTAAACATAAGACATAATCATTTACACACATTTAGTTAATAATTATTATTCTTATATTATTATAACATTTCTTAGATTTATAGATAATACGATTTAATAAGTCAAAAAATTAATTCTTATATAAATAATTACGATAAAATTTTTGTATTCGATAGATAAAAAGAACTACTCAGAATTAATAAAACTAAATAAAAAATAATAAATAATTTATTGATACATATGTAAGACAATGTCCCTTATATTTCTTAATAAGAAATTCTGTTTATTTGATTAATATTATAATTAATACTCTTTCTGTTTTCTATTCCCTTTGTTTCCCTTTAATCATTTGAAATAATAATTTATTTGATTAATCAAATAATAAACGAATTAAGAAAAGTTCTATTAATTTTTTATTTATTATAATAAAAAATTATTTTATTAAAAATAAAATAAAATATATTTTAAGGAAAAAAAAAAAAAACTCCGAAGAAATTTTAATTTTCCATTTATAATTAATTAATTAAAATTCTTTATATATTATTTATAATACTTTTAATATATAATTGATATTATTGGTACTAATTATTGTATATACATTAAATAACAAGTATATAATTAAAATTCAATTGATATTACTCACATACAGAAAATATTTAGGAATGAATTACAAATTTAAGTTGAAATATGTAGAATATATAGTCTAAAACAATTAATAATTTTTTCATATGCATGACCAAAATTTATTCTTTTTTCTATAAAAATTTAAGATGCGTCACATTTAAAGAAATTAATTAAAGAATTTATTACATACTATTATTAATTCATCAAAATAGTAATAAAAATAATTCATTCCTTTAATTACTTTATCAAACAATAATAAATTATTATTATTATTATCAGACATTTAATTATTATAATTATTTAACATTTTCTAATTAGATATAATAATTACTTTTTTTAAAACGATAACTCTTATTATTATTATATATTATCTACTTAAGATTGTTATTTAAGATTCGAAATCAAAGATTTTGTTGTCACTACTATACATAGATCTCTAGTTCAAGATCTCTAATTAATGGTTTGTGAAGCGCTAAATATTAACTTGTATACCTAATATTAATTTCTCCTCGAAGTTTTTGGCCAGGATATTACCAATTAATTTTCGAATTTCTAGTTCATCGATACCCTATTTTTGGACTTTTAATTTTCTGATCTTCTACTCATAAAAATTCAATAGATTATTGGTATATATTTATGAAAATATCAAACATATAAAAGTCATAAAACTGCAATATTATAGTTAAAAAATTACTATTCAAAAATTAATTTGAAAGTAGAATATCGTTTCCAACAAACTTTCTTCATTACTATCAAAGCAAATATTAAAATTCTGTTCTTCGTGATATTTCATCCTTCTAGGATTTTTTTTCATCTTCTTTATCTTCATCATCATTATCACTTGCTCTATTATGTTGCATCATATCTTCAACAAATTCAACACTTGGTTTATTTTTTTCCATATCATATTGTATATGATCATATCCTGTGTTACCCATTCTTGAATTTGTATATTTAATCTTATGAATTTGTGAATGATCAGGAATCAATTTATTACAACGTCTTAAATTGTACCATGGTAATGTAAATACTTCTTCAATTGATTCTAATGATCTACCTTTTAATTCAGGTAAAAAGAATCCCCAAACTAATGAGATTGATAAAACACCAACAAAGAAATAAAAAGCACCATATGGTTTCATTGCAATCATCATTTTCGGTAATGCTTTTGAATTACCATATTGATTTGCAAAATGAAATACCATTACTAAAGACTGAGCAAATGATCTTATACCTAATGGGAAAATTTCACCACCAATTAAATATTGAATTGAATTAAATCCAATTGTCCAAAAAACTCCACTAAAATAAATAGCTGCCAATGCACCAGTACTTGCTCTTTTAGCTGATCCAACTATTTCAGTACCATCAATAGCTGCTTGTGGTACTACTGTTAAAAAGATAGCATAATATAATAATGAACACATTTGACCACTAATACCAATAAATAATGCACCTCTTCTCCCTAATATATCAATAATAAAAAAAGCTGATAAATAAGCTGAAACAAATTTAACAACCCCTAAAATTGCAGACATTTTTAATTTATCAATACCTTTAATACCAACTAATGCAAATAATTCAGAAGCATAAATAGTAACTGCATTAGCTCCTGACCATTGACCTAATAATTGAGTACCACCACATATTATTAAAAATCTATAAGCAATACTCTTTTTTGTGAAAAGTAATCTAAAATTATTAATTAAACTTGATCCTCTTTGAGCTTCTTTTTCACTCATAACTTGTTCATTAATATCACTAATTTCTGCAACAATATATGGATGATCACTTGGTAAATTTCTTAATTTACTTAATTTTTCAACTGCCTTTTGTGGTTTATTAGTTTTTAATAACCATCTTGGACTTTCAACACTAAAGAAAAATGATGATACAAAAACTAAAACACTCATAATTATTTTCAATAATATAGTAACTCTCCATTGCCAATCATTTATCGATCCATTTGCATGTCTTGTAGGTATATGTAAAGCAGATCCATAATTTACGAAATAACCCAACATAATACCTAAATAAACAGCCCCTGCGAAGATACAATTAGCCATACCACGAATAGGACTTGGTGCAACTTCAGACATATAAACAGGTCCAATAGAAGTGGTTTGTCCAATAGCCAAACCTTCAATTAAACGACCAGCATATAATTGACCTACCGAAGATGAAGTAATTTGAATAATAGCAGCAACTAACCAAATAATACAAACAACTTGTACAGCACGAACTCTACCAAAATAATCAACTGATTTCATTGCAATCATAGATCCACCAATAGAACCTAATTGAACCATTGAAGTAATATTTGATTTTAAATTTGCTAATTGATGAATAGTTTTATTTGGAGCTTTTAATCCAAATCTTGCAACAAATGAAGGATTTGCAATATTTCCAGATATAGTTCCTTCATCAATACCTCTACAAGCACCTAATAAACCAAAAACTAAAATACTTAAATATAATGTTTTGTTTAAAATTTGTGGTGGATGATCTGATGTATCTACTGTAAATCTGAATCTACTCCAGAATGATTTTTTAGGTTCATCTTCGTTATAAGGAGAAGTTTTCGAGCCGCAATCTGATGAAACATCATTGTTTAATGAAGCAATTGATGCTGATTCCTTATTTTTTTTTTCTTGTGAATCTGACATCTTTTTAAAGTCTTGTATATCTCGTAAAAATTATTTTAGTAATATGCTTAAAGGGTATACAATATGAAAATTATTATTAAAAAAAAAAAAAAAAACTTGAATAAGATGGTGAAATTTTGCAGAAACAGAAGTCTCTTTATATACTAATTTTTTTGGATTAAGGAAGGAGAAAACTATGTAATAATATAATGAGAAAACTGCCTTCAAAGTAGCCCGGTAAAATACTTATTTTCATTTTGAATTATTATTTTGCAGCCAAATTTTGGGTTTTTTTTTTAAGATTTTGAAACAATCGCATAGAAACAAATGACACAAAACCTTAATTTATATCTACAATTCACGAATAAAGCAAATTAAATTCCTTAAGTATATGAAGTTTTACCCTTGAATGCAATGATAAACTTGGGTCAGTCAAGAAAAAAAAATAAGAAACGTTTAGTACTTCTCAATCAAATTTTTTGTGTTGAGCTCTAATTTTCATACAGTAATATTAGATTTAGGTCAAGAAAATTTTTGATTTTTTGAACAAGAAAAAAAAATTAAATTTTCTTTCAAACAATAAATTAATCTATAAAACTTTAAAAATTATGTAGAATAGATAAAATTAAAGTAAAATTAAGAGGGTTTTCAAAAATAAAGAAGTTCATAAGGATTGATAAAAAGTGGGGAACAATGATTGTTGATATTTGTTCATTTGAATATGTCTATACTATATTATAGTTTTGATAATCAAAATCAAAGTTTATATTTATGTGTTTTAAATAAATTTTTTTTTTATTTTATTTCTTCTTTTAAATTTGCGCTTTCTATCAACCTTTACATTTCTTGAGTTTGATTAGTCTCAAGTTATACTTTGAAAATTGCTAGTAGAATGAGCTCCAATAATGGGACTCAAGTTATAATGTGGTTTAGAATTTATTCTTAAGTCCCTATTGAAAGCATTACAGTAAGAAATTAAATACAACACTTGACTTGAATTTTAGAAAGGTACTATACTTAAGAGAATTACGATATATGATTAGAAGAATAAGTAAAATTATACTGTAGTTCACTAAGGTGCAAATTAACACTGAGTAGCATATAATGTTTTATCAAGATTCAAGTTGTAAACGTTTTGAGAAGCCAAGGAAATAAAGAAGATGTCCAACAAATTATATAGGATAACTTCAGCATTCAAAGAGCCCTCGTGAGCTCCCCTCATTATAAAAATGTCTCAACAAGAATCCCGAAACATCAACCAAATAAATTCAATACCAATTGTTGAAACGTCTCAATTATTCATTTGAGTCACAAAATGATTAGACAATTCCGGGTATTTTTTTTTCCAAAAGATGAAACTAGTCGAATAAAGAAAGTTTCAGATCGCTAAGTAGGTGACACTTTCAGTTTCATATCGTTCAAGGTACACTATCTTTAATATATTTTAAATACTCCGAGGCATTTGATTGAAAACCAATAGAATCAAATCGTTCAGCATAAATCTAGTCTTTTTTTGTAAACTTTTAAATTTAGAATCAACTTTTACCCCCAATTTTAGCAATGAATTATCCTAAAAATAGAAGCTAAATTAACTTTTTTTTAGACAATAATAAAATTGAACAACCTGCAAACTTCCCGAGTTTCCACATTCATTTTTAGCCGATGTATAAGCTGTAGTCAAAGTCGTACAATTCGAGGTTAAAATATAGTAAAATTCAAAAACTTAAAAAAGAACATTAGGATGGAAAATTTTAGGCGGCCAAACTTGATATTACCCATTTTATGAAACTCGTTATTATTTCATTATTAAAAACACTAATTAATTTGAACATTGGTATATATTTATAAAAAAACTCATTACATATCAAACATATAAAAACTTATAAAATATTCTATAACACTTCAATCTTAACTAAAAATTGATTTAAAATGTGTTAAACAAAAAATCTCCCTTACTATCAAAGTAGAAAATCAAATTTTGTTCTTTATATTTTATTCTTCATCTCTTTACAATTTTTTTTCATCTTCTTTATCTTCATCATCATTATCACTTGCTCTATTATGTTGCATCATATCTTCAACAAATTCAACACTTGGTTTATTTTTTTCCATATCATATTGTATATGATCATATCCTGTATTACCCATTCTCGAATTTGTATATTTAATCTTATGAATTTGTGAATGATCAGGAATCAATTTATTACAACGTCTTAAATTATACCATGGTAATGTAAATACTTCTTCGATTGATTCTAATGATCTACCTTTTAATTCAGGTAAAAAGAATCCCCAAACTAAAGAGATTGATAAAACACCAACAAAGAAATAAAAAGCACCATATGGTTTCATTGCAATCATCATTTTAGGTAATGCTTTTGAGTTACCATATTGATTTGCGAAATGTAAAACCATTACTAAAGATTGAGCAAACGATCTAATTCCCAATGGAAAAATTTCACCACCAATTAAATACTGAACTGAATTAAAACCTACAGTCCAGAATGTACCACTCAAGAAAATTGATGCTAATGCACCAGTACTTGCTCTTTTAGCTGATCCAGCTAATTCTGTACCATCGGAAGCTGCCTGTGGGACGATTGTCAAAAAGATAGCATAATATAACATACAACATAATTGACCACCAATACCAATGTATAAAGCTGTTTTTCTACCTAATATATCAATAATGAAAAAAGCAGATAAGTAAGCTGAAACAAATTTAACGACCCCTAAAACAGCAGACATTTTTAATTTATCAATACCTTCAACACCAACTAATGCAAATAATTCAGAAGCATAAATAGTAACAGCGTTTGCACCTGACCATTGACCTAAAACTTGAGTAGCACCAGCGATACAAAAAAACCTATAAGCAATACTTTTATTAGTAAAAATTTGTTTGAAATTGTTCAATAAACTAGAATTTTTTGTTGCTTCTTTTTCACTCATTACCTGTTCATTTATATCACTAATTTCTGCAATAACATATGGATGATCAGTAGGTAAGTTTCTTAATTTACTTAATTTTTCAACTGCCTTTTGTGGTTTATTAGTTTTTAATAACCATCTTGGACTTTCAACACTAAAGAAAAATGATGATACAAAAACTAAAACACTCATAATTATTTTCAATAATATAGTAACTCTCCATTGCCAATCATTAATTGATCCATTTGCATGTTTTGCAGGTATATGTAAAGCAGATCCATAGTTTACAAAATAACCCAACATGATACCAAAATAAACAGCACCTGCAAAGATACAATTAGCCATACCACGAATAGGACTTGGTGCAACTTCAGACATATAAACAGGTCCAATAGAAGTGGTTTGACCAATAGCTAAACCTTCAATTAAACGACCAGCGTATAATTGACCAACACTTGACGAAGTAATTTGTATAATTGCTCCAACTAACCAAAGAACACAAACTATTTGCATTGCACGGACTCTACCAAAATAATCAACTGATTTCATAGCTATTATAGCACCACCAATAGAACCTAATTGAACCATTGATGTAATGTTTGATTTCAAATTTGCTAATTGATCAACAGATTTTCCTGGTGCTTTTAATCCAAATCTTGCAATGAATGAAGGATTTGCAATATTTCCTGAAATATTACCTTCATCAATACCTCTTCCAGCTCCCAATATACCAAACACTAATATACTTAAATATAATTTTGCATTTAAAATTTGTGGTGGATGATCTGATGTATCTACTGTAAATCTAAATTTTTGCCAAAATGATTTTTTTTCATGCTGTGAATATGGTGGTGTTGATGAACCACTTTGTAAGGGACTATTATTTTCTGAAAGTTTATGTTGTTGAAGTGAATTAATTGAAGTTATTTCATCATTTCTATTTGATTGTAAATTTGACATATTTCTTGGAAGGATCTAAAGTATTTTCTTGGTATTTCGTAAAGTAAATAAGCAGATTTTTCTTGGTCAAAATATAAAAAAACTAAAAATTCTTAAAAATCTAAAAGAATTAAGGAATCACAAGTATTTATAATAGATTAAATTTTAAGAAAGGGGAACAAAAGTTACATAGAAGTTTATCGTTGTTACATAATTAAATATTATATTTCTACTGAATTTTGCAGCCTATTTTTAGTTTTGTACCACAAATTTTAAAACAATTAAAAAAGCAAATATCATTTCTCCATATCATTTTACATAAAAACAATAGAATAAAGTTTTTTTTTTCAGCAGAATTGCTAAAAATGTTCGAGTGATTTAAAACCAACTACATACCCGGAGTAAATAACATAGAGAAAATCAGTTTGAAACGTACTGTAATAAAAAGATTTTTGTTGAGTTATAATACTAACTTCAGAAACGCACCTTAATTTTAGTCAAAAAAAATAGTTTTAATTCAATGGTTAAAAATTTAGAAAAGTCTCCAAAAAATCTGATTGATAAATTTAAACTTCTTAACCGAGTAAAACTCGATCCATTTGTCTTTAAATTATGATCATTAAACAAAATCAATTGAAATTTTGAACAATAAAATTAGAGATGAAAGTGGGGAATACTTGAATAGAAAATTGTTTTGTGTTATTTTAAAATATTAATAGATTTAAAAAGATGTATGAAGTTTTAAATTATCAAACTTAAGTTCATAACTATTTATATGTACGTTTCTAAGATTTTGGGTTATAAATTCTTTTGAAATAGTTTTAACATTCCACCACCACGTTATCTTCAATCATATCAGAAGAGAGATAAGTCCTGGGACTATTATATGAGAACGGATTCCACAGTTGCTAAAAAACTGCTTTGCTGTCAAAACTGGCTTATAATACTTTCTTTGTCTTTTGTATTGCTTTAGTATTATTTTGCCAGCCGGTTAAATATTTAAGATTGTAAAGGAAGTTACATTAAGAAATTATTTTAGAAATTATTTTTTTAGAGAATTCAAAGCCTTACTACCTAAGTTTTAAAAAATATGTCAAGCACAAAAACATGAATCATCTTTCCGTTTAAAGTTTTTATAGTTTGAATAAAAAAAAATTTGTTTTAAATATAAAAAATTATGCATAAATTTCATTTAAAATATAACCAAAAAAAAGTGGGGTGGAATTAATAGTTAATGTTTAATTTATTATTAATAATTTATACGATTTCGAATAATTTTTATAGTAATAATTAACCAACTTCTTATAAATATACGTTTGTAAAAAATGTAAAACTAACCCTAATCTTGTTAAATACGATTTAACACCTTTTTTATAATTAAACAATTAAAACAAGGCATACAGTTAAGAATTTGGCTACATCAAATTGTTATATTTGCTCGAAATGATCAGATGACTTGCTTTTCATTTTGATCATTCGAGTTTTAAATAGAAAGTTATGAAACAATAGAAATTATTTAAAACAAAAAGATCTTACTTTAGTTAAAAATATATTTTTAATTGTTCTTAAAACAAGGCAAAAACTCATTTTCAAGTAATCTTTAATTAAAATATTATTGTTTTAACAACAACAAATAGATTCAAATTAATAATATAACCTAATCTATTGGGTTAGAAATCAAGAATTAAATATAATTCTGGGGTAAAATAATAGATTTAATTACTTTTGTACTCTTTCGTCTATCTATATTTAGTAAAATTTGAGGTTCCAACAAAATAATTTAGATTTTTGATCCTTCATATTTTCAGATTCAAACGAGTTTCACCGAGACTCAATACAAACAGTTTTTAATTAACGTTTAAGTTTTTGATAAAGCCATTTGTAAAAAAAAAAAAAATTTTTATGTTCTTCTTCTCCTCTTTTTTTAAAATTTAATTTTTTTTTTTTTTCAAAAATTATTCAAATGGTTATGAATGTTTTAAATTTAAATAAAGTTTACATTAATAAAAAAAAAAAAATTATCGTGTTTCCATTTATGTCAATATAACAAGCCTTCTCGTGAAAAAAAGTACAGTACTCTAGTAGCCGTATTTTGTCATTTGACTATAGATTTGTAATTATTTAATATACTTCAAATAATTTGATTATACTCAAGACTTTATAGGAATGAAATTTTTAAAGATTTATTTATTATTTTAAATCAAAATAAATCCGAGTATGATCGGTTATAAAATCTGTAACAAATTTTCAATTTAAATTATTATTCAAATTTTTTTACTAAAATATTTTTTATTCATAAAAATTTTAGGTTGAAGTTTAAAGCTTAAAAATAATCCAAAGTTGATCATCATTACTAAGTTTTAGTTTTAATCGAGAGATAAATATTTAACAAAATTGATATTTTTCCCCTCAAATAATTTAAGAAAATAATAGCATGAGTTTATATATGAACTTCCAAAATTACTTAACCATTACATATTGTCAAATGTGATTTCAAATTATGGAATGTTTGAGTTCTATTTTCGCGCTTTGAGCCCGGTTGTATTACTTACATATTAATTTCTCTACCCCGCCAACTAGAATTTTTTTGACTTTCAAGGTAAATTTCTACCTTGCAAAAATCAAGAAAAAAACATTTATCAGAATAATTAGAGATGATAGAAATGCTAACTACAAACTTAGCTAATACATATTACAGTTTACAAGTTTATTTAAAATTATACAGTTATGTAAAATCAACCACACCCTTAATTATCACAACCAAAATGTCTAATTTAAACGTTCTTATCTACTTAATCATTGATTTTTAGTTTTTTTGATCTTTGGTCTTTCATCTTCTAGTGATCTCTTTCTTTCAAATATGAGTGGTTGTTTGGCAGTTGTTGTATCATTTGTATTAGTAGATAATGCAGCATTTGCATTTGCACTTTTTCTTGCCTCTGTTTTGGCAATTGCTGGACGTTTTATCATTGAAGTTGATGCTGCATGAGGTTGCCCAAATGATATTGGTGGGACTGACGATCTTGGTGGAAGTGATGGTAAAACTGTTGTAGGTGGTGTATTATTTGTTGATGCAGGTGGTTGCGTAGTTGTAATTGTGTTTAAATTATTTGATGATGTCTCTGTAGCTGATGAATTTTGAGCTTTGACTTCGGATTGTTGTTGTGTTTGCAACGGTGGTTGTCCTTGTGATTGTACTTGCGATTGTACTTGTGGTTGAACTTGTGGTTGAACTTGTGGTTGAGCTTGTGGTTGAGCTTGTGGTTGAGTTTGTGGTTGAGCTTGTGGTTGAGTTTGTGGTTGAGCTTGTAGTTGAGCTTGAGGTTGAGCTTGTGATTGAGCCTGTGGTTGAGTTTGTGGTTGAGTTTGTGGTTGAGTTTGTGGTTGAGTTTGTGGTTGAGTTTGTGGTTGAGTTTGTGGTTGAGTTTGTGGTTGAGCTTGAGGTTGAGCTTGAGGTTGAGCTTGTGATTGAGCCTGTGGTTGAGCCTGTGGTTGAGCTTGCACCTTTGGTGATTGTGTATCTTGTGCAATGGAAGGTGATTGAATAGGTCTCACATATTTATTAGATGCAGCACCAAAATTATTTGCTTGAGGTTTAGATTGAAATGCAGGATTATTTAAATTTGAATTACTTGGAGTTGTAATTGAAGTAACTCCAGATTGTACGGAGGAACTCGGTTGAACATTTTGTGATTTAACAGGAGTATTGAGTGAAATTGATGCCAATGAAGGAAGGGAAGTGTTCCCGGAGGAAGATGGAAAACTTGAAGATGTTTGAGGCTGTGATATAGATTGAGGTTGAGTTGAATTAGCTTGTGTGTGCACTACTGGAGCTTGATTTGATGGCTGAGTTTGAGTTAATGGTTGTGGGCTTTGTTTTACTTTTGCCTCTGATTCAAATTTCTCAACCTTCCTATTCAACATTTTCAATTTGAATTCAAATTTTTTCTCAACTTCTTGTCTAACTTTTTCCTTTTCTGAATTTAATTTTATTTGAAATAATTTATTTTCATCTTCTAACTTTTTGGATAATTCATCATTTTTCTTTTTCAATTCATCCTTATTACCATTTCCATTAACTAAGGATGATCTTAATTTTTCTTTTTCCTTTTCTAATTGTGATTTAAAATTTGATTCCAATGTTGTTAATTTTTTTTGTAACTCATTTTTCTCTTGTATTAATTGATCATTAGGAGTTTTAATTAATTCTTCAACTTTGGTTTTGAGTTTATTTTTTTCTTCTTCTCTGGAGTCGATTTCTTTTCTCATTGCTAATATTCTTTCATTAGCTTTTGTTTTCAATTTCTCCATTTGTTCTTGCATTTTTAAGATCTCTGGACTTGGACCTTTTGGTGTCTCTGGTTTTGGTGCCTTACTAGCTGATATAGCTTTTAATCTGGCATTCTCTTCCGTCAATAATTTCAATCTTTGTTGATCAACAGTTGCTTGTGAATTCAGGTTCAGAGCTTTTTGTTTAATTGCAGTTAATTCATTTTGTAATTTTGACAATTCGATCTTTGAGCTTGTTATCTCTTGAACTTTTTTATTATTTTCTTGTGCTAAGGATGCATTTGTTTGTTTTAATATTTTGATTTGTTCTAGCTGATTATTCAAAGCAGCTTGCTCTTTATCATTATCAGTTACATTTAATGATTGTGATGCTACTGAATTGTTATTAGCTGCTTTCAAAGATTGTTCTAATTTATTTTTCAAACTTGAGTTTTCTTCTTCTAATGTTGACAATTTATAATCAATACTTTCTTTTTCACGACGATAGTATTCAAGAATTTGTTTGAAATCATCTGAACCATCTTGATTTTCTGCGTTACCATCTGTTTTTGATAACTCTAATTGATTAAATAAAAGTTTATTTTGATTTTCCAATTCATTAATTTTCTTGCGAGACAAGGCTTTTTCACTTTCCAGATCTAAATTTTTTGAATCTAAATCATCCTCAATTTGTTTGATTCTTATATTTTCTTTCTTTAACTCTGCAATGATAGTTTCGTTTTCTTCAGCTTGTGCTTTCAATAAATCAATTTGTTGACCCAAGGGTTTAATTTTATTTGACTCTTCTTGTAATTTTTGCTGTAAAATATTCGCTATATTTTTTTCATTCGTAAGACTGCTATTAAGATTATTAAATCTCTCTTGATAAATTTTTTCTAAATTATTTAATTTTTCAACTTTTTCTAATGATTTTTTCAATTGAGTTTCAATTTCACCGAATTTTTGTTTTATTGATGTAATTTCTTGCTCTTTTGTAGTTATTGTTAATTCTAATTTATTATACTCTTCTTTTTGAGCCCTGTTCACATCTATTTGCTCTTTTAATTTATCTTGAATTTGTCCCTTTTCTGTTTTAAACACTTCATTTGCTTGCACGATTGACTTTTCTTTATTCTGTATAATTTCTGAAAGTTGTGATATTCGAGATCTACTATGTATTAAATCATCATTCAATTTTTGAATTTCTGGAGCAGTTAAATTGGTTAATACGGATTTTTTAAGTTGGTCTATCATTTTTTCTTTCTCCATTAACTCATTTTTGCTTTGTAATAATTGTGATGCTAGTTCATTAATTTGTTCTAAATTGGTATTTTGTGCCTTGAAAGACATTTCCGATTGACTTAATAGTATGTTAATTTTTTGATCTTTTTCATTTAATTTTGATTGAGTTGCTTTTATTGATTCATTTGATTCATCTAGTTTCTTGGAAAATTCTTTAATTGATAAATCTTTTTCTTTTAACATAGTTTGTAAGTTTTGGATCAATTCATTCACTTTTGATTTATCATCTCTTAAACTTGAAGCTTCTTGTTTTAACGTAGCGTTCATTTGTTTGGTGAATTCTATTTCTTGTAAAAGGGAAGTATTCGTTAGTTTGAACTCTGATATTTTCAATTCCAAATCTTGACATTTTTGAATTTTTTCGTTAAGTTGTCCCTCAAATTTATTGACTTGCTTTGACATATATTCCAAATCTAATTTTATGTGATCTTTTTCAGCAATAGCAGCTTTGGTTGCTTTCTCACTACTTGACAATTTAGTTTCCATGAACGCTGCTGATTGTTGTGCTAAAGATAACCGAGATGTAAGTTCTTTTTCAGAATGTTTGACTTGTTCAAGCTCTTCTTTGTACTTTCTAATTGATTTTGAGGATTCCTCTTTTAATTTGTTTATTATTTGTTCATATTCTGAATCTTTTCCATTAATTTCAACCATTGTACTATTTTCAACTCCATTAGCTAAATTGTAATTAAACTTCTTTAATGCATCTCTTTCCTTGGTAACTGCATTTAATTTGGCAGTGATTTTCTCCAACTCAGCGTCTAATGACAATATTGCTTCCTGAGCTTCATCAATGGCAGTTGATTCTATATTGTCACTCTCCTCTTCTGTATTTTCCAATCTTTTTGTGAGCTGTCTTACTGTTGAAAATAATTCTTGATTTTTTTCCAAAAGCTCTTTTACATTTTTAAAACCTAAAAGTCTATCCCTGAGTAATTTGTCAGATTGTGATTCTATAATGTCATCAAAATTACCAGTGGTTGCTAATATTTTTTCAATATGATTCTTTTCCGCTAACGATAAAGGTTCGGCATTATTTTCTCTTATTTGAGAATGAATCAAATAATAACACATTTGACGTCCCAAATCTTGAATTACTTTTTTCAAATTTGTAATTTCATTTTCATTATCAACCAATCTTGATCTTAATCTTTTACAATCTTTTTCAGTCTCTAGTTTTTCTGAACTTAATGAGTCCATTGTTGCTTGTAGTTTTGTGATATTTGATTCATAAAAAGTTATTTGATCCCTATAATTGGCCATTGCGGGCTTTTTCGAATCTAATTCAATTATGAAAGCTTCGAGTTGTTTTTCGATATTTTCCTTTTGTAGTCTTTCAATAGTTAATTGCTTTTTGATATGATTATATTCAGTATATAAATCAGTTAATGAAATTCCCGCTTCTCCAACGTTATGATCGTTTGATGATGATATTAATTTTGAATCTAAAGCTAGTTTTAATCTATCCACTTTCTCATTTAACTCTAATATTTCCTCGTTTTGATCGGTTACTGTAGTTTTGAGGGTTGAAATTGATTGATCAGATCTGTATTTAAGATCATCTGAGTACGCTTCCAATTGTTCAATTCTGGCTTCACGTTGATCACTTTGAAGTTTGGTCAATTCTAGTAATTCCTTCGTTGCATTTGCTTCTTTTAAAAAGCGATCTTCAATTGTTTTTGATTTTTTTTCCAATTCAGAATATTTGGTTTGTTGTGTTTCTAAGGAGCTCTTTAATTCATCAATTAATTTTTGCTGAGTCTGAGATGATAATTCTAATTTATGGGCTCTATGTACTAAATCTGATGATTGTGATTCATTTTTAAGTCTTTCGTGTTCATATTTTTTCATTATATCTGATAATTTGGATTGAGATGATTCTAATTCTTTATTAAACCATTCTTTTTGATTTTTCAAATAATTGATTTCATTTTGTGCCTTGGTTAATTCTAATTTACTGTTGAACCTTTCATTTTCTGATCTATTATACTCTGATACTAGTTGATTGATTTTTTTACTTTGCTCCACGTTCATTGTTGATATTTCTTCAATTTTCTGTAGGTATTTAACTTCAGTTTGACTTTGATGTTCTTTTAATTCTATAATCTCATTTATTTTTTCTTCTTCTGATTTTTTTAAAACACCAAGTTTTGAATTTAATTGATCATTATACTCTTGAAGCTCTTTTATATTGTTTTGTTGCTCGTTGCATTGGGAAATAATATTTGAGTTTTCTTTTTGTAAAGTGAGCAATGCTTTATCGAATTCAATGGTTTTTTGTTGTAGTTTGTTTGTGATATTGGCATTAGTTTTTGAACTCAATTCCACATCTGATTTTAATTTTTCGTTTTGAGATAGTATAATTTTATTATCTTGAGCTTTCAAGACTAAGTTCTTAAAAAGTTTTTCATCATGGATCGAGCTTAAAGTATCTGAGTCAACGCTCAAGTAAGTTTTAATTAATTTGATTGAATCCTCATCCAAATTCAGTGTTTGCGGTAGTATATTGTTTCTAATAGGTGAACTCGCAACTATAGCTGTTGAGTTACCTAGTTCATGATCGTCATTATTATCCTTGGCTACATCGAAAAGTTTGGGAGTAACTATTAAGTCTTGATCTTTTAATGGAGGCAATGATTTAGACGGAGTCGTATAATGTTGTTTATCATTCAGAAGTGGTTGTAAAAACGATGTATGTGGATCATCATGAATCAGTTCATCCCCAATTTCGTAAATCAGGTTCTCTTTGTCATCATCTTTTGATTTCTGATCAGTAGTATTTTCCTCGTTCGCTAATTCAATTGATGTTGTTGGTTGTATTTGATTTGAATTTTGATGATTAATGGCTGGTAATGAGGTCTCTCGTTGAATATCGACATCAGTTTGTTTTAATTTTGTATCCTGATTATTTTCAACTTCTGTGTTTTGATCATTTACAATTGGTGATGTATCATCGCCCATGCTTAATAAATGAGTGATGTCAATAGATTGATGTCAAATGAAACAAGATTCAATTTGACTTTGATCATATTGCATATCATTCTAATATTTGTTTTTTTGGTTGTACGCATGTCAAATTTCAATGACGTGTTTTGATAACATGTTACGACACTGATAAGAATAGATTAACGTTAAATTTAAAGATAGCTTGACCTTTAAAGTCTGGGACAATCAAGTAACTTTTAGTACTTAGAGTAACTTTGGAATCATATATAAGCTGAGTGTGTTCAACATGCATTTTACAAGTCAAATTATTAAGTTCTATAAAACTGGTGCTTTTTCTTCCTAAAAATGGACAAGATATTCTGAGCTTGATTCTTTCAATTATTGTGAAACGCTTTACATTACTTAATAGAAGTAATTGGCCTCTAATATTTATTGATCACCAATTCTAAAAAAGAATGTCATTTTTCATGTAATGTCATGTTTTCTATTGCGGTAGGGCTTCAGCCCTTTTTTCTTCTCTTTTGCCACCGTTAGAGCACGTGAACACATAATGATTAAAAGAATGCGAGAAAAAAATTAACTATGTAATATACAAAATTTCTAAAGATAATTTTCAATTTTACAACTTAATCATCAATTATCACATACAAACCAACCAACCATGATTGAACCATCATTAAAAGCTTTGGCTTCAAAATATAATTGTGAAAAATCAATCTGTCGTAAATGTTATGCTAGATTACCACCAAGAGCAACCAACTGTCGTAAAAGAAAATGTGGTCACACTAATCAATTAAGACCAAAGAAGAAATTAAAATAGATAATTTGGACCTCCTTCATAAATATAAGTCGATGTGTGATGTTATTATTCATCAAATAGTCAAGTTAAGGAGAAGTAACAACGTGGTTTTTTTAATGATTAGTTTAAGATAGGGAAGACTATAAATAGCTTGTTAATTTGATATATTTGGGGATTTAATTTTATTTTAAAAAGAGTAACATTGATGATTTGCATTCTTATAGGAATGAGGGATTATAGAAAACAGATTATGATGGCTTTAGTTTTATACGTTTAATAAAAAAATTTCATGTTAAAATATTAGTTGGACCTTCAAGATCTCTTTTGGACAAAAGCTTGAATGTCTGATTCCACTCATTTTCTCTTTCTTCAATGGCATTTATAAGCCTTTTCTTACTCAGCTAAATTGAGAATGTAGTTTGTAAGCTCACTCATAATTTGACATAAAATTAGCATTTAAGTATAGTCGGAATTATAGATAGAATATCGGAGAATTATAAATTCCAGTAATAACCCAATTCAAAATGCAATTTTACTTCTTATTCAATCTACATGCCCATTTTCAAATCTAACTTCAATAAGAGATGCTTTTCAACAACTACCAGAGTATTATCGACCCCATATAAGATAGCCATAATTGGCACTGGACCCGGTGGATTTTATACTGCTCATCATTTGCTAAATAAATCAAGTTCAGATAAACAAATTCAATTAGATTTTTTTGAAAAATTACCAACCCCATTTGGCTTGAGTAGATATGGAGTCGCTCCTGACCATCCAGAAGTCAAAAATTGTGAAAGTTTTATGAATGATTTAATGAAAGATCATGGTTATAAGCTGAACAGTAAGAATAGAGTGCGATTTTTAGGAAATATTGAAATTGGTAAAGATTTAAGCTTGAAAGATTTAGAAAATCATTACAACTCGATCGTATTGGCTTACGGTTGCACTTCAAGCGATAACAAATTGAACATACCTGGATCAAATTTGCCTGGAATAATATCTGCTAGAAAATTTGTAAATTGGTATAATGGGCACCCAGATTGTTATGAAGAAAATAATGAATATAAACCACCTCCATTAGACAAAATAAAAAACGTATCAATTATAGGTAATGGAAATGTTGCATTAGATGTTGCTCGAATACTATTAGCAAATCCTAAGACTCACTGGTATCCTACTGATATATCCGTTGATGCTGAAAAGTTGTTAGAAAAAAGTGCAGTTAAAAACGTAAACATTGTTGCTAGACGAGGAATTCTTGAATCAGCTTTTTCAAATAAAGAAATAAGGGAGTTATTTGAATTAAAAGATGCAAAATTTAAGCCTTTGCAACAAGGGTTACTAGAAAGTGTTTCAACTCAAAAATTGGGAAGAGTTGATAAAAGAAAAGTTGGACTAATTGAAAAATACAACAAACCAATTCAAAATTTATCACCAGAAGATCGTACATGGTCACTTCAGTATTTCAAAAGTCCAGTTGAATTTATCGCAAATAAAGATGGGTCAATTGCAGAAACGAAATGTGTCGTAAATAAATCTGTTAATGATCCACTTCTACCTGGAAGAATAGAACCAACCGACAAAATTGTGAGCATTAAAAATGATTTAGTAATTCTTTCAATTGGATATCAGGGAACTCCAATTAAAGGGTTTGATGAAATTGGTATTTGGTTTGACAATAATAAGCTACACAATCAAAATGGAAGAGTTTTATCAACCAAAACTGAAGGTGAGAATGATGTGAATCAAACATACAAAAAAGGTTGGTACACTTCGGGTTGGATTAAAAACGGTCCAAAAGGTGTCATAGCAGTTACAATGATGGATTCATTTGATACAGCGAGTAATATACTAGAGGACTTATCCAATGGAATACATTTGGAAGTAGATTTAAATAAAGATATATTAGATAAAATAAAAGATAAGGAAATAGTATATTGGGACAATTGGGAAAATCTCAATAAGTTTGAATTAGACAAAGGTAAAGAATTAGGAAAAAGTAGATACAAAGTTTGTGAAAAGGATAAAATGTTAAAAATATGTGAATAGATAATATATACTAATAGATTATTCTGGATCTTGACAATTAGTAATTTTTTTAAAATAATGAGTATGTTCGTATTTCCCTAATTTTTCGGGCCAAAATAATGATGGTTTAATTTTAAATTCTTTGAAACCAAAATCTCTTTTGGAAAATAGTCCAGAATGACACATACCACGTCGATCTAAATCACATGGTTCATGTGGTAAGTCTCTTTTATCTATAAAATATTCATAACCAGCATGTGCAAACATGGGTGGTAAAGAAGGTACAATATCGTGTCTATGAACAACTCTAATAAAACCTCTATTGAAATCACGACAGTAATCAATTTGTTTTACAACCTCTTCTGTATCAAACAAATTATCCATAAAATTACAAAATTCTTCATTACCAACTTTTGGTCCACCAAAAGTAACAACTAACGGTTCATAACCTAATAATAAGAATTCTATCCCACTCATAACGGTAAAAGCTGCACCTAAAGAATGTCCAATCACTAAAAACAGGTAAGAAGGATATTTTTCCTTCATTTTAACTCCTGCACTAATTATTGCTCCTGAATTATCTTTTAAGAAATTATAAAACCCACGATGAACTTTACAATCAACGCATCCTTTACGAATATATGGTTCAGCATCTTTAAAACTCTTGTCATAAACTATTGGTTCATAAGGACATGGGAAAAAATTCAAATCTGTAACCCAGTCTCTTCTTGATGCTGATCCTCTAAATACCAAGATGATTGTTTTCCTCTTATGATCAACCGCATAAAACCCAGTTCCAACTTCATTCAATGTATTAAAATCAAATATACGTATAATTTCCACATCTTTTAATATTGGATTGTGGCAAGCTTTCAAAGGACAATTAGTATTTGGGTCACTTAAAACTCCAGTTGATAATCCCTTTGTAACACAATACCCTACAGATGCTAAATTTGCAAATTGTACCAATTTAGAATAGTCTTTAGCCTCTTTAGCTGTTGCACACGTACAACGACATAATGACGAAATAAATATGAAAATTAACAACAATATTGTTATCATTATCCATAGTGAAACTCTTAATTATTTTGTTATTGAAAAATTAAACTTGATCACAAATCTGAAAAATCATTGATATTATCAATATATTATCAATCATTGTTTTCTGTTATGCACATCTCAGTTCATGATGTAATTTATTACATTTAACACAACAATAATATAATCCACAAGAAGAACATCTTGAATAATTTGATTTCAATCCACAAATACAACAAAGTCTTAGTTTTGGTCTTGATCTTTCCAATCTGGTAGTAGATTTTGAATTATTAAAATCAATTAAATCAACAAATTGAAAATTTAATGAAAGTATAGTATTTATTGATATTAAATTTCTTTCTTCTTCAAAATACAGATTTAAATTTCTTCTAGCTGATAATATTCTTTTAGTTGCCGGTGTATTACCTAACCTTGATTTTTGTGCAATTCTTTTGTTACCCATTGAATGAATGCTGGTGTATATAAAATTTTTAGGCAATTCGAACCCTCGTGTTGTTGATTCTTGATTTAATTCTACTAGCCTTTTTTGAACTAGCTTCTCCAATTGAATCTGTTGAACAGATTTAGATGGCCCACTATTTCTGGTTTCATTATTTGCCAGAGTTTGTGCGTTAAATAATTGATTTAAATTATAATTAACTTTTGCTCTTCCTTTTTTATTTAATGGTCCTTCTCCTGTATCTCCGTGTTGATGTTTACTACCATTTAAAGATCTGGCTGTTAAATTTATAGATGAACTAAAATATATTGTAGAAGCATTTGTTGTTGTAGATTTAGGTACTTCTTCCACTAACATCTTTTAATAATGTAGTTTTAATTTATTAATTATTGTTTTTTTTTTTTTCTTCTAACATTTTTGAATAAAAGTATTAAGAAAGAGGCAAAGACAAATAAAATCAAATAGTTATATAGTTCGTTCCTAATGCTATTTATGAATAATACTAGTATATATATTAGTTCTATTTACAAGATTTCGTTAATTGTCATTATACTCATTAATTTAATTTCCTTCCTTTTTCTTCTTTGTTAAATTATTTCCCCAGTTGCTTTAAACTTTCTTGCATTTCTTCATGACTAAATGGTTGATCTTCTCTTGCTTTATCTAACATTGGTTTGATACCTTGTTTTGCTAAATTTGCATTTATACAAGTTATATAATTATCCCAAAATTCTGTACATTCATTTTCAACTGATTTACCTTTTAAAAATTTTTCAGTATACCATTTATTAAAACAATCATCATATTCGGTTTTAGCTGGTGTACATTCTGGTGCAAAAGATACCGACATTATATTCCCCATAACCTAATTGAATATATATAAATTGATGAAGTTGTAGAAGCTTATGTCTATTAATTGAAATCAATCTCAATTCCGAAGATTTCTATGTAAGAACTTAAAAATAGAAAAGTCGTGTAAATCACGTATAATAAATAATTTTAATAATTTATAGATATTGAATTAATAAATAAATGTAAACAAGAAAATAAAATACAAATATACATTGATTTGAATTTTAATCAAAATCTTATGAAATGAAGAGGCTATCAATTGCTCCACCTTCATCGAGAAGAAAATCAGCATTACTATCACTGGAAGATTATAATGCAAGAAAAGTTTTAGAACAATTAGATCAAGATACAACATTAGTTTTACAAGAAATTGATAAAAATATATCAAGAGCAAATGCAATTATTAATGATAAATTGAAACCTATATTACAAGATTATGGAGCAGAAAGTTTGAAAGTTTGGAATAATACTAGCTTTTGGAAAAGATTTTTTGAACAATCTGCAAATGTTGAATTAAATAGTTATGAAACTCCCATTGATGAAGTACAATCTAATTTATTGTCAGAACAAGATGAAGAAGAAGTAATTATTGATATACAACAACCAAGAACAACAACTTTATTAAATTCAAAAAGAACTAATTTAAGACATATAACTGAAGAAGATACTGCAACTTGGTCAACAGAACAGAAAAATCCAAGTAGTAAACAAATGTCTTCTTCAACTCCTCAAAGAAACACGAGATCACTATATTCACCTCAAAGATCAACAAGATATGCTTCTTCATCATTACCACCAGCAAAAAGTTCAAAATTGTCAGAAAATGTTAATTTACAACCACCTTCATCAGCTATAAATTCAAGACTATCGCCATCTTCATCAAGACGTTCACCACAAAGAGTATCAACTATACGTCAATCGTTAGATGCTTATCATAGAATTAGTATATCACCTAAAAAAATCAAAACTCCGATTACAGCAAGACGAACATCTATAATTCAAAATATTTTAAATTCTTCACCAACCTTACCATCAGTTCCTATATTAAAATCAGACATTATTGAACAAACAACATCTCCACATCAGAGTCAAGATCAAAATCAGATCCAACTACAGAAATTCCCAAACACACAAAGATATAGCTCAACTCCACAACGAATACCACAAGAAGATGATTATCAATTACAACCACCTCATTTACAACAACATATACCTCAACAAAATAGTGATTCCAGTGATGAACCTTTACCAGAACTAAGCACTTCCATTGTAATGACTAGCAGTGGTGGTAAAAAACGAAGTAGAGAAGAAGACAATGTATTTTTGGATAAGGAACACAGTAATCATTCAAAGTCGTTATCTGAAATATTTACAGAAAGTATAAATAAACTTCGCAATAGGGGAAAAACTGAAGAAATGACTATTGGTTTAGAGCTCGATCATACAGAGGAAAATGAAGAAATTAGAGAAGAAAATGTAGAAGTCTCAGACAGTTTAGGTCCGTTCAAAAATAGGTGGGAAAAGTTATCAAATTTAGATAATTAAGTTTTAATTTTAAGGAGTTAAAAAATTGGGTTTTGTATAATTCTAAAATTTGTATTAATATAATGTAAGATAAGGTTTTATTTTAAGATTTTTTGTCTAATCTATAATCTTATAATCTCCAATTTATCAGATACTTTTCAGAAGTCAGTGAATAACGGGGATAAACTTGCAGCTTCACACAGATACATAAAAATTTTAAGCTCTACTACTCTTTGCTAGCCACTCAGGTAAATTAGGCGAGTGACTGAAAACATTTGTTTTAACAAAAGCAGTGAAGCTAAGATTTTGTTAGTGTTTCACATTTTATTAGGAATATTTGTAATTATGTAAATTTAATTAAAGAAATATGACAAATCCTTGTAGTTTAATTGGCTAATTTGGATAAGAAATTAAATTTAAAACTTATGATTTCTCATTTTGTGTAATATATGACCAATTTTTTAAAAATTTAAGGTTGCAAAATTAAAGTTGCAAAAAAGGAAGAAATAGAAATCAAAAATATAAATATCTTGCAAATCTCCCTATAATTGTATAAAATTAATTCTTCTCTTATATAAAAAGAATCAGAAGTAAATCAAATACAAATTAAAATACTACTATAAAATGGTCTGTGCCGCTAGTGAATGTATATGTGCTCAAAAATCAACTTGTTCATGTGGACAAAAACCTGCTTTACAATGTGTTTGTGATAGAAAAGATATTGAAAATAAAATACCTGAACTGACAGAAGCTTGTTCTTGTGGTAAAAGATTAAAAGGCTCATGTACTTGTGGTATGAATTCTGTTTGTGATGGGCATAGAGAAGGTGAAGTTGATTTCACTGATTTAAAATAAAGTCTTCACTTTAGTTATTTATAGCTTGGATATTTTTTTTACTTCACGTACTTAATAATTAATTAAACAATATTATGCTTGATGATTGAAATGTAATTTCTCTCTTTACTTTTGAACTGATTCCAGACTATCTAACCAATTTGTTACAAAATTATATATTTTTAATATAGATTTGGTCCAGCAACTCAATTTGTCTTTAGATCGAGCTGAACAGCTTTCTCAAAACCTTCGTACTAAAAAAGAGGTGTACAACTAACTTTGAACTTTATCAATTTGGCCAAACTACAATCATAAACAGTATCGAAAAAAAAAAAAAAAAAGCCCATTATGGCTCCAGAATTGCGCCATAATGTTGCGCTACATAAAAATCCAGTGCGCATTTTTGACAGAAATTTGTCCCAGATAGTTTAGTGGCTAGAATTACCGTTTGTCGCATGGTAGACCAGGGTTCAATTCCCTGTCTGGGAGCTTTTTTTTCAAGTTGAGTACTTTCTTTTTAAAACATAATACTCCTGTTATATTTGTTTTCTAAGCTTACTCTAAGTTCATACGTTCTGTGTTTATTTTACTTTGACTCTGCTTTCGTTAAAAACAATTGAAGATTAATTTGCGTCAAAAATGTTGATATTTAATTATTGCGTAAAATACATGTTTAATTGTATTGAAAACCTTATCGTAGTGGCTTATCTAAATTTTTGACTTATCTTCTATACGGTTCGGAATTTGATACTTTTTCAGGGTAAAATTATTAGTTCAATCCTATCTATACATCTTGCTATTTGAAACATAATAATAGCACGTTGTAGCTAACCTCTTTTTGATTTCATGAACTCAAATTGAAAAAGATTAAATTTCTTAATCACTCAAAAAATGTGAACTTAACCAATTTAGTATTATTTCGATTTTTTCTATCCATTTAAATTAAAAATATCTAAGATACTAAACTTTGTAAGAAAATGAACTGGACAGAGATGATGAAAAGTTCAAGAAAATTAATCATTCGATATATGTACAAGCAATAACAAATAAGTAGTTGGTACTTACAAGACCTAATCAAAAAACAAGTATTAAATGTATAATTACTTAAAAATTTTGTTTTTATTTTAATAAAATAATGTATATAAGATAAAAAAGATCTAAATCTGTTATTTATACTCAATTTGGAAGCTCTGCGGCATTTGCAAATTTAAAGCCTTTAATTAAAATTAATTCGGGAATTAACGAAGAATGGAGAGAATACGAGCAACTGGGATTCAAAACAGACTTTAATAGAGGGGGGTACTTTTTCAAAAGTAAACATTCTATTCCACAAATTCTAGTGTTTGCTCAAGTTCATAATGTGTCAATTCTACTTACGTGGAAAAAGAAAAATTTAAGATATTTAGACTTTGAATTTAAAAAATAATATATCAAAATAAAAGTTCAAATCTCAAAATTTTCTTTTTTTTTTCCTCATAAAAGAAATTTCCGTTGCAATACCTAAAAGTGTATATACTATATTATTAAAATGTGAAAGATAAGAAGATTAATTAGTTTGATTAATTAAATTGGCTATCTTATCATTTTTCCCCTTTTTAAGATTATATCTAAGAAATAGATAATAGTACTTGAAAAATGGGTTTTGAAACAAACGTATTGATAAAATGATAATGGACTTAACGCTTTAAGTTAACACTCGTAAACCTCAACTATCTTTATGTGAATTAAAATTTTCATTCACTAAATATATTTGATTCTAATAATAAATCATAGTAGATCTAGTTGAATTCCATTTTTATTAATAAGTACAAAATAAAAACTTTTCTTACTGTCTATAAGATTTTAGCTTTGTGTTTCAGAATTTTTAGACAAAACTAAAAAAAAGAAATAAATACGTCATACGAAGAGAATTTTAAGTTTTTGGCATATTTTCTTAGATTCTTTAATTTTATGTTCAATGATTCATATAGCCACCAGATATGGTAAAAATAAGTTCATGATTGATAAACAAATTGAAATAAAGAAATCAGAGTTGAAAAGTATAAAAATCGGTTCAAAGGCGTTCTGTTTGAATTGACTTTTTCTATTTCAACTTATCTTAAATCTTAATTCTGCTGTAATAAAGATCTGCTCTAATTAAACAATGTGTGAAGTTATCAGTTTCAGAACTCTAACTTTATTATATACTTACTTTTTCTGTATGCATGAATTATAACAAACCTTTTTATTTCTTTTGAAATGATAAAAAAGACACTCGCCTTTTGTATTTTGTTCTTATGCCCATTTTCTTATAAGTTTAAGTAATTATATTGGAAGTTTTTTTCTTAACTTATATTAATGTAAAATGGTTTAAATATTTTATTAAAAGATGGACCCGTCCTTTATTATCAAATTTTTTCTCTTACTTTTCTTAATTTTATCTTTTGAATTTTATTTTTATTTATTTTTGCGAAGCTTTATGGGGAAAATCAAAAATTGTATTTTCAATAATGCATAAAATTTTTCCATAAATCAATAATTCGAAAACAATAAACATATATATTTAAGTATAAAATAATCTCTTCTCCATTTTTCGTTAGTATAATTTAGAATTTTGATTTTTCACTCTTGTTTATTTAGCTTTATCAACTACTTTAAATTTCATTATCACAACCACCTAATCTGTGTCATTCAAGATTTATGAAGAACTATTCAGTTATAAATAAAATTTTTATACTAAACTAGATTGAGATTCAGTATGTGGTTTACTAGCAGTAGCAAGGAAAAAGAATCAAAAGATCAATATGCAACAAATGCAGATGAACTTTTTAATACATCGTCAAATAATTCAACTTCATTGCATTCTACAACAAATGAAAAAGATACAAAAAGACCAGTGAGTAGAACTCAAAGAAAATTACATAATAGACATATACAATTAATTGCCATAGGTGGATCAATAGGTACTGGATTATATGTAACAATAGGTACGACAGGTTTAGTAAATGGAGGACCATTAGGTTTATTATTATCATATTGTATATCGACACTTTTAACTTTATTATTAACAACAGCTATGGGAGAGATTGTTTGTTATGCACCATTTGATTCACCATTCTTAAGTATGGCAGGTAGAGTTGTTGATGAATCATTTGAAGTTGCAGCATCAGTTAATTTTTGGCTTATGCAAGCATTATATGTACCTTTTGAAATTACTGCAGTTAACACCATTATACATTATTGGAGAGACGATTATTCACCAGCTATTACATTATGTATACAAATTGCCATATATGCAGCTATAAATCTTTATGCAGTTAGAATATTTGGAGAATTTGAATTTGTTTGTTCATTATTAAAATTATTATTATGTATTGGATTATTGATTTTTACCTTAGTAGCAATGTGTGGTGGTGTTAAAGGTCATAGTGCATTTGGATTTAGAAATTGGCATTATGGATTATTTGCAGCAAATTTTGCGACTGGTAGATTAGGGCAATTTCAAGGGTTTTTAACAAGTTTAAGAATGTCAAGTTCTTTCACTTGTGTTGGTAGTGAATATTTAAGTATGACTGCTGGTGAAGCTGTTAATCCAAGACGAACCTTACCAATTGCTTATAGAACAGTATTGTACAGATTGGTACTTTTCTATATTGGAGGTGCATTATGTGTTTCAATTTTAGTTAGATATAATGATCCAGGTTATATTACAGCAGCTTCTGAAAATGGAAGCAGTCCATATGTTTATGCTGCAAAAAATTTAGGTATAACTGCATTACCTGATATTATAAATGCCGTTGTTTTAACATCAGCTTTCAGCGCTGGTTGTAGTTATACATATACTTCATCAAGATCGATGTATAATCTTGCATTAAAAGGTTATATTCCAGGTTTTTTCAGAATTTGTACAAGCAGGGGTATTCCAATTTATTGTGTATTTGTTTCAATCTGCTTTTCATTATTATCATTATTACAATTAAGTAGCTCAAGTGCAAAAGTTTTGAATTACATGGTTAATTTATGTACTGGAGCTCAAATATTAAATTATGGATTTATGTGTTTTATCTATATTGGTTTTTATAGAGCAGTAAAAGCTCAAGGAATTGATAGATCAAAATTTACCTATAGATCATGGTTTCAGCCATATTCTATTTACTTTGTGACTGTTATGTATTGGTGTATTATTGGTATTTTGGGTTATCCAGTGTTTATGCCAGGTAAATGGACAGTTGATGATTTCTTGTTTAGTTACGTCATGATATTTGTCTCACTCGCAGTTTTCATATGTTGGAAAATTATTAAAAGGACTAAATTCGTAAAGCCTATTGATGCTGATTTAACTTCTGGATTAGATGAAATTGAAGCACATGAATTTGAATACTATCAAAGTTTAAAAGATAAGAATGGGCAAGAGGGTAGTGAAGAAGATGGAGAAGAACCAAGAAGTGTAATTAAAAGGGTTTTCGATTGGATATTCTAATAATCGTTTTAGTTATTTGGGTAATTTTAGTCATTTCATATTATTATTTATTTCAATAGCATTTGTTACTAGTAGACGTTTTATTTTATATTGTGTTAGACATTATGTGCATTTATTCGCTCTCTATGTAATAAAATTTTGGTTGCAAAAAAATTGTTGCATAATTTGTCGCATGACATAAAATTAACGACACAGAATTTGAGTTTGCAGCTAATTTTATTCAATTACAGCCCACAGAGTAAACTTCAAATCTACGAGTTTGTATTGGTATCATTTTTATATTTTTTAAACCTAAAAAAAGTATATAACTTCCAACTCAATTTTAATTAACAATTACTTAATTTTTTTATAACCATTCCCAAGTAATATCAATTCTACCTAAACTTTGATCAGCCAATTGACTAAAAGCAGTAGGTGAGAAATCCAAATCATTATAAGCACAAGCTTCACATCTATCAACAACTGTAACATCAACACTTTTACCATTGTAAGAAGCTCTTATTTTTTTATTACATAATGGATTATTATTTGGATTTCCTCCTACGTTATGTGAATCATATAATTCATGAGATATAGCTATAATATAATCTGAATCACTATGATAACTTCCACATGCTCCTAAACCTGGACTATAAAATGTACCTTCACCTGAAAAAGTCGAGCCTGTTGGTTGTGCTGCTGATGTTGAACTTGATGATGAAGTAGTTGGCTGAGTTGCAACTGGAGCTGATGATGTTTTTGAAGTTGAAGTAGTTAAACCACCTATAATTACTGAAGTAGTTGGAGCTGCTGGTGCAACGGTTGGTGTTGTAGCTTGTACTTCTTCATTTTGTGCTACTGGTGAATGAGTAACTCCCGATTGATCAACAAGAACAGTTGTGTATGCAGTAACTGTTACAACATTTGGAGCTGGAGCAGCTTGAATTAAACCAAATAAAGTAGCTAATAAAAAAGTTGAAGTATATTTCATTTTTTTCTCTCTCTGAAATTTATATAATGAGTGTATGATTTTTCTAAATGAATGTAGATTTGATTATTTAAATTCTGTAATTAAAGGAATGAAAGATTGATTTAATTTAATGAAAGTAATGGTGTTAATAAAATGAATGAATACTCAAAATTAGCTTGTATAAGGAAGGAATGAATGTATTTAGTGGGTTAACTCAAATTGAAAAAAAAAGTGTAAGAGAATTTTTGTATACTGAAAATAGAAATAATTTGTGTACCTTATATACACAGAAAATTGAAAACTCAATTTCAAGTAGAAAATTGATTAAAGAGAGTTTACAATGAAATGATCACAAAGGTGAAACAAATAAGAGAAAAAGTCAATACAACCTTTGCTCCTTAAATTTGAACAATTATAAACAATATAATTAATATAATAAATTATTACAAGACTGTAACTTCAAAAAAATGAAACAATTTTGTAACATAAATAATATGCGTATTACATATTAGAATAATAGTTTGTAATACAAATTAAAAGTTGTAGTACCATGTGCATTACCTCAACAAATTTTAGTTTCACCAATACAACCCCCTTCAATTCATGTTTTAAATTAAATTGATGAAATTTCGTAAATATTCCACCCCTTTATTTTTCAAGTGTTTTGTATTTGTTTTAGTCAAATTACACAAAATTAAGTGTATTAACCGTTTTAAGTTAATTTTTTTATTTAAATGGAATATTGTACCAGCCATGTTGAGTTTTGAAGTATTCTTTGAATAATTATTATCACAATTCAAAAGAGTATGATGTAATCAATTTCTTTCAATGTTGACAAAACATAACTTGATATATAAAAACTGAACTTATGAATGTACCTTTAATTGAAATAATAAAGTTAATACTATTTACTACCCACATTAACGCGAAGTTTAATTTTTTTACTTTTTTAAGTAAATTGAAAATAAATTTTATTATTAATTAAGCGAGATTTTCGTGTTAAATCAATTATTAATTGACAACCTTAAACTTTATAAAATTTAAAGTTTCAAAGATGTTAAAATGTTAAGAAAATTGAAAAATTATGTAGATCTCATCTGTTATTAGATCTAATACGAATTTGGATCTAAATCTTTAATTCTAGATTCTAGAAATTTTAGAGATTTATTTTTATATAAGTTTGAATAAACAGAACCAGTAAACCAGAATCAAAACCTACCACTTGTGTAACATTATACTTCCAATGGCCAAGTTCGAATATAATAGTATCTAAATCTGATATCCCGATTCTTTCAAAGTGATCAATCTTTTTCACAAGAAGTACCAACTGAAGACAAAAGAGAATGAATGCACTTTGTATGAGAAGTTTTGTGTAGTTTCCTTAATTTTTTGTTGTTGAGAAAAGTTTAGTGATGGGTTAGACTATTATCTCAACTCAGTTAATTTTGAATATTAGTAAAAATGTACAAGTTACGAACTTCATTGAACTTTAATTTTTTCCAAAAGAGTTGATAAAAGAGTATATTTTCAACAATTCGTATATACAAACGAAAATTAGTATTTATATTAAAATATTTATAATACTATATCTATCTAAAATCCATTTTGCAAATTTTGTAATTTGTTTGTTGTTGAAAAACCTAATCTATACATCTATCAGAAAATACCGTTTCTAATTGATTAAATAACCATTTACTTTGAAAAGAAGTTAAACCAATAGTTTTAGCTCTTAATCTCATATTTCTATCATCAGTAATTAATATACAATATTTAAATAATTTTGCCATTCTTGAATTTAAAATTTGTGGTTCTTTTTTTAATAAATCTGATGATGAATTTGTTGAAGAATTTTTTAAATAATTTGTTAATGTATTATGCGGTTGTTGTTGTAATTGCTGATGATTATGAAGTTGTTGTTGTTGAATACTGTTGTTATTGTGATTGTCAAATTGATTTGAATTAAATTGATGATTTAATAATAATTGATTTTGATAGTCATTGCTAAAGTTATTATGAACATGATTATTGTTTTTGGTAAATGGTGATAATTTTAAATTTAAACCTTTCATAAATCTTTTACCAATTTCATCATGTTCATTTACAGCATGTAATATAGTCTCATCAACATTTGATCTCCAATTTGAATTATTTTCAAATTCCAAAGTTTCATTTATATCTGATGCTATTGTCCCATCAAATCTTAATGGAGTAATTTCTCTTGTTAAATATAATTCTCTTATTATTATAACTGATCTCGTTGCTGCATCTGCGATTGTGGCTTCTGATGATTTTCTCAACGCTCTTAATTCTTGAAATACAATTAATGGTATTGAAATTTTTAATATACCATTTCTAACACATTTAAAAATTCTACCGCAATGTTTTAACCATATATTTGTATCTAAAGTAATTTGTGTTATATTCGAATCTATTTTATCTCCAAAATTTCCTTCAATTTCATCATTATTCAAAGTACCCAATGATAATGGATCAGTTGGCGTACCAATGAAACTATCGTTATAAAATTCTCCATTACCGTTTGAGTGATTTTGTAATTGTTGTTGATGATGGTGTTGTTGTTGAAGTTGTTGATGTCTTGAATATGCATTTGATTCATATTCTTCTTCATAGGGTATATCATCATCTTCTTCATCATCATCTTCGTCTTCATCATCTTCGTCTTGTTCTTCTTCATCATCAATTATATCATCTTCTAATTCCAAATTCTCATCTTCATATAAATGACTATCTAAACCACCAAACCATAATTCATCTTTTTGTAATGATGTCAATGCATTATTTGGTTCAATTGTTGTATTTTCAGGTGAGATTGGTTGAATGAAATTATTATTTTGAAACCTACCATCATTCAAAAATTCTTCTGCAAATGGATCAACAACTGATTTAGTGTATAAAGTTTTATCAAATTTGAATTCATTATTTGTTCTAATTAATCCAAAATCATAATTATCTGCAATAGTTCTAGCCAATAATATAATTCTAACAATTCTTTCATCATTATCATTTTCCAATTGATTTTTCAGTTTTTGATCATAATTATCACTTGACATATTTAAAATTGGATATGTTCCACAAATTGGTAAATCAAATATATTATTATTTTTAACTCCTGCATCTTCCAAGTCTATATAATCATTTTTTTCATTAATAAAGTCAAACCATAATGTACCCCAACATTTCCAAACTTCTGGTAAAAATTCATTTTCACAAAACCATGTTATGTATGGTAATTGCAAATATTGAGTATATAGAGCACATAATTTAGGACTGTTCTTGATAAATGATAATAATGAATTCAAGTAGTTGATTAATGATTCCCATGGAAATAAATTTTTAAATAACCAATAAATCATTGGTTGAGATATAACATATTTCTTCGATGCTTCTCCAATACTAATTAAAAAATATAACCAGACAATGACATGGCCAGTTGAAGCTTGTTTTGGACCAATTAAATAATGATTTAAAATTCTCATTGATAACTCCAATACGGATTTGTTGATGAATTGTAAACTATAAAACCAGTCATAGTTATGTAAATGGGCTGCTATAACTGATTGTCCATCAATTCCTCCAGCACCCAAATTTGATAAAACAACTTCCTCTGATTGTGATACACTTCTTGATTTTCTTTTACGATCTTTCTTATCTTTCCTTTCTTTCAATGCTTCTGGTAATTCAAATAATTTTGCAAATGGATTTTTAGCATCTCCAAATCCAATTAGGTGGTTAATATTTGAAATGGCAAATAATGAACCTTTGTTAAACCAAAAATTCATTTTTTCCAATGTATTTGTAGCTGATGGTTGCTGTTGCTGTTGTTGTAATTGTAATTGTTGTTTATATTGTTGATCGACGTTTCCAGTATACATTTCTCTAGTGAAAAAATTATATCCATTTGAATCTGATCCAAAAGTTAATCCATATCTGGTGACCAACTCAATTCCATATTGTAATTGAGCATCATGAATATTTTCAACAGATGTGCCTTCACTATTCCTACCATTGTATATGCTTAACAATACCTTATGAATTTTTATAAAATCAATGATTGGTAATTCTAATAATGATAAAATATTTCTTTGAGTACATATATTTTCAACCACTAACCTAAGATAATGTTGAGTTGGAACAAATGGATCTCGACATGTAACTGATTTACTTATATTAACTAATGCATCTAAATTGTCCTGTTGAACGGTACACATATGATAGTAAATTTTACCATGACCATATAATGTCTTCATTGAAGTTGAATACCAATATTCTGCACTTATTTTCCAATCAATAAATTTTGACAGATATAATGCTATTGCCATTCTTGATAAATCACCTAATTTTTCAGACCACCAACCTTCCATTTCTAAAATTGGATCAGTTAGGTTTGATATTATATTAAAACAATGTGATATAAAACATGAGCAAATTTCATGATCTGGAAATATTCCCATTATATTCTTTAGTACTTCCAAAAATCCAACTATACCATAAACCCACATCCTCCTTGGAATTTTATATAGCTCAACTATATTTTTACCAGTTTTGAATTGAGTTCTATTTGATGATGGTTTTAACGATGTTACTAAAAAATCGTAATAATTATCTAATAATGTTATATTATGATGATATACTGTCCATAAATCATTTGATAATTCCGAAGTTCTGGTTGATTGTGAGCCTAATGAAGAATTTGAATTTAATGAGCTCGATAAATTTTGATTTATAATCTGATTTCCATAAACTAAACTCGGATTTGAATTTGTTGTTAGTTGATTTATTTTTATTGTTATTTCTATGCAATTTTTTTGAACAACTTCTTCGTAGTTCACTATGTTTTTGTATGTCTCTTTCAACTTTGTGGCTAATTGTTGTTCCTCGTCCGACATCGCCCTCTGCTGCAGTTGCTGTTGTTGTTGCAGCTGTGATTCGGCATTTGTTTGTTGTTGCTGTTGTTGTGGTGTATGCAGTGGTTGAGACTCTAGATTAGACTGCTGTTGTATATACAGTTGAGATTGTCGCTGTTGTTGTTGAGCTTGTTGTGTTTGAGTTTGATGTTGCTGTTGATGCTTTTGTTGTTGTATATAATTTGCTGAAGGTTTAGATTCCATATCTTGTACAATCAGATCTAATACAGGATTACTATCTGACAGATCTGAATGATTTTGATTTGATAAATGAGATAAATGATTTACATTTGGACTTGAAGGAACTTCATATGCTGATGGAGTTGGAGTTTTCATATGAGTGAATGCATTTTTTCGAAGATTAGATCGAAGTTGTTGTTGTTGAATATTTTGATTAGATTGATTATTATTTGAATTATATCTTAGATGTTGAGGAGTTACAGGTGAATTTATGTTTGATTGATTATTATTATTAATATTTGTATTGGTATTTGTATTTTGATGTAAATTTCCAGTATTAGAGTTAAAAGGATATTCTTGTAATCCTTGCATTCTTAAAGGAGATGATACTTGGGATGATTGTTGATGAGGATGAAATTGTTGTTGATAATATTGAGACTGCTTATGTGAATCATAGGCCATTTGCTAAAATGACAAGAAAACAATGTTATTAGATGATTTAAAATTTATGTATGATATGACTTTATAATTTGAACAAAAGTTAATGGGAAAAAAGAAAATGCGAAAATTGAATCAAAGAATGGTAGATATTTGATAATGTAAAGTTATGATGCAATAGTAAATTATTAGTATAGTGTTTTTATAAATGAAATGATTAGATGATAATTGAGAAATTATAAATAGTAAATCGAATTATTTAGTAGTGATATATTTGACCAAATGAATTCGCAATATATGATCCTAATTAATCTAATACTAATTATTCTTCTTCTCAGTTAAGTTTGTAAATGATGATAATAAATTATAATATAATATGAAATCAAATTTGGTTGTAAAGTTGTCGATTTGAATTTTATTTTTATTTTTTTTCTTTATAATTAAACAGTAAAAAAGCAAAATGTATTAGAAAAGAGAGAAAGACAATTTTTATTAGCGTTTAAATTTATTTGTAATAATAATTATTTATTAACTGCGGGTTAATTTGAATTCAAGTAACACAATTCAACATTTCAAATAATTTATAAAACTTGTACTTGAAATCGAAGTATCAAAGAAAATAAGAATCAAAGAATTAAAGATTTGAGATCGATGTATGAATCTCAAAAATTTTAGATCTATTATAATTATGAAAGGTTTTTTATTACGAAATCTAATCTCATAATAGAATATTCAATTATGATATATAATCTGAGTCTTTTATTCAAATAATTTAGTGTCGTACTTTTGAAAATGTACAGAAATAAAATTGATTATATATACTTTATATCGATCAATCACCTTTTGCTGTTTATGAAAAACATGTATATTAGTATGACATCATCACTGTAAGTATTCACCAGTAGTTAGAGAAGTTATATAAAGTAATTTGTCAAAGACTAAATTTAGAAAATTAAAATCCTAACAGTAAAAAATCTACTCTAAAATTAAATCATTTATGATAATCATTGTTTTATAATCATTATTAAATGATAATAATCGTAGTTTTAATAATAACCTAAATTTCCATAATTATAATATGTAATATACAATCTATTCTGTAATTTAATCAACTTATTAATTCGGATAAAATATATCTCAAAATAATATACATCAGATATATTATTAATACTAATATTATAAATATGAAAAAGGCCTAATTAATTATTATTAAATACTAAATACTGTTTAATATAATCTGAGTTTTTATAATGATATTTTATAAAGTAAAACTTAATTAGTTTGGATTATTATAGTGATTGTTTTACTCTCTTTAATATATCCATAATTTTTAGTTAATAATTTCGTATCTGCAACAATAATTAATGATATATTATTACTTCGGTAATAATGTACTAGTAATTTTGTATATTCGAATATATTCCACAATTGAACTTTCCTCGAAATTATTATTTTTAGAATAGAGTAATACGTCAAAAAGAAAAATCTCGAAAGTTCTTCAAATCATCTACAAGAATTATAGAAAAAGTAACAATGGTATTTACAATTCACATGTTTAATGTTACAAGTTTTTTTTAATTTTTTTCTTTATCTCTCATGATTTATATATTGTATTACTAATTGAATTTTTTTATCAAGTGACATTTAAATTTTCTCTTTGTTTCAAAGAGTATTAGTATGGAATAAAAAGTAGTTAGTTTTTAGATCTATCTTGGCATACGATATATTAATAGTTCATTTATTCTCAGAAAATTTTCCAGATCTTAATATGTAAAATTTGAGATGTAAATGAAATGATGAAATCTTAAACTTTAAACTTTTATGTATCACTTTTATGTCAAATTTAATTTTTTATTTTATTTCTTTAAACTTTGAATTTTGGAAAAAAAGTCTGTCATTTTTTAACTATTGTTTGGGACACGACAATGATCTCATTATCAAATTATTTGCAATTATCACTCTCCACAAAATTAACTCAATAAAGATTAAACATACCTTAAAAGCAATAACGAACTATTGAAATCAATGACAAGTCCAACTATATAATTCAAAACTAAATTAAAAACAAGTTAAGAAATCACAAAAAACATAACTTTTTACATCAATCAAAATAAAAAAAACAATGGCAAAAAGATTATCAGGACTACAAAAAGAAGTACTACACCTTTATAAAAAATGTTTAAAAGAAACATATAAAAAACCTCCTTCAACTCAAATACATTGGCAAAATTTTGTAAAAGAAGAATTTCATAAATATAATCATTTACCTAAAAAGCAATTTAATACTATTGAACATTTAATTCGTGTTGGAGAGAAAAAATTTGAAATGTATCTGAATCCTCAAATTAAAGATATTCATTAAAACATGTGTGCATAATTATTTATTAATGAAAATATAAAACTCAATGTTAATCAGTATAGAAGTGATCAAAACGACTAGAGTATACTCAATAAAAAAGAGAGACAAATAGAGCAGTTTAATTTATACATGTATATAGAGAACAAATAGTTAATAAAATTAATTCATAACGTTATTTATTTAAAAATGCAAAAAATAATAAATTAAAAAGTCTAATAATAAATAAAGAAAATAACTTTGTTTGAAAAATATTTTTAAAAAATTGAATTTGATTCATTAAATAATAATTCAACAACATCATTTCTAAAACCCATATCAATCATTTCTTTATCACCAATTTCATCTCTAATTAAAGTTGGTGCAAAAACAACACTTAAATTTTTAAAATTCATTCTATTTTCTTGATTTTTTTCATTGATCTTATTTAAATGTTTACATATTGTTAATAATACTTTTTTGTTTGTTGGTGGTAAATTATTAATTGATGATTTTAATAAATTAATTTGTTCTAATCGGGATATTTTTGATTTTTGTTGTGATATTGATATAAATTCATCATATAAATTATAAGGTATAACTGGATCTGGTAATTTTCTTAAATATCTCTTAAGTGCAGAAGTTATTGAATGAATATCACCTTCTGTTATTAATTCTTCTAATTTATGTGATTTTTTTTCATCCATTTCTCCGTGTGGCCCATTATGATTTGTTTTATATAATGAAGCAAATGAATTTTCAATATTTACAATTGCTGAATTACCTCCTGATATTCTATATATTCCTTCTTGAGTTAAACCTCTTTTTTCAACTTCTTTTATACATCTTGTTATTATTATTGGTATTGAATTATTTTCAAATTCTGATCTTTTAGTTAATGTTGATTGAAATAATGAAGAGCCATTATTGCTAGTTGTTGACGTAGTTGACGTGTTATTTAGTTGATGTTGTTGCTGTTGCTGTTGTTGCAAGTTTTGATCATTGACACCATTACCATTTAAAAACGTATCTAAGAAGTTAGATGATATTGATTTTGAGAATTTTCCATTACCATTACCATTACCATTGCCATTGCTATAACCATTATTATTCATATTATTATTTGAACCATTATTACTATTATTATTAGGAACTCTTAATGCTTGGGATGAAAAACTGTTAGGTATTCTTGAATTTTGATTTAGATTTATATTATTATTTTCATTATTAGAAGTTGTTGGTACAATTTGTGGCATTCCGATCTTTGGTCTTCTCCAAAATTTCAATCTTGTTGCTTTATGAGTTTGTTCATCCTCTTGTGATTGTTGTTGAGAAATTTGTCGATGGTGGTTTGAATGTTGTTGTTGTTGATGATAATGAGAATGGTCAGGATCTTTCATCGGTGATGAAGTACTGAAACTACTTGCATTCGTAACTGTTGTAACGTCATGATTAAAAGAATCAATTTCATTGCTTGATGATCGATTCAATCTTGATGCTTCATATTGCTTATTTTGTTCAGTTAATAAATTGTTTTCTAATATAAGATTCAATTTTTTATTTTCTAATTCTTTAATTTCTGATATTAAATTATCATATTTGATCAGTTCTGATGTTAATTTTGATTGTATATTTTTCAATTGATCGGATAATTTTAATTTATCATGTTTTAATTTTTTGAGATCTTGATCAATCAAATATTTTTCACTATGTAATTGTGATACTTCAAGTCTAATTGCTTTTAGATCATGTGAGTCATTAGGATTTTCAAAAAGCATCATTGTTGAATCTGATGTCAGTCTTATATGATTTGGTGAATATGGTTGATGTTGTGAGTTGTAATAATTTTGACCATTACCATTATTGACATTATTATGAATTGATCCATTAGCTATTGAGCCATCAGAAATATGACGAGTATGACCTCTTGCTGCATTAATGTCTTCCCTTGGTGATTTGAAAAATGTAAATTTAGATTGACTACCACCAGAGGTTGATCTCTTGTGTGTTAAACTTCTTAAAACAGAAGCAGTACGAGATATTGAACCTGAAGAAACTTGTTGTTGCTGTTGCTGTTGTTGTTGTTGTTGTAAATTTGATGGTTGTTGGTCTTTGTAGTCCTCCTCTAGATTAGTTACAGCAGGTGTATGATGTCCTATAGCTCTCATTGGAGACTTCATTGGTGGTTCATCATCTATAAATGGTTCATTGTTGCTAAGAATATTTTGTTTAACGTTTTCCTCATAATTTATACCTTCCAAACCCAAACCATGCGGTATTGATTCATCAAATTTGAATTTTTTTGGTGTAATACTAGGCTCTTTTCTTTTTGTTGGAGTACTTGGTAATGGTAATTTTGGAGGTGGTGATGATAATGTCATTCCAGTATTTTCTCTTGATTTAGACTGTTGTTGAGGAGTACTTACTGTTTGTATTAAATCATCGCTTAATTCATCTGTTAAAATTTCATCATTAGTTTCTACTACTCTTGCTTGTCTATTAGCTTTAGCAAATGGTGATGAACAATTCGATCTTGGATGTTCTTCAATAGTTAATGTTTGTGGCTTCAATCTATCGGTACTGTGACTTGAACTTCTACTAAGAAGTGTTCCTGGAGAATCAACCATTGGTGAGCGAATATTTGCATTATGAAATTCATTATCATGGAAATTATTAGGTGATAATATAAAATAATTTTTATTATTCTTGGATTCGTTGCTTTCTAAATGTTTTTGTTGTAGTTGATCAATTTGTTCTTTTGGTGTAACATCAATTGGGGGTTTTAATTCATTACTATTGTCATATCTATATGGTGAATTTGCACTTATTGTTCTATCATCATTGATATCATCCAGTCCAGGTGTTTTCACTACATCATCAACTTTTGGTGTAAGAAATCCATTATTAACTTTTGATCTTGAAGATTTATTTCTTAAAGTTGTTTCTTTTTTAATTGTGTCATTTTCATTAGAATCGGAATCTGAACTATTTTGTACTTCTTCGATTGAAAAATCATTATCAACGTGTAATATTGATGAAGAACTAGGTTTACTTGATAAGTTATCAATTGTTGAATCAGTGTAATGTGAAGCCGGTGATGCTTTCCTACTTGATGTTGGTTTTGAAAGTAAAGTCTCTTGAGATCTCGCTCCATTTCTATTGACATTTGATGTGGTTTGAGTGTTTGATGTTGTTGCTGAAGTTGTAGTTGTAGTTGTAGTTGAAGGTGGTAGTGGTAAATTTTTATTTTTATGTGAAGTTAATGAATTTGATGAATTATTTTGTTGTTGATCATAAAAACTTGATGTCGAATTACTTTGGTGATTTGTCATATAAGATTGAATTAAACTATTTCTTGAACTATTAGCTGATTGTAAGTTTTTTCTATTTTGATCGTCTTCTCTTTTCTTTTGTTGTTGTTGTAATTGTTGTTGTTGTTGCTGTTGCTCCCTCAATTCTTTTTCTTTCTCTAATTGAGCTTGTTTTTGTTGTAATAAAGCTAAATGTTTCTTTTTAGCATCATATTTCTTCTTTTTAGCCATTAATTTTTCATGACAATCCATACAAAATAAACCTTTTGAAGTTCTTGCATATCTTAAATCTTCAATTTTATTCTTACATGATCTACATTTAAAACAATTTGAACAATAAGCTTGATCACCAGTTAAAATAGCTAAATCATCAATTTTTCTATTACATTGTTTACAATTATATGAACAATTTGAACAAATCAAATTTCCATTTCCTAAAACCAAGAAATTTGAATTACAACCTAATGATGTATTACATTTTGAACAATTAAAACAATCAATATGCCATCTATCTTCTCCTAATTCATAAGCATGACCTTCAATAATTAATTGATTACATTTTTTACAAATCTCTCTTGTTCTTATTGATGAATCAAAATTTGAATTATTATTTGAATTTGGAGTTGGTATATTTGAAGTTTGATAAATATTTGAATTTTGAGTTATTACTTCAGACATGATATAATATTTTAATAATATGCAAAAATTGATTTAAAAATTGTGATTAAATAAAGTTTTGTCAATCAAACTATAATGTAAATGTTTTAAATCTATGAATCTAATTCTTCTTCTAACAAAATCTTTTAATTGATTGTAATTATATGATGAATTTAAGATCTATAAGATATAATATATTTGTTTCTTTTTAATGATAAAAAAACTATGTAAAAAAAAAGTCTAATTTATTGTATAAAATGATAATCTAGATGATAAAAATTGATTAGTTCATAAAACCAATTCTAAAATGAGTTGTCAATAATTTAATTGAAAAGGTTATAGTATGAATTGAAATATATAGAAATGAATGAATGAAAGGTAAAAGATAATAGTTGTAATGAAAGTTTGATTGAAAGTCAAAAATAAAATTATAAAAAAATAAAAAACTGATTGTTGTAAAAAAATAAAATTAAAAATAAATTTTTGGTTGTTTAAAATAAAAATATTGAAATAATAACCGAATGAAGTTTTATACTAATAATATAATAATTTATTATTATTATCAAAAGGTTCTTAATTTGATATAAATAAGATATCACGTTATTGAATAATAGATAATATAAAGATAATAAGCATTTAATACTAAAAAAAGTTAATACAAAAGAGATTAGAATTAAATTAGATCGAGAAAGTATAAAAAAAAAGGTCAAGAGAAAATAAATTTAAGTCGGGGTATCTTAATTGAAAGAGTAAGACAATCTTTAAATCATAAATATTTAAACAACAATATAAAAACGTTTTAAATTAGAATTCTTTTTTATCTAATATTTGATTTATAAATATCCTTAACTAACAATATAAATTGAATAAAGATCTGCAATTTATATTGATCTATATATAAATATAATTTATATATATTATATATATAATCACAAAAAAGATACAATATATATATTCTTGTAAAATTATAAGTGTAAGTGCTAATAATCATTACCATGGTTCTTTCAAAATCACAAATACAAAGTTAAAATCAACCCTTTCAGTAAGTAAATTATTTCGTACAATTAATATTTTCAATTTACTTTAAATGGAATAATTAGAAGTAGAAATTATATTATTATAAATATTATAGATAATATTATTTATTATTTTATATCCTTCAAATTAATAGAACATAAGTTTAATTTACAAATTCACTTAGTATAATAATTGAATCAATTTAACATATTGTACAATTGATTGAGTTAATTAACTTTCATTATTCTCGTTAGTAATATTGAGCTTCTACCACATTAATCTGATTAATCGAAAGATAAGTAGTCACTCTAATTATAAACTAGGCTTATATATATCCTTTCAAAAAAAATCTAAAATTTTCATACATAAAAAAATAATAATTTATTTTCAATTTAATATACCGAAATTCCACAATGTTACAAACTTTTATTATATATTTTAAAATTGATAACTTTAAATTATCTTATGAAACATTTAACAATACAAACAATATAAGGGCGTAAGGTACCATATACATATATGAAGTGATTGTTGTAGATTAAAATTAATTTGTTCAGAAATTATAAAGTATACATACATGTCTTAACTAGTGCTATTTATAGCTACTCTCTAATTCTAGAATTAAATTACAAAAAGGAGATTGTAAATATATTATATATAATTATAATATTTCTATAATATGTCTACCAAGAATTAATGCTATAAATTATGTTACTTTTATCAAATTGGAAAATTCACTATAAAATAAAACAAATGCAAAATATACTTTTTATCATTAAAACTTTTTAAGACTTTTTAAAACTTTTTAAAACTTTTTAAAAGCTCAATCTATATAATTCAACCATCATAATTCTTCCGCAGTTAAATCTTTTTTAATTTTAAAAGGTTTACCTCTCCAATCAATTTCATGACCAAACATTGCTATAATCCAAATAGGTAATGCTAATATCTCTCTTAATAACCAAATTTTAAACCATTGAAAAATTTCAACCATCAGTTTTAAATTTAATGATGGAAATTTTTCAATCCATTTTGGTAAATAAATTATATTTATATGAGATTTAATATGATTATTTAATATCTTGTATTGAATTAAATCTGTTAAACACCAAATAATCATATGAAATATAAATAATTTAATTGAAAACCATTTATTAAAAAACAAAGTTGATATGGCAAAATTTCCATAAATTCCACATATAATAGATTCAGTAGTTGGTTCAATTAAAGTAGCTAACAAAACCATATATTTTCTAACTCTTAACCATCTAACTCTTCTCTTAATATAATCAGTAATTGAGTTATTTGAAGAATTTAAAGGTTGTATAACTAAATCTCTAGTTAATCCAGTTCTACCATTACAATTTTCCCATAATGCTATACCTATCATATTATCTTCTCCAATATATCTTGCAAAAAATTTTATTGAATTACCAATTCCTAAATTTGAAAAAATTGATGCACTTTCTTTAACTTGAGGATCTTTGAAAAAATTTGAATTTTTAAAGGGAATTAATTTAACTGATTGATCTAAATCTGATTTTCTATATATATTTGATTTACCATTTACACATGGTGCTATTGATAAATTATTTAATGATATATAAAATTTTGAATGTGATGTATGTAGAAACATTTCATCTAATTTTGCTCCTAAAGATTTATTATTTGATGAATATAATGATGATCTTGATGATGGTGATGGTTTTGAATTATTTGTTGATGAATTAGTCGTGGATGATGAGGATGCTATGAATTTTCTTTTTGTAAGTTGTGAATTCATTGAATTATCTGAACAATCATCCTCAGATTGTATTGGAGTGACATTACTCTCTAAATCATTTAAAATTATTTCATTATTACTATTATTTGATATTCCAATACTATTTAAATTATTTAAATCACAACAAATTGCTAATGGAACATGATGAACTAATTTCACTGGTCTTTTTTTACTGACTTGTCTACCATTATTTAAATTTGAATTTAATGTAATTACTGAATTTCTTAAAATATTTGAACTTGTCCATACATTACTATCTAATATCCATAATATGTCATATTTAGCTTTTAAAAATCCTTTACTTAAATTATTAACTTTTGGATTTGGACCAAAATGATCAGAACTGGATTTCGTTTTTGGGTTATAATTTTCACTAATTAATATTTCTGATTCTATTGTTGGATATTTTGATATTAATTTTTTAATCAATGGTATACTTGAGTCTTTTGGATTATCAATACAAAATAATAATTGAATTTTGGATTTTGGATAATTTTGTAAAAAAGATGATTCTAAACATGAATTCATTTCTGGATCTATACCTTTTATTGGCCGTATGATTGTAACCCCTTCTAATAATTCATCATTTTCATTATTAATTTCATTATTTTCATTATCACTATGGTTAGTCTCAACATTATTCGTACTTATTGAACTTTGATTATGATCCGATAGTATGACGCGATGTCTAAATTTTAATAATATTTCAAAAAACCCACTATATGCTGCGGTTAAAATTATTATATATAATATGAGACAAAGTATAGCACAACCATATCTAAATGTTGAGATCTCACTCATTAACTAAGTCTTTCGGGGTATTTATGGATGACTGTATCAAAGAAGTGGATTGTATAAGTAATGTGATCTATCTTGGTAATGAAATTTTCATTTCTCACTGTGTCGTAAATTAATTTTTTTTTTCTTCAGTCTCGAGAACTTTTCAAAATTAACAGCCGATATTGTACAACAAAACGGGCGATGAATGAAAAATTATTTGCAACAGTCAATACGCACATATAATTCAATTGATTAGTACCATTGAGTATATAACGTATTCCTGAACTGAACATCAATTCTTCAAGGTACTATAACTTGTATTTTTTATTAATTGTTTCATTTGATTGTTTTAAAAAATGAACTTGAAAGTGCACATTTGTATGAACAATCAACAAATGTCTTAATTTGGTGTACAGAGCAAGCGCTTTCAAAATTAAGTTCAATTAAACTGTCAATGTGGTTATTTGTTGAACTTTATGTTTTATAATTTGAAAAATTTAAATTATCTCATCTTAATTTTTTTTATAAATTTACCCCAGATTTTAGACGTACGATGGAACAGTGGATCATATTTTTTAAAAGTTTAAAATTAAAAATTTTTTAAAAACTCGAATAAATCTGCGTTAAACCCAGTATCACGTCATAAGTAAAATTTTAAAGATACATAACGTTTATTGATATAGAGAGAATAAAATGTAAGTTTATGCAACCAATAGAAATATTTTTCTATTTCAAAACTTTCTCATATTTATTTGAATAAGTTAAAAAATATCGGAGTTTTTTTATTCAAAATATTAGTCTTCCAGTCTAATGTTCTAAAAGAACAGACGCTATATTTCAGTTAAATTAATTACAAATAGCGTTTGGAGATTACTGGAACAGTCACTCGGTAATTAAAATATTATAATTAAATGACCTCGTTATGCTTTGAATAATAATACAATAATAATATGTACTTAGAGTATTAAATCAAAATCATTTCAAATTAAATTATAAACATTTATCCTTGGAAATCACAAGGGACCAAAGTACCACGGAGTATTTATTAACTTTATTGTTTAAATCTGATCTAAAAATTTACTTACTGTTATGTAAAAACAAACAAAATATACGATAATAATTATCGGATATTTACCCTCGGTAAAATTATTATATTTTACTATAATTCTAATTTTTGTGTCTGAAAATATTCTATAATGTTTTGTATCACTTTAAATGAGAATATGAAAAATTTCTATGGGGAAATAATTTCAATCAAATAAAAACTAAACAAATTTCTTAACTATTTTTTTAATTTTTCTTACCATTTTTTTATTTCAGTTCTTATAAAAGAAAGATTATATCTTTACATCTACTTACAGTTTGATATTTTATATAAAAAGAAAAAAAATCATTCATTTTTTAATAAATTTTTAAATATATTGGATATAATTCAAATTTCTACTTTTTTTCAAAGATTCTATACGTTTTGGAAAAGTTTTATGAAAATTTATACCAATTAAAAGGAAAAAAAAATTTATTGTTATTTCATAGTTTTTCTTTTACAATAATATGTTCAAATTTAAATTACTAAAGAATCAATTAATATTATTAAATCAAATTAATTCAAATTATAAAATGCCAATTTTAAATATTACAAAACCTTTTAGTTCATCAGGGGCAAAAGGTGAAACTTATAAATTACAATCTCAATTACCAAAATTACCAGTACCTGAATTACAAGAAACTGCTTCAAAATATATTAAAACAATTGAACCATTTTTAAATTCAAAACAATTGGAATCTTCAAAAGCTAAAATTGAAGAATTTATACAACCAGGAGGTATAGGTGAAGAATTACAAAAGAGATTAAATTCATTTGCAAAAGGTAAAGATAATTGGTTAGCTGAATTTTGGGATGATTATGCTTATATGTCATATAGAGATCCTGTTGTACCATTTGTTTCATATTTTTTTTCACATAAAGATATTAAAAATGTTATTGGTCAAGATCAATTATTAAAAGCTACTTTAATTGCTTATTATACTATAGAATTTGCTGAAAAAGTTCAAAATGAAACTTTAGAACCAGAAGTTATTAAAGGTAATCCATTTTGTATGAATGCTTTTAGATATATGTTTAATAATTCAAGAGTTCCAGCTGAAGGTTCAGATATTACTCAACATTATGATCCTTTAGAAAATCAATTTTTTATTGTTATTTATAAAAATAATTTTTATAAAGTTCCAACTCATAATGAAAATGGTGAAAAATTATCAAAAGGTGAAATTTATAGTTATTTACAACAAGTTAAAAATGATCAAATTCCAAAATCTTTACCAATTGGTTCATTAACTTCATTAAATAGAGATGAATGGTTATCAGCTTATAATAATTTATTGAAATCACCAATTAATGAAGCTTCATTAACTGATATTTTTGCTTCTGCTTTTGTTATATGTTTAGATGAAAATGTTCCAGTAACAATTGAAGAAAAATCTAAAAATTGTTGGCATGGAGATGGTCAAAATAGATTTTTTGATAAACCATTAGAATTTTTCATTAGTGCAAATGGTAATTCGGGTTTCCTTGGTGAACATTCAAGAATGGATGCTACACCAACTGTTCAAATGAATAATACTATTTTAAAACAAATTTCTCAAACTAATCCTGAAGAATTAATTCAAGAAATTTCAACAGTTACTCCAAAAGTTGGTAAAGCTAATATATTATCATTTGATATTAATCCTACTACAAGATCTAACATTGCATCAGCTGTTACTAAATTTAATGAAACTATTGCTGCTCATGATGAAGAAATTTTCCAACATTATGGTTACGGGAAGGGTTTAATTAAAAAATTCAAATGTTCACCAGATGCTTATGTTCAAATGTTAATGCAATTAGCTTATTATAAATTAACTGGTAAAGTTAGACCAACTTATGAATCTGCAGCTACTAGAAAATTCTTAAAAGGTAGAACAGAAACTGGTAGAACTGTTTCAAATGAATCTAAAAAATTTGTTGAAACTTGGACAAATCCAAATTCATCAATTGAAGAAAAAGTTTCAACTTTCCAAGATGCTACTAAACAACATGTTACTTATTTATCACAAGCTGCTGATGGTAAAGGTGTTGATCGTCATTTATTTGGTTTGAAATCAATGTTACAACCTGGTGAACCTGTACCAGAAATTTTTACTGATCCAATCTTTGCATATTCACAAACTTGGTATATTAGTTCATCACAAGTTCCTTCTGAATTTTTCCAATCTTGGGGTTGGTCACAAGTTATTGATGATGGATTTGGTTTAGCTTATTTGATTAATAATGATTGGATTCATGTACATATTTCATGTAAGAAAGGTAATGGATTAAGTTCAGATAAATTAAAATGGTTCTTGGTTGATAGTGCTAATGAAATGCAAGATGTTTTAGTCAAAGGATTATTAGGTGATAAAGCTAAATTATAAATTAAATTATACATTAAATTGTAAGATCAGATTAAATAAAAAAGTATTTTATAGACAAATGAACCAGACAAGATTACAAAACGTTATATAATTATATATACTTAAATATATTTAAGACAAGAAGTGTATTAAAGGTGTAGAATTGAGATTGATTAATAGTTCTTGTTCTATATGGTTTGACAGGTATTCACAAGATAATATCTCATATTACAATATTTTACTGATATTGACTAAATATTTTTAGTTTACGAGACTCAAGTCATCATCTGTCGCATTAAAACAATACACTTAAACGCAGATCTTTCAATTGTTTTTAAATTATATAAATTTAGTAAAAAGATGGTTTTGAAACTTTGTGATTAATTCATATTGTAACAATTTTCTTAAACTACCCTTAATAAATAAAATTTCTTCCTTATAATATTTTCAATTTTTTACAACCAAAAAAAAATAAAAATTCAAAAATCAAAACAAATCAACCATCCCTTAATTTGTGAAGATCATTAAAACTAATCCCAACAAAATTATATTGAAAGGCATTTCACGTTTTATTCAATTAAAGTCATTCATTTTTGATTGATTGATTATTATTATTCTAATTTTGGATTCACATATTTGGTATATGCATAACCATATTTAATAATAAACCCTGCATTAATAATTATTTTTTCAAAATTTGCCTAATGAATAGTACTTTACAACAACGTAATTAGTCGTAAAATCGGATCAATTGAAATTAATAAAGGCAAAACTTTGATAGATTGACATTTTCGTTACAAGTTAAATTTATATTTTCAAAGTTGGATAATTGTTGTACGTTTATATACATCAACGTCAATTTTAGGGTTTACAAAGAATCAATACAAGCAAGTTAAGTTAAGCTTTATAGTTTGATAAATGAAACATAAAAGATTAGGATAGATTAGATCGGTTATTGAAAATCACAAAATAATTATGGTTTTTTGTTGTTTAAATTTTCTTAAGAATCATGCGGTTGTAAGTTAATGATTCATGGATAAATATTTCCTTATTGTTATTGTACAAAAATAATATGTTTCAGAAAAGATTTATTTAAATTTACCACAATTACACAAAACTTGTAGTGGGTTAAAATACAAGCATTAGGTCTGTTGATCTACAGTTTTATTATATTAATTTTAATTTTGTGAACTAGATTCATGTGAATTTACTATTTTTGGACTGGAAAATTATTATAAGAATATTAAATTTTATTAGTCTTAAGAAATTTATTTGCAATTTATCATAATATTATTCATTCTCATTTCTCACAAGTTTTGATTTGAAAAATCGAATTTGGAAAGTGAATTTACTATTAGGATAATGAAGAAGGCATTTTAAGAAGATTTGTTTCATCTTGGTCCTTACTTATTTACTTGGTTCAAATTATTTTTTTTAGTTGGTAACCATTTACTTTAGCGAACAAGTTCAAATAGTCATTTCCCAACGAAATTTTTTATTATCAAATATCCAAGTTTTGATGACATTCCAACAGTTAAAAGAAAAACTGATGACTAGTTCCAAGTCTTCAAAAAGTATTGGATGAACAACTACTTTTATGATAATGAATGAGAATGAAATCAAGTATCAAAAGTGTCACAAAATATAATTTACACAAAATCTCGAGGGACAAATAAAGTAATAAATTTTACATACTAAAATAATATTACTAAGATAATAAGTATGATGGATTAAAAGTACCTTAAAAAAATATATTTTTATAAGTACAACAATTTTAATTTTATCGAAAGATCTTCTCAATTTAATGCATCAATAGAACTACTTGACAACCGCATTTATTTAATGAAACATGGTTATCAAGAATTTCGTTATCTATTAGTCAAACGTTAAATATTTTTCATAGAAAATTAAAAAAAAAATTCAATACAAAAAACTTTACTGATATCATTACATTTTTACCCCCATTAGATCAAGAGAAGAAATATTTATTTGAATTAAATTTTATTTTTTGATTGTTGTTTTACACAAAATCAAATTTTTTTGATTGTTTTTAAAAAAATAATTTATTTTTTTATTTTTAAATTTATTTTATTTTTAGTTCCTGAAAATTTGAATTTATTTTTTTATATAAATATCCTTTCAATTTTATTATTTTAATAATATTCATGAGGAAATTTGTATAATTTTTTGAGTATTCAATATCAATTATCATTTTAAGATTTCAACAACTTCAACTATAATTCACAACTTAATTCTTTTGAATAGTCAATTATATTATTTCCAAAATCATCAAGATAACTTCGCGTATTATTTACTTCAAAATCAAATATTATTTTTAGTGTCATAGTTAACTAACTATTTTTATATTTTTTTTGTTTTGATTTTTAATTTCTTTTTGGATCAATAAATAAATAAATTTAAACCACGCTGGCATTAAATCAACATTGACAAAACTAATTTACTTGAATCAAATTGATAAATATATAAAAGAATTCAACATAGAGTTTATCCTAGTCATATAATACTATTAAAGTATCAGAAGAATATTGTTTAATTAATTTGTGTGTCAAAAATATTTTAATTTTTTTTATTATCGTTTAAAAATAAATAAAGATAAAAAAAAAACAAAAACAAAAAGTAAAAAAGAAAGAAAAAATTTAAGAGAAAAATCGATCAATTTTAAAAAATTAAATTAAATTTTACGATTTTCATTTTATCATTTAACTTTTAAGACTTGTTTCATTACTTCATTAATTGCATATTTCATTTTATTCCTTTTTTTATTATCATTATTATTAGTTCATTCTTTCATTCATATATAATTTTGTCATTTTTTTTTGTTTATTTTATTCAATATCATTTTCAATATTTAATTCTTATGTCATTTTTTTTTGTTATCATTATTGCATTAACTTACTACCCTATTGTTAGATTAAATTCAAATATCAGATTTTAAAACTCTTTATTCATTAGTATAACTAGGTTATTTAACAATTGAAATAAACCTCACAATTCCAATATTTATATCAATATTATACAGATAAAGAAACTGAAGCTTTGATTTAAATCAAGTACTTAGATTTCAGTCCATTTGCATTCCATCTAAATCATATATCCACAATTCACAAATAATTATTAGCATACATTCTTATAAAAATATTTCATGTATTCGAGAAATAAAATATGTCAAATCCTCCCCACCGAAGTCATAAGCGACAAAAATCATCAGTACTGAATCCTAATTTTTATTTTAATCAACCTCAAACTAAACCTGAAACAAGTCAATATTCTACACCTTCGTATCATCAACAACAACCACAGCAAGAACAACCTGAATCTCAACAAACATCATTATTACCTTCAGTAGATCAATTACAACAACTGCATACAATAAATGAAGATGTATTTCCATCATATCCAACCAGAACTCAACAAAAATTACATCCACCACGTGAATCTCAACCACAAGAAGTTAAATCACAGATTAGCTCATTAAAGCGTGGTGCAACTGCTGCATTTGAAACTTCTAGTAATCCAATATCATCATCTACTCCACCAAGTTCAATTTATTATCAACAAGGTTCTACTTATCAAGATTCTGGTCAATCTTTTTCACAACACCAACAATATCAACCTTTTCCTCAAATTGCACAACCTTCTTATTATCAACATCATCCTTCTTCATATGCACCACCACAATCAAGTTTTTCTGGATCTATTCCTAGCAATATTACTACCCCACCAGTCTCTGGACCTTTTAATTTCAATTCTCAAGTTTCACAGTCACAATCTAATTTTTATCAACCTGATAACACAACTAATAATCCTTATCAACCTTCTTTTAGCAACACATTTTATTCCACTGGTGGTAATAAAGTTCAAAATTTATATACATCATCTGGATATTTAAGGTCTGGTACTCCACAACAATATTCAAATTTAGCATCTTCAAATATTGCATCTAATCCTTCAGCATCTGCATCTACATCTACTTCTAGACAACCAGTTAGTCATAATAAAAATAATTTATCAATTTCATCTCATTTAACATTATTTACTTTGGGTAATCCATCAGGTAATAACTCTCCTGATCCTAATAGAAACAGAGATCAATCATTACCTCAACAACAATCACAACAACCTTCAATCCTTGAAGCATTACTTTCTGAATTAGTTCACGTTGATGGCTCAAATATTAATGTTTATTTACTATCGGCAATCTATAAAATTAACATGCCCTTCCCATTAGATGATTTTTATAATTTGTTATATAATGATGAAGATAATAAACCGTTTGTTAGTAATTTCAATTTTGCACAAAAAATGGATAGAACTCCAATAACACCACAAGGATCATCTGCATTTATAAACATAGTTGATGAATTATTAAATACTTTTAAAGATCCAAATTTATTATTAGAATATTTTCCAGATCATGAAGATAAGGAAAATAAATTTGGTAATATTAATTATCATGAATTATTAAGAACGTTTTTAGCTATTAAAATCTTACATGATATGATGATTCAATTACCTTTAACTAATGATGAAGATCCTCAAGATTATACAATACCAAGATTATCATTATATAAAACTTATTTTATTATTTGTCAAAAATTGATTGCAACTTATCCAAGTTCATCAAATACGACAAATGAACAACAAAAATTGATCTTAGGTCAATCGAAATTAGGTAAATTGATCAAATTGGTATATCCTAATTTATTAATCAAAAGATTAGGTAGCAGAGGTGAATCAAAATATAATTATCTTGGTGTTATTTGGAATGAACATATTATAGATGACACATTTAAAAGATTATGTGAAGATCATGACATTCCTGAGTTAATTGAATTATTTGATAGTGAAAATGGAACTAACCCTTTCATGACTCAACAAAGACCTTCAGTGGTCGAATCTACATCCACAACTCCTAAAAAGGGCCACCACCATCATCATCATCATCATCGTAGAAGTTCATCGAAACTGAAAATTAAACTTTCTAATATCCTTGAACCATTTGAAGTTCCTCCCACTCAACAAGAACAAGATGAATCAGCAATTGTAGATGATGATGAAAAAACCAATCCAATCTTATCACCAAGATTATCATTTATCAAACCTTCATTAATGTATCCAGATGTTTCAAATTTTACAATCCTTCAAAATCTTCATCGAGATGATAATTGGTTTTCATCGTTACTAAAAAATAGTTATAGTCAATGTCAACAAATAAATCAAGATTTAATTAATCTGTTCTTATTAACAAATACAAATTTGCTGAATAAAACAAGTTTGTTAAATAATTTCATTAGTTCATTTATTAAGCCATTACTGACTACTACTTACAATAAAATTAAAAACATTGATTTGCATTTGTATTTAATTATAATTTTGGAATTATTACCTCATTTTTTACTAATCAAACCATCATCAGATCTAAATTTATTAAAAAATTTAAGAATAAATCTATTACATTTAATCAATAACTTGAATAACGAATTAAAGATTGTGGATTCCGATCAATTTCCAGTAACTAATTCAACTATTTTTTTAATCATATTGAAAAAAATGATGAATTTAAATGATTTATTGATAACATTTATAAAATTATTGAATAACAAATCCACAAAAGTATTGATGTCAAAAGATATTGAAAATTTTTTAAAAACTTATTCATCGACATCTTCATCTTCAGCTAATCAAACAGCAATAAAAATGGAAACAAGTATTCCTCATACTGATGATAGTTCAAATCAATTTTTTTTCAATATTACCCCCATAAATGATTTAAATTTTAATTTTCAAAAAGATATATTATCAAATGATTTAATTTATACATTAATTGGTTTTAATTATGATCCTTTAATTAATAATGAAATAAAATCTCCAATCTCAATGAATTTTATAACTGAAGAAATTAATATTGTGGACGATTTCTTCAAAAATGATTTATTAAACTTTTTAAATTCAAATAATTATCCTTCTAATATCAATACTAGCAAAAATTATTATGATTACAATATTAATCCAACAAATACATCATCACCTTCAATTTTGAATAATCCAAGTTTAGATATTCATTTAGATCATTTACATTCTTCTTCATCAACTGAAACTTTAATGAATCCAACTAATGCAACATCGACTTCATCATCAACGTTGTTTAGTAAACCAAAACCAACAACTGATTCTTCAAGTGCAGCAACAACTACCACCTCAGTATTAACTCCATTAGAATATTCGAGATTAAATTCATTATTTCAATTAATTGATGAAAAATTATTGTCAATGCATTTCAAGACTAAATATCCAATAATAATTTTCAATAATTATATGACATATATATTAAATGATATTTTAAAATATATTTTTTTAAATCAACAACAACAACAAAGTTCAAATCAATCAAAAAACTATAATGCAGAACAAGATGAAGGAAATAATAAAGGGGGTTCTTCTATAAGTAGATTATCAAATAAGTCCAGCGATAATAATTCAGAAAATAGTTTTGGAAATTGGTGGGTTTTCAACTCTTTCATTCAAGAATACTTAAATTTAATGGGAGAAATTGTTGGTTTAAATGATAGTCTTAGATAGATAATTTGCTGGCAAATTAAAATAAAATATAAAAAAAGGAGTAATAAAATTCCATAACCATAGCTCAAGATGATTCAATCATTCATAATTCAGATATTTAGCATAAAAAAAACTATCATTTCAATTCTACTACAAATATTTCACGTTTTCAAAAATAACAATAATAATCATAATTCAAATATTCAATTCTTTAGATCTTTATAATTTTTAATATAGTAATAATAATAATAAATAAATAATACCCATTGTAGTAACAAAATGTCTTTTGTGAATTTCAAATTTGCTTCTCTTGCAACTTTGAAGTATTTCTTGCAAGTTTTTACTGATATCTCTCCTAAGCTAATTCAATTATGAAACGCATCGTTTTCCAAATTTTTAAAACACAAAATTGAAATAACCACTCCATCTTTCAACTAATTACAATTTGATCAGCTACATCTACATCAATCACAACTACAACAAACAATGCATGGAAGACAACCAAATGCGATAAAATTGATAGCAGGAAACTCACATATAGAACTTTGTGAAAAAATAGCGTCAAAATTAGGTATAAAGATTGCCAAAATAGGAGCATTTCAATATACAAATACTGAAACAGCAGTTGCAGTTGGAGAATCAGTAAGAGATGAAGATGTATATATAATACAAACAGGATGTGGAGAAGATAATATAAATGATTTTTTAATGGAACTATTATTTATTATAAATGCTTGTAGAATTGCAAGTGCAAGAAGAATTACTGCTGTTATTCCAAATTTTCCATATGCAAGACAAGATAAAAAAGATAAATCTAGAGCTCCAATAACTGCAAAATTAATAGCTAATCTATTACAAGTAGCTGGCTGTAATCATATAATAACAATGGATTTACATGCATCACAAATTCAAGGATTTTTCAGAGTACCAGTTGATAATTTATATGCTGAACCGAGTGTTTTAAGATATATACGAGAACATTATAATAAAGAAGAAATAATAATGGTAAGTCCCGATGCTGGTGGTGCAAAAAGAGTAGCATCATTAGCTGATAAATTGGATATTCAATTTGCTTTAATCCACAAAGAAAGACAAAAAGCTAATGAAATTTCAAGAATGGTTTTAGTGGGGGATGTTGATAATAAAATATGTATACTAGTTGATGATATGGCAGATACTTGTGGTACATTATGTAAAGCAGCAGATGTATTACTAGATAATGGTGCTAAAAAAGTTGTTTGTATAATTACACATGCTATATTATCAGGTAATGCAATTGAAAAAATTAATAATTCAAGAATCGATAAAATTATATGTACAAATTCTTTACCTATACAAGAAAAATTAAAATTATGTGATAGATTAGAAATGATCGATATTGCTCCAACTTTAGCTGAAGCTATTAGAAGATTACATAATGGTGAAAGTGTTAGTTATTTATTTAATAATGTACCAGAATAAATGATGAGAAATAACCCTTAACCTTAACAGATTATATACAAAAGAATATTTATTTACTAATTAAATTACTTAATTTTGATTTGTACTATTTTTCTTCGATTGCATCAACTAAATACCAGGTAATTCCAATACTCAATTGAAACGGATTTAAATCTTGAGAATTAAAATTCTCTTCAGTGACTTTATTTTCAGCAATTTCACGAACTCTTCCAATAAACCATTCTTTTCCATTAAGTTTCAAATCTTCAATTAAATTTGTTGTGTCTTTCAAAAAATAATGAGGAGCACCGACATTAAAAGCAGCCCATGGTTGTAATCTTGTTTCTATTTCAATAACATCTGTATTGTTGTTATTCTCTTTATTATTTACAGTTTTGGGTCTATCAATTCTTGTTGGTAAGAATAATAATAAATCGTTTTCTTTAAATGAATGAATTGAAATTTTGTTCTTATTTCTTGATGTCATTTTTTTTATTTCTTGATCTTTTAATTTATTATCTTTTGTTTGTCTTTTAGCAAATGCTTCAACATCTTTAAACCTTTTGGAAATTGCATTTATGAAAAATTTATAATTTGTTGAATTTTCATCGGCTAACTGAATGTTTTCTTTAAAGTCGATAGATTTTATAAAAATTTCAAAACTTGATAAACTATTAGACTCAAATTTGAATAATTTGTTAAAAATTTCAAATAATTTTTCTGATTGATCCTTGTATTTATCAACATGCTCAATTCCTTCTTCTGATGATGCACTATCTGGTAGTAATGATTTCATTTCTGGTATTTCATTAACCCAAGTTAATTTGTCTTCAATCTCACTAATAACTTTTGAAGCTGGAGCATCTGCTGACACCATTGAAACATCGTCATCTTGATTAGCCGGTTTTTTGGATTTTAAACCTTTAACTCTTTTAATTTTGAAAATATTATCTTCTTCAACCAATAATAGTCCCATCGACTCCAAAATATAACATGAATCTGAAAAGCCATCAAACAATTTTTGAACCAATAATTTGATATCATTCATTAAATTAAGAATTACATTATTCAAATCATTTATCAATAAATCATGTTTAGTTTGTTTAACTTGAGTTAATTCCATTAAGTTTTCATAATCTTCACTAACTCCTTCCAATTTCTGCTTGAGTTCTTTGATTTCATTATTGAGGTTATTTCTCTCTTGAGAAAATTCTGATTCTTTGGATGACATATTGGATAACAAATCATTCTTCATCTTAGTAGCATCATTTAGTTCACTTCTTATAACAGTCAATGTCTCACTGAGACTTGATAATTCACTTGAATGATTATTTTGTAATTCCTCAAACGTTTTGACTCTACTGTTTAATTCTTGAATTGTTTGATCTTTACCTTCAAGTTTATTTCGTAAACTTTCAAATTCTTTATGCTCCAATTTATTTTCGACTTTGAATAATCTAAATTCTTCTTCTGTCAAACTGATTTTGGAGTTCAACTCCGAAACTTCTTGTGAATGCTCCAATTGCATTGTTTCAATTTGTTGTTTTAATTGTGCGATTATTAAATCCTTGGATTGATGTTGTTTGAGTAAACTATCATTTTGAGTAACCAAATCAGTATTAGTTCTTTTCAATTTAATATTATCAAGATGTTTGTCAATACTTGACGAATCGAGTGTTTGTGATTGATTGCCTTGTTGATTTAAAGATGTTATACTTTCTCTTGATGAAGTTCTTTTGTGCAACAATTTCGTAGGATCCAGCCTTACGATTGATGCTGATGAAGGTTGTGAAGTTGGTTGTGGTGGTTGCGATGCTACTTGTTTTGAGTCTATCAACATACTCATTCTATTTTCACCATAGGAACCATTTCTAATTACAGGCCAATTAGTAATATTTTTGTATTGTTGCTGATGTAATAAACTTTCGAGTTTTCTTATTCTTGATTTTAAACCCTTAATTACATTTAAATCAACATCTAAATCTTCTCCTCCTTTTTCAATACTGCCCAGTTCTTCTACTTTACTGTCATTCATTACAGTAAGAGTTCCCAACGAAGAAACAACTTTAGTAACTCTTTTCATATTATTTGTAGACTTCTTCAAATCCTGAAAATTCTTATGTAGTAATTCAGGGAAAGATTTTGAAACACTAGTGGAAGATTCCAATAATGAAATATAATTTAAAATATCATCTCTTTCAATATCAATGCCTTTTAGGATTAAGAAATTGTTATTTTTCGAATCGGTTTTACTAACTAAACTTATGTCAACATTTGGTAAAGTTCCAATAAAATTATCTTTCTGAATATAATTTAAAAATACTCCAAACTTTTTATTCCAAATTTCCCTAAATGCTCTTTCATGATTACTTATATTTGAAATTTGCTCACCAATATTATTAACTAAACCTTTTGTATAAAAGTCGTACCATTCAAATTGTCTTCTTTTTTCAATTAATTCAAAACCAAATAGTAATGGTAAATCTATTGTCAATGATAAAAAATCTTCTGACTTTTTAATTTCTGCTATTGTTTTAAAATTGATATCATTTGGTATATTATCTCCTGAATCTTCGGTCAATTTTCTTAGATCTGTTTTCAAATTGACCGTTTTCATTTGCAAAGTGGCTATAGTGTTGAATATTTGGGGACTTTCTTGAGTGATTTTATCTCTGAATGAATTTAAATTGGAGTAATACTTGAATAATTTATCTGCATTTTCTTTAATTTCATTAGCTATAGTAGATTTGTGGGTTTCAAATGCCTGTTTCAATTTAGTTGATACTTGAGTTTGAGAATTGAAATCATCAGATACCTTTTGGAACAAATCTCGTAGCTTTTTCATTAACTCCTTGATATCAATATTTTTAAATTGTGATATAGATGAATTTCTTGAAGTCTCAATTAAATTATCAACGGCTAGTCTATCATCATTAATTTCCTTTGATATTTTTTTTAAGTCGGTAAATTTATTTAATACTAATGGTAAGTTCTTCGTTACATATGCTGCTGATTTTGATAATTCTTCATAATTTAAAAGATTAACTAATTTAATTTTTTTATCTTTGATCTTTATATCAGGAAGCTGTTGTAAATTCTTGAAACCATTACTCCAAGATTTATGCAAAGTTTTATAGTGAATTAATTTAATATAGTTGTAATGGTTATTGAAATTTTTTTCAGCTTCATTTGTAAAATTTGAAGCAAATTGAAATAATGTATTCAATGATTTAAAAATTGTATTGATTTGCGGTATTAAATTTAAGCATCTTTTCTCCAAAATGTTACAGTCTCTATTCAAATTTGATGCCCATGCTTGATATAATTTAATTTGAATGGGTATACTCAGATCAGCTATTTTCCAATTACCATTTATAGGTGAATTTTTAGGTTGTTGTATTTCATTATTTTGTTCGTTATTTGTAAAAGATTGAATAATATATGAATTTAGTAGATTTTGATCAACATCACTAACAAATAATCTTTTATCATACAAAAATATTTCATTTAATTCATTTATTAAAGTATAATTAATTTTAATTCCAAAAGAACTTAATAAAAATATATTATCAATATTATCAATTGTAAAAGATTGCAGTAAATATATTTTAAATTCATTTAAATTTTGAAATCTAACTGGTTTAGGAATTTTAATTGATCCACCACCATGAGCATTATATACAATCAAATATGATATATCTGACATACCCAAGTTACAAACCCCGTACTTTTTATACTTTTAAACTGTAATTTTTTAATAATTAGTTGAATCTTTGTACTTTTGAGTAATAATAGTCGTTAAACTTTGAACAATTAATTTGAATAAATGATATGAATAATTATAAGGATACCTGGAAATTCTTTTATCAGTTGTTATAACTAAATATTAATCTATCAATATGTTGTAAATATAACTTGTATTATATTAACTTAACTGATAATGGCAAATGATACAATCATTGATCAAAGATTGTTCTCTAATCATAAAAGACTTTTATAATATATAACTAATAAAAGTTATTTGGTTGTAAAGTAATATTGGTTGTAAAAGTATAATTAAGTATGTTATAATATTAGTATATATTATTATAAGTGCGATAAATTTAATACTTAACTAAATAAATTTATTTATTAATATTACACTAAATATATTTTATGACAGACAAATTTATTATTTATTTTATTTATTAATTTACAACTACTATTACTACCACTGTAAAGAATTGAGCTTCATGATTTCAAATTAGAGACTATTCATGATGAAAAAGATACTGTTTCAAATGAATCAAAGTAAAGCTAGTGGTACTGAGATAGTAAACATGAGCCACTTTTAATTGCATATAATTTCACTGTCTGTTTTCTAATTTGCCTTCGTAATAAATGGAGTAACGGTAAATTAATTAACAATTTATGCATAATTTGCCTGAACTTGATGTTTCAAATTTTTTCTTACATTGAACTCTTTTGAGGAGAATGAAACGTACGAAGTTATAAAAGCTTATTCTTCAATAGAATGTATAAATTAATATTAAAATATTTAGGTTGATTGTGAAAAGTAACCCCTAAAATTATTATTACTCTTGAAGTAGTTAATAGTCTTGTGACGTACAAGAAAATAGATCGGAGTTTCGGCCTCTATAGAGTTGAATTCAAATATGGTACTTGAATTTTTAAAAAATTAGCCATAGGTATAACAGAAATAAAGAACCTAACAAGATGACTAATACACTTTGCTTATGTAAATTAACTTTAATAAAATTTACTTACTATTTAGATAAAATTATAAAACAATTTAAACAATGTCAAATAAAGAATTTATGATTATTATTGATCTCTTTTTTTATCTCTCACTCTCACTCTTTATATTTGTAACCTGGTCAATTGCAACTTCTTAATACCATCCACCACGGTATTGAGTTGAATCTTGATATCCATATTGTGGATATTGTTGATAACCAGCATATTGTGGCATTGGTTGTTGTTGACCTTGTTGACCTTGTTGTTGTTGAAGATTTGGTTGTTGTTGTTGACCTTGTTGTCCTTGTTGTCCTTGTTGTTGTTGATGATGTTGTTGTTGTTGTTGAGATTGTTGAGTATTTTCTTCACCTGAATTTGAACCACTTTGTTGACTTGGTTGTTGAGGTTGAGGTGGTAATGAATAACCTGGATATCTATTTGAATATTGATTTGGATTATAATATTGTTGCTGAGCAGCTCCAAATCCATTGTTTGATATTGATGATTGTTGATTTGATGATTGAGGATTTGATTGTTGAGATGAACTTTGTTGAGATTGTTGACCAACTGAACCTGCACTTCCAGCTCCAGTATTAAATCCGGTATTACCTAATCCACTTGCAGCATTGAAATAAGGATTATTATAATAATAATTATAATATGGATAACCAAATGGTTGAGGAATTTGTTGTTGTTGTTGTTGAGCTAATGCAGCAGCCTGTTGTTGTAAAATAGATTGACCAACAACTGGTGATTGAGTGGAATCAGAAGAACCTCCATTAACTGCTTGTTGAGCAAAATTATTATAACCACTTGAACCTGATGGAGTAGTAGCAGAGTGATTTGCTGCTGGTGAAGCAATTCCAAAAGCTTGTTGATTATAAGCATTATAATCGAAACCTGGGTAACCAGCAAATTGAGCACCTGGTTGAGCAGCTTGTTGAGGATATTGTTGTTGTTGAAATTGATTGTAATAATCATATTGTTGTTGTTGTTGGGTTTGTTGAGTTTGTTGTTGTTGTGGGATTTGAGATTGTTGTTGTTTAGCATATTGAGCTTGTTGTTGTGGTTGTTGATATCCAGTTTGTTGGAATCTTTGTGATTGTTGATCGTACAATCCATAGTTTTGTTGTGGCTGCTGTTGTTGTTGTTGTTGTTCTGGTAATTTTTGCTCATTTGATTCTACTTGTGTTGATTCTGGGATTTCTTCTTCTCCTATAGATAATGATCCAAATGAAATACCAACAGAGTTAACTTGTTGTTGAGAATTTGGTAATACAACTTGAGGAGCTGAGTTGATTGTAGCTTGAGTTTGATCTAAAGTTAGTTGTTGTGTTTGTTGTGTTTGTGGTTGCTGTTGTTCTTGTACTTCTGGTTGGGATTCTTGAGTTGATGATTCTTCGTAAGATTGTTGTGGTTCCTCTGGTTGTTGAAGTTCTTGTTCTGAATCTTCTTTTGGAGCTTCTTGAGTTTCTACTGATGCTTGTGGTTGAGTTGGTGGTTGTGATTTGGCTACTGGTTTAGGTTTTGGTTTAGATTTTGGAGTTATGGCTGAAGCCCATGATCCTTGTTTTAATTCTGGTATTGAAGCTTCTTTTAATACTGGTTTAGTTTTTTCTACTGATGCTGAATCTTTTTGACCATCTGAATCTGAGTGTTCTGTTGAAGGTGTTTCTTCTGAAGTTTCAGTTGGTTCTATATCATTAGATGTGGTAGTAGTAGCTTCTTCACTTGACTTATCTAATTGTTGTGATTGACTTTGTTGTTTTTTAATTGAAGGTTTATCAGTACCCAATGCTGAAGCCCAAGATCCAGTTGAATCACCATTTGATTTTGATTCCCCATGAGATTGTGAATTAGTAGCAGATTTTTCATTATTTCTAATTGGTTTTTTTGATGGATTTTGTTTAGTTCTTGGAGCTCGAGTTGAAGGTTTAGATTTATTTGGGAATTTTTTATCATTAGTTTGATGATGTGAACTTGTTGAAGTTGAAGAATTATTATTAACGATGGTACTATTATTATTAGTATCTACTTCTTCTTTAACTTCTTTCTTTTTATTTTTTTCCTTCTTAATAGGTTCCCATTTTGATACTTTATTATTAACAATCAAATCAATTACAATTTCTAAAGAATGATCATTTTCTCCTAATAATGAATTCAATTCATCAGATTCCCAATCAGGAAACAATTCAACTAAATTAGATAATTCCGTTGATGTGCTATTATTATTACTATTAAACCTTTTCAGTTGATTTTTAAAGGTCTTTCGATGCGTAGACATTATGGATTTAATATGATTTTATGATATATATGAAATATTGAACAAATATATTTATGAATACTTTTATTAATTGTATAATAATATATAAATTGTTCTTATAATTTATCCTTGACTAATATTGATTGCAAGGTCTTCTTTATTTTTAATATTTTAAATTTATTAATTTCAGTTTGATTGATTCTAATTAATCAATTAATTTCAATTTAAAACTAATATAAATTTTTTCAAGTTGTTGGTCAATGGGTATGCCTTCTGTAAAAAAAAAAAAATTTTTCTTTCTTTTTTTTTCTTTTGTATATTGTACAATACTATATTTAATAGTAGAGTAAGTAGTACAATTTATATCAATAATAAATATTTCACTCTTCTAAATTAAAATTCGACAACGACTGAAATTGAGAGAGAGAAAAAAATGACCTCACTCCATTTTTTTTTTTAATTTTGATCTTTAACACTAACTAACACCAGATATTATTTATTTACTGTAATTATTAAGATCAAAATCAAGATAATAATTATATTATAAAAAAGATTTTGGGATACTATTATATATATAGTTAATCGAATAATATCGGATAAATTATTAACCATTCTATCTAACAACTCACTCTTTGTCTCAAAACAAAACTTCTAAATATTCTCTATTAATTCATTAAGTATAAATTTCTATAAATCGTATGGTATTGAATCAAAAAAAGTTAAAGAACTTGTACCAAGTTTTTATCATATTCTGCTACTTCTTTATTAGTAATCATTGGATCAATAATTTCATTAACAACCAATATGAATAAATTATAAATTAAATCTTTTAAATCATCACCAGTTTGTTTAAAATCAGGATATGAATTAACTTCTAATAAATAAACTTTATTCGATGAATCAACAATAAAATCAATTCCAAATATTTCTATAGCATTCGATAAAGGTTGAAAATTAAATTTATCAATTGTTTGTGCTGCTTTGAATAATTCTTTTGTAATTTCTTTAATTTGATTAAAAATTTTTAATTTATTATCCTCTGTTATATCTTGTAAATTCCAAAATGGTACAACTAAAGGATCTTTATCTTCTTGTAAGCATGTATTTGTTAAATGTCCATTTAATTCAATTGGTTTCTTTTTATCATCATGTGGATTTTCATATTTTAAATCTGCAAATAATGTTAAAATATTTTTATATATAAATACTTTTAAATCTCCTTGACACACAACATATGTACGTAAATGGAATTTTTTATTATCATAATTTGTTAATAGTAAAGGATTGGAAATATATTCTTGAATAATAAAATGTCTTAAATGTGATAATATTAGTCCATTGTGCTTTTTCGTTTCTACTATTTTCTTCTCATCTTTCAACTCATCGTCTTCTTCATCCTCTTCTCCATCTTCATCGTCATCATCATTATCAAAAGCATCAAATATGGCTTGTAATTGATCAGTTGTCCTGAAAATACTAATACCTTGACCTTTATCACTCATACTAGGTTTAACAATCCATACTTTATCACCTTTCTCTATAGCTTCTCTTAATTCATAGGATTCATCTAAAGAATCATCTAAGAACTCAGCATAATCAATCTCTAATTGATAATTTTCAGGTACTGCCTTTGATAACACGGAGTTTGGATTTTTTGTTATATAATGATGTATTGTATTTGATAAATAATGTTTTCTTATAAGTGCTTTACGATAAATATAAGATGGTATAAAATAATTCTTGTCATTATTGGAAATTTTGTCGAGATCTAAATCTTCATATTCACCATAATGAAAAATTTTATTATTTGACGGTATCTCATCAGCGTTTGATGTAATATTATAATTCAATTTCTTGAATGGCTCCACCAAGGGTTCGTATAAGTAAGAATCTTTAGGTATTGTTATTAAAAATGTATTGGCATCACTGTGGCTTACACTATTATTCTTTACCTCTTCTTCATCATCATCATTATCTAATTTAATTTCACCCACTATTGAATCTATTGTTTTATAAGTAGCTTTTAAAGGAGTAACACTAACACCTTCATTCAACAATACTCTTGAATCAGTATGAGCATGGTCATTCAACCCATCTTTCCAAACTTTCTTAAAATCAGGAGCCCAATTAAATTGTAATTGACCTTTATCATTTGGCTCCTGAGTTGGTTCATAAATTGATCCCCATTTATTTTGTAAAATTGGTGCATATTCAACTTTTGTTTTACCTAATTTTAAAGAATCAACCAATGGAATATTAATTGAATATAAATCAATTTCTGAATTTGTTTGTAATTCTTTGTAAAGTTTTTTAATTAATCTTACTGAAATTTTAGCTGCTTCTTTTAAAATTTTGAAATCATGATCTAATGAATGGAAAGCATAACTTAATGCAATTGATTTAACTCCATGAGTAACAGCTTCCATTGCAGCTCCGACTGTTCCACTTGATAAAATATAAATATTACTTGAATTTTTACCAAAATTTGGTCCACTTATTACCAAGTCGATTGGTTTGTTTTTGGAATGTCTATATAAATGATGAATACCAAGATCTGCACATGCTGCTGGTGTACTATTGATCAAACACCATTCTTTATATTCAGGATTTGAATTGAATTTAGATTGTGGATGATTGAAAGGACCTTCATATTTATTGATGTTGGAATTTGGTAAGTCTGTTGAGTATTTTGTATAAATATAAGTTGCAACTAATGGTTTACCAGGGTTAAATGATTTTCCCTTCCAAGAATTTTGAACCTCTGGAATAACTATCGAAATATCCCAATCTGTTTCAGTTATTATTTCATCAACAAAATATTTCATATAAGGACAAGTGTTGTCATTGATTGGACCATCGTCATTAGTTAATAGTACATGCATTTTAGAATGTTTTATGTCATATGATGATGATAATAAATTGGAATAAATCAATAAAACTAGTTTCACATAATTGTAATAATTATAATTAATTTGGGGGAAAAAGGAAAAAAAAAATATCGTATTTTACAACCAAAAGTGAAAAAACAAGATCAGTAACCAACTTACAACCATAAAGCTTTATAAAAGTCACCCCATTTTGTCATCATTACTCATATCCACCAACCATGTCACTATTTTTAGGTCAAGCATCTCAATATTCACAAGTAAGAGTAGATCCAGAGAAGATCAAACTAGCTGATATTCAATTTCAAGCAATGTCATATACATTTAATAAACTTTTAGTGAGATGTGAACAAAAATGTTTAGTTCATGAATATGGTGAAGGAGAATTATCAAAGGGAGAACTGGAATGTATTGATAGATGTGTTACAAAATATGTTAAAGCTAATTTAATAATTGGTGAACACTTTCAAAAACAAAGAATTGATGCTTTTAATACAATGCCTGAGTATATTAAAATAAAAGAAATAATAGGGAGTGGTGATAGTGGGAAGATATAGTAATTCATTAATTAAAATCATGTAAATAGAAGTTGAAGACTATTAGAAATAATATATGATTGATGAATTCTTAAATAAATTATTTTATTTTAATTTATTAACACGTAGCTAGACACTATCTATAACAAATTGTAATAATCAGTTAAATTATTATACTATTTATAATTGATTTTTGGTGTGGAAAATATCTAAAGCTTCTGAAATTCTCTTTGACATAGTTTTTTCACCTTCTCTAACCCAAACTCTTGGATCAAAGTATTTTTTATTTGGTTTATCTTCACCTTCTGGGTTACCAACTGGTGTTTTTAAGTAATCAGCTTTATTTAAAACGTAATCTCTAATACCTTCTAAGTAAGCATATTGACAGTCAGTATCTAAATTGACTTTAACAACACCATTTTTAATAGCGGTATCAAAATCTTGTTGTGATGAACCTGAACCACCATGGAAAACTAAATATAAGGGATGTGCGGCTTCGGTAGCTAATTGTTTTTTAGCGTATTGTTGATGATCACCTAAAATTTCTGGTTTTAATTGAACATTACCTGGTTTATAAACACCATGAACATTACCAAAAGCAGCAGCAATTGAGAAATTTGGTGAAATTTTTGATAATGATTCATAAACTTTGAAAACAGTTTCTGGTAAAGTATATAATGATTCTTTTTGAACGTGTTCATTGTTAACACCATCTTCTTCACCACCAGTAATACCAATTTCCATTTCTAACCATTGGTTCATTTTTGACATTCTTTCAAAATATTTAGCACAGGTACCAATATTGTCTTCATCAGATTCTTCTGATAAATCTAACATATGTGATGAAAATAATGGAGTACCAGTTTCTTTATACCATTTTTCATCAGCTTCTAACATACCATCAAACCATGGTAATAATTTATGAGCACAATGATCAGTATGTAAAACAACTGGAATACCATATGCTGGAGCAATAGCTCTAATGTAATGAGCAGCAGCAATTGAACCAGCAATTGAAGCTTCTTGGTTTTTATTATCAACACCTTTACCTGCAAAATAAGCAGCACCACCTTGTGAAGTTTGTAAAATAATTGGAGCTTTACCATCTCTTGCAGCTTCTAAAGCAGCAACAACAGTTGATGATGAAGTAACATTGATAGCTGGAATTGCAAATCCTTTTTCTTGAGCATAATCGAATAAATCTTTGACATCATCACCGTAGATAACACCTGATTTTTTTAAAACTGCTGGAGGAGCCATTGTAAATTTATTGTAGTTTGTAATAATTTAATTTATAAAATTGATGAAAATTGAATAAATGAAAAGATCAATTGATTTTGTTAAAATAAAGAAAAATGAAAAGTAAATATAAATTGAAATAATTTTTTCTTCTTTTTATAAAATTGTTGAAACTTCAAAATTCTGAAAAGTGGAACAATCAAAAAAAAATAATTACAGTTTGAAACTTAAAGTTACAAATTTTAAATTTGCCAGGTTTAATTTAATGCAAAGAAAGCTTAAATTAAAGACATTCGACTCAATGGGCTTATGTACGATTACATGATGATTAATTGTTTACCGTCTATACTACTATTTCACCTGTTTTATCATTCCAATATAATTGCTCCCTCAATTTCTTTTGCACCTATTTTGAAAAATTATCCAAATCCATTTGGTAGTTTAAAATTTTTTACAAAGGTCCGTTTTGAATAATTTTCGATTTTGTGTATGGATATCTTTCACCCGTTCTCTTTTTGCTTCGAGATTCAAGTGAAACAAAATAGTAATAATCTTACATCATACTGAGCAATTACATCTCGATTAATTATACTTAGTCACAAACAATCGATTCAAGAGAGAACTGATTGAGAAAGCCTTTTTTCGAGTTTAATTTAAACCAGACGACTGAATCTCAATTGCCTACCCCTCGTGTTTTATGTACGTTTTATTTAATTTGTGGGTCAGTATAATTTAAATTCAGAACATGCTTATACAATTTTACAATAATGTAAACAAATTTCCGTCGACCACCGGGTCTTTCTCCGTTTGTCCTAACCTGCATGAAACATTTAGCTGAATCTTATATGCACTCTTACAGTATAAGACGAATTAAGACAACCAAAAGTTTTACAACATCTGTTTGGCAGATCATATACCTAGACACTTCAAAACTATTTAGCTGGTTTGTAAATTTTCCTATACGATGAAGGAGCGATTGTAAGTTTGTAAACCAATTTTGTTAATATTGTTGACTCAATTGTCTAAATTGAAGTCTTATTAGTAGTAGGAAAAAAATCATTTTAGTGTGAAAACCCATTCTCTATCAATTCTATCATGCAAGGTAAACATCAATGATCAATTAATCTAACAAATGCACAGTAATTAATGAGTTCGAAGATAGACACAATAGATGGATTTTCGTACTATCGATTCAACATCAAGGAGCAAGAAGAGTTTAATCAAATATCAAATTTAATTTCATCACATTTATCTGAACCATACTCAATTTATGTTTATTGGTATTTTTTAAATAATTGGCCAGAATATTGTTTTACAATTAAAGAAGATTTGGAGTCAAATAACAGTGGAAAAGATGATATTAATGACAACGCAAAGATAACGCATCAGAAGATAATTGGTGTAATAATTTCAAAATTGGAACCACATAGGCAAGTAAGAAATAGAGGATATATTGGGATGTTGGTTATTGATCCAAAATATAGAAAAAAAGGATTAGCTAAAAATTTAGTCAAAATAACTATAAACAAAATGATTGATGAGAAAGTTGATGAAATAATGTTAGAAACTGAAGTTTTAAATGCAGGTGCTTTAAAATTATATGAAAGTTTTGGATTTTTGAGAACTAAAAGATTATATAGATATTATTTAAACACTCATGATGCTTTTAGATTGGTATTACCATTAAGTGATAAATCACATACAAGGATTGCATTTTTACCAATTATTGTTGATGAAAATTTAAATAATCCTAAACAAGATAATCTAGCTATCAATGTATAATGAATTTTTAATGAAATTTGATGAAAGTGTAAAACTAACTTTAAGTTTTTAATTGTTTCTCTTAGTAAACTTCTGAAAGACTGAGGTGATAATTATGTCTAGGGTAGAAATTCATGTTAAATTTGTCATCTTTACAATTTGTAAACTTTTTGCAACATATCTTGCTCGAAAATTGAGCTTAGATTTCTCAGATTATTGAGATCTCATTTACTCATGAATATCAGCTCAAACTTTCTGAAACAAGCTTCAAGGTGAAGATGAGTCTTTTTTAACATATTTTAATTCGAAATATTGAATTCTGCAACTATTCTAATACGACTATATGTGATCTTTACTGATTAGTTCGGATTTAGAAACAGCATCATATATCACATCTTAACATCAATAATTAAGAAACTTATTATTAGAATTCATTGTCACGTAAAGCAAGATCAAGACATGACAATATTATTTAAATAAACACGTTAAAATTAATAATATAGACGCGTTTTTTTCACTAATTAATTACTTACATACAAATTATTATTTTTGAGACTAGTATAAAATTTATCACCTCTTTTCAACTTAAGATTTTCAATTCAAATTAACAATAACTTATCAATTATAGTCTTTTGGTAAATCAATCATCAAGTTCAGAAGACAAAAGACTTTTAAGCTATATCATTGCAACAAATTTTCAATTAATTACAACAAACTAAATCATATAATTTCGAAATGTTAGAAGGTAAATTTGATGAATCAACATTATTAAAAAAAATAGTTGAATCAATCAAAGATTGTGTCAAATTATGTAATTTCAATTGTACAGAACATGGAATTACAGTTCAAGCAGTTGATGATTCAAGAGTTTTATTAGTTTCATTATTAGTTGGGCAAACTGCATTTAGTGAATATAGATGTGATAGAGACGTTACCTTGGGAATTGATTTAGAAAGTTTTTCAAAAATTATAAAATGTGGTAATAATGAAGATTATTTAACTTTATTAGCAGAAGATAGTCCAGATTCTGTAATGACAATTTTTGAAGATAAGAAAAAGGAAAGAGTAAGTGAATATAGTTTAAAATTAATGAATATTGATTCTGAATTTTTAAAAATTGATGATATGGATTATGATTCAGTTATTACAATGCCAAGTTCAGAATTTGCTAAAATCGTTAGAGATTTAAAAAATTTAAGTGAATCATTAAATATTATTGTTACAAAAGATTCTGTTAAATTTACAAGTGAAGGTGAAACTGGAACTGGTAGTGTTGTTTTAAAACCTTATAATGATATGGATAAACCAGATGAAAGTGTTACTGTTAATTTAGATAATCCAGTTGATTTAACCTTTGGTTTGAAATATTTAAGTGATATCATAAAAGCTTCAAGTTTATCAAACACGATAACTGTTAAGTTAGCTGACAAAACTCCTGCATTATTTGAATTTAAATTAGATGTTGGTGGTTATTTAAGATTTTATTTAGCTCCAAAATTCGATGAAGATGAATAAATTTAATTAAATCAAAGTATATAATGTTTAGTTTCTTTTTATTTAAATTAATGTTAATAATGTATTGAGAGATGAGTCTTCACGTACTGGTTTATGGTTGAGTTATATATTACATCTATATTTCTTAAGGTCAATCAAAAGCCGTTTAAGTTTTTTTATCGTGCATTTCTTTACCCCATTTCAATAAGTCATTTTTTAAGCGATCAGCTCTAACTATTCCATTTCTTAAATGCGTTAAATTTTCAATATATTCATGTTGTCTTTGAATACTAACTTGTAGATAATTGATTAATTCTTCTTTTACACCAGATTCATCTTTTGATTCTAGCAGTTCTTGAAACGTTTCATATCTTTTGATAGCAGTTGGTAATGCAAAAAATGGATCTGCGTTATTTTCGTCTTCATCTTCATATTCTCCAAGTGTAATACTTTTCTCTGTTAAATCTTCAGCCTGCTCACCTTTATCTTCGTTATTTGTATCATCACCATTTAGTATTTCGGTTTGTTTATTTTCATCTTTGTCACCATTTACCTCGTCTGCCTTAATCTCCCCATTCTTGACTTCTTCTGTTTCATTTGCATTATCAGTTTCTCCTACATTTGATTTTTCTGCTTCTGTAGTTATGTCTGCTACTTCTGCCACCACATCTTCTTTTGCATCATCTTTTACATCCCCTACGCTTTCTTGTAATTTTCTTTTCTTTCTTCTATTTTCATCTAAACCATGATCATATTCTTTCAACCCCAAATTTTCTTCCAATAAGTAAAACCAATCTTCTCCATCTAAAACTTGTAATAATCTATTTAACCAATTCAAATTATTTTGTTCAAATTCAATTAAATCAATTAATTCCATTGCTAATTTATTTAAAATTTCCAGTTTATAAGTTTTTGAAATAGCTGGATGAGTAACTAATTCAGATGGATGATTTAGTGGTGATAATAATTCTATAATTTTGGATTGTTTCAATGGATGAATCTTATTATTGTGAGTTTCATCATCTGAGTAATTTTCATCTGACCAATCTAATATTTGTTCGTATTCTTCATCTTTTGGTTCATTTTTCTTAGAATCTCCATAAAAATCTTTCCATTTTCTCTTGGTTCTTAGATTATTTTTTTCAATTAAATCATTTGTTAAAACATTATATTTTTTACCATCATATTCTATAACTTTACTACTTAATGAATCTAAATTTGGTATTTGATTCGTTAATTTTAGTCCTCTATTATATGATGGTAACAAATCCTTTAGTATTACTCCCGCTTCATTACTCTTTTCTTTATCACTTAATGCTTTTGTAGTTGATAATGACGATTGATTTCTAGTATTCAATGCATCTTTAAATTGTGAAATTATTTGTAAAGATTTTGTATCGAGCATGATTGATTATAATTGATGGAAAGTGAAGATTGTGATACTTGGACCTGACTGTTATATTTTATTTGATAGAACAATGATAAAGAATGTAACAAATTTTATTAAATTTTTTAAATTATAATAATATCAAACAAATAGAATTAAAATAACAATTAAAATTAAAGGGTAAATGAATCTTTATTTTATTCAACTAAGGATACTTAAATTTCTTTTCAGACTTTCAGACTTTATGCAAAAGATTATACAAAATATATTATTGTAGAATTATATGATTTTATGATAAAATTGATTAGAATTGAAATTAATGATTTAATTGTGAAATAATTGTAATTATCATTTATGATAATTTGAGTAAATTCGATAATGAAATAATATCATTTTTTTTTTCTCTTACATTTTAATATTAATTAAATATTAAATATTAATATTCAATGTTAAATATATTCATTTATGAGCATGTAAGAAGGTATCAAAATATTTAGTTCAGATCCAAATTAAATCATTCTAATGAAATCAATAACACAATAATTAATTTCACATATCAAAGAGTTCAAAATTAAAATCAAAATTGTCGCTCACTGAATTTAATTTGACAAGCATTTAGTTGAATAGATGATGCTTAAATAGATAATCTAAGAGGAAATAATTATAATATTATATTTTTTTCAATAGAAGTTTGAAATCTGGTATATTGCTGATGGCTAAGACATTTAATGAAGATCAACATATATTGACAAAGATTCTTATTCTGTTATTCCGATTGGTATATAGAAGCTGCGATATAGGTTCAATATCAATAGCATCTTGGCTCCGTTAGGGTTTTCGACTAGATCTTATCATCTTCCAATGTCTTATAAACTTTCAACCGCCTTTTGGCAGTAAGACAGGAATAGTAACGTCATCAATTCAAGTTGTTACGAGCCTCAGATATTTTGCTAATTTATTATATAAAATACGTTACATTAAATTGCATGACAGCTATCGTCTCCATTTTTGGTATAACGATGTTCCAGTATGAAAGCTCTTCAAAAAAACTGCAGTTAATAAATCTACTATCCAAATTCTAAGACCTTCTGGTTTAATATCAGAGACTCTGTGGTATCTTCAAAATGTGTTTTTACTAATTAGGAATAAAATAGCAATACAAACTAAATGGCTGCCTCCATTTATTGGAAATTTCATGATCTTATCTATTAGTTGTCAACAAAAATAGGAACCTCATTTGATTTTTGTCTTTCACTTTTTGTCATGTCACTTGGTTTGCAAAAACTACATTACGTATGAAGTACCTTCTTCGGAGTCAGTTTTGTTGTATATTCTGACACCAGACTTCAAAAAGACGCCAAGCTAATGCTTCAAATTTTGGTGAGGGGTGATAGTTAATTTGGCTGATTTGCCACTGATTTCAAATTACGAATAGTAAGTATAGTGATATCATCATATTCGACCGTGATTGTTACCAAGATTGGGATATTGGTTTTGGAATCTGAGTTGATGAAAGATCTTTCGTCAAGTATTAGAACAATTACGAGATCCAAAGTCATGCAAAATTATGCAAGTTTGAGGAAACTTTTTTGCAGCCAAGAGCTTGATTTGAAAAAACAAATTTAAGATAATAAATCTTGTCCTGCCATTAACGCTGGTATGATAATTTGACTTGTCTTGGAGAATGATTTATTTAAATAAAAGAGCTTGATACCATCTCGGCAAATCCGACGACCATTCAAAGCAATTTTCAACACTTTATTCAACAATTTAAAAATCAATTATAATCTAATTAGCATCAACCATTTCAAAGCAAAGATGCGATTATTCATATTTTGGATATTAGCTATCTATATTGGGCTAGTTCTGTCTGATTATGTCTTTGATGGTGAATATTATTTTGAAGATACTTTTCCCATTATTGATGATTTAGCGATCATGGAAGAAGGAACAGTTATTACATTTTACAATGTCTATGAAATTTTTGTAAGCATAGGTTTAATTGTTTACCCAAATGCTTATGTTACTATAACTAACTATGAACCATTTGCTGGACATTTTATTGGAGATGGTCGACCGGGTTCGGTTTGGCAAGTTGATGGTACAATCATAGTAGAGGCAAGAAATCAAGCTTTAATTAATTATTATGGATCCAACGTGGAGATATTTGATAATAATGGTTTGACATCTCTTTATGCTGACGGGCAGTCAGACTTTTTACATGTTAAAAATAATAATCTTATGTTTATCAACTCGCAAGTATTTCAAATCGAAAAAGGTTTACCAGGTCTTGCTGTATTTGAAATGGGGTCAACTGGTGCTGCACAAAATCTTGGAACCATTTGTTTGAAAAACACGGAATTTTTAAATAATATGAGACTTGAAGGTCCTGGTTGTTTGGTGGTTGACAATTCTTTGGTAAAAAGTTTAAATACTAATTTAAATGATCAAGAGCATACTCTTTATATGACTAATGGTGCTAAATTATTTGAAAATGCAATCGTTTCAGGAACAAGATGGCTTATTTTTGGATTTGAAAGAGGTATGGTTATTTCAATAAGTGATACTATTGCCGAGGATTGGAGTTATACGCTGGCTAGTGGTGTTTTAAGAATTACTGCTGTAAGTTCCAGAAACATTCATAGTTATACAATTGGTACAGGTTACAATGCAGCTTTATTCAGAATTGTTGACGTGAATGGAAGAGCTGGTAGTGGAATAACTTATGACGGAGATGCACCAGTACAAGTTATTCCACAACATTGTCTAGATTGTTCATTTAAAGAATCCGATATTGAATATGAAAGAGTTGTTGATGTAGATCCTGACCAAACTACTACTTATGTAACAACATATGCGTCGCAAGATGCTACAGGTATACCTTATTTAATTACTGCTTTAGTGTTACAATCCACTGATGTCGAGGCTTCAATGGCTACTGAGCTGTATACAGGAGTGACTGGTTTGGAAACTATTAATGACAGAGTAACCATTGATGGGAATGAAATATACGATGTTCAAATTCTTAGATATGGGTTTGAAGATGGAAGTACTTATGATTTTACATCAACTTCTTATCAGGAGATTACTTCATATACCACTACTGTTCCTGAAGGTACTGCTGTTGTAATGGTAACATCGGATAGTATAAATTGGTGGTATACAACTACAGATATTTTCTCATCATATACCAGTACAATCACATTAAATGACGAAAACAATCAAGCTACTCGTATAGTATATGTATCAACAGATTCTGAGGGAGATTGGACTAAATCTACATCCACACATACTCCACGATCACAAACTGGGTTTACAACATATACTACCACTGTTAATGATGAAGAAGTTACAATTACTGGATTATTTGAAAAATCGACCAATGAAGCCGGTAATTGGGCTAGTGCTACATTTGTAGAAGTGATTGAAACTACCACATTCACCCAAAGAATTGTTACCGAAATTGAAGATACAATACAAACCAAAGATGCAGAAATAGTTGGATATAATTATGAAGGTTTTGGAATGTATTACTTAACATCAATATTAGCAGATCCAACAGAGGCCAGGTATACAACAACAGCTGAAGATGGAGCATATACAGGAATAGTTAGAGTCACTTCAGATGAAGAAAATTGGTGGTATACTACTACGGATACATTGTCATCTTATACAAGTACATTCACAAATGATTACAGTTTCAGTCAAGTAACGTATATTGCTTATGCATCAACCGATGAAGGAGGAGATTGGGTGTCTTCTACTGCAACACATACACCAGAATCACAAACAAGTTTAACAACATATACGACAATTGTTATTGAAGATCAATTTACAGTTACTGCATTAATTGAAAAATTCACTGATGATCAAGGAGGATGGGTAACTACTACGTATACAACATTTTTTGAAAGTACTACATATACAGAACGTATTGTTGGATTAATTGATGGAGCTACACAAACCAAAGACGTGGAAGTCGTTGGATACAATTATGATGGTTATGGAGTTTATTATTTCTCATCTATATTAGATGATCCGACTGAGACTAGATATACAGTGACTGAAGCAGAATTTACAGGAATAGTTAGAGTAACTTCGGATGAAGAAAATTGGTGGTACACTACAACCGATATATTATCATCATACACAAGCACTGTTACCATTAATGATGATTTTGAACAAGCAACTCACATTGTATATGCATCAGTCAATGAAGATGGAGAATGGATTACATCTACTTCAACGCATACTCCAGAATCCCAAACTAGATTAACAACATACACTACAAGTGTTGATGATGAAGAAGTTACAATGACTGGATTATTCGAGAAATCAACTAATGAAGCAGGTAACTGGGCTAGTGCTACATTTGCAGAAGTAATTGAAACTACAACATTTACTGAGAGAATAGTCACTGAAATAGAAGGAACAATGCAAACCAAAGATGCGGAAGTTATAGGATATAATTATAATGGATTTGGAATGTACTACTTAACATCAATATTGGCAGATCCAACTGAAGACAGATTTACAGTGACTGAAGCAGAATTTACAGGAATCGTGAGAGTAACTTCAGATGAAGCAAATTGGTGGTATACTACAACAGATATATTATCATCATACACTAGCGCTTTTACTATTAATGACGATTTTGAACAAGCTACTCATATAGTATATGCATTCAATGAAGACGGAGAATGGATCACATCTACTTCAACACATATTCCAGAATCACAAACTAGATTAACAACATATACTACTAGTATTGATGATGAAGAAGTCACAATCACAGGATTATTCGAGAAATCAACTAATGAAGCAGGTAATTGGGTTAGTGCTACATTTGCAGAAGTAATTGAAACTACAACATTCACTGAAAGAATAGTAACAGAAATTAATGGTGTTTCACAAACCAAAGATGCCGAAGTTATAGGATACAATTATAATGGATTTGGAATGTACTACTTAACATCAATATTAGCAGACCCAACAGAAGCTAGATTCACGGTGACTGAAGCTGATTATACAGGAATAGTTAGAGTAACATCAGATGAAGAAAATTGGTGGTATACTACAACAGATATATTATCATCTTACACAAGTACTTATACTATCAATGATGATTTTGAACAAGCTACCCACATTGTATATGCATCAATTAATGAAGATGGAGAATGGATCACATCTACTTCAACACATACTCCAGAATCACAAACTAGATTAACAACATATACTACTAGTATTGATGATGAAGAAGTCACAATCACAGGATTATTCGAGAAATCAACTAATGAAGCAGGTAATTGGGTTAGTGCTACATTTGCAGAAGTAATTGAAACTACAACATTCACTGAAAGAATAGTAACAGAAATTAATGGTGTTTCACAAACCAAAGATGCCGAAGTTATAGGATACAATTATAATGGATTTGGAATGTACTACTTAACATTAATATTAGCAGACCCAACAGAAGCTAGATTCACGGTGACTGAAGCTGATTATACAGGAATAGTTAGAGTAACATCAGATGAAGAAAATTGGTGGTATACTACAACAGATATATTATCATCATACACTAGCACTTTTACTATTAATGACGATTTTGAACAAGCAACTCATATTGTATATGCATCAGTTAATGAAGATGGAGAATGGATCACGTCTACTTCAACACACATTCCAGAATCACAAACTAGATTAACTACATACACTACTAATGTTGATGAAGAAGAAGTCACAATGACTGGATTATTCGAGAAATCAACTAATGAAGCAGGTAATTGGGTTAGTGCTACATTCGCAGAAGTAATTGAAACCTTAACATTTACTGAGAGAATAGTTACTGAAATTGATGGTGTTTTACAAACTAAAGATGCCGAAGTAATTGGATACAACTACAATGGATTTGGAATGTACTACTTAACATCAATATTGGCAGATCCAACTGAAGACAGACATACAGTAACAG